CTGTGAGAAGCGGAGGCTCGTCGTACAGTGCATTGGATGAGTTTGTCAAGTACTTGGAGAAAGTAAGGAATTAAGCTAATGAACTTCAGGTACCATTAAAATAAAATCAAGCTTGACATGTATCCCTTTACGCGGTATTTATCAAATAAATTATATGTTTTTGGCACCTTTGCGGTGAATGTAAGAAAAACATGTATTCACTAAGCTGTAAGAAATATATTCATCCCTATGTATGTGATCTTATAGTTAAATTATTTCTATTGGAATGTTATATTCATCACAAACGCATTGGATGAGCTCATCAAGTACTTGACGACAGAGTGAACCTACATATATTTTTAGAGATCATTAATGACTTGTATGGATCAGGCTTGATCTTGCCAAATAATTACAAAGGATGTGTGTTTTCTATCCAAAATAAAACCAATTCAAATCAGACACCATTATCTCTTTCAGGCAGTTTTCTCAAGATGGAATTGCTGCATGAGAAGAAAAAGACAATTTTATGATTTGGAATTTTCTTTTGATATATATGAAGCCAAATACGACAATAGATGACCAAGAAGAAGACATGAGCATCTTTGCTTTTGTAACCGCTTCATCGTAATGACAGACTCTATCAACCACTTGCCTACAAGCCTGAAAATCAATAAATATCATATATACGTTACTGCAAAAAAAAAAAAATAGAGGAACAAAGTAAGTATACTCTGAAGCATATAGCTGAATAGACTTTTCTCTTCGTTTTTATTGCAGGTTCTTGAAATGGAGGAAAAGCCAACGAGGAGAAGGGTAGTGTTGGTTCCAGTACCAGCACAAGGACATATAACTCCAATGATGCAACTTGCAAAAGCTCTTCACTCGAAGGGTTTCTCAATTACAGTTGCTCAGACCAAGTTCAATTACTTTATCCCTTCAGATGACTTCTCTGATTTTCAGTTTGTCACAATTCCAGAGAGCTTACCAGAGTCTGATTTCGACGATCTCAGGCCAATACTGTTTCTGCTTAAACTCAACAAAGAGTGTCAGATGAGCTTCAAGGACTGTTTGGGTCACTTGTTGGTACAACAAGGTAATGAGATCTCATGTGTCATCTACGACGAGTTCATGTACTTTGCTGGAGATGCAGCCAAGGAGTTTAAGCTTCCAAACGTTATTTTCAGCACTACCAATGCAACGACTTTTGTTTGTCGCTCTGTCTTCGAGAAACTCTATGCAAACAATGTCTTGGCTCCCCTGAAAGGTGCTCTAGAATTCTTGATTTCTGGTTTTTGCAAGCGTCAGTAATTTTGTAACTGTATGGTTTTGACATTTTCTTGCAGATTCCAAAGGACAGCAAGATGAGCTAGTGCCTGAGTTTCATCCCCTGAGGTACAAAGACTTTCCGGTTTCATGTTGGGCCACATTAGAAAGCATACTTGAGCTGTATAGGAATACAGTTGATGAACGTGCAGCTTCCGCTGTGATAATCAACACGGCGAGCTGTCTAGAGAGCTCATCTCTTTCTTGGCTACAACAAGAACGTCTAGTTATTCCTGTTTATCCAATAGGCCCTCTTCACATAGTGGCCTCAGCTCCAACGAGTCTGCTTGAAGAGAACAAGAGCTGTATCGAATGGCTGAACAAACAAAAGGTAAACTCGGTGATATACATAAGCTTGGGAAGCTTAGCTTTGATGGAAGTCAATGAGGTGATGCAAACTGCTTCAGGTTTGGATAGTAGCAACCAACACTTCTTGTGGGTGATCAGACCAGGCTCAATATGTGATTCAGAATGGATAGAGTGTTTGCATGAGGAGTTTCTTAAGATGGTTTCTCGTCGAGGTTACATTGTGAAATGGGCTCCGCAGAAAGAAGTACTTGCTCATCCTGCGGTAGGAGCGTTTTGGAGTCATTGTGGATGGAACTCGACGCTAGAGAGCCTCGGGGAAGGAGTTCCAATGATCTGTAGGCCGTTTTCTACTGATCAAAAGGTGAATGCGAGGTACTTGGAGTGTGTTTGGAAAGTTGGGATTCAAGTGGAAGGTGAGCTAAATATAGGAGGGGTCGAGAAAGCTGTGAAGAGGTTAATGGTGGACGAAGAAGGAGAGGAGATGAGGGAGAGAGCTTTCAGTTTGAAGGAGAAACTGATAGCCTCTGTTACAAGTGGAGGTTCTTCACACAAGTCGTTAGAAGAGTTTGTGCACTTCTTGAGAACTCTGAAGCGAATTAGAAAATAATCTTTGTTGTCTTCACCATATCTGCCAGTGAACACACAAGGTTAAAGAGAAAGGTTCTTTGAATAAATTAGAAAGTGGATGAATAACTTGCGTGGATTCTAAGAAATCTATGTACTTTTTTATTTATTTCTTTTTTATTTATTTACTGCAGTCTCTAGATAGTTTTGCTACTGTTCTGAGGAAATCATCAATGAGGGCACGAAAGTAATATGAGGAGAACGTTTAATAAAGTTCACGAGACCTCAATCTTAAAATTCATATTTCCTTAGTTTGGACTTTGCAAAGGGAAAGTCCAAACTAAGTCAGTAGCTCATGCCATAATGCAAAGGGAAAAAAAATATATGTTATAATTTTTAGGCAGTAGCTCATGCCAACGATGCAATAATAGCACAAAATCAAATATTTGGATGTATCTGAACATGTTTTGCATTGTAGATACATCCAAATAATCGCAGATACATTTTTCCAAAACGACAACTAATTTGAACGGATTGAATATATAATAGAATTTTTAGACAGCTCATGCCAACGATGCAATAATAGCACAAAATCAAAATCTTATAATTAGAGAAAATATTAAATTAAAACGAAATCAAAATCTTAGGCGAGGCAAAATAAAGAAACAAACAAAACACATGCTTCTTTACTTTGCATTAATTATGACAAAGAAGTCGTTGCTTGCCGCTTACTGCTTGCCAAGTTAGAAAAACTTGACTATATTAAATGGCAATTTTTGGATGATTGTGGAATATATCTAGTACAAATGGGATTTTAATAATGATTTGAATCACTTATTTATGGTGTTGTTCTCCGTTGAGAAATGAAATGAAGGAGCAAGAGAAATGGAGACAAGGCAACCAAAGAGAAGGATTGTGTTAGTCCCACTTCCAGCACAAGGCCATGTAACCCCCTTTATGCAACTCGGGAAAGCCGTTTACGTGAAGGGCTTCTCAGTTACAGTTATTCAAGGACACTTCCATCAAGTAAGCTCTTCTTCTCAACAACATGACTTCCCAGATTTTCAGTTTGTCACCATACCAGAAAGCTTACCAGAGTCTGAATACGAGAGGCTTGGACCAACCGAGTTTCTGCTGAAGCTCAACAAAACTAGTGAGGCGAGCTTCAAGGATTGTATAGGTCAGTTGTTGGTGCAACATGGCGATGATATTGCATGTATCATCTACGACGAGTTCATGTACTTCTGTGAAGCGGCAGCCAAGGAGTTCAAGCTTCCTAGTGTCATATTCAGCACACAAAGTGCTACAAATCAAGCTTCACGCTGTGTTTTAAGAAACCTCAATACAAAGAAGTTCTTGGCCGACATGGAAGGTGCTCAAATAAGCTTAATAGTAACCTATTTGAAACAAACTCATTTCACTAAAACACTTTTTTTTTTGTCTCTGACTTTGCAGATGACGTGCAAGACAAGGTGGTGAAAAAATTGCACTTATTGAGATTCAAAGACCTATCGGTTTCAGGACTAGGGCCACTAGACCGAGTTTTGGAGCTATTTAATGAGATGGTCAACAAAAAAACAGCTTTCGCTGTTATCATCAACACGGTGAGCTGTCTAGAGGACTCTTCTTTGTCATGGCTAGAACAAGAATTTGGAATCCCGGTGTATCCGTTAGGCCCTTTCCACATCACAGGTTCAATGCCTTCAAGTTTAGTGGAAGAAGACAGGACCTGCATTGAATGGCTGAACAAGCAGAAACCAAGGTCAGTCATATACATAAGCTTGGGAAGCGTAGCTCACATAGAAACAAGGGAAGTTTTGGAGATGGCTTTGGGATTGTGTGATAGCAACCAGCCTTTCTTATGGGTCATCCGACCAGGCTCTATCCCTGGCTGGGTGTCGTTGCCAGAGGAAGTAAGTAAGATGGTCTCAGAAAGAGGATACATCGTAAAATGGGCGCCGCAGAATGAAGTACTTGCACATCATGCAGTGGGTGGCTTCTGGAGTCACTGCGGATGGAACTCAACACTTGAGAGTATTGTGGAGGGATTTCCAATGATTTGCAGGCCTTTTCAGGGGGAACAGAAGATAAACGCAATGTATATAGAAAGTGTTTGGCGTGTAGGGATTCAGCTTGAAGGTGAAGTTAAAAGAAAAAGGGTTGAGAGAGCTGTTAGGAGGTTGCTTGTGGATGAAGAAGGTGCATGCATGAGGGAAAGAGCACTTGCTTTAAAAGAGAAGGTCAAAGCCTCTGTGAGAAAGGGAGGCTCCTCGTACAATGCGTTTGATGAGCTTGTCAACTACTTGAAAACAGAGTGATGAAACTGAACTTCATGTAATATTAAAAGAGATCGTTGAATTGTTTGTTTCGATCATGTTTGATCTTGCAAAATTTCACAAGTACATGGCTTTCTTTTTTCTAATAAAAAACAAAACAAAAAAAGCAATTCAAATCAAATACGAGTTTATCTGTTTTGGCAGTTTTCTCAATACATTGTTTTCCGTTTGGAACATCTCTTGACATAAAAGCCAAAGACAACAAGAGAACCAAGAAGACAGAATCATCTTTGCTTTTGTCTTTGGTTAACAATATAAAAAGATGTAACAGCACCATCGTACCATAAGCCACATGCTTCACATGTGGGGAAGAGTGCCAAGAAAATAAAATATACCGATGAATCACTGTCCAAGAGACTCAGAGTCTGATATTTAATATCAGAAAGATAGATCTCATAGATCGGTCACGGCAAAATAAACAATTTTGAGGACAAAAGCATACCTAACTCGCAATTTCTTAGTTTTTATTGCAGGCTCTTGAAAGTTGAAATGGAGGAGAAGCAGACAAGGAGAAGGGTAGTGTTGGTTCCGGTTCCAGCACAAGGACATATAACTCCAATGATGCAGCTTGCAAAAACTCTTCACTCGAAGGGCTTCTCAATTACATTTGCTCAGACCAAGTTCAATCACTTTAGCCCTTCAGATGCCTTCACTGAGTTTCAGTTTGTCACCATTCCAGAGAGCTTACCGGAGTCTGATTTCAAGAATCTCGGGCCAATACAGTTTCAGCATAAGCTCAACAAAGAGTGTCAGGTGAGCTTCAAGGACTTTTTGGGTCGCTTGTTGCTGCAACAAGGTAATGAGATCGCTTGTGTCATCTACGATGAGTTCATGTACTTTGCTGGAGATGCAGCCAAAGAGTTTAAGCTTCCAAACGTTATCTTCAGCACAACAAGTGCCACTGCTTTTGCTTGCCGCTCTGTTTTCGAAAAACTCTATGCAAACAATGTCCTTGCTCCTTTCAACGACGGTACTTAAGAATTCTCTGTTGAGAGTTTTCGCTAGTCGTCTATAAATCTGTAACACCATGGTTCTTGACCTTTTCTGCAGAACCTAAAGGAAATCAAGAGGAGCTAGTGCCAGAGTTTCATCCCCTGAGGTACAAAGACTTTCCGGTTTCACGTTGGACCACATTAGAAAGCATAACAGAGCTGTATAGAAATGCAGCTGACAAACGGAAAGCTTCCTCTGTGATAATCAACACGGCGAGCTGTCTAGAGAGCTCATCTCTGTCTTGGCTACAAAGACAACAAAAACTAGAGATTCCTGTTTATCCTTTAGGCCCTCTTCACATGATGGCCTCCGCTCCTACAAGCTTGCTTGAAGAGAACAAGAGCTGTATGGAATGGCTGAACAAGCAAAAGGTAAACTCGGTGATATACATAAGCTTAGGAAGCGTGGTTTTGACGGAAATCAAAGAGGTGATTGAAATGGCTTCTGGACTTGCTACTAGCAACCAACACTTCTTGTGGGTGATCAGACCAGGCTCCATACGTGGTTCAGAGTGGACAGAGTGCTTGCCTGAAGAGTTTGGTAGGATGGTTTCGTGTAGAGGTTACATTGTGAAATGGGCTCCGCAGAAGGAAGTACTTGCTCATCCTGCAGTAGGAGGGTTTTGGAGCCATTGTGGCTGGAACTCGACACTAGAGAGCCTCGGGGAAGGAGTTCCAATGATCTGCAGGCCATTTTCTGGTGATCAAAGGGTTGACACAAGGTACTTGGAGTGTGTTTGGAAAATTGGGATTCAAGTGGAGGGTGAGCTAGACAGAGAAATGGTCGAGAGAGCTGTGAAGAGGTTAATGGTGGATCAAGAAGGAGAGGAGATGAGGAAGAGAGCCTACAATTTGAAGGAGAAACTGAGAGCTTCTGTTAGAAGTGGAGGCCCTTCACAAAACTCGCTAGAGGAGTTTGTACACTTCTTGAGGACTCTGTGAAGCAAATTAGACATTAGACTCTGTTTACTTCACTGCATCTGTCAGGTGAACAAGTCTTATGTCGAACAAAGCAGTGGGTGTTTTGACTTGTGTTGATGTTAAGAAATCTATGTACACTTTTCTATTCTAGAAGAATCTTACTTTCCAAGGACGAAATCAAAGGGCGGGAGACACAAAAAGTGATATGAGGATAAGGCTGTCACTGTAAGTATCATATATTAATGGAAACTGGAAAGTATTGGTTTTTTACAGAAAATTATGATCTTATATTGGAGACGAGAAAAGGTCATAAATTAATATCTAAATCTCAAAGTAGAACCCTACGTATGCTAAAACCAATAACTCCAAGTCAGCCTGAAAAGAAAACAAACACTTACACTTTTGTTGATGTGTCACTTTCTACCTTTTGTTGGAAGTTCATTGGTATGTGGCTCTCCAATCCAATGAAAGGTTATTACTTTAGGAAAGAAAAAGTCGTCATATGAGGAAATACATACTTGATTCGTTGATTGTATAAAATGGCCTCCTTTAAAATATAGGACTGAATTTATATATTGAAAGAAAATAAACATGAAGATTGTGTTCTTCACGCCATCACAAAGAAAAATAAAAACAAGAGACGCTCTCTAAGAAGTCTACAAACAATAAGCAAAAGGGAGTTACCTCACAAAATAGAAAATGAGTATATGGAAATTGTCAGAAGTCTTCAAGCATGCTCCAAACAAAAACACTGACTGCTTTAGGTTCCACATGATATGTTGTATGTTCTCCTATTACAGATGCAATGAGGACTTGCTGGGGTGGAAAACTCCGCAAAAGATAAGAAATATTTGAACGAATGTGGCGAAGCCAAGAACCTGTAACAGTAATCAAATAAGATCAAGACCAGCAAAATCGCAGATAATTTTAAAAATTTGTAACGTAATAAACCTATACGTAGCTATACCTGAAGACATTGAAATTAGCTGGGACAAAACGAAACATATGGGAGAAAAAATATTTTGTTTATGGATAAACTCAACTTCTTTGCAATTAAAAGCAGAGATATGCTTTACTCAGTGCGGGAACCAAAACCAGAGTGAACTTGTGCAGCACTACATATGGCTCTAAGCACACAAAACCAAAGCAAGGCACATGACACATATAGCTCTCTTGTGTTTAGAGCAAAACTTAGTCAGGCAATTTGAGAGTAACTTGGACAAAAGGTTCTCAAGAATCGGTTTCAAGAACAATCGACCATGATCTGGATATGTTAAGTCTCAAGCAAAATGAGAGCAATCTAAGTACTTCTCAAGAACAGTTCAAGTTAGCACGAGAATCCTTGAATCAATTTACGACCATCTTTATCATAGCTCTGTCATGATTTAAATTGCGCCTAGAACAAGTGATTAAAAGACTTTATTGTATAACATTTAATATAGTAAAAGGACAGAAGAAACTTGATAAATTTGATCAAGTAGTGTAAGAATTCAACTGTACTGAAAGACAGAACCTTGACAATTTTTATCAGTTCCACGAGCAAAAACAAGCTCACCTATTCTCTCCCCCCACAATTGATCCATCTATAGAGACTCCTTCGATTCATGTTTTCAATTCTCATTCGCGCTACCACCGCCAACAGAAGGATACGACGCCATGGATCCGAACTTATTCTGCTGCATCATATAAGGATTTGATTCAAACGCTCCAGATCCACCACTCCCATGATGATGGTGATGGTTCTGATGATAAGGATCATGACCGTGATTCTGGTGATGATATCCTTGCATACCCATATGATGCGCATAGACCGGCATCTGCATCATCGGCGACGCTCCGTACGGCACCGGAATCTGCACTCCCACGTGTCCGGCCGATCCACTCCCTTGCCCTCCGATGTCTTGGAAGCTCTGTGGAGGCACAGGCGTTGAAGAGAAGAGCTTATCAGAAGAAGACGGACCTTCCGTCGTCAATCCCTGCATCCGCTTGAGGTACAGCCTGTATTTCTGCAGGTGAGACGCTACGTTCTCTCGAGTCAGTCCTTCGACGTTCATCAGCTGCATAATCGTCTTCGGGACGGCGTTTTTGATCCCCAAGTGAGCCACCACGTCGACGAATCTCTTGTGCAGCTGCGGCGTCCACACTAAACGCGGTCGTTTCAGTGTCTTCCCAGTAGGATCTTCAGTTCCCGAATCTCCTTCTTCCGTAGCGGCAGCATCCGCCGTGGAGAGATCCATTCCGCCACCACCGTCCGATGTCTTCTGTTTCTTCGAATCGGATCCGGGACTGCTCGATCCGACCCGATCTTCCTCCTCCGCCGCGACGCCGGTTTTGAAACTGTTGCTGTTGTTGTTGGAGGAGGAGGTGTTGGGACCGGAAGATCCGCCGCGCAGCGACGAGAGAGTGGTCTCCGATGCGCGATTCACATCCTGGATCGAACGGCTCCGCTCTGGTGTGATGCTAAACGCCATCGCAAGATTCGGAGGAATCAGAGAGTAAGAAAGCGATGCCAAATCTTCGTCGTTAGGTAGCCCCATCTCCCATTCCAGAACTCTCTCTCCGTCGCCGGAAACCTCGAAATCGCTCATACTCACTTCCTCTCCCATTTTCACTCTCAAATTTCTCAAAATTCAGTTGGGGATTGAAGCCCTTAGAAGCTCAGAATCGATGAGAATTTTCGGATCAGAGAGATCGGAGAAAGCTAAGATTGAAAATTTGTGGAGAAGTTTGGTTTGTGACGATGAGCGATTTTCAAAAGAGAGAAACACCAGACAACAAAATATCAATTATTTTATCTTTTTCCAGTAAAAAGAAAAGCAAAAGATAAGAGAAAAAGCGTAATATCTAATTCCAGCTGGGCCATACGTTCCTGCCAACGTGGACGAGTTAGCTAGATATTTTTGATCTTCTAAATATCTCAGACCGACTAAGCTTAAAATATTTGACACGTGTGTAACTTAACGAATCTCTTTAAAACACGTCACAAGTGCACGTTTTGTATTAATAGTCGGGCTGTAGACGATTAAATTCGAATGAGACGAAAGTTACCAAAGTAGGCACGTAAGATGAGCCACGTGGATTGAAAAGGTCCAAGTAAGCTATCCCCGTGGGTGTTTTCAGTAATTTACCGACTTTACCAAGTTGCCTCTGTGGGCCCAAGAAAAGAAAGTGGGAAAAGCCGGTGGGTTCGGCCAGCTGGAGAGAGAAAAGAGGAGAAAGATTCGGTGATGAGTATGCACAGTGTTGACACGCAGTGCGACATCTGAGCCGTTTGATCGTGGTTTTAGATATTTATAGAAGCGTCTAAGGATCAATCTAACGGCACAGATTAGCAATTACGTCACGAATTCTTCTTATCAAAGTTTTTTCCATTTTAAAAAATAAAAATAAAAATATCGGGGAAAAAGCCACTCTGTTGTTGTTGGCCTCCTCAGCATTGGGGGGGGAAAACGGCCGATTCCTACCCCAACTACAATTATAGGCACCAATTCCTACCCAACTTTTATGTGTACCAATCCCTACCTGAACTACAAAAACTCGTCCTTTCCATACCCGAACTAATATTTTCATGGCCAATCCGAACATTGACTAACGGGACTTAGGTCAACGACGATTTCCCGTTAACGGAGATGAGTCACCACGACACGTCACCTGCCCCGTTGGAACGAAGTTCAAAACGACGTCGTTTTCACGAAAACGAAAATCAAATTGTAATCGCCGGTTAAAATTTAATTTCGGTTCAATTTCGGTTTAATGTCGGTTCAAAACGTCGTCGTTTTGAAAATAACAAAAAATCACATGTTTCTATCGAGTGGTGTCGCGAGAAAGAGATAGATTGCGTATTGGTGAAATCGATTTGGGGAAACCTCTAGCATCTAGGGTTCATAATTCACACAAAGATAGAAAGGATGTCCACATCATCGAATCACATAGATAATGCAGAGAATTCAGGTCAGTTTACTTATGGCAATCGAATTATAGAAATTGATTCATGGGAAACGTTTTTTAATCGGTTCTGATTTCGAAATGAAAACGTAAAACTTTTATAGGCTTGATTATGGGTGTCGGAGTTCGTCCGAGAAGAAGAGGATTTCCCAATGTTTGTAGGTGTGGAGAAGAAGTTTTGATGAAAACCTCAGGGACGGCAAAAAATCCGGGACGATTGTTTCATGCTTGTCCATACGGATCTGAATTGGTAAACATTTTTGAAATTGTAATGTTATTGAATAGCCTTGAGAACATGTAGTCAGACTGTGTTTTCATGTTTCAGGAAAAATACCACTTCTTCAAATGGACTGATGTTTCAATGGTGGAGGAGATAGAAGACATGAAGAAGAAGATTGAAAATTTAGAAGTTCAGAGAAGATCTTCGGAAGAAGTGATAAGCTGCCTTGCGAAAGAGATTGAAACTATGAAAGCAGAGTCACAAGGAGGTGAAAAAGAAGAGAACGAAGGCAAGGAGATTGTTGGTGATATGCCTTTCTTCAAGAAACTGGTTTGTTGTTTCTGGGCATAAATTTGCTCTTGGTGTACTAGCTTTAGGGAGCAACCATGATGATTCTAATTTGTAGCTTTTATGTGTTATTCTTCTTTTTTATTCAAAATGCAGTGCAAATAAATTGCTAATGCGATCCAAATCGAAATTACTAATGCACATAGGAATTCAAACAAGTCTTTTATCCAAACAAAAAGCCGAGATGAGAGTAAATTGTTCCCAAACAAACATGGGAAAAATTCATACAACGAGTTTCAAATTTAAAAAAAAAAAAACTGCAATAACTAAACAAAAGCTTTAAATCTTCTGAAGTCCATCGACAGCAACAAAACAATGACACATTTAATCAACTCCACCTGCAACCACAAAGCAACAAGACAATATAATCAGGTTCAACACAACAACAAGATGGCAACAAAACGACATCAAAAACAAAATCTCTCACAACAGCAACCAAATACAAATGGAAAGGAAACTAATATCCAGAATACATTTCTCAAACAACATCAAAAACAACAAATAAAACAACATCAAAAATTTCTCAAACAACATCAAACAAATGGAAAAAACATATATGAAATACCTTTTCTCATTCGGCAAATGACTGAGATGATTGACTTGGACCTGCAATTTCCTGAGACTCAGCAAATTCGTTTGTTGTCTTACTCTTTTTGGATTCACGTGGCTTTCTTCCTCTCTTTTTTGGTACTTGAGACTGAGAGTCAAGATCACCTGTTTTGATCTTCTTTGGTGGCCTAGCTTTAGGTGGAACACCTGAGTTTGGACATTTTTTTGAGTTATGTGCATCTAGACCACAACGATAACAACTCATGTCTCGGCCATGGTTTGTCACTTTCTTCCCTTTAGTTGGTGACTCATTAACCCCCTTTATCCTTTTCTCAGGATTCTTTTTCCGACCCTTTTCTGCCTCTCTTGGTGGCGCCTCAAGGATTGTTTCTCCACTTTCTTTCCAATACTTCATTCCATTTACTGGACCAATAGAGTCAAGGTAGTGCTCCAGCCACTTTGCACTCAAGTAACAATCATCTATCAAGTCTTCTCTGTTGTATTTGTCCGGGTTATCAAACACAACACGCAAAGCGTGGCGGCAAGGGATCCCTGTCAAATCCCATCTCCTACATTCGCATGTCCTTTTTTTCATATCAACAGCATGTCCTTGACCTTTCTCAATCACCTCATACATTCCAGTCCGTCCATGTATTGACCTCAGCGTTTTCACTATTTTCTCTTCTTCTGCTATCATAAGAGCAACCTTCTTACTGTGTTTTGGCTTATAGTTCTGAATTTTCTTTCTCCTAGCCGCTATCCTCACCATTGCTTGTCTTCTCATCGTTTCCAAACATTGAATCAATGGCATTGCTCTTGCTTTCTCCAGCGTACTGTTGTAAGACTCAGAGAAGTTGTTGAGTGCATCCTCACAAGTCGAAGTTGTCTTAAAGAAAGCACGACTACAGTTTCTTGGATTCCTACTCATGAAAGCCTCGTAGACACCAACATCATATTTCTTCATTTCTGCCAGATTTATCTTAAAATCGCTTTCATTGAAACTATGAACCACGGCCCAGAACTTGGATTTCATCTGAGGCTTCTTCGGATGTGCCCTCTTCATATTACCGTAAATGTGTCTCACACACATTCTGTGTTCAATCTCTGGTAATTCTTCATTGACAGCATTGAGTAATCCCTGAAAATTTAGGAAACCATACATCATATTCATAAACAAGATAATTTCTAATCTTTTGTTAACCATAAAAAAAAAGAGTTGTGAATGTACCTTTTGTCTATCCGAGATTACAGTGAAACTATCACCGTTTCCTAAGCCCAAATCGGTTTTTAGGAGACGAATGAACCACAACCAACTCTCAGTGTTCTCCACTTGAACTACTGCCCATGCGAAAGGGTATATCTGGTTGTTTGCGTCTCTACCAACTGCTGCTAAGAGCTGTCCTTTCATGTCCGACTTGAGGAAACAACCGTCGATTCCGAAAATTAGACGCATGTGGTTTTTCCATGTGTCACGAAGTCCCGAAAAACACATATAAAAGCTATCAAAAAACTTCTTTACCACTTGCGTTTATGACAGTCCGAAGCTCAATTGTCGAGTTTTTGTTTGTCCTGAGAAACAAAACGAAAATTTGATCACAAAATAGTTGAGCTAAAAAAAAAAACAGAAGTAAGCATCAAACAATTACACAGAAATAACAGAAGTTCAGCTTACTTTTTCAGTTCATCTCGGTAGTCTTTCATCCGGGAATATTGTTTATCATATTCTGCTTCAATGAGTTCCAAAGCTTTCTTCTTTGCCTTCCGACATTGATTGTGTGACGGAGCTACATTGTAGAGATCATGAATCTTCTGTTGCATATCGACAGGCTTCAATGAGGGATCGTTTCGCAGCTCGTTAATGAACATGTCACAGATTACTTGTTGTGACAAAATCCGGCATCGACCATCTGGTAGACATGTATGCTGATCTTGGAACGTCTTAATCATCCACATAGAAACTGGTCTCTCATAAGAACAGTAGATTCTCCACTCGCACTTCTTGATACCACACACAGCAGAACACTTAAGCTTACCCCACCTACTAAACTGGATATTCCAACCTGCTTTCAGTGCATACTCAATCACAGCCTCTCTGAATTCTTTCATGCTTTCAAACACTAGAGAAATCTTCAGTTCTCCACTTCCTCTTCTCCATCTATCATATGGACACCTCGGAATTTCTCCACCTTCACTGTCTGATGTAGGAGGTGTCCGTTGATAATAGTCATCATTTTCCTCCTCATTAACAAATGCAGAGACCAAATTTTCAACTATAGTTTCTTCTTCCTCGCACATATGCTGCTCCTCTCTACCATTATCTCCTCTTTCCTCATTCTGCTCAAGATCCTCTCTCCTCATTCAGCTCATCTCCTGCGTCATTCCCATTGTCACCTTCATCAGCTTCCATGTAGATTTCAATCAAAGTTGTCCATTTTGATGCCTCACACATACTTTCAAAATTTTCGGTATCCTCACCACACAATATCCTAAGCTCTTTCAAGTCTTGAAATGGCAATTTGTACCAGATTCTCTGTCCATAGAGATTCACCGGTAACTCTTGAAATAAACTCCTTGCCGGTGTAACGAGGTCTTGTCCGAAACCACCATTGTACACCACATTGCCATCTTCCAAAGTCTGAAACTTTCCACCGTAATTTACGATGAACGAAACATCATCAATGCTAACAATAAACAATTCAAACCGTTAATAAAGAATCGATTACATCGGAATTTTATATTACAAATGATTAAACAATGATAAATCACAATCACAATCGAAATCCAAATATCTTAAAACCCTAACTTTCGCATACCTCATTTTGGAGATATGATTCGCTCTACACGAACCAGATGCAGCACTACCAGATTCGATTCTAACTATGAACCCTAGATTCGTGAAAACTGTTTCCCCAATTCGATTTTTTTCCCCAATTCGATTTATCTCTCTCTCTCTCACTCGCGACGCGACAGAGAATGGAAGAAGAGTTTAAGTTTCTCAGTTCCAAAACGTCGTCGTTTCCTCTAGGGTTGGTTGATTTTTTGTTATTTTCAAAACGACGACATTTTGAACCGACATTAAACCGAAATTGAACCGAAATTAAATTTTAACCGGCGATTACAATTTGATTTTCGTTTTCGTGAAAACGACGTCGTTTTGAACTTCGTTCCAACGGGCAGGTGACGTGTCGTGGTGACTCATCTCCGTTAACGGGAAATCGTCGTTGACCTAAGTCCCATTAGTCAATGTTCGGATTGGCCATGAAAATATTAGTTCGGGTATGGAAAGGACGAGTTTTTGTAGTTCAGGTAGGTATTAGTACACCATAAAAGTTGGGGTAGGGATTGGTGCCTATAATTGTAGTTGGGGTAGGAATTGGCCGATTTCATTTCGGGGGTTCGATTCACAGCTTCGTAAATTTGAGATAAAAATGGGCTTGTGTGGGCCCACTCGGAAAAAAAATCTGATGAATATTGAAAAGTCCCTTTCGTCCTTATCTTCTTCCCAAATTGGACTGTGCAAATGTGTGCAAATGTTCCTCACTCATCTTCTTCTTCTTCGACTCACTGTTCTGGTTAGGGTTTAGTCGTTGTAGTTTCTCGTTCAGCTGAATTCTCGAAGGGAAGGAGGATCGATTCCGGTAATTTTCTCCGACGTCAATCATTTCCTCTCCTCGATCCTGGTCAATGACCTCGCTACTCCTCCTTAGAACCCTCCCGCTCCTCCGCAACGGTTTTCTCAACCACCGTCACCAAGTCTGTGTCGCAGCCGCTGGATTCCTTTCTCACCGTCGGCGTCTGTGGTGCTCACTTGCTGATAAACCACAGCTGCGCGAGGATGACTCTCCGGGAGAGGGATCCGCGGCGGCGATGAACTTCAAACCGCCTGTTGATGAGAGCTGGCGTTATGAAGATCCTGATTACCGGAAATGGAAAAACCTAGAAACAGAGATTCTTCAAGATATTGAACCTATTGTCCTTCTCGCTAAAGACATTCTTCATTCAGATAGGTAATTTCGTTTTTTTTTTCATTTATGTTTGTATCATTTCACGGATAGTTTAGTGGAATTGTAGTCATGATTTCGATTGTTAGGTTTGAATCAGCTGTACAATTTTGTTAAACAACTTGATAAAACGGAATCTTCGAGTAGCAGTTGCTGATGTTTAAGTTTTGAACCACAATTCCAATCGAAATTAGGTTGTGGTTGATCCCTGATTCTTCTTGAAGTAGTTGGAATAAAGCCCTCATGCTCTACTATATCTTTTGCATAGTTGTTTCATCTATTAATGCAAAAATAGCGATACCATTTGGCTTTTGTGAATAGGCCTAATTCTTGCTAGAGAAATGTTTCGAATTGCCTTATTATTGAGAAATCTTGAGTGATAGATGTTTGGAGTTTGATTGGATTATAGTGGTCAATGCAGAAGATTCGTTCTCCTATATGGTGATAGTGATAGATTCTCTTGTATCTTCAGTCTACTGGAATAGTAACCAAATGGCAGCTGCTTTGTAGAGAACTGTGATATATGAAGCTAGCTTCTGTGCATACTCAGCTCTTTCGTGTAGATAATTTTGGCAGTCGGAGTGAACTGGTTTTCTATTTGATAAGCAGGTATTTGGACGGAGAGCGGTTAGAATTTGAGGATGAGAAGATTGTAATTGAAAAGCTTCTTGCTCATCACCCCTACTCCAAAGATAAAATTGGATGCGGTCTAGATTTTATAATGGTACGTAATTCCAGTAGATAAAATTTGCATGTTCCTGCAAATTATTAGGATCAATTCTCGAACCACAATGATAGATAGATGACTCACTTGCATTGCATGCTGCGATATAAATCGTTATATCTGTAATTTTTTCATTCTCTTACAAATAATCAATTCCCTCGTTTTTGTCTGCCCGGCAAGATTGTACATCCAACTTCTCTATCTAAGTATGAAGCTGCATCTGTTTTCTTCAAACTAAGCTTTCACACACCTTGCTTGACCATCTATGTCATTACACATTTTTCTACTTTCTTAATTTTGGTTGTGTATCATTACAAAATTGGTGAACTTTCAAAAGCGTTAGTTCTTTGAAAAGCTAACCAAAAAATGAATCCTGAAGTCTTTCTGCAATATTTTTGATGTAATTCACCATTGCAGTCTCTCTTTTAATGTGTTTACTACTATTAGTTATAATGTGTGTGTGTGGTTGGAATGCTTATAAGTGGGCTAATTGTTAATTAATGGCAGGTTGATAGGCATCCTCAATTCAGGCACTCGAGGTGTCTCTTTGTTGTGAGAACGGATGGTGGATGGATAGATTTCTCCTACCAGAAGTGTCTTCGAGCCTATGTTCGAGATAAGTACCCGTCTCACGCCGAGAGGTTTATTCGTGAACATTTTAAGCGTGCTAGTAGCTAAATCATACATAACTTGCTGCAGTAATACCGTCCCATTTATTAATCATCACAATTCACACAGCAAATTCTTATATAAATTTTGCTGCTTCCTGTTACTCAAATCTCACAGAACGAAATCAGTTATAGAGGTTTTGTTGTACAAAATTTGGAATGGCTCGCTCCACATGGTAGGCTTGAAATCAGTTGGACAAATAGCAGAAGAAGAGTAGTTTAATGGGTTGCTAACAAACAAAAACAGAAAAACAGAGCGCTTATCATTAAATATTTTGAATCTGAAGTTCCCAATATTTTAGCAATATGAAAGAGATATTCCTTGAAAGCCTTTAATGAAGCCCAAACTGCTTCAGAGCAAAATGTACAACCTCAAAAGGGGACACGAACTAGTACCTACGCCTTTGTTGTGTCCAAAAGGTGAGCAAGATACCAAAATACCTTATCCAACCCTGGATCAACCATACATTGACTATATAAAAAAGTCATGTTTGGTTAACCGAAAAAAAGCATTAAGTTGACTAAACAAAATAAAAACAATGAAGTCTAAACAAATGTCAAACAATGTTGATGATCAAGGTATAAACATTGAACACAAATATATATTTTCTAATTTTAAATATTCATTTGCATATGCCAACATCAAAACAAAAACATTTTTTTAAGTTGTAAGCAAACTACAGTATAAACAAACAAAATTATTTAATACTCCTAAAGCTTACTTACGTAGAAACTACGACGTTTAATGACTTACCAAGAAAACTAAGGAAATAGACCTTTGTAGGTCCCACGCTGATTCTTTTGAAGCTTCTTCGAAAGTTCTCAGCGCTTATCAGTTTTCACATTTGTCCATTTGCGGGTCAAATATCTCGCACACGCCAATGACGCTCTTTCACTCCAGAACCACCGTTAATAATTCCGTCATCAATGCCCCAGTCAAACACTTCCACGTCTCATTTCCGTCTCATCTAACGCCGTCTACACTCACCTAAACATCGCGTTATATAAACAAACGTTTTTTTTCTTTCTTCTTCTCATTACTTTTCTGAGTCAGCGGTTCTCTCTTCCTGCTTCGCTTTCAGATTCTTTCACCAGCAACACAAGTTAAAGCGATGATGCTATCTAGATCGGCGTCAACAACTCCGACGACGACCACTGCTGCTACGACGTCGTATTGGTGCTACAGTTGCACTCGTTTCATCAGCGTTTTGGTCGGCCAAGACACAAACGCCGGCGTCTTGTGTCCTTATTGCGACGGTGGTTTCATCGAAGAGATTGAAGACTCCTCCGCCGCAGCCTCACCGGCGACTCCGGTGTCTCAGGAAGTTAGATCGGTCGAAGATAATCATAGATCCGTAATTAGACGCCGGAGAACCGGCCGCCGCACTTCGTTTAATCCCGTAATCGTTTTACACGGAGGAGCCGGCGGTGAGAGAGTTGAGAACGAAGAAGGAGAAGAAATTACCAGGGATCGACGCGCTTATGAGTTTTACTACGACGATGGAGCCGGTTCGGGTCTTAGACCGCTACCGGAATCTGTATCTGAGATCTTGATGGGATCGGGATTTGAGCGGCTGCTCGAGCAATTGAGCCAGATCGAGGCGTCGGCTACAGGAATCGGTAGATCTGGGAATCCTCCGGCGTCGAAATCGGCGATTGAGTCATTGCCGAGGGTCGAGATCTCGGATTGCCACATGAAAGCGGAGGCGAATTGCGCCGTGTGCACGGAGGTTTTCGAGGCCGGAACGGAAGGGCGTGAGATGCCGTGTAAGCACATTTTCCACGGCGATTGCATCGTTCCGTGGCTTTCGATCCGGAATTCGTGCCCTGTTTGTCGATTTGAATTGCCTTCGGATCCGATTCAGCGGAGCAGCGAGGAAGAGCATTCCGTTGGGATGACGATTTGGAGACTTCCCGGAGGTGGATTCGCTGTTGGAAGGTTTAACGCGGCGATGAGAGAAGGGGAGAGAATTTTGCCGGTTGTGTTGACGGAAATGGACGGTGGTGGGCTCGGTGGTAACGAGGGACCGAGACGAATCTCTTGGGTTAGAGCTCAGGGGACTCCGGAGATTAGCAGAAACGGTGCTCGCTCCGGTACCGGAGGTAGATTGAGAAGAGCTGTTCGTGGAATGGTTTCGTTCATGAGGAGGGTGAGACCTAATCGTGGTTCTTCTTCTTCTCCTTCGTCCAATCTTGTTGATTTGGATACCGACGGTGAAACTAGGGTTATGCACCGATCGACGTCGTTGATCAGAAGATTTTTCTAAACAGAAGTAATAGAGTTTCCATCATTAATCAGTTAAGTAAAAAGAGTTCAAATTTTTTCGTTTGTTGATTTAACAATGTAAATATAAATGCAGAAGAATTTTTAAACCTCTATTTTTTTTGTTCTTCTCTTTACAATTCGATTAAGTTTTAGCTTGTTACATCAAATTTTACAGGAACAAAATGTTAATTTCATTATGTTCACTGTTCAGTAAAGATTTGTATTCTTATTTTTTGCCATTTTCTTGGACTAGTTTAGTTTCATTCAAAGAAATTTCAAATCTATTTGGGAGTTTGGTTTCATTCATTTTGGGAAAATCGCATGATCTCTTTACCGTTCGTTTATGATTGAATTTGGGGATATTCATGAGATTACTCCGTCGAATAAGTATCACAACCAAATAATACCAGTATTCTTCCCATTCGTCACTACCTTATTATACGGCATTTAACTTCACAAATAATAACGAGGAATAGACTCATAGACTCGGTCTAAATAATCTTCTTTCTTTTATGGCACATAGTCAATGGTGGTCCCAGAAAAAACTCGATAATTGTCGGAACTGATTAATAACGTCACCATGTTAGCATCAGATATTTTCGAAAACCATCGTAACCAAATGAGGATGCACGTACACAATGCCCAAATTCTGACACACTGGTTTACTCATGGTTTTTCTTCAATTCAATTTTAATGTATACAAAAAATGAGAAATTCTGAAATTGACAACGGTAAATTGTGCTCCACAGATCCTACAGGTTACAACACAATAGTACAATACCCAGATCAACAAGTCCACCATTTCTCTGTAAATTCAACTCGCATTTCAAAGTATAATGTAAAATTTCATTGCCTAACTCGAGACACATAGATTAGACCTGAGGCTCGTTAACAACAATAGCCAAAAAACTGCATAATATAATGTTTTATAAAACAATGACATGGAAGCCTAATAAGCAAACAAATAAAGTGTCTGTATTATAATATTAACTATTATTTATCCCTTGATTATGTTTTGCTCATAATATGCTTATATTATGCTAATTTTGTTATATTATGGATCGATCATGCATCAAACCACCTTAGGCGGTTGCCAAAAATTACATCCCACAATACATACAAGTTAAACCAGGTTGTTTTGCACCAAAATTAAATGACGATACATATAATTCAACAGGATGGAGACATCGTTTCTTAATATGCTGTTGTATTAAATTTTGTTTACTTCATCATTCTTATGGATTATATTTTCCCCTTCAAAATTCCTATACCAGCTTAGCTATCTCTTTCCTTGCTAATATGTTTCCTTCGTTCCTCTTTCAGCTCCAACGAGAAACCCACTCTCGGTTAATCAAAAGCTTGAGACATTCTTAATCTTGAATCAAGCCATAACGAAACCCAAACACAAGCATACTTTTAAAGTGTACATTAAGAAACTCGAAATTGTCTGCAAAAATGTGTAGAACCCTTTTACTCTTACGAAAATTCATCACTATTTGTAAAGCAAGTCAGGTAAAAAGAAACTGGAAATTGTGTCATTGATTCATGCATATGTTTAGTCAACTAATTTCTACAAGGTTTCCAATGGCTTGAAATTTAGCACTTTACTCAGGTAAACGAGGTTGAGCAATGATCAACGTGTGGATATTCTTCCATTGGCTAAAACTTAAATGGAGTGCTTTATCATTTAGATTACGCCAGAGCGTCAATGACAATTTTTTGATGTTTGGCATCCTGTAAACATAGAAAGAAAATGAATTTAAAACCAATTCTAAGGATTGGATGATACCCCACGTACAAAAATCAGTTGTAAGGATGTAATTTACCTTGGAGCAATAATCTCGAGATCTTCCTCTTGTATATAGTAATATAAGTCAAAAACTAAATCTGTGACTGTGTTGCTAAATTTAGTTATCTCAGTTAATATGTTTCTGAGTTCATAATTTCGTTCTTGCTCATCATCATTAGGCGGAAATATTGCCTTGATGGGATTATTATCTAAAATTATCGACTTGAGATTACTTCAATCTATACTCTTCCAAAGATTTGGATTGTGAGAAAACATATTAGCCAAATATCTTGGCTAATATGTTTCTCTCCATATTCTCCAATCTTGAGACATTTCCTACGCTGTTTTGTTTTTCCATCTCAATGAAACTAAAAGGGTTTTATGCAAAACAACCCTTAAACTAAATTCATTTTGCAAATCAAACCCTCAATTTAAAGTTGTGCAAATCAAACCTCTGAAGTCAAAATAACCCCGCAATATAAGACATCTCTATATTTGTGACAAATTTAAAATGATTTTATGCAAAACAACCCGCAAACTATTTTTTATGTGCAAATCTAACCCTCAACTTAAAAATATGCAAGTCAAACCTGCAAAATCGAAAGTCACTGCTAAAATGGACTTATATGTATTTGTCCTTAACTACAAACGTTGACTCAAAACGTCATGACATTTAATAATATTTTAACCATTTTTATTAAAAGTAAATTAAAAAAAAAACAAAAACAAAAAACTTTAATCTTTAATTTCCTTTCTCTTTCTCCTCTTATTAATAAATTTATCTCGAGTAATCTTATCGCGAATAAGTTGATTCTTTTCTTCATGATCTCATTAACTAATGACGACGAAGAGACAAAGATAAGAACTAATTTACTTGCAATAGAATTATTCGAGAGAGCTCATAAAGACATAGGACTTCAGATCTTCCAAGTAACTATATTGTGAGTAAGTTGGTTCGGTTTTGATTTTCTGGATTGGCTACGGTTTAGTTTTTTTGGATTTGGTTAAAAATCCTAACCCTCTCCTTATTGATGGAGAAAAAGAGAAGAAATATTGAATTATTGTTTTAAGTATTTTTAATAAAAATTGTTAAAATATTATAAAGTCAACGTTTGTAGTTATGGACAAATACATATAAGTTCATTTTAGCAGTGACTTTCGACTTTGCAGGTTTGACTTGCATATTTTTTAAGTTGAAGGTTAGATTTGCACACAAAAAATAGTTCGCGAGTTGTTTTGCATAAAATCATTTTAAATTTTGTCACAAATATAGAGATGTCTTATATTGCGGGGTTATTTTGACTTCAGAGGTTTGATTTGCACAACTTTAAATTGAGGGTTTGATTTGCAAAATGAATTTAGTTTGAGGGTTGTTTTGCACAAAACCCAAACTAAAACAAGCAAAAGTAACGGAGCTTTCTAAAGATTTAACAATTTCAATAGATTCAATAAAACAGTAGAACAATAGAAAGAGATGAACAAAAGCATTGAAGGAATGATTGATTTTATAGAGAAGTTATAGAATATGAGGATTTTTTTTAATTTTGACGTTGTAACCCTTTTTGTAGTCCAGATGCCATTAATACATTAGATATACTGTGGTTTATGCTCTAGATATGCTTATGAGACTAATTATTTCAAAAAACAAAAACAAAAAAAATCACTAGTGTCAGAGCATCTCCAACCCTATGCTAAATATGACATATATGCTATTTTGCCATAATTTTTGCTCCAACCCAATTGCATATGCTATTGCAAAATAGCATCATGCTATTTTTGCTTCTATATTTGGCATGAGATTATGCAATATGTTATTTTGCCATTGAACTTTTTTATTTATAAAATAGTCCTTCAATTTGTAATTACTCTTAATTTAACAGTTTTATTATATTGATTATGATTTATTTAAATAAATAAACAATACTCATAACTTTTTCAAAATATAAATAATATTTATTTCATAGAAATATAAAAACATAACCATAATAAACTTAAAATTTTATTTTTAAAAATACTGAAATTCAAAAAACATAAAATAATAGGTTAAAATCTTTGTTTTCTATAATTTTTATGTAATATGATGTATTTTGTTTTAATATTATAATAATAATAAAAATAAAAAAAATATAATTCTGGTTGTTTTTGTAAAAAAAAAAAAATAATTCACTTTGTAAAATTTAAAGAAATCAAGTAGTTTTAATAATTAATAACAAATTGGAAAAAAATTATAGCATGATACTCCCTTTGTCCCATATTATAAGCTGTTTTGGCATAATGTATCTGTAATTTTTTGAATGTATCACATCCAAATACATCCAAAAAACTGCAGATACATTATGTCAAAACAGCTTATAATATGGGACAAATGGAGTATATGGCATGAGGGGTTGGAGAGAAACCAAATGCTATTACTATATTTTTGCCTTTTGCAATAACATATGGCATGATGGGTTGGAGATGGTCTCAGCTGTCAACCCTTTCTCCAATGACATTTTTTTCCAATAGAAGTAAGTTTCTTTCCAAATTATATAATACTCCCTCCTTATTAATAAATTTTCTGAGATTTTCACATGAAAAAGTTAAAATTTTATCATAAGTGTATAATTTTTTTAAATGAAACAACTTTCTAGAATTTTAAACCAATATAAATTTAAAAAACATAACTATTGACATTAAAATCTGAATCTTTTTGTTTTAATCAATAAAAGTGTGTTAAAAACCTATAAATTTTATCTTTTAAGGAACACCTGAAAAATGTTAGAAAATTCTTTAATAAGGAACTGAGGGAGTATTAGATTAGGATCTGCCTTATATCAGTCCACATAATTAAATATATATGTAGTTAGATTCTAGGTTGAGATATGTGTTTAATTATCCATATTTCATGTTGAATCAACTGTAATTGATGGAGATGTCTTTTACGTCTGTACCTTCTCGTTTCATCTTTGTCTTGAAGCCATCAAAACCTCAAACCCAAACCGGTTAATTAAGCTGACTCTCTGTTAGCAGTTAGTATGTGTTATTACATCATCCTCTTACAATGTCTGTATTATCACCAATTCACCATACACACCAATTTGCTACCGGTTTGATAGCAAAGTTTAAGGAGCTTTTTTGTTTGGATGTTGAATACTTGTGTTCTCTTCAGACCTAGACTGTTGTCTTTGAAGAAGTTTTGGATTCTTGGTTGAGAAATGATTTACTTGCAAGAAAGTAGAGACTCATTCAATATAAAAGAGAAACAAAATCCAACAGTTTCTACAAGAAAATTCAAATCTAACAAAATAATGAAAATTGATTACAAAATATAGTTTTATTGCTTCTTAGCAGGTTTCCAGCAGGAAAGAGCATAAAGAACTCTTCCTTTCCATCCCTGAAACATCCAATGGTTATCATTGTCGATCACAAAATCCTTATGGTAACGTTGCCTCACTATCTCCTTCCCTTCCTTCATGATCTGTTTGTTTAGCCTCGCTGGCCTAAACCCTGCTCTCAAAATCCTAACCTGCCACTGCTTATACGTCTCAGGCCTTGCAAACCGCTCAAGACCTTCACAGGCGATCACACTCATCGCATCCCTTATGATCAGCTCCCTCTCCGCAAGCGTCCTGCAATCATTCTCTTCCGTTGTTGTGGCCTCAAACATGTCAAACAAGGAGGAGCAATGAAACAAAGCTTCTCTAAACCTCGTTAAGAAGTAAGGTGAATTGTACATCCCGTTGATCTCAGCAAACACAAAGAGGTCAGGGTTGATGTCTCTGAACAGTTTCAGCGCCGTCTCTCTCGGAGAGTTGAGAGACTCGGTTTCATCAGGCGTGTACTGTAGCCTGAGGATGCAGTTGACTACTGTCGTCTCTCCACTGTTGATGACAAGGTCGTCAAGAGTTATGTTCTCCCATTTCTTGGCTATGAAGCTATACTCAAAGGGGACGTTGAACTTGTCACAGAACCGCTTCAGCCTCCTTCCCGTCTCTTCAACACGCTCTGATGGTCGGAAACCGGGCTGAGGAAGCTCGATTCCGGTCACACGGAGCATCGGTGGTCCACCGTCACGAGTTGACAGAGCTTGTATGAGACAAGGCCATTGAAATCCATAGAGAACACCAAAGTCAATGATGTGGAGCGTTGTTGCTTTGGAAGCAAGCTCAAAGATAGTTTTGTTCGCAGCGTAGTAACACATTATCAAAGTAGGGCAAGATTGAACAAACCCTTTGTACGCTTTCAAAATGTCAGCCATTGATGTTCTGCTTGAAGTGGCGGAGATTGGTGTGGTCATGATTCCGGTGATACGTGCTTCAAGCGCCTCAGCGAAATGGTAACCGAGTCTCTGCGTTGCGTCACCGTGGCTTGAAGAGTGTTCTCTTATCTCCTTCAGCTTCTCTGCGGCTCTGCTCTGGTCGAAGCTCGCTACTGCTTGCGCGCATTGCATCAGGAGATTCCTCATGTCCACTGGCTGTTCTGTTATGATCTGTTGCTTGGTTCGGTTCGATGAGCTCTTTGCTCGTCCGGTTTTGTTCGGTATTGCTTCTTGTTGGTTGTTCGTTTGACAGACTAACAACACTTCCTCGAACTTCTCCGCAAGCTCATCAACCGTAGAGATTGCAGGGAGCTTCGATCTCCGCCCGCTTTCAAGATCGTCTTCTTCATCATCGTACCGATTTCGATACCTTCTTGTTGAGACCTCGTTGGAATTCGCAATCTCAGTGAAATCTGAGGATGGTTGGTGTACGCTCGTTATGGAGCTGAAGTTTCCGTCGTCTTCTTGCTCGCCGGAGATTGGAGTTTGATCGTGAAGGACATCGAAGAAAGATCTCTCGGCGGTTTGTAGAGCCAAACTGTCTTCCAGCATAGAAGACTGTTCTTCGAGATCTTCTTCCATCAACATGTCATTGATGTACTTGAAAACAGGATGGTCATCTGAACATACCGTAGAATCTGCCGGAGAAGAAGTGTTCTGAGATTCAGATTCGTTGAGACAGGTGAAACGATTGGTGGCGGCGGAGTCGAGATTGTTTCTTGGTTTGCAACGAGATCCAGAAGCACCGGTCTCGAATCTGAACCCATCAACGGGTACTTGCAGAAGAGCATCCATGAGTGGATCAAAAATCTCGTGAGGAAGGTTGAAGAATAGGAGGAGAGAGAGAGAGAGAGAGTCAGAGAGGTTTAGTCAACGAACAGAAGAAATGAGAGGAAGTTTCATGTGAACACAGGTGAGAAATGGTAATAATTTATAAGGAAGAATATTTATTTATTTTTCTTGGCAAAGAAGAAAAGTGAAGTTTCGAGGAAACAGAGAATTGTGGGGTTGAGATTGGATAAACACTGAGCCGCCACAAAAGGAGAGTTTAGTAATGGTATGTCCAAAATACTTTATCTACTGTCTGGGTCCAGGTGACTAAAAAGCTGTCTAGATTTTTTTCTTGTTTTTGTCTAATCTTTGGTCACTTGGCTGGTCAAAGTTTTAACTTGACTAATGCTTAAAAAACCAGATAAGACTTGAAGATATACTTCTATATGTGAAGTTAATTAAATTTTGTTTGGTCTTGTTAATTTTTTTTTTAATTGTTATGTTTTTATCATTTTTTGCATTGTTTTTCGTGTAGTTCAAACCTTAACAACTAAAAAAAAAAAATGAATAAGAGATTATATTATAGAGGCCAAGTTGAACGGAGTGGTTAAGATACGATGATTTAAATTTCAATTTTTTTTTATTATTTTTTTTAAATTTCAATTTTCTAGAGGAACTATTTAATTAATTTGAAATATAAGTGAGTAAAATAGAGTTATAGGCTTATAGCTTGCTTTTGTCATGACTCTTGTAATCTTGTCGATAAAAAAAGGACAATTTTTAGACCGATGAGATCCGAACCAACAGCCATAATAACCTCGAAAATAGTAATCTCTACTTCAATCAAGAATGTAGAGATTACTATCTGATCACTTGATTGAAGTAGCTTCCTTTAGAGAAGATTTTGTTCTTGTCAAGGGCGGATGTAGTAAAGGAGTAAGGTGGTCAAATGACCCCCACTAATTCTTAAATTTTATTGACTTTAGGCATATAAATGTAATATAGATTGATTCTTTGGTTAGTTTTTAATGGTTTTGACCTCTACTAATTATGAGTTTCTAAATTTTGATCCTATTATATACTTTTTCTAGCTCCGCCCCTGATTCTTGTCATAATGTTTTCATTTTATAACAAACATAGGGTTTCCCTACTTGGAATCTTCCTTAAATGAAATGGTATATGAAAGAATATCGAAAGTGAAATCTTCTGACCAAGGATTTCGGATGAAAGAGAGACCAAACGTGGACCGGTGGATGCCAAGCCAAACCAAGCTTACTCTCTCTTTTTTTCCTTTTTCTATGTCAACTCACCTGTTTGTTTCTTGTCATTCAAGTATTTAACTATCTAATTTAATGTTTTTCTATGAATTGTTGAACAGTCAAAGTTAAAGAGTGCGACCAGATTAGAGTTCCTATAGTATTTATTGCTATACATTTGTTTGTTTTTTTGTTTAATGTTCAATGTTCTACCTAATACAATATTTTACTACGGACCTTCAAATAGTTAGCAGGACTGGAAGAAGAACTTGTAAACAATACAATATACCGTTGATTTTGTACCATTGTTGTATCCTTTCACTAACGTTTGTCTTGCTCCTCTTATGTATTTCTTATGATATAAGTTAATTTATTATAAGAGACATAAAAAATTAGTATATACCATTGGTTTGATTGTTTTTCTTTTGTCAAAGGACATATATACCATTTCTTATACGAAACATTGTGTACCTCTAGGTATTTAGGTCACAAATCCTACATATGTATGTTAAGCCCGAGTTTAACTCTTTTGATAACGCTTTCGGTATAACTTAATTTCATGATTGGTAAATATTAAAACGGTACCTTTATATTATACTTCTGATCTTAATTAACTGCTTACATATCTTTTGAAGTATATACGTGTGCTTTATCGCTTATCTCTTCATAATATGGTTGGTTCGATCTTGTTCTACTGTCTTACGCTTTATTTGTTGGTCTAGAAGTTTTGTATTCATGATTTGGTATGGTGACGTAAAGTTGAAGTAACGTTTGGTCTCTCTAACACAGTTGACCACATTTATGCATACTTTAAATTGCTCGTCTGTAATTAAACTTTGGACATTCCTGATATAATATTTGGTTACTATTATAAAACTCTTGATATCATTGGGATTGAGATTTTAAATCTGTATCATATAGAGAATAAAAATGTCATAAAACATTTACAACAAACATTTTACTTATCTCTTACATTGTTAGATAAACCCACCTTATTCCAATCATCAAACTTTACACTTGAAAAGAAAGAGATGAAAAAGAAAAAGAAACAAGAACTGAGACCAGATCTTCAACTATGTCAGAATCTTACAATATTGATCATCATCATCATTGAAATACACAAAGGTTCTTCAGAATAAGGACCTGTTTAGATTAGAGCCTCTGCCTGAGACTGTGGTGGTTCGCTTTGCAGTTGATAAACTTGATGTTGTGACCAGTAAGCGTGCGTCTTGAGAACACGGTCCAGAAGATCCTGTGGCACTGGCTCTCCTCTCCGCTGCTGTGGAGATATCCTCGCCGTGTGGACCAGCGTCTTCCATTTATCCTACACATACAAAGACACTCAACATCAACAACAATGATAGTCATAGTCCAAAACTGTAACAGTTACATTCTACTAACCTTGAGATCAACATAGGTACGGTGGTCTGCGTCCTCAAAAGCAAGAACCTTGACGTCTCTCCACCTGCAGTTTTTTGTCACATATACATCACTCAAAGCAACAGGAGGAGAAAGAATGCTATTTATTATGTGTTCTCTTACCTTCCGGTTCCGAGTTTCTCAACGGCTTGGACGAGTGCTTCTACTTCAGTAACTGAGAAAGGTCGACGAATTCTGCGATGCTGAGCTTGCTGCTGCTGCTCAGTCCTTTTGAATTTACGGTTAGGAGTCTGAGGAGCCAACGCTACAGCTGATTCAATGGGAACCAAAGCTCTAGAATCACCTTCTGGTGATGGTTCTGAGTCTTCCACCAAAAGGTTGCGGCTTAACGGCAAATCATCACATGTTTGCTCTGACAAGTAACTGGCAGAGAGAAAACAAAGACCTTAAAGCCGCAAAAGATTGAAACTTTTGTTCTCTCTGTGCCATCTCAGATTGTGAAGAGAAGAGTGAACCTGGATAGCAATGGTTGAGGGGTAGGCTCAAGGCTGAAACCTAGAGAGTCCAAGTGAGTGTTCTCCACAGAGATACCAGTCTGAAGAAGGGTTTTGGTATCGTCTCGAACTTTCTTCCCTTGAACCATCAGCCCGACTCGGAGTCCATCACCTAGTATGGTGGTAACTGCTTCCATCACCATCCGCTGACAATCCCAGACATAAAGAAAAGGTAAGTTCTTGATCAGGATTTTTCAACACAACTAGGTTTGGGGGTATTGCACCTTCAAGGAGCCAACAGTAGCAGTTTCTGGAATCTCTATGAAGAGCTCAGGCACCCTGAAAGACTTGATCCGCAGCCTCACTACAGAGAAAATAAACAGAATCATTTCAAAATATTACAACAGCCAACAAAGGATTCAGATTGAGACTCCACTAATTTACCATGATGGTCTCTTGACACAAAGGACGCATTTCGACTTTTCATGGAAGATACTGTTCTGCTTCCTGCAGATCAAATTTGTGAAAATCGCGTTACAGCAGCAAAGAGACTTTACAACATCCTAGCAAGAGAATGAGGAAGATGACAATCTTTTAAAAACCTTTATGAGCTTTTGCTTGCAAATGGTAATCATCAGAATTCGAATCGGAAACGTTTTCAAAGTATTTCCTTTTCTTGATGGGATAGTTCCTCTGATGATGCCGCAAGTAATTATTCCTATTACCGCAATACCATGGCTTTGCATCTGCAAGCACTAAAACAAAATCACAATCATCAAAGACACTAAAACAATTAAACAAAAAAACCACTAGCTGAGCAATTTACCTGCATTGTTCCTAGAACCTCCTCTCCAATGCCTAGACGCCAATATCTTCCTGATTCTTCTGTCACCAATACGTGGCACAGACCTACTCACACGAGGTCGAACGTATCCAGAGAAATTTTCATCATTATCATCATCATCTCTACTATACAAATTTACATCATCCCGAGAACCATGAGGATCACCATTCCCACATGCTCCCATCTCGGTACTACTGTTACTACCTATACTAACAACAACATCAGACTTTACGTCACCACCACCCAAGTTACTTAATCCCTCCACCTCATCAGGATTGTCTTGAGAGAAAGGTAGAGACTTTACAAGGGTTTCTTCAGCCGGAATTTCATTCTTTACAGTATTTTGTACAGCTACACAGTTATCTTCACCCGAAGTTTGGCCCTCCAGCAGCAAGCTTCCAGCTACGGTGGCCAATAACTCAAAGGCGCACATTTTATCATCATCTTCTGATGTTTTCTTCTTGTAAATGCGCCTCTTCTGGCCAAAAAACGAACCAAGTGATCATGTAAACGGATCATCCACGTAACAATTCTGTACAAGAAACTAAAACCAGAAACCGAGAATAGAAAAGGCAATTTGTTTTACCCGGACTGATCTCGGAGCTCGTGCCTTTGCAGGCAGTTTGTAGCCATCGTCTCCGAATTCCAAGACTCTATGCGACACCATTTCCTGGATGCATAACACGATGACGTGTGATTTGCCTCGAGCGATGAGCAATTGTGAAGAAAATCGATCGAAGCCGTGACCTGTAAGATTTGGAAACAAGAACCACTAAGGACTCAAATTCACGTATCACCAACAACAGATCGGTCTTGGGATTGCAGCAGAAGCAAAACAGAGATAATTTGAGGGGAGAAAACTAAAATCCTAAAACCATCCTTAAACCCTAATTGAACCAGAGATCGGAGTCGACAACGCAAAGCTTAATTCAATACAGTAAATTCTACGCACAGAGAAACCTGAAGAAAAAGAGCTTCGATCTCGGAATCAAAGAATATTTCAGGATAAAAAGATCACCGATTTGCAAAAAGGAGACACTTCAAATTCTCAGATCGGTGAAGGGGAATTTCGGATGTGTTGACAAAACGACAAACGATAAGTTCAAAAAGATAACGCAAATCCTTTTAAGATTAAAAAAAAAAAAACTTGAAATTCGGAATTCTAAGGTCGAAATTCACACGAAAACGAAATGTTTCCCTTCGTTATCATCAAAGTTTGTCGGCGATCAAAACAAAAACAAAAACTTTTCGACAAAATCGAGAAGACAGAACCAGATTAAATTTTGAAAATTTTCTCACCTTTCTATGAAATCTTCAGTTTCCAGACGATAAACAGTGAATTATCCAGAAACTAGGAGATCGGAGACAAAGCAATCACAAAACGCAGACGAAGGAATCAGAATTCTTCACGCACTCAGCTAAAATCTTTACCTCTCTAACCCATGATGTTTTTCCCCAACAAAGTGACGGAAATGTTTTTACTTTTTACTTGTTTCAAACGCTACCTCATATGATTTTCTCTCACCACCACAAAAGATAATCGAAATCAATTTGAGAAAAAGAAAAAACAAAAACCCTTTGAAGAATCACCACGTCTTTCAATTTGCTTAAACCTCTATTGAAAGAGATACCGGACCTACCGGTATTACCAGTCCCGTTCTTACCGGCTATAGCCAGTAATAACATTACCTAAAGACTCGGTGTGGCCCCACGACACACTCGTAAGTTGACACTCGTTTAGATCTCACCACGTGGCAACAATGTTGGGATCACATGGCTCCGGTCCGTAGCTTATGTGGAAAATCACTTCTAGTCACTTGATATAAAATCAAATATATTATGTATTTTTTTATAATATTATTTCAGTTTTTTTATCTGCCTACAACTTGGAATATTCGTTTATGCTTTTATATTTCGTTCTTCTTTTATGTGGAAGAAAATAATCAAATTCTCACAAACCATTGGAGAAATTTATAGGGTAAATTTAACCAATATACATGGATAACATCAAAATTAAGAATGTGGTGTGTAATAACCATAAATTAGATTGATACAGAGAGAGAAATTATTTTTAATCAAAAATGCCTTTTACTTTTAAAATAAATTATGAAAAATGCCATTGATAATTATTCATCGACACTGTTCATCAATCACACAAAGTATAATGTTCATTAGGAAACTAGTTACACTATTCATCACCAGATTTTATGCGATTTTAGTGATAACTATTTAGTTAGCATGCTAACTAAAATAATATTATGATAACTTTTCAATTACTTACTAACTGATATATTATCATTAATATCTATCCAATTACTATGCTAACTCTATTCAATTATCATGTTTACTAAATTAACATACAGAGTTAAGCCAATTATCATATTATAAAAATATGAAATTATTTTTCACCTGATTTTATTCCATTTTAGTGGTAACTATTTAGTTACCATGCTAATTAAAATATACTATGAAAACTTTCCAATTACAACTGATATATTATCATTAATATATGTTCAGTTACTATGCTAACTATTCAATTACTATGGTAACATTATTCAATTATCATGTTAACTAAATTAACATATAAAATTAAGCCAATTATCATATAATAAAAGTCTGAAATTATCATGTTAATTAATACAATTAACATGTTGTTTAGATCTTAAAAAGACACAAAATCAATTAGTGCTATACATTTTTTTTTCTTCAATAAAATAAAGGGTGTATATAGTAATTTTCTTGGGCATAATACTGTACAAAATGGTGTCAGAAAACCTAATCTAATTTTCCTATTATCCATGGATATATCTTACAATTTCCCAAGTTTATATTAAACAATCACAAACTATCATAAACTAAAAAGAAGAAGAAAACAAAGAGAGAGATGAAACCACAATTATAAAGAGAAAGAAATATTCAAATTAAGTGTTCCGCTGAGATAAAGACTTGACAAACACACTTGTCTATCACTTGTATGATTGCACCCAAACTCTTCAAATACTTCAAGCGTAACGTCTTTGTTATAAATTCCTTGCGTAACCATACTCTTGTTCATTTCTTTCTCACGGATCGCCTTCTCTCCTCCACGTTTAGGTATCACATCTTTTCACGCAAGTCTCCAGGTACTTGACGAGCTCGTCTAATGCGTTGCATGAGGAGCCTCCACTTCCTACGGAGGCTTTGACCTTCTCTTTTAGAACAAGTGCTCTCTCCCTCATGCATGCACCTTCTTCATCCACAAGTAACCTCTTCACAGCTCTCTCCACATCTCCTCTTTCCACTTCACCTTCAATCTGAATCCCTATCTTCCAAACACTTTCTATATAGATTGTGTTTAACTTCTGCTCTCCGGTAAAAGGCCTGCAAATCATTGGCACTCCTTCAGCAACGCTCTCAAGTATTGAGTTCCATCCACAATGGCTCCAGAAACCTCCCACTGCGGGATGTGCAAGTACTTCAACCTGTGGTGCCCATTTCACTATGTACCCCTTTTCTGAGACAATCTTACTGACTTCCTCTAGCAGTGACTCCGAGCCAGGGATAGACCCTGGTCTGATGACCCATAAGAAAGGTTGGTTGCTATCATACAACCCCCAAGCCATATCCAAAACTTCCTTGGTTTGCATGTGAGCTATGCTTCCAATGCTTACGTATATGACTGACCTCGGTTTCTGCTTATTCAGCCATTCGATGCAGCTCCTGTCTTGTTCCAGTAAACTAGAAGGCGCTGAAGCTGTAATGTGAAGAGGGCCTAATGGGTACATTGGAATTCCGAGTTCTTGTTGCAGCCATAATAGAGACGAGCTCTCTAGACAGCTGGCCGTGTTGATGATCAAAGCGGAAGATGTTCTTTTGCTAAATATTTCTTTAAATATCTCCAAGAAAGACTCCAGTGGACCAATTCCTAAATTCTCTAGGTATTTGTATCTTAGTGGATGTAAATTTTCCACCACCTTTTCTCGCACTTGTGAATCTTGCAAAGCCAAAAAAAAATCACGTGTTGAGTGAAGGGGCAAGTTGCATGCAGAATGGTTAATAAGCTAGTTTTGGGTTACCTTTAATGTCGATCGCAAACTTATCGGCATTGACTTTGCTTAAAAAATAGCCGCAAACTTCATTTGTAGCACTTTGAGAGCTGAAGATGACACTGAGAAGGTTGAAATCCTTAGCTACAGCTTCACAGAAGTACATGAAGTCGTCGTAGATGATACATGAAATGTCATTGCCTTGTTGTAACAACAACTGAGCTACACACTCCTTGAAGTTTGCCTCGTATGTTTTGTTGACGCTTAGAAAAAAATCGAGTGATCCAAGTTTCTCGATTTGAGACACTGGTAAGCTTTCTGTTATGATGACAAATTGAAAGTCAGGGAAACGTTGAGAGGGGCTTACTAGATTGGATTCTCCCAAAGCAACTGTAATTGAGAATCCCTTCGAGTGAAGAGTTTTAGCAAGCTGCAACATTGGAGTTATATGTCCTTGCGCTGGAACTGGAACCAACACGATCCTTCTCTTCTCCGCTATTTTCTCCATTGCTTAATCTCTCTCTCTCTCTTTCTCTGCTCAGGTGGATGAAGGAATACAACAAGTCGATGGTTTTTGGATTCTTTGTTCTGGCTCACAGAGGGAGCGTGGTAATAAAATATGTAAAAATGAGGTTTTAGTACCAACTACAATCTGCTCCTCCTTTGGATGAATAAGCTCCTTTATTCTAAATGAATGGGACCACCCAAAAAAAAAGAGTCTCTTACTAACTTTGTTTGTTCCTACATCAACGTTGGCACAACTTTCACTTGTTAAACCCAGTGTATAGATTGCATGTTTAAATAAAACATTATATGTGTCATGTGTGTATGGTTGTGAATCTCCTTGCACGCGTAATGATTGAGAATTTCTTCATGGCATTTATATCTTAATGGTTAGAACTTATTAAATTTGCTTTCTCATATATATGTGAGATATGGTCGGATTAACATCTAGCGTTTGTAATAGTTTATTCATTTTATGGGATGTTAATTAGTCACATACTGTACAGTTGGAGGTTTCCTTCCACCCAAATGTGAAATATGTTGGAGGTTTGAGTTCTAACATCGGCCACCGAAAGAAAACTAATTTAACATATTCTGAGTTTTTTTGTTGAGAAGACCACTATCTATCTATAGTTCTATACCCAAATAATCCTTCGCTTTAATTAATAAGCTGAATTAAGCGTTGAGGGATTTTCGTAACATATTCCCACTTAAGAAATGCCGAGTATAAAGTAGTTGTGACTGATGCTCAAGAGATTAACTGCGTCTGCATCACTGATGCTCAAGAGATTAACTGCGTCTGCATCAGTTAGAATCAGTGTCTTAAAGTTTGCAATTGGAAATAGATTTTCCATAAATGACATTTAATAAACAGAGTTTCCTAAAATTGTAGGAGAAGCAATTCTAGATCGACGGTTCTCTTTCTGATTTGGACAGATTTATGGCTATAAAACAAAACGGCAATAAGTACATAAACTGACTCCGACATAAATACATAAACTGCGTCTGCATCAGCGTCTTAATTAAAGTTTGCAATTGGAAATAGATTTTCCTAAAACCCAAAAAAAATCAACATAGCCTAGGGTTTTTGGATTAATTGTAGAAGAAGCAATTCTAGATCTACGCTTCTCTTTCTGATCTGGACAGATTCATGGCTATAAAACAAAATGGCAATAAGTATATAAAACAAAACGGAATGCCTCTTTCCAATAGTATCTAGCTATATGTTTGTATGATTCCTTCTAGAAGGGTTTGCACTCCATAACTCAGCCACTTCTCTAACTCGTGGCTCGTCTTTATAAAAAGGTTGAATGAACTACATAGGTTATCGCGGAAATACAAGAATGTCCTTAATGATTATCTTGAGTTTTCACACATTTTGGCTTCATTTTTTTAGCTATAATGTACAGACCAAAATAAATAAATAATGTCTAATAAAACCTTATGATCCTTTTTCAAAACGGCCGGGTTTCATTTCTGTCTTTCTCTTGTAGGATTTTCATAACCCGAACTAGACAAATGTCTTTCTTCTTCTAAGGCTTAATTCTTTTGGTTCAACCCTTCATTTATATCGTTTGTTACAACTACTTTTCTAGACCAGCTTAGAATGAAGTAAGTAAGCCACATACTAAAAGTATTTGATTCAATGGTTAAGGAACCAAGATATTGCTTACTTTAAAGATCAAAGTTTCCTTCTTCTGCGAGCTTTGTTTAAGGTTTCTTTGGAAACACATTTTAGGACTACGTTTTGAAGTGTTTTTCCTAAGAAATCAGGCTCTAAAAAACTAAGATACTGGGACACAGACACTTCATATTTTTCATTGTTTATCGGATACTGAAACTAGTTGATATTTGACTGGTCAAGTACAAAAAGATAACGCAATCCTTATAAGATCCAGTACATAAATATGCCTAGAGTTACATATGGTGAACCGACCTGGATCTGACGGATGTGACATGCAGATAAGTCCACGGACGGAGGAAGAACATTAATTATTCATTTGTATTATTTTCTTTTTTACGTAGCTTTAATATAGTTTCCATTTATTTTTCCTTTTCACTTATAGTCTTCTGATTGGTCAACTTATATTTGATTGGTCACTTATAGTCTTCAATATATAAAAGACTTAGAAACAACATGCATGGAATCAACGTATTCTTAAAAGGGAAATTGAAACGTGGAAGTATGGTTCCTTAAAACAAGGTGGACCCCATTCTCCCTTATTTGCAATTTTGCACAACTTAAAACTGAAACAAAATAAATAAAACAGAGATTAAGTTCATGAATCTTGACTTAATCCATGAACGACGTACTCCATGATCGTCTGGTTTGGGTATTTCTTTCTCACAGATCGCCTTCTCTCCTCCAAGTTTAGGAATCGCATATTTTCACGCAAGTCTCCAGGGACTTGACGAGCTCGTCTAATGCGTTGTATGAGGAGCCTCCACTTCCTACGGAGGCTATGACCTTCTCTTTTAGAACAAGTGCTCTCTCCCTCATGCATGCACCTTCATCATCCACAAGCAACCTCTTCACAGCTCTCTCCACATCTCCTCTTTGAACTTCACCTTCAAGCTGAATCCCCACGCTCCAAACATTTTCTATATACAATGTGTTTAACTTTTGCTCTCCGGTAAAAGGCCTACAAATCATTGGCACTCCTTCAGCAACGCTCTCAAGTGTTGAGTTCCATCCACAATGGCTCCAGAAACCTCCCACTGAAGGATGTGCAAGTACTTCAACCTGTGGTGCCCATTTCACTATGTACCCCTTTTCTGAGACAATCTTACTGACATCCTCTAGCAGTGACTCCGAGCCAGGGATGGAGCCCGGCCGGATGACCCATAAGAAAGCTTGGTTGCTATCATACAAGCCCCAAGCCATCTCCAAAACTTCCTTGGTTTCCATGTGAGCTATGCTTCCAATGCTTATGTATATGACTGACCTTGGTTTCTGCTTGTTCAGCCATTCCATGCAGCTCCTGTCTTCTTCCAGTAAACTAGAAGGCGCTGAAGCTGTAATGTGAAGAGGGCCTAATGGGTAAACTGGAATTCCGAGTTCTTGTTGGAGCCATGATAGAGACACGCTCTCTAGACAGCTCGCCGTGTTGATGATCAAAGCGGAAGATGTTCTTTTGCTAAATATTTCTTTAAATATCTCCAAGAAAGACTCCAGTGGGCCAAATCCTAAATTCTCTAGGTGTTTGTATCTTAGTGGATGCAAATTTTCCACCACCTTGTCTCGGAATTCTTGATCTGCAAAGCCAAAAAAGACCTGTGTTGAGTATAAGGAAAGTTGCATAATGGTTAATAAGCTAGTTTTGGGTTACCTTTCATGTCGATCAAAAACTTCTCGGCATTGACTTTATTTAAAATGCAGCCGCCAACATGACTTGTAGCACTATTAGCGGTGCTTCTGACGCTGGGAAGGTTAAACTCCGTAGCTACAGCTTCACAGAAGTACATGTACTCGTCGTAGATGATACATGCAATATCATTGCCTTGTTGTAAAACCAACTGAGCTATACACTCCTTGAAGTTTGCCTCGTTGGCTTTGTTGAGATTCAGAAAAAAATCGAGTGATCCAAGTTTCTCGAATTGAGACACTGGTAAGCTTTCTGGTATGATGACAAATTGGAAATCAGGAAAATGTTGAGAGGGGCTTACTAGATTGGATTCTCCCAAAGCAACTGTAATTGAGAAGCCCTTCGAGTAAAGGGCTTGACCGAGTTGCATCATTGGAGTTATATGTCCTTGTGCTGGAACTGGAACCAACACCATCCTTCTCTTCTCCGCTCTTTTCTCCATTTCTTAACCTATCTCTCTTTCTCTCTTCTCTCTCTCAATATGAAATGTGAAACATCTCTAAATAAGTGATTCGAATTATTATTAAAATGTGATTAGCATTTGTTGTGTTGTGTTGGAGAGTTGTGCTCACGTTAATGAAGGAACACAAAAAGTCAATGGTGTTTGGTTTCTTTGTTCTGGCACACAGAGAGAGTTGATAATATATATATGTCGGAATGTGAAATGCGAAACATCTCTAAAGAAGTGATTCAAATTATTATTAAAATGTGATTAGCATCTGTTGTGTTGTGTTGGAGAGTTGTTGTCACGTTGATGAATGAACAAAAATGTGAGCACAACTCTCACTTTTTAAATACAACATGATCTTCTAGTCTTGTGATGATCTTTGCACTCCATAACTCAGCCACTTCTCTAAACCGTGGCTCCTCTTTATAAAAAAGGTAAGAATAAAATAATGTACTTAATATCTTGAGTTTCACACATTTGGGCTTTATTTGTTTAGCTATGTATGGTCAAACAAATAAGGTTAATAAAGCCTTAAGATTCTTTTTCAAAATGGGTTTTATCTATGTCTTTCTCGTGTAGGATTTTCATAACCCGAAGTAGACGAATGTCTCTCTTCGTCCAAGACTTCTTTTAGTTAAACTCTCCATTTCTTTCGTTTGTTAGTCTAACTCCTTTTTAAGACCAACTTAGAATGAAGTAAGCCAGATACTAAAAGTATTTCATCCAGTGGTTAATGAACCAAGATATAGCTTCCTTTAAAAATCAAAGTTTACTTTCTTCTGCGAGCGTTGTTTAAATTAAAGTTTCTTTGGAAACACATTTTAGGAGTACGTTTTAAAGTGTTTTCCTAAAAACATAGGCTCTAAACAACTGAGATACTGAGACATTTCATCTTTTTTCATTGTTTTATAGGATACTGAAACTACTTGATATTTGATTGTTTCTTTAGACAATTTATTAAGGGGGGGAAAAAAAATACTGTAACGGAATAGTATTAGTCACAAGAAAATCCACCAGATTTTTATGGATCACCATAAGAGACGTGCAATACAAATTGCATACTTATAAATCCCTACTATATGTAAGAATTTCGATCATCGTCTCAAGAACCAAATTAACAGTTACAATAATGTCATCATCACGATTATTTATCCTCTGCATCATCGTGGTTTCCCTCTTTCCTCTACATGAGTGTATGTCTATGAAATGATGCCTATATATATATAGTTTCGGTTTTTTCCATATCATCATTGTCATTGTTATCGTACAATGAAATTTTGCGTAACTATTGTTTGTTTTTAATGGGTTTTGTTGTATATTTTACAGCTGGAAATCCCCCGGGAACGCTTGATCCATCATTTTGCATGTACGTAGACTGCCCACGTGACGTTAGCAAAACACAAAAACAATGTTTCTGTTGTTTTGGAACACCGTAGAACTGTGCTGTTAAGAAAAAAGACTCTGCAGCTTTCTGCAAGCGCCCATTACATCCCCACCCTCCTCCTGGCCATGGCATGACTTGAGAAAATTTAAGAGTGCGCATAATATTTGTCTACGTTTCTTCGTAATATGAATTTCATAAATCCAGACGAAGGAAAATAATTACAATTGTATGTTATCGTAATTATGTTTGGTATCATTGAAATTAGATGTAATGCCCATCATCTCACCTTTTCTCTATGTATTACAAAATTTACAAACACAGTGAAAGCTCAGGCAACTGCTTAATTGAATGAAAAAAAAAAAAGATAATCTAGACAATGGGTAAAATTCTCAAAAGTCCAAATTTAAAAAATTTAAACAATTTTTTTTTTATACCAGACTAATTGTGACTCGTTTACTATTATTTACAGTTGAAGTATTATTATTTTAGATATACAACCATATGTCAAAATTATTTACTTCTCTTCCAAGTAAGTAGTAAACCATATAACTAAGTGCTCTGTTTTCTTTGAGTTAGAAAGAGATTAATGAAAATACTTTTTATTAATTAATCGTCTTTGATTTAGTGTATAAAAAAGCTCAGGCTAAAAGTGTCAGATCACTGAAATCTATAACAATCTTATTATATAATTAAGAAAAGAGATTCCAATCCGAGATTCTGTATTACAAATACACGCGGGAATACAAGTGAAGAACGGTCGCAGTTAGTTTGTTTCGGAGAATCTTGAAGTCCGTTACACTCTGCGAAGAAGACGAAGAAGCTTTTTGCTCGTCCGGTAACTATTCGCCAATCTTCTCCGTCTTTCGATTTATTCTATCTCGTTAAATCGTATCTGACGATTAGGTTACAACGACATGCTTGTTTCTGATTCGTTGATCTCACTTCCTTTCTCGATTTCTCGTACTGATTCTATTCTTTAGTTTGTTGATCAAGATTTTTGTTGATTTCCGATGTTATCGATGAAATTACGTGAATCCTCCGATACGATGATATGTTTACTTTGTTTCTCGAGAAGAAATCGTTATGAGTTGGTTATCATTGAGTTGTCGAATCGAATCAAATTGTTTGGTTTGGATTATTTCCTTTTGATGAGTTTTAGAACGTAATCTTGATTTTGTCATGTTCTCGTGGTCTATCGTTCAATGCAAACGTTGTCTCTAGTCTTTGTGGATGAAAGTTCTTGAGAAATCATGAGATTCTGGTATTTCAAGTATTCAAAAGTATAACTGATTTGTTTTAACTTTTAACGAACCTTTTTCTTTGGATAACAGAGGACTTGAAGAGTAGTTAGGGCAGTTTCAAAACCTCTGGTTTGAGGAAGCGTGTCACCGAAGTTAAGTATGGATAGTCCACGTGGATTATACATCGCTGCTGTGAAAGAAGCATTTAAAGATGAACCTGAAAAATTTGACGAGTTATTGAAGCTCTCTAAAGAACCAACCAATAATAGGTATGATCTCTCTGCTCCCTCATCTGCTTTTCACTTTAAAATCTAATTAATTGATAACAAAACTCATTGTGAAATGATGATTATCTTGTAATCGTAGAAACGATGTAGCTCGTGTCTTTGAGAGAATGCTTCATCTCATCAAAGGGCACCCGAATTTGCGTCAGGGCTTAGCTGTTTTCTTCCCCAAACTGTCTGTTGCAACCACTTTTGTGGAAAACGTGAAGTTATATATATAATTCCTAAAACGATAAAAACTAATCATAAAGGAAACACTATTTTTTGGATATTCCTGCCTTTGCTTACGTTTTGTGACTTATTTAACGAATTCGTCGATATTTGCAGAAAAGATTCGAGAAGGTTGATACTCATGTCTATGGCTCACTTATGTCGGTACTGAAAATGTATGATAATGGAAAGATTTCGCAAGAGAAGGCACGCAAGATTGTATGTTCATTTGGTGGACTATTTTGTGTGGCACTTGCATTTCTGTTTTTATTTTGTTTATTGGTTTAATTTGGTAATTTTTATATCTTGCAGATCCTTAACCTTGTCTATTATCATGAAGATTTGACCGAGGAGTTTTTAAGCTTTTTCGCTAAACCTTGATCCTTACGCATGCATCAACGTCTCTACGAGCATAACTGTGTTGTGGCAATTCTGTCCTATATAGAGACTAGAGTTTGTGAAACAAAAATGTAATTTTAGAACACCATTCTCGTACGGTTTATAAGGTGAAGAGAGTGTAAACTGTAAAGTTTCTTTTGTTGAGGTTTGAGGTTAATTTGATTCTTATGACATGCACAAATGCTTTTGTTAAATTTTCTGGTTACCAAGACTATATGAGTTTTTTTTTCTTTTTGGGTTAGAAACATTAACAAAAAATACTACACTTTAGAACTAGCTCTTAATTTTGAAATTAATAGCAGAGTTTTCGAATTATTAAAAGCCGGTTTTGATTAAAACAAAAAACTTACAAAACATTTGCGTCTGCCGGGAGTCGAACCCGGGTCTATTGCTTGGAAGGCAATTATCCTAACCGTTGGACTACAGACGCTTTTGCTTACATTTCACATCTAATTTTTTATGAACCTTGCAGTATTCTGCGTTTATTTTTTATTTTATTTTTTTTGGGGTTTACTGTGGTTTGGTCATTGAATATTACAACAGTAAAAAAATAAATGAGAAAGAAATGCGTTTCCAATCCGATATTCAGTATTATAAATACACGCGCGCGCGAATACAAGTAAAACAGAGTCGCAGCGAGTTTGTTTCTGAGAATCTTGAAGTCGTTACACTGCGAAGAGGAAGAAGAAGCTTCTTGCTTGTTTGGTAACTATTCTGTTTTATTCTTTTTGCTTCTTTCTCGTTCACGTCAGGCGATTAGGTTACGCTAGATTTTTTCGAATCGTACGTTGATCTCACAATTCCTTTCTCGATTTCTTGTTTTGATCAGCCTTCTTGTTGTTTTCTCTCTATCGCGATTGATTTCCAATGTTTCTAAAGATGCCGATTGATGAAATTTTCACGAATCCTCCAATACGACGATACGTTTTCTTTGTTCTCGACAAGAGAATAAGCTTTATGAGTTCTTTATCATATTGAAGTGTCGAATCCAATTGTTTGGTTTGATTTTTTCTTTTTGGTATAAGTTTTCGAATGTAATCTTGATGTTCTTGTGTTCTATTGTTCAAAGCAAATGTGGTTTCTGAGTCTTTGTAGATTTAAATTCTCGAAGTTAAATGTGATTCTGTTTATACCAAAGATTCAAAAGTCGAACGCTAATAATGATTGCTCTGTTTTTTTTGTTTTCTTCTGGGTAACAAAAGAGTTACATTAGGGCAATTTCAAAACCGTTCGTTGGAGGAAGCGTGTCACCGAAGCTAAAGTATGGATAATCCACTTTTGTACATCGCGTCTGTGTACGAAGCATTTGATGACGAACCTGGAAAATTTGAGGAGTTTTTGAAGCTCGCTGGAGATGCTACTACCGCTGCTTGTAATAAGTATGACCTCCTCTCCCTGATTTGCTCTTAATTAATCGACATGCATAACAAAACTCATGAGTGTGATTAATTGATGATTATGATTATCTTTTATCGTAGAAACGACAAAGCTACTGCCATTGTGAGTATGGATCAGCTCATGAAAGGGCACGAGAATTTGCTTCAGGGCTTAGGTGTCTTCTTTCCAAATGCTCATAGAGTGTCTCATGCAACGACTTTCCTCGATAACGTGAAGGTATATACAAAGAATTGGTAAAATGGTAAAACAAATTTTTGGATATTTCTTTCTCTGCTTGCATTTTGTGACTTATAGAAAGGGTTCGTCGATGTGCAGGCAAGATGCGAGAGGTCTGTGTATGACTCAGTTCTCTCGGCACTGGTAAAACATAAAAATAGGAAGACGTCGTTAGAGAAGATGCAACAGGAGGTACGTTCATGGTGTGCTATTTTGTGTTTGCATTCTGTTTTTAATTTTGTTTCTCTTGGTTTGATTTGGTTATTGTATATCTTTTAGGTCCTTCGCCTTCTCCATAACCATCACGATTTGACCGAGGACTTTTCCAGATTTTTTACCTAAACCTTGATCCTTTCCGCATCAACATCTCTATGGCTTCTATGTACGGGTTTGCGAAACAGAAAGTTAATTTGGAATACCATTCTCAAACTTTTTAGGTATCAACGAACGATGTACAGTTTTTAAGGAGTTATGGAGAAGAGAGTGTATAGTTTCTTTTGTAGAGGTTTGAGTTTAGTTTGATTCTTATGACATGCACAGTTTAATATTTCCTGGTTATATGTGATTGAAAAGCGAGGTATTGTTATAAGGGTTTGATTTGTTCTCCAATATATATAATTATATTCACGTTTGTATAGCAATACAAACTTTGGTATAGTATATTTTTTTGGTCAAATATATATGGTATATAGTTTTTTTGTTTGTTTTGGTTTTGGTTTAAAGGTATTGGTTTTTGTCTGTCATTTGTTCGATTTCCTTTGCTTTTTGTGAAGCTATTGGTATATTCCGTACATATGTTTGTGATATGCATGTCTTTTAGTTTTGTGCTTCAGTTATGTTTTAAAAAGACATGAAACTTTATTGAATAATATGCTTTAATAAAAAAACCTCACAAAACGATGAAAGAAATTAAAAAACTAAAGAACCTAAAACAAGAAAAAGAAAAGTATACTTAGCTAATCCAAAACCAAATCAAATAGAAAAACGAATGCTTAGTGATGGGGATGGGGTGGGGTCTGAATCTGTGTAACCACTTGAAGAAGCGGTCCAAAGGTGACGACCTCATCCTCCTAGTCCTCGGAAGAGCTCTGAATAGTGGCCGCACCACCACTCGAAGCTTAAGCCCAGCCTCACATTGACCAGTCTTTGAGCTTATGAAATATTGGATTCCTGGTTTTGTGAGCTTAATGAGATCTTGTCCCGTATTGTGCGTGGCAACAGGAGAAGATGGTCGCAAGATATTAAACTCAAGATCACTGCTGACTTCTAAGACGTCGTTGACTTGGTCGTTGTAGTAGAAAAGAAGATTGTCTCCCACATGAAACTGTTTCTCCTCACTCCACTTGTAATAGAAGTCACTCTCTTCGGAACACTCCATTCGTTGGAATCACCGACCTTGATGTTTTTCCTAGAGGAAGGATCTTTCTCGGTAGTGATGGATGAGACCAGCCACGGACGACAAGAACGTGGAGTCTCTGTCCGGTAACGCATTGAGAATGATTTGAGCTTATGAAGTAGTGAGAGCCTGGTTCCGTGAGAGTCACGATATCGTGTCCTGTGTTGTAGACGGCCTTAGGAGAAGAAGAGTTGCAGAATTCGTATTCCTGAGCATCGGAGACTTGAGTGACGTCGCTGACGTTGCGGTCGTATTTGAAGATCAGAGAATCACCCACGTGGAATTCCTTATGCTCAGCCCAGCATAATAGGTGTCGTCTTTCGTGGTCCATCCATCGGAGTCTCCGACTTTGTAGATTTTGCCGAGCAACCAGATCCCATTAGAACCGTGAAGCTCATCATCACGAGCACAAAGCAGAAGATTCTTGTTGCAGCCATTATCGATCAAGAGAGCAAGAAAGATCACAACAATATATCGAAGAAGAAATATTTAGGGAGAACAAGATGAGTCAGAGAGAGCGTTGATGAGTTTGTGAGTGAGAAAAAAAAAGAGACTACGGCACCTTTCTTTTTATACGGCTTCACGAAACCAAATCCTTGACGTTTTAGGATTTTATTGAGACTGTGATTTGCTTAGACCTTTCTTTCATAGGATAAGATTTCCGATGAAATTTAAAATAAAATCATACACAAGCCTAATAAGAGAAGGATTAGAGTTCTCTAAGCGTGTCTTAATTGTTGGGAAAGGAAGCTACGTTTCTCAAGAAAGGAAACTATATATTATCCATTATCCAAACGCAGATTAAATATTTAATTGATTGAAAAATCTGAACCAACCGAGAAACTGATATGGTTTACCAAAAAAAATTGAAGGGAAAAGAAAGTTTAAAAAAATAGAATTGCGTCTGCCGGGAGTCGAACCCGGGTCTATTGCTTGGAAGGCAATTATCCTAACCGTTGGACTACAGACGCTTTTGTTTACAAACTACATTTATAGATATTTGAATATTACATCATATATTCATATCTTCCTCCCATTTACCTTTCAAGGAGAGAGATCTGAAAAGAAGTAATATGCCTCGTCCAACTCCACGCTTTAAAACGCTGTATAGAACATTCCACAATGCAAAGGCATCTAAGATAACACTAAAAAAGGTAGACTACAACCGAAAGTAAAGAGCTACTAATTAAACCATCACCTCATGAGTAAATAAATTAACCGGCATTGCACCAGTTACAAAATGAAACATAATTCAAACCAAAGATCAGTAAATAATACTAACTAGAAATGATTCTCTAGCGCTTATGTTATTTATTACATCTGATCTGAGTTGCTTTTACCAATCTTCTAAACCGTCATTTCCCATTGTTTTGGGTGACAAAAGTGAACGCTCTGTCCCAATCTTGGCTAACAGATTCTTCAATCTTGTAGTCCCCAATGGAAGGCCACCAATCTTCTTTCGAGCCGATTGTCCCGGTCCAAGTGACCTTCTCCGGCACATCCAGAAAATCAAAGTCTAGTGGCTTTGGCGGTGGCTCATTAGCCTTCTTGTTGGATTTGTTCTTCCTCTTCTTGCTTCCTTGACCTTCCGAGTTCTACAACAAAAGTGGAAACACAACATCTCTCAGTACACTTTCATACTAAAGCTATAGAGAGAACAAATGTTTCTTGACTCACTTTGGTTGGCGTGTAGCCGTTTTCTGATTTCTTGGCAGCCTTTATAGTCGTTCCATGTTTCAAGTAGTACAAAACCTCGTTCTTGGACCGGAACTTTTGACCCGTTACTGGTTCGTAGTAGAACTATAGAGCACACAACAACAAGAAGATGAAACTCAAACAATAAGAATCATTTTCAGTCCTTGAAAACGTTTTACAGAATCTGACATTTAAGTACTGCATATCATGTGGCTTAGATTCAGCTTCAACATCATCTTTCAGACATTAAGTATTGCATATTTAAGGAACGAATCACTAAATTCACATATACTCATCCTTAACTAAACAACACAAAGTCTCAAGCATTTGTGTAAGATTTCACTAATTCTAATTAAAGTCTCCAAATACCCAAATGCAATTCTAAACCACAATACCAATTATAATGATGAATCTTAAGAAAATTTCCGATTGAGATCAACAAACCGCAAACTGCAAAATTCGATCAAACGCGAAGCTCAGGAATTGAAAGAGAATGGCATTGATTTCACCTTATCCACCATACCGGCTTTAGTGCCGGAGGTTCGAGTTCTAACTTGGGTTGTCCAATCAGCAGGAAGCCAGTCCTCCCCAGGCGACGCACGCTTCCGAGGCCTTGATTCCGCCGGAGGAGGCGTGTTTTCCGACGGTGGTTGCGCCTGATCCGTGCCGTTCGACATTCCGGAGCAAAGCAGGATAGGGTTCCGTTATCAGCAGTGGTGGGCCGAAAGAGATGAATCAGAGAAATGAGAAACGAGATTTTGTGATTCGATTTTGAGGCTTTTGAGTTTTGACTGAATCAGAGTTATTATCATTTAAAGGACAGAGAAAGTTCACTTTGTAACCAAACGCAGTCTCGAACTCGTAAAACGAAACGTCATTTTTTTGTTAATCTGAATAATCGACGATCAGAATTCCGATATACAAAAAACTAAATAATGATGAAAATATATTATTAGTAGTATGGATTATCACATGATATTTTGAAGTGAGGTAGTAAAGGTATGGTAATCTAACACATAATTGGTAATACAGTAGAAACTCTATAAATTAATACTCAATAAATTAATAAACATGATAAATTAATAAATTTTTCTGGTCCCAAGTTGGGTCAGTGTAAAATATGACACAATTCGATAAGATAATAAGATAATAACTTTTTTTAAAATCCTATGTAAAATATGGTCCCAATAATATCATAAATTAATAATTATTTTTATTTCTATATATATACACCTAAAATATCTAACTACTAAAATATGAATCTCTCACACACCAAACATATATAGAAATTAAAAGCAAAAAAGGAATTTAAATAATATGGCAAATATGAGAAAATGTGAACAATAAAGTAAATATAGAAACATCTGAAATAGTTAAGAAAATATATGTATAAAGGAAATTTCTGATTTAATAATGATTATTTTTTTTTGGAAAATATTTTTAGTTAAAATCTATATATTAATAACTCTATAAATTAATAAAATATCAAAGTCCCGACATTATTAATTTATAGAGTTTGTACTGTATGTATATTTTTTTGGTCAAACGCATAATGTTTTAAGTTATTTAGTTGTTAAAAAAACCAATTATATTTAGTTTGTGTCATATTTGTTAAAATAAGTAGGTAACTAAATCTTTTTAAAAAACAAATAAGTAGTTAATAAATCATGTTCAGAGGAAAAAAAGAGTAAGTAATTAAGTTAATTTCCTACTAAATCTAACTCATTTTCATATGTAACCAAATGAGTATCCACATAAATTTATAAATAAAGGTACGTATTTTAAATTTTAAACGATGTAAATTTATTCGTATATACCATGTTTTTTTAAAATGTTTGAATAATTTTAATGGACATAAATATTATTAAACGTCTCTCTTTTTAAGATAATATGCATGCACTTTATAAACGTGTAGTCTAACTTCCGAAAGCTGATAGGTCTATCAAAAAAAAAAACATCCTAAAAACTTGTCAAGGTTTTAACAGAAAAAAAAAGTAAAACTTGTCAAGGTTCTCATCTTTGAAGTCATTGCTGTGACTAGTTCAACATACTTGGGAAACAAGGGGTGATTTACGCCTTTAACGTGGTATTAAATATCACTGTCATCTAATTTCAGAATCTCTTTAAATTTTCCTCATATTTTAAATAGGGAAAAACCCTCAAAAATACACAAACTTAATTAAATTTGGAAGATTAATACACAAACTTTTATTGATGCCAGAACAATACACAGAATAATTTTGGAAGTTAAATCAATGCACTTTCTTTCAAATTTCGTAACTATTCAACTGCAATTACGAGACCCATTAGTCACTTAAACTGACGTTTAATATCGTCGTTTAGTTTTAATCCCATGTGATTATAAAGAGACGAAAAAGACAAAATTGCCCTTCTCTTGTTTTGAAGCCTAAAACACGATTTCCCCCAATTCGATTTTGTATACCCTAACTCTGATTCTCTTTTCTACTCTCTCTCGCCAAAGAACAAAATCGGCACAGAGATGGAACACAGCCAAAATTCCGACTGAAATCAAAGCTCATAAGACTGAAATCGAAGCTCATAAGACGGGAAAGAGATCCAACAGTAGACGAAAATGAGGTATCTAAAATGACGAAAATGCACCTAAAAAGAAGAAGAAGGCTCAAAGTCAGTCAACACCGACTGCGTCAACCTCTACACAACCTTCCTCTGATCAGCATCCTTCTACTGCTCCTGCTGCGCCAGATGCGTCTACTGCTTCAGCTACCCGTGGTCGAGGCCGAGGACGTGGTCGTGGCCGTGGTCGTGGCACTGCTCCTGCTGTAGATATTCCTGGTTCGTCTACTCATGCAAGTGTTCCAGCTGCTCGAGAAGGTCGTGGTCCTGGCCGTCCTCGTGGCCGTGCTCGTGCTTGTCATGTCATTCCAAGAGGATTTGGATGCTACGTTGCTCCATTTACAGGTCGGGTCTTTGATGTTTGGGGATCGAGGGCTTTTGATATGAATGGTCCTCCTCCAGGAGGAGCTCCTCCGGAACCACCTTCCTCACAAGGAGAAAATCTTTAAATTTATTTCATTTTGTGTTTGGTACTCTATCTTGAGTTTGGTTCATGCAACTCTTTTGTATTCTTTAGTTTGACATTGGTTTATGACTTAAAGTTTATGGAACTCTTTTCGAAACTCAACTTTCTGTTTGGTTTATTCAAGTGTTTTCTGAAATTTTAAGTGCAACCATTTCATCTGTTTGGTTCTTTTAGAAGGGATAAACCTTGACTGTAAAAATGATTGAGCTCATAAGCTCGATAACACAAACCACATAATTAATTGAGTGTAAAAGTGATTCAGTTTGGATACTATAAGACCAGAGATCAGCTTGTTATTTGGTTAAAGAAAATCAAAACTCACAAGAGCTAACATTCAAACACACCGTGACATTAACGATCTCTGCGAAAGAAACACATCATTACAAGATAACATCTGAAACATCAAAGAAAACACCACAAGTGGATAACACAAACACCATAATCTAACTCTTGGAGAATCATTGCTGTCACAACAATATGAATCCTCCCCACGAGAGAACAATAAACTTGCATCAATTTCAAGCTCCTTGTTCTCATCCTCGCATTTCTTCAATAAACTTCAATTTTCCAGGGTTGACTTAACTGCTATTGTACTAATCGTTGTTGGAATATTTGCTCTAAGCTTCTTAAGTTCTTGCTTAAAGGACCGAATTTCATCTCGTGCTTCTATGAAAGTCACCTTCTGCCAGCCATGAGGGGTTTCTTTATCTGCTCAACTTGAGAAGCCATGAACATCACATCTGAAAAATCTTCTCCCTGGATTTTCGTTTGTCCATGATTTCGACATCACGGTGGCGTTGTTGCAATGACGGAAAGGTCCTGGGTTTCGGTTGAAGCTTTGCGTGAATGATCTGGCGTCGGAATTTTGGCTGTGTTCCATCTTTGTGCCGATTTTGTTCTTTGTCGAGAGAGACTTGAAAAGAGAATCGAGTTAGGGTTTACCAAATCGAATTGGGGGAATCGTGTTTTAGGCTTCAAAACGAGAGAAGGGCAATTTTGTCTTTTTCGCCTCTTTTTAATCACGTGGGATTAAGACTAAACGACGATAATAAACGTCCGTTTAAGTGACTAATGGGTCTCGTAATTGCAGTTGAATAGTTAAGGAATTTGAAAGAAAGTGTATTGATTTACCTTCCAAAATTAGTTTGGCTCAAACTGGTTATCAATTTTTGGAATAGTATAAATAAGATGAATGTATAAAAATGGGATACAAAGAAATGGGATAGTGGTAGTTACGAAAATCAAATGAATGGAATGAATATGTTCATAAAAGTATTTACATAGCAGGAATGGTAATTGTTTAAAGAAATACGATGGAATCAAAATAAATTTTGTTTAAATTAATGAGTTTAGTCACATTCCTTTCCATTCCTTTTATTCATGATGCTTTTTGTTTTGGAATGATTTTTAACGTGATTCACTTTTTTTCCCACACATCCCACTGGAATAAATGAAATAAACTTTAACTTTTATTCAGATCAAATGGTAACATTTTTGTGGAATTCCTTGGAATCCTCCATTCCATGTGATTCCATTCAGAAAAATTGCAATCCAGTTACACCCTTTATGTATTGTTATGGCATCCATAAAAGTTTGTGTATTAATCTTCCAAAATAAATTAAGTTTGTGTATTTTTAAGGGTTTTTCCCTTTTAAATACTTTGGTCGACTGGTTTGAATTTTCCGCATTTTAAAATTAAATTCTCCTATATAGAATTGTCTCAATGGTTTGAGTGTCTAATATATAAAAAAATAAAAGATATGGTCAAAGTCTCCTATAAAAGAACATACCAACTTCTCACAAATGAAACTTCCAAACTACAGAAGGACAAAAGGAAATTTCCAGGTTGCAACCAAGACGCATGTTTCTCTTGTCTATATATTCATCGATGAAACGCCTCATGATTTCATAATTCAAAGTTTGAGCTACAAAAACATTCATAATGAATTTTTCTGCCCCATCAATAAAAATCATCTCAAAATGCTTCGTGAAACCCAAAACCATCCCACAAGAATCAAAGAAACCGTACTATCTATCCCCATGGGACTATGCAATGCTTTCTGTTCACTACATCCAGAAAGGTCTCCTCTTTCACAAACCACTTCACTCCATTGATACTTTGCTTCAGAAGCTGAGAGATTCTCTCGCAATCACGCTCGTTCATTTCTACCCTCTTGCCGGCCGTTTCTCGAGCCAAACAACGGAAAACCCCAAATCATATTCTGTTTTTGTGGATTGTAACAATAGTCCTGGTGCTGGATTCATCTACGCGACCTCTGATCTATGCCTAGCGGACATTGTTGGCCCCAAGTATGTTCCTTTGATTGTTCACTCTTTGTTTGACCATCATAGAGCTGTGAATCATGATGGACACACCATGAGTCTCTTATCAGTCCAGGTTGGTATTTATTTATCCCTTGTAGGGAAGGTTTATTATAGTATTTTTTTCATAAATAGAAACAAAACCGAAATGGTACTCTTTCGGACCAAGTTTGCATTAGGTCATGAAACTGTTTATTTTATTTTCTGTTTGTTTTTAGATATGGTTTCGGTTAGGGCCGTTTTGCTTGGACCCATTTAAACGCGAATACAGTTTGGAGAAACTTGATAACGAATTTATGTGTTTTGTATACTTGTATAGGTAACAGAATTGGTAGATGGAATTTTCATAGGACTTTCGATGAACCACGCGATGGGAGACGGTACTTCGTTCTGGAAGTTTTTTAAGTCTTGGTCCGAGATATTTCAAGCAGAGGAGAGTAACAAAAACGGTGACTTGTGTCTCAAGAATCCACCAGTCTTACAACGTTATATCCCTCAAGGATACGGTCCACTCTTCCGCCTTTCCTATAGCCATCCTGATGAGTTTATCAGACCCTACGATTCTCCGATTCTCAAGGAGAGGATCTTCTGTTTCTCATCAGAAACAATAAGAACGCTTAAGGCAAAGATTAACAAAGTATGCGGAACAACCTCCATCTCATCTTTCCAATCCCTCACCGCGGTTATATGGAGATGCATAACTAGGGCAAGAAACTTACCCCTCGAACAAGAAACAAGTTGTAGACTTTCTGCTGACTATAGAGCTAGGATGTATCCACCGCTTCCCAAGGATTACTTGGGGAATTGTGTCTCTGCTGTGAGAACGGCTGCAAAAGCCGGTGAGCTGATGGAGAATGATATTGGATGGGCGGCTTTGAAAGTGCATCAAGTGGTAGCTGAACAAACTAGTGAAAAGGTGTCTCAGATGATTGAAAAATGGTTGAAGTCTCCTTTCATTTACCATATTGATCGGCTTTTCGAACCGATGAGTGTTATGATGGGAAGCTCGCCGAGGTTCGACAAGTATGGCTCTGAATTTGGGATGGGAAAAGCATTGACGCTTAGAAGTGGTTACGCGCACAAGTTTGATGGGAAGGTCACGGCTTACCCAGGAAGAGAAGGTGGGGGAAGCATAGATTTGGAGGTGTGTCTTGTTCCAGAGTTTATGGAAGCTTTAGAATCAGATGAAGAATTCATGACGCTTGTTTAATTTCTTCTTGATAGTTTAACTTTCTCTTTGAAGAATTCATGACTCTTCCACAATTTGTTTTCCCATAATATTGGTATATATATTTTTATGTGAATGTTGATTTTTTTTGTTTTTTGTTTTGCTTTCATCTAAATTTATGTATATCAATTTTGGATCAGCCAAAATACTAATACCAAACTTGATTTAACAACACAGTATGCGGTTACTATAATTTATTATTAATTAATTAATTGTTAGAAACATCACTAAAACCAGCCACTCGCTCACGTTTAGATGACTCAAATCGTAATGCTCCACAATCAAAAGAAGCATAACCTGCTCTAAAATAACTTAAACCATTGTATGTTCTCTTCATGTGCAATCAAGTTGTAACTCTCGATTAACTTATTCATGATCATGATGATGGGAACTAAACTTGTTACTTTACTTTTCATCCTAATTCTCACTCTAATCTCCGTTCCCTTCTCAGCCGCATTTCACGTCGGAGTAAACTACGGCACAGTGGCCAACAACCTCCCACCGCCTCACCAAGTCGCCAACTTCCTCAAAACAAAAACAAACATCAACCACGTCAAAATCTTCGACGCAAACCCCGAAATCCTCGCCGCGTTTTCCGGCACCACCGGAATCTCCCTCACCGTCACCGTCCCGAACTCCGACATCCCTTCCCTCTCCAAACTTCCAAAAGCACGTTCATGGCTCTCCAACAGCATCCTCCCTTTCCTCCCGGAAACCTCAATCCGTTACATCGCCGTCGGAAACGAAGTCATCGCCACATCCAACAAAACCCTCATCGGTCATCTCCTTCCCGCCATGGAGTCGCTTGCGTCAGCGTTACACCTCGCTAACGTCACGGGAATCTCCGTCTCGACGCCTCACTCGCTCGGCATCCTCTCTGGCTCCTCCGAGCCACCAAGCTCCGGGAAGTTCCGTGAAGGCTACGACAAAGCCATCTTCGCACCGATGCTTAACTTCCACAACCGCACGAAATCTCCCTTCATGGTTAACCCGTACCCGTATTTCGGTTTCGGACCCGAAACGCTAAACTACGCACTGTTCAACTCAATCGACGTCGTTGTGGTCGATCCGGTTACAAAGCTGAATTATACCAACATGTTCGACGCTCAGGTTGATGCGGTTTACTCCGCGATGAAACGACTCGGGTACGGTGACGTGGACATTGTAGTGGCCGAGACCGGTTGGCCATCAGCTGGTGAAACAAACCAAACCGGCGTCGGTTTAGAATATGCTGCTGCTTACAACGGAAACCTCGTAAAGCATGTGAATTCCGGTAAGGGCACTCCATTGATGCCAAACCGGGTTTTCGAGACTTACATTTTCTCTTTATTCAACGAGAATCTCAAACCTTCGGTTTCTGAGCAAAATTACGGTTTGTTTAAACCGGATTTTACTCCGGTTTACGATGTCGGTATAATGAAAACTGATCAGGTACGCTTATATTAGAGATGCTGTTCACGCTAAGATATGTATGATTTATCTGAATGTAATATTGTATTTTGTTGTATAATAAGATATGATTCTTTTCATAAACAGCATAGAAATACAAATCACTTGAACATCAAAATCTGATTTTAGATAAGAATAATTTCACAATACAAAGAGTTACCAATTCAAAGAACAGTACAAGAGTTATCTGAACCACACTATCAACCGGTTTATTCTGGATTTCAAAACTCATAAACCGGAACAAACAAAACTAAATCAAGCAGACTACATTCAGTCTTGGGTTGGTGCGTTCTGATTGAGCTCGGCGAACCGCATACCTACACGCATAGTGTGCTTGAGGAACTTCTCGGCGCATTTCATAACACAAGTCTCCTCTTGTTTCTGCAGAGTTTTCCTTGAGAAGGTATCGACACAGTCCACGAAACACCTCTCCACCAGCGAGTTGTACATTCTCAAGCTGAGTGTCACAAGAAAAAAACCACAGGAAACAAAAGTTAATGTCTAAAAACAGAACAAAATAAACTCTCAGTTTGAGACAGAACTAATCAATAGACAATGTATTATAGGTTGTTGTTCCCTTAACGTCCAGCTACAGCATTTAAACTGGCCACACTGGTTTATAGAAGATCTCTTTCTTTTCAGCTTCAATGTTACACAACAAGCCACAGATTCAAGCTGGTTGCGAATTATGAATATAATGTGAAGCTTTCTGAGTTAGAAAAGAGCAAACAACAAAACACAAAATGGAACAAAGCACAGGCTCTTGAATAAAAAACTAAACAGCTAATTTCAGTAACTCGTTTCAAACTTTGACCGATGAAGCTTACGAAGCCAATACATAAACGATACAGATCAAGTACAAAAACAGGATAGACCACTGTGAAGCGTGAAAACAACGATCCAAAAGATCTATAATTACCCAGAAAATGACTACTACTTAACGAATTCGCAAACAGTTTACATTAACTCAAATTTCCTATGAAAATCTAGGAAGACTGAGACATTTTCTCTGCAAATCTTAAATTCCCATGGAAATTCGAAAGTGTATATATGTCCAATCAATATACAGTAATTTACTCATAGATACAAGCTCGAAGCTAATCGAAACTCGTGTCGAGGCAAAGACAGATCTAAAAGACGAACCTATCACGTAGCTGAAGCTGATCGATCATGGAGGCCATTTTCGCTTTGTCTTCTTCGGGAAGACCATCTAGCCCAGCCATCATGCTCGCGTCCATTTTTTCCAAACCTTTTTTCTCTTTCGTCTTCTTCGTTTACAGATCAGTTCTTCTTCATCGCCTCCCTTATTCTTTTCTTCTTAAACCCTAGCGATCTTCTTTTAATGGGCCTCATGGGCTTAATATCCTATATCTTGATTCAAGCTAATTTTATACTACCAGTTAGGCCCATTATTTAATACATGTGCTTTTTTCCCTCCATGGCACGTCGGTGAAAGAAGTTACAATCATCAATTCAAAGAGGCAACTCTGATTGGTTGATTTTTTTTGGCAAGAAAAACACGCAACTTAAAACTCTATGTTAACTTATGCAAACGGCAAAACTCAAAACTCTATTGTCGATTGGATTTTAGAAATGCGATGAGGAATCCAAGGAGACACATTTTCTCGGGAGATTAAATATGGAAAATCACTGGAGGTATCTGGGCGGCTTTTTCTTCAACCGATGCATCTTTGCGTGGTCTTGGCCTCTTGGGACATGTATTCACAATCATGCTCGTCAATGGAACACGCAAAGGTCTCTGCGTTTTGAGTGGTTTAAAAATCATCATTAGAGAAATTGAAGATTCTATATAAATAGACGTATAATCGCTGTGATAATGCCACATTCAATAACTTGATTCCTTCACTTTAAACTTTTCACTTCTATCTTTCTCTGAAGTCTGATCTTTTTTTTTAGTTTCGATGGCTAACACTGCTGCGAAACCCAAGTTTAGCCTGAGACTTCTGGTTGATGAGGAGAAAAACAGAGTTGTTCTTGCCGAAGCTGGGAAGGATTTTGTTGACTTGCTATGTAGTCTAGTCTTGTGACTCTTCCTATGGGAACTATTGTCAGGTTGCTTGAGAAGCATCAAACTCCCAAGTCTTTCTTCCGTCGTTGGTTGTTTTCACAACCTTTACAAAAGTGTCTCGGAGATGAACGTTGATAACTTTGAGAGTCAAGCTTGTAAAGATTTGTTGCTGCATCCACGGAGTGTCAAGGAGAGCCATTGCAGGAAGCTGAAGCTGAACCTAGACGATACCAAAGCGACCGGGTTCTTCCTCTGCCAATATTTCACGTCTACTGAGTCATGCTGTAAGTTTTTCAGCAATATTAGTACCACAATCTGTCGTTGTGGAAACCAGATGAGTTACGCGGTTCAGGTTCAAGAAGGCGATCAAGCTAATGGCACTTCTGGAAGCCAAGGTGATGGAGTGTTCCCAAGTTGCAGAACGTCATTTATCATCACTGATGATCTGAAAGTGGGCTTGAACTCTATGGGTCTTGTATTGAATGTCCTTAATGGTCTTGGCTATCCTGGTTTTGACAAGCTGCAAGAAATGCTTATTGATGTTGGTCTTGAAGAGGTACTTTAACTTCATTGCCGTTATATACATTTACATTCCTTAGTTAGACCGTTATGAATTTGTTTTTATCTCACTTGTTAGAAATTTTAATTTCATTGGCACAGTATTCCTTGGCTTTGTTGGTTTTGATGTTGTTTAAATGCAGGTGCTAACTTTGCTAGGGTGTCTATTCTCTTCCGAAACTCCGTTGACAGACACATTCCTGAAGAAACATTGTATGGCAAGGAAGCGCAAAATGTTGACCCCTCTTGTCCAAGAAAATTGTGCTGAAGGAGATGCAGACAACACTCTAACTTTGAAAGTGTATGTTCGGAAGACAGACAAGGCAATTCTTTATGCTGAGTGCAGAGAAGACTTTGTTGATTTTCTTTTCAGTTTTCTTGCCATACCGCTTGAGTTTGCTTGGGAGCATTCTATTGGCAATCTGAATATGGGCTGCGTTGGAAATCTGTGCAGAAGCGTGAAAGATTTGAGCTTTGAGAATCAGAAGGAAGCCACTGTTTCGAAATGCATGCTTCCTCATCAGTATAATTTCAGGGGACAACTGCTTGATATTGTCATCCAGGAGGGTGTTACAGAATTTGAAGGTTTGCTGCCCCGCAACGGATATTCAGGCTCATACAAGTTTGCCAGAAAGATTAAGAAAGATGTGCTCTCGAATGGTGAAAGGATTGTGAAGTTCACTCCAGTGGATCCGAAATCTGTTTCCGGTGGGGTTGGATTTGTGAAAGGAGAAACAAATTAAATAGTGTCAGATGATCTGTTTATCACACCTATGATCTCTTCCTCTACAATTTCATTATTGAGCAAGTTGAAGATGGACATCAGTGATATCGATGAGCATGTGATTAGTATCAGCAAAGCAGAGGTACGCTTTTGTTTCATCTTCTTTCTATTCATTTTTGTATTATTGAGAAAATCTTACTTTTTTTCTTTTTTTTTTTCTTGCAGGCTGTTAGCTTACTTAGAGCTTCCTTGATCACAACCTCTGCATTAACCAATGGTCTCTCTAACTTCCTCTCAAAGATGAAGCCAAAAGAAGCAACTCCATCAACATCTAAGATACCAAAATCTGAAAAATCTATCTGAAGCATCGTCTTTGTTACTTATGGCCTTTGAAATCCGCAAGTGTTGTTTTGGCTTAAATTGTTATCTCCATCTTTCCTTTCCATTTTCATTTTATATATCTATGTCTTGATGAATAAGTTTAAATTTAAATCGAATAATGATTCAATCATTTTATTTCTTTTAGTTTTCAAGTGTCTATGTAGTATTTACTACTATGACTGAACTAGAGTTCACTGGTATCTATATCATGGTTCAGTCTCAAACCTTCTCCCTACTTTTATAATATCATTCTAGCAATTGCAGTCTCCGTTTATCTCACAACTGATAGTTTAATTTTTCGTTTCCACTATGATAACAGCAATATCTCCACCAAATTAACAAGCACCAACTTGCAGAAGGTAAACCAATTTTGCAATTAACTCCGGTTAATCTGAAATCCAAAAGCACTTCTGATTTTTTCAATACAAATGTTAGATAACACAGTAGAGAAACAACACTTTCATCCATCACAAACGAAATGTTCGTCTCACTACACAAAACTTCACAAACTTCCCACCAAGATATCTTGAATCCTACACTAAATCAAATACTCCTACTAAACATTTAACAATCTAAACCAATTTTTCGCTACCATTATAATATAATTCTATGTTTCTCTAGTCCACAATATTGTTTTGGATATCAAGATTTGTATAGATTGCAGTTTTCTTTTTCCAGCAATAGGTTCATTGCATTGCAGCTTCACAGCTATATCAAACTCACATGCAAATGAAAGAACTTTATTAAATTATACACACGTGGGCACCACCCAAATAGTATCTCTATAATCTTATTATATAAAGCTGGATGCGCGCGACGTGGTTGCGACACGTAGGATTTTTATAAAATATAGGATCGCGACATGTGTCACTTTTAAGATTATGTCCGTTAAGATCGTGACACGTGTTTTAGGGGAAAAAAAATTTTTTTAAAAAATACTAGAAATAGGATAATTAAAAAACAAAATTTAATTAAAAAAACGAAATTTAATCTATTTTATTTTATAAGAAAAATTAATATTTGTCATATCCTAACAGAAAAAGGTTTTCCCATTCATCAAATTATATTATCCAAACACATATCTTATTATAAAATAAGATTGAAAATAATGTAATAAATAAAATCCTATTACTACATGGAATAGGTACGTAAACTAAAATTCCTATATCTGCAAGGAATATGTTATATGAACACCTATAAATACAAAGTTACAGTAGTCTCTTTTTTCTCATTCACAAACTCATCAAAGCAAATTCATTAAATTTCTCTGATTCTCTTTCTCTAATTTAAAAATCATGTCTTTGAATGTTCAAGAAAATAGTGAAGATTATTTGACTCTAGGTCAATTGGATCGAAATCGAAATTATCGCCGTACTATAGTACGTGTTATTCGAAAGTGGAAAGTTAGAAATCCAAAAGAAAATAATATTCTTATGGGAGTTGAGCTTCTACTACTTGATGAAAAAGGTTAGTAAGAAAATATATAATTTACAATAAATTGTTACATCCATTAAGAAACGGAAAAAAACATATTCCCAATACAAGAAGGAAAAAAAACAATATATAATAAGTTACACCCTTCATGATTTAATTGTGTTGTTTAAATTTTCTTTCTTATTAAGAAATGAAAAATCATGTCTTTAAAAGTTCTAGATATCAATGAAGAATATTTAATTTTAGATCAGTTGGATCAAAATCAAAACTACTGCCGCACCATGTATAATATTTGATCAGATTATAACATGTGTTAATACAAGAAAATTAGAAAAAATTAATAACAAAACGAAAAATTGTAAAACAACTAACTAATAATGAAAAGAAAAATTTATAATGGTCCGAGGCAAAATAAATATTATAAAAGAAAGAATATAAATAGAAAGCTAACAAAATAATTATCAACAGCTAACTAATATTAAAAAGAAATTTTTATTTTGGTCCGATATTCTAATTTTAAATAGTTTATTTTCAAACTTTTGTTAGGTCAAAAAATATTTAAAAAATTGATTTCATCAACTGAAATCTCTTCGATGGAATAATCAAAGTTTCACGTATTAATTAGTCCATCAGATTTAAACACATGTAAGTATTTCTATATTAGATAAAAATAAGATAACACAAATTAATTCATTTTTCATATCATGAATTCAAAACAAATGTCAATTATAATAAAAATGTAAAAAGATTACTAATCTTATTTTATTTAGTGATTTGTTATCGGGTTTTTATTATTATTCTATTTACTTTTAAAAATGATTATATTATGTTTAATAATTTTCCAGGATTTATTTCAAAAAAATTATAATAAACCCGCGTATACGCGGGGCCTAATCTAGTTATTTAAATAAAAATTAATACCTCCTCACCAAAATCTAATCACTAGATGACTAGAAGTGTCCGCCAAAAGCATCTCTCCTTCACTCTGACACAATGACATCTGTTTTGTCCTCTCCTCAACCGGCGCGTGCACCTTTAACTCCTAAACCCCGCGCGTCATAAAATTCCCAAAGATGTTTTTTTTAATTTTCGTCCAACCAAACACTTCACTCACCACTCTCTCTATCCACTTCCCTTTCCTCTGTTTCTTCTCTTTACCACTCTCATGACCTAACTCAAAAATAATGGCGAACGTAATTCCCATTTACAATTTTGCCCTTCCCGCATTCGCCTATTTACTCCTACTCCTATCCTCCACCGCCGCCGCGATCAACGTCACCGTCGTCCTCTCCTCTTTCCCCAATCTCTCCACCTTCTCTAACCTCCTCGTCTCCTCCGGCATCGCCGCTGAGCTCTCCGGCAGAAACTCACTCACACTCCTCGCCGTTCCCAATTCTCACTTCTCCTCCGCCTCTATTGACCTCACGCGCCGCCTGCCTCCTTCCGCCCTCGCAGATCTCCTCCGCTTCCATGTCCTTCTCCAGTTCCTCTCCGATTCCGATCTCCGTCGTATCCCACCTGCAGGCTCCACCGTCACCACTCTCTACGAAGCCTCCGGCCGTGCATTTCTCGGATCCGGATCCGTTAACGTGACCCGAGACCCGGCGTCAGGATCCGTCACGATCGGATCCCCAAACTCGAGAAACGTCACCACCGTACTAAAGCTCCTCGAAACCAAACCTCCGAACATAACCGTCCTCTCCGTTGACTCTCTCCTCGTCCCCGCCGGAATCGATATCACCGCATCGGAGACTCTCACTCCGCCGCCGACGTCGGGGACGTCTTCTCTCGCTCCTCCTCCGGCGGGAATCAACCTCACGCAGATACTAATCAACGGCCACAACTTCAACGTCGCTCTCTCCCTCCTCGTCGCCTCCGGAGTCATCACCGAATTCGAGAACGACGAACGCGGCGCCGGAATCACCGTCTTCGTCCCAACCGACTCCGCTTTCTCCGATCTCCCCGATAACGTCAACCTCCAGTCGTTGGCGGCGGATAAAAAAGCCGTCGTGCTCAAATTCCATGTCCTCCACTCGTATTACACACTCGGATCTCTCGAATCGATAACCAACCCGGTTCAACCAACATTAGCCACTGAGGAAATGGGAGCCGGTTCGTACACTCTCAACATTTCTCGGGTTAACGGGTCGATCGTAACGATCAATTCCGGTTTGGTTTTGGCCGTTGTGACGCAAACCGCATTTGATCAGAACCCGGTTTCTGTCTTCGGAGTATCCAAAGTGCTTTTACCTAAAGAGCTGTTTCCGAAATCGGGCCAACCCGTGAGTCCCGCTGCTACGACAACTCCTCCACATGAGATTTCTTTGTCGCCGAGGGGTTCTGATGAACAGCCGTCGTCGCGATTTGTATCGCCACCGGGTGAGGTAGTTCCCTCCGGCGTGGTGAAAAGGACACGTGGTTTCTTGGCTTTATGGTGGTGGTGGTGTATAGCATTTTGTTATGTTTTGGTATGATTTTTTTATGCCCATAAATGTTCTTGCCTTCTGTTAGGGCTTATTTACTGGATTTATTTTTTTTACGAGGGTTTTCATTTATTTATTTACGTCATAATGTTATTTTATTGAGTCCAGAGAAAGAAACAAATCACTTTCCCATGTAAATTTGGATTGATTGGGCGTTTTTGGGTAAAACCCATGTCCTTTATAAAATGTCTCATTTTGCACTTTAAAATGCGTGCATGATTTTTTAGTAAGCGTAACACTTTCGGTGCATTTTGCGTCATCATGTAACCTAAACGTGTTACCTTACCTCATGACCTTTATTAATTTATTTTCTTTATCAACAACATTCTGATATTCATTTCTTTGTTTAATTACTACAGAAAATTGCCAAAACCAACTGAGATCATGACCTCACATGCCAAAGGCAAAGAAAGTAACTCATTCGATTTTCCTAGAAGGTGTGAATACGTGGATTTAGTTACGTAATAGATTTTGGGAAGTGGTGATTTTTTTGCAGAAAGTAATAAGAATGGAATCTAATCAGCTAAATAATCTAATTTCAAGCAGAATATAGTAAGTGCGTGACAGGTGCAGTCGCGGGTCCCACCAAGTTGTGCACCGACGGTCCAGATCTGCTATCGGAGGTCAATTTCTCGCTAGATTTTCGGGGTGTCCAGAGCCGTCGGATCTTGAGATCCAGTTTCCAACCGCGCGTGCGGATGTACGGCCAGATCTACTGCTTCTGTATTCACACTCACACAGTACTACTGTACTAACTACACTACTAAAACCGTATTTTATTAATTCTTCTATCTAATTTTGATTAGTTGAGTTTGAAACGCATTTCTCGTTTGAAATCTTTAATCAGTTTTTTCTTTCTTTCTATATAAGCATAGTATATTATAAACAAATAATTAAAACTTTTCTTTTATATAATTTTAATATTTTCAACTAAAGTGAAAATAAAATGAGTCACATCAGATTAGTTAGGGCAATGAATGTGGAAGTAATTGTAATTGGTACCATAATCTGCTGACTTTTCTAAAGTAGCAATAAGTAAACGATCAACGAGCATTCCAGTTTTCAAACTCATGACCTTTTTGGATCACAGATCTGAACTTTTCTTGAATAAATTAAAGTTTTTGTCTCATTGTTTGTCCCCTTTATTCAATCACCAATCTAGAAAAATAGTATTTGGTTTTTGAACTAACCCAACAGTATGAAATAGTTTCAAAGCCTCTCTCTCTCTCTCTATCTCTCTTCTCGTCCTCTCATATGATACTTGAGAATAAATTCAAAGAGAAATGTCGATGATGAGCAGAAACCGAAGCAGCAGCGCCATGGGAACACCTTCCTTCCTAGAGATGAAGAAGCAAGCTTCCTTTTTCTTCAAAGAGAAGCTCAAAACGGCGCGTTTAGCTCTCACCGACGTCACTCCTCTTCAACTGTTAGTTTTTTTTTGCTTCTCTCTTGTTTCTTTTTTCCGCTCTTGTTATGTGTATGTTAATTATGATTTTGAATAATTGTGTAAATTTCGTTGAAGAATGACTGAGGAAGCTACGGATGGAGAGTCATGGGGACCAAATACACAAACCTTAGGATCCATTTCAAAGGCTGCTTTTGAGTTTGAAGATTACTTGCAGATTGTTGACGTCTTGCACAAAAGGTTTCCATAATTCCTAATCTAGTCTTGTTTACAACAAAATATAACAAATCGGTGAGTTTGCTTAGACAGGGCATGATTTGTGTTCTGTTACTGAGTTGTGAAGCTTTTTGTTTGTTTGCTTGTTTTGGTGTAAATAGATTAGCAAGGTTCGATAAGAGAAACTGGAGAATTGCTTATAACTCACTCATAGTTGTTGAACATTTGCTCACTCACGGACCAGAGAGCGTCTCTGATGAGTTTCAAGGCGATATTGATGTTATCTCGCAGATGCAAACTTTCCAACATATCGATGAAAAAGGGTACTTGTTTTTAGAGCTGGTCATGTTTCTAGCTTCAATTTTCATGTTCTGAGATAATAAGTTATGTTTATTGGCAGGTTCAATTGGGGATTATCTGTTAGAAAGAAATCAGATAAGGTTCTAAAGCTACTTGAGAAAGGAGAGTTGCTCAAGGAAGAGAGAAAGCGAGCTCGTGAGCTATCTCGAGGGATTCAAGGTTTCGGTAGCTTCAACCACAAGTCATCATCTCATTGCACGTCAGAGAATGAAGTCCTGCAAGAATCTCAAGTATATAGGAAATGCAACTCCAATTTTACAAAGTACAATGAGGACGAACAAGAGATCAACCCAATGGTTTCTCCTACTGAAGCCATTCCTCAGCCCGGGACGAGTATGAAAGAAAATATGGTTCCTGAAGGTGATGAGAAGACAGAGATAAACCCACTTTTGGGTTCTAACAACAAGAAGGAGGGTCAAGATCTTGCAGAGGAAGATGAGAATCATCCATTTACGGATGATGATAGTAAGCATACAAATGTCTCATTGCTTGATGAGAACACTAATTGAAATATATTTAAATATGTAATAAGAGATGCTTGAATACAATTAGCAGAGCCAAGACAGAGGAAGATAATGTGTGTATACCAAATATGTATACAATATATAATAATAACACTCTGTTAAATGACTGATCTGTTTTTTGAACTTGATTTGGTTTTAAAAGCAAGATTATAAAATGAACAATGAAGGAGAGGAATAAAGCAAACACAAAGAGAAAGAGGTAAGCAATTATGGAGACTGGCTTCAGGGTGAAAAAAATTATATCAAAATTTTTACTTGTGACACTTTTGATCAGAAGCACTTCCTGTGGACGATGGATGGTCCAGATTCATCATACTCGGCTTTCGCAATCCACATCTGAACACATTGTGTAAAAATTTATAACATAGTTTATATACAAAAACACTAATACATTTGTATTAAGTATATAATAAGTATTGTTTACCTGCTGGAAAGTGCTGAGGGAAGCTAAGATAGAGCCACCGATCCAGACACTGTACTTCCTTTCCGGTGGAGCCACAACTTTGATCTTCATACTGCTCGGAGCCAAAGCGGTGATCTCTTTACTCATCCTATCACCAATCCCACCGAACATAGTGGTTCCACCACTAAGAACAATGTTCCCATACAGATCCTTCCTGATATCCACATCACACTTCATGATTGAGTTGTAAGTAGTTTCATGGATTCCTGGATTTTCCATTCCGATCATGGATGGCTGGAACAGGACTTCAGGGCACCGGAAACGCTCTGCACCGATGGTTATCACTTGACCGTCTGGCAGTTCGAAGCTCTTCTCGACGGATGAGCTGGTATTGGAAGTCTCGAGCTCTTGCTCGTAGTCCAAGGCAATATAAGAGAGCTTCTCCTTCATGTCTCTGACGATTTCACGCTCAGCAGTTGTGGTGAAGGAGTAACCACGCTCTGTCAGGATTTTCATGAGGTGGTCGGTTAGGTCACGACCTGCAAGGTCGAGACGCAGGATTGCGTGTGGAAGTGCATAACCTTCGTAGATTGGAACCGTGTGGCTCACACCATCTCCAGAGTCCAAAACAATACCTAAACAACAATTTGAAGAAACAAAATGAGAGCAATGAATAGTTAAGGATCAAACCAAACTGAACCGAACCAAACTTTATTTAAAATCAAACGTGAACGCATTTTTATACCGAACTAACCAAATCGAAAAAACTTTTTTTTTTTGAAAAATTTAACATTTTAATCATATATACCAAAAGTATATTTAAGTATATTATAAAAAAAAAAAAAAAAAATTCTTTTGTTAGCTTCTGTATCCAAACTCTTTAGTTAGCTTCTGCAAATTAGAAACTGAACCGAACCAAACCAAAAAATCATTTCTAGTTCAGACCTATTCTTCACAAACTCGAGAAAAACAAACCAAATGTTGGAGGTCTGAATACCACAAAACTAGCAATCAGTTTCTTAATGCACCATTGAGCACAAAGCATATTTTATGATGTATTAATTGTAAAGAAAAGGTGTAATGACTTATGAGTGTACTAACCAGTAGTACGGCCACTAGCATAGAGCGAGAGAACAGCTTGAATGGCGACATACATAGCAGGAGTGTTGAAAGTTTCAAACATGATCTGAGTCATCTTCTCACGATTTGCCTTCGGGTTAAGTGGCGCTTCGGTCAGCAAAACCGGGTGCTCTTCGGGGGCAACACGAAGCTCGTTGTAGAAAGTGTGATGCCAAATCTTCTCCATGTCATCCCAATTGTTGACAATACCATGTTCGATCGGATACTTGAGAGTCAAGATACCACGTTTCGACTGTGCCTCGTCTCCGACGTAAGCATCCTTTTGTCCCATCCCTACCATCACTCCCGTGTGACGTGGACGGCCAACGATACTTGGGAATACAGCTCTTGGTGCATCATCTCCTGCGAAACCGGCCTACGCGCAGCAAGAGAGTTGAATTGATTTCACTTTTACATCTTGGCATATAGACTATAGTAACGTTCTTCGTAAAAATAAAAGACTAGTAATATTCAAATGTTGTTTTTGTGATTATCTAGAGAAGTTACCTTGACCATTCCAGTCCCGTTATCGCAAACGAGCGGCTGAATATCTTCACCGTCCGCCATTTTTCAATCTTTAATCTGATTACACCAACAGAAAAAGAAACATGCAATTATTATACATCTTAACATTAGTACAAAAAAAAGAGAGAGAGGCATTTATACATCCAAAAATGAATCAGATAAAAAGATAACCAATGTGAAGGCTTAACGCAAAACTAAAAACAACAAAATATGAGAAGTCTCACATTTATGATTTTTTTTTTTTTTTTTTTTTTTGTATGAAATCTAATTCGTTACCTATAGCAAATCAAACACAGTAGCGTGACCAGGGAGATCAAAACTTAACCGATTACGTTTATTTTTGGTTTTGCCATTTTGTTAAGATATCAAAAAAAATCGTCAAAGATTTCAAAAATCATATAAAGATTCGATCATTACTTGTTTCTTTTCGAGCTGATTTGTTTTAAGCAGAATTTGTTTCGTAATTCACGACAAAATTCGTAACTAATAAGCAAAAATAAATAGCATTTACCTGATGAATTTACGTAGATGAGGAAGAATAAGAAGAGAAAGAGAAAGAGGATCGCTTGAATCCTGAAAACGCCCGCCTTTTGAATGGGTTTTCAAAATTTCTGGAAAAAGGAAGCAACTTTTGGCCCTTAATATCGTTCGACCATAAACAGATCTGAGCCGTTAGTTTACTTCCAGAGTCCAATATCTCAGCCTGTAACGACACGTGTCCACCTATTTTTGGTTGAAGAGTTAAGAGAAGACCACACACCAACCTATTTCAGGCTCTGTTTTTACCGGAGGAATCGGGTCACCGGAAAGCATGGACCCCTTTTGGGCCTTTCATATTTTATGTCCCTTCACTAAAAAAACCAAAACTTTGTCTTTGTCTTTCCGTGCCTAAAACAAATCCACAAACGGATGGCTATAATTCTTTATATTGATTAAAAAAAAAAAATCAGAATTATTTTTAAAGATAATTATGGAGTTTTTTTTTTTACTTTATTATATCTACGTTTTGGACAATCAATGGGGAAAAACAAATTAAAACAAAGAAAAATCATAATAGATGAAATATATACTATTTTCAGTAACATCTCCTTACTTTCTTACATTAGATTTTCTGTTTCTTTAATTTATTTCAAATAATTAAAAATATACCATAAATAATTAATCAAAAATAATGAAACCATAGTTTTTGTTTGAAACTCTACAAAAATAATGATACTATAATATCTATTATATATTTTATGAAATAATAATTCGAAAGCCTATTTCATTTATGAGTTTTTTTTTCTTAAAGCCAACGAGTTTATTTATTATTAAAGCGGCAAAAGTATTGAAATAAAAAAAATAACAATAAAAGTCCTAAACAGTCTTAAATTACAGATTTCTTTTGAGGTGGATTGATTTGATTATTGACTTCCGCTTTTTCTCAAAAGTAATTTAGTTTGAAGTTTCTTTCGCATGAAACTTTGTTTTTCATATTTCGGAGGAGTGTTAAACGTTTCAAAGAGAATCTGACGCATCTTTTCACGATTTGCCTTCGGACTGAGCGGCGCTTCGGTCAGCAAACCTGGGTGTTCTTCGGGGGCACCACGAGGGTCGTTGTAGAAAGTGTGATACCAAATCTTCTCCATGTCATCCCAATTGTTGTTAGTACCATGTTCGATTGGATACTTGGGAGTCACGATACCACTTTTCGACTGTGCCTCGTCTCGGACGTAAGCATCCTTGACCATTCCTGTTCCATTACCGCAAATGAGCGACTGAATATCTTCACCGTCCGCCATTTTTCAATTTTTAAGCTGAATATACCAATCGAAGAAACATAGCAAATTAGCAATTGTACATCCAAAATAAAAGTATTAAAATTCTCATGGAATCAAGAAATGAATAAGATAAATATGTCGTTGGTAAAACGCAACTGAATAACTAGATCTTATAGACATATATTTCTAACAAGTAAATTGCTCAAATGAGAAGCCTCACAGTTCTAAAATATAATTCGTTAAATCATTCACAATGCCTCAAATCAACAGACCAATCCTATGAGCATTTCATTCATTTTGTTTTTTACCTTCTTAGGTCGTTTCTCTCCAAATTTTGGAATGAGAATTGTAAAGAGAGGAGCCTCTTATTAGGGTCTGACTGGTTTAACCGCTGCGGTTGCGGTTGCGGGAGTTTGCGGCTGCGGGAGTTTGCGGAAGCGGGAGTTTGCGATTAAAAGCTGTTTGTACGACTGGTATAGCAATTCATAGCGGTTGCGTTTGCGGGATATTTTTGACTGGTTAGCCAGCGGGTGCAAGAGCGGTTTAACCAAAAGTTACTAAAATAAAAATAATATATAATTATTCAAAACATTTATAACCATATTAATAATTTTTTTTTTGAAATATATTTTTTGATGAATTTTTAATTTGAAAACTACCCTTATTTTTTTTTGGTTTTGAAAAATACACTTTTTATATGTAAAATGATTATTCCTAATTTAATAAAAACGAAATTCAAATAAGAAATATAAAATATTAATATTTGATAATAATTTTGTATCATTTTAACATCCTAATTACCTGTTTAGTTTTTTTTTAAACAATTTAATAAAAATATAAGATTGTTTATATAAAGTTTAAATGGGGTGAGATTAAAGTTGTTTATGCAAAGTTTCAAAAATATTTAAATTTTTCAAAAGATAAACATTAAAAATGAAAGATATATTTCTCCACTTTTAAATTTTTAATAATTTATAAACTTTAAATATATGTAAAGTTTTAATTTATTTAAAGTTTCATTTGGTTTGAATGTGTATGAGGTTAAGTTGTTTATATAAAGATCCAAAATATTAAAATTTGTTTCAGTTTAACATATACTATATTTATTTGAAAAAAAACTTATTAGTTTATTATTTTTTTAAATTTTCGTTTATAATTTGTAATTATTTATTATTTTTTTGTTTAAATCACGTCAAAACATACTTTTTACATTTTAAAAGTGTATTTTTCAAAACAGAAAAAATTTAGGGTATTTTCGAAATTTTTAAACATAATTATGGTATTTTTCAAAAAAATATACCCTTATTCCAAATTTGGAGATATTATGTTTTTTTTTTTTTTTTTTCAAACCGCAACCGCCCGCAACCGCAAACGCTTGCGGAAAGGAGCTTTTGATTTTCAGCGATATAGAGCGGTACAGAGTGGTATAGAGCGGTTGAAAGCGGTTGTCGTGATTGTTATAAAACGCTAAGAACCGCTACGAACCGCAAACGCTGCGTTTGCGGGTGGTAGCGGGAGAACCAATCATCACCTAAATAGTCTCACCTGAACTTAGAGAGGAAGCAAGAGATCTAAGAATATCAACCCTAATAAGAAATATGTTGACTGAAATTTGGAATATGTTGATTACCAAAAAAAAACTTTAGAATATGTTTTGAATAAGGAAATAGATAGCTAATACTTCCCTTTTATGAAGGAAATGATAGTTACTACTCTTTTCAAATGAAAGGAAAGAGAATCTCAAGTCTTAGGGATGTATTGGAATAGGAATTTTATGGATTTTTGGTGATTTTGAATGATTAGGAGAGAGTTTCTGTTGAATTAATACACAAAAAAAAGGGGAAATTTCAAAATTCTTGAGGTGTAAATTTTCAAAAATACATCTCTATGGTGCCAATTTTCAAAACTACATTTTTTTCATTTAGTAAAAAAACTCTAAACACTAAAATATAAATCCAAAACCCTAAAATCTAACATTGAAACCTTAGATCTAAACCCTAAACCCCAAAATCTAAACCCTAATATAGGATTAGTGAACCCAAACATATATATTAAAATTGGGAAAAAGTGTATTTTTGAAAATTTCCACACTATATGTATAGTTTTGAAAATTTGCACATCAAAAGGTGTATTTCATAAAATTTCTCAAAAAAAAATCAGATTAAACACTAAAACTCTAAATGCAACGAATCCAAACACTTCCTCGCACATTTTAACAGAACACTTTTAAAATGCACGACAAATTTCTAGTTTTTTTTTATTCTCTTGTTACACTCGTGATATTAACAGATTTCGAAACCAACAAACAATATTAATTAAATAACATATTTACCTGATGAGTTTACGTAGAAGAGAAAGATGATCTCTTGAATCCTGCTGAAACGCCTTTTGAATGTGTTTCCAAAATTTCTTGAAAACGGATCTGAGCCGTTAGTTTTCTACTTAAGTCCAATATCTCAGCCTACTTATTCCAGTCTTTGATTTTACCGGAAGAATAGGTTCACCGGAAAGCATGGATCTCCTTTGGGCCTTTCATATTCTAGGCCCCTTCACTAAAACCAACCAACGTCTCAATGTCATTCTTTAACCGTAGTTATTAATCAAAGAGCATGTGGAAGAATGCGAGTAATGATGATGCCGGCAGTGGACCAATGTGGTAATGATGGTGGAATTAAAATAATTAAGCATGAGCATGTGATATAATTATTTGACATGAGACTAGTGTGTATGTGCGTGTGGTTAAGTTTAGATAATTAGTGAACTACATAAAAGTTTATTGTTGTAAATTTAAATTAAACCACTCCTTGGAAAAGCACATTTGAAAAATGTTAAAGTGACTGATTTTCATTAGTGATTTCAACTCATGATTTCGACGTTCGATTTAGACCAAACTTTATCTCTAAATTTTTGTGGTTCATTGAGTTATATTGTGAATATATCTAATCAAGAATCAAGACAATGTAATTGACTTTTGTGGAGCGGATTTTGAGATTGAATCTTGACTTTTTGTGTGTTTTAACTTTTAGCCTCCAATCAAAGCAAACATTCATCCATTTTGTCATGCTGATCACTGCACTTATCTAGTAAGAATATTTCCCTTTCGAGGTAACCACACTTTTTATAGATTTCTTTAAAAGAACAAACATTAAAACATCTTATATTAATTCCATACCTAATAAAATCAAGAAGCATGCATATATTTATACTTTTGTTTTTCTTCTTTTGGCTGTAGAAACATAGAATCAAGAAAATTTAAAGAAGAATAATCTGATATGAATATTTTTTAATATCTCATCGAACATTATCTTCAAAATCTTACGAGTTGACAGGATTTCAAAATCAAGTGACCAAATCTCGCGTAATACGCTTACAGATTCCTGGCCCAGGAACAAAACAGGATTCGGAAACACCAAAAACGACACGTGTTTCGAATTGGAAAGGTGGAAACTGGAAGAAACACACTGCAAAACTCCATGCTATTCCTGTTCTTTAGCAGTAAAACGGCATGCAGTTTCTCGATTGTTTTAAGTTTTTTTTTTTCTCACAAAGCATCGTTAAACGAGTCTGGATCTCCACCGTTAACTGAGTTAAAACTGTTGTACTTTATCAATAGATCCAACGGCTATAATGATCCGTAGCTGAGCCATATAAGCTGCTCGAATTTAGGCATGTGAGCATAGCTGCTTTTCAATCGCTCTGATTGGCCACCGCAGACTTTCTGGCGGCTAGCATTTCTTGTGATTAATTAATTTTCCACGTATAGTTTAAGTTTAAATAAGTTTTGTTTTTTGGTGCAGTAAATTACAAACTGAAAAATCTAGTGACAAGCTTAAATAATCGAATAAGGACTTGCCGCTGAGTTTTTTTTTTTTTTTTTTTTTTTGTGATTTTTGTCAACCATTTTATTATGAAACAAATTATTATTATTTTTTTTATAAAGTTTTGAAACGAATTACTATATTTTGAATTTTGATTTGTTTTAATACTAGTCAGCTAGGGTGTCCAAATTTTTTAAAACCTTAGATCTTTGGCTAGTATGTTTTTCTGTCTATTAAAATGATAAAACAATGAAAATTACTAAACTATTTTAACTTCAAAACATTCATAGTTTGATAACGAATATAATATTTTTAAGTGTTGATCGGATTGGTATATAGAGATAGTTTTGGAAGAATGAATTGTGGAAATATTTATTTTGATTAGACAACATATTTACCTCTTGCCATTTTTTCTGAATAGTGCAATTACTATAAACTAATTTGATCAAGGGAAAAATATATTCTGAACCGGTCCCGGTCTGAAACAACCGGCTTCGTGGTTCCGGTTTAGAGGTTAAGCCGAGAGAAGCTAAACAACTTGCCATAAGCCGTCACCAAGCGACGCCGTTGAGAAAAGTCCTCGTCTTCTCACCATCTCTCTCTCTCGCACTTCTGGAAATGGTTCCGTTCTTTGTTTCCAGCTGAATCTTTGACAGCAGAGTCCGAAACGGGAAAGTTTTACTCCTTTTCTCGGAAAAGCTACAATCTGTAGGAACTGGATCGGATCCGCTATATAGCGAAACGATGGAGGAAGAGAAAGGTGCAGTTGCGCAGAGCTTAATTGATGTAGTGAACGAGATTGCGGCGGTTTCCGATTACCGTATAACGGTGAAGAAGCTCTGCAGCAATCTAGCGAGGAGGTTGAAGCTGCTCGTCCCGATGTTCGAGGAAATTCGAGAGAGCAACGAGCCGATCAATGAAGATACGATGGGGACGTTGGTCTCGTTGAAAGACGCCATGTCCTCGGCCAAGGATTATCTCAAATTTTGCAGCGAAGGGAGCAAGATTTACTTGGTGCGTCTGTTGTTTTTTTCTCGGAATCTCTGTTTTCGATTTATTGGCATTTACTTGATTAGATCTGTGTGGTCACTGAGATTGGTGGTAGAAGACGATGATTAATGAGAGTTTGGCGAATTGGTTTTCTTCATTGATTGAGCACGTGTAGTATGAGTGAGAGAGATCAATGCATTTCGAATTAGATTGGTGTTTCATCTTTGATTTGATTGATCTGATCTTTGGAAGTTGTTGAAATATTTATGCTTTGGATCAATTCGATTATTGGATTGACACGAGAGAGTTTCTGGTTTCTGTTTGTAGGTCATGGAGAGGGATCAAGTGACGAGTAAATTGCTGGAGATCTCAGTAAAGTTAGAACAGTCTCTGAGCAAGATTCCGTTTGAAGATCTTGACATATCAGATGAAGTTAGAGAACAGGTAAAATTCAAGATTAAAGAACATTGTAGGTTGTTGTTGGTTCTTAGCCATATTTGTTGTTGCAGGTTGAGTTGGTTCTAAGCCAGTTTAGGAGAGCGAAAGGAAGAGTAGATGTATCAGACGATGGACTGTATGAAGATCTTCATTCTCTGTGCAACAAAAGCAGCGATGTAGAAGATGATGATTATCAGCCTGCTCTGCAGCGGGTGGCGAAGAAGTTGCAGCTGATGGAGATTCCTGACTTAGCTCAAGAATCAGTGGCTCTCCACGAAATGGTTGCTTTGAGTGGAGGAGACGTTGGTGAAAAAATTGAGGAGATGGCGATGGTACTGAAGCTGATTAAAGATTTCGTGCAGACGGATAATGACAACGGAGATGACCAGAAAGTTGGTGACTCAAGAAGCAATGGACAAACTTCCACGGCCGCGAGTCAGAAGATCCCTGTGATTCCAGATGATTTCCGATGTCCGATATCGCTTGAAATGATGAGAGATCCAGTCATTGTTTCCACAGGGCAGGTAAAAGTTCAGCTTCTTTGATGATAATGTCTTCAGATTGAATAAAAAGCATGTTCTCCTCTTATGTGTAGACCTACGAACGCACCTGCATTGAGAAGTGGCTAGAAGCTGGACACGCGACATGTCCAAAGACACAGCAGGCGCTAACAAGCACAACGCTCACGCCGAACTATGTTCTCCGTAGTCTCATAGCTCAGTGGTGCGAGGCCAACGATATCGAGGCTCCAAAGCCTCCGAGCAGTTTAAGACCGAGGAAAGTATCGTCCTTTTCGTCTGCAGCAGAAGCGAACAAGATCGAGGATCTTATGTGGAGGCTCGCTTACGGAAACCCCGAGGACCAACGATCTGCAGCTGGAGAAATCCGCCTCCTTGCTAAACGAAACGCAGACAACCGCGTGGCTATAGCCGAAGCTGGAGCTATACCTCTTCTCGTAGGTCTCTTATCAACTCCTGATTCTCGTATCCAAGAACATTCGGTGACAGCTCTGTTAAACCTCTCCATATGTGAGAACAACAAAGGATCCATTGTTTCAGCTGGAGCTATCCCTGGTATAGTTCAAGTGCTCAAGAAAGGAAGCATGGAAGCTAGAGAGAACGCGGCGGCTACGCTTTTCAGTCTATCGGTGATTGATGAAAACAAAGTGACGATCGGTGCGTTGGGAGCGATCCCACCGCTCGTTGTACTGCTTAACGAAGGTACACAGCGCGGCAAGAAAGACGCTGCGACTGCTTTGTTCAATCTCTGCATATACCAAGGAAACAAAGGAAAAGCCATACGTGCAGGAGTGATTCCCACTTTGACTAGACTCTTGACAGAGCCCGGAAGCGGAATGGTTGATGAGGCGCTTGCGATTCTTGCGATTCTCTCTAGCCATCCAGAAGGGAAAACGATCATAGGATCGTCTGACGCAGTGCCTAGTCTTGTGGAGTTTATTAGGACTGGTTCGCCTAGAAACAGAGAGAACGCTGCTGCGGTTTTAGTCCACCTCTGTTCTGGAGATCCGCAACATCTGGTTGAAGCGCAGAAGCTTGGACTTATGGGTCCGTTGATAGATTTAGCTGGGAATGGGACAGATAGAGGGAAAAGAAAAGCAGCTCAGTTGCTTGAACGTATCAGCCGTCTAGCTGAACAACAGAAGGAGACGGAGGCGGCGGCTCAGGCACAAACTGAAGAAGAAGCTGAGCCAACACATGCAGCATCTACCACAGAAACTGGCTGCTGCTGATACTTGAAAAGATTGTTTTTGTTTTGTTTTGTTCTCTCAGGTCATTTCTACCACTTACGTCTGTTTATTATTCTCACGTTTTGGCCTTTTGTTTGCTGCTACTCGGTCCTACGTTAAGGTAGGCTTCACTGTAGACGGCGGAAGCAGAAGATGGCCTCCTTCTCCGATCGACCTGTTTTTTTAACTTTATGGTGGTGATATCTTCTTGTGGACGGAGCAATCCGGTCCTGTGGAGAGGAAAAAGCAAATATGCATACATACACGTCAACTTGTATCATTGTAACATTTTTATGTTTGTAAAATCAATTCCACGAGCTTTATTTTTTTGTTTTTGTTTTAATACAAGTTCTCTCTTCACTTTATAAACAGACTAGGCGATGGTAATTGAATATAATGCAGATTCTGTTTTTCCCATTTGTGAGAGACTTGTGTTGAGAAATCACTGATGGAGTGCACCGTTCTTATATGATACACTCAGAGTCCTTTTTCTAAATCTCTTACATGAAGACTTATTAATCCAATAGGTCACCAATATTGAATTGTACAAACATTGGTGAGAAAAGCCAAACACAAAAGAATGTTATAAACGGAACCCAACTAGAAAACCAAAGCATTTTTATATAGTTGGGAATAACGTGGACCATAAACTTCATTTAGGTCTTTTTGTGGTGCGCATGTGCTGCTTTGTAGTGTTGGGAGAGGAACGTTGAACATTTGATCGCTGGATATCTATTCATTTAAAGAAATCCATAAACATTTTTAAGACAATGTTTTTGGTCGAAGGTCTTAAAAAATGTTACAAGGTGAAGATGTTAAAGCCTTACTTGGGAAGGTTGTTTTCGGACTGGCACGTGGGAAGACACTCTATGACACACTCAGGGCTCGGTTTAACGAATAATGGAATCTGCCATATGACAACACTTTAAGTAAGTAAAATGTTCACTTATGAACATGTTTTATTAAACCTATATTCTTGAAAAATAATAACATTGAGATTTAGCATGTGGCTGACTTACGGAATATCGGGCTTGTCCATTCCCAAGTACACGATGCAATGTAGATCTGTATGGTTTAATAAAAAAAAAAACATGTGTAATATAATTAACAAAAACTTGATGACAATAGAAAACTGTACTTGCAAATCACTGTACACATCATATTGTATAGAGAGACATGTGTGATGATGCCTTACGAAAAATTAAGCTCAAATAAACAAGAACATTTACTTGAAAAGGCCGTTACTCCAACGCTCTAGCAAATCGCCAAGATTCACAATATAGGCTCTGTAGAAGGAAAACAAACCATATACATATCTCTACCAAAGTCGAACAATATGACGTTATTATAAAAATATAAGGTGTTGTTATGGTAGTCAATGTAGCATTTCTCATTATATTACCCTTTAATCGAGGGTACATATTCCCACTTTTGAGGCTTTACGTCTTTATTCTTGCATATCTGCAATTAGATGTATTAGCAAGTTTGATAACTTAACTCGGTCGCATCAAAAGTTATATGAGACTAGGAAAGAAATGTACAACACCTGAAGTCCCATTACACCATCAGTTGCTAAGAGAGACAACATTCCAAAATCACAATGTGCTCCACATGCATAAATTCCATGCGAGGGATCAGAAATCCCTAAAAGGTAACAAAAAGAAAAAAGACAATTAATTAAAATGAGTCTAGCATTTCACATATAAAGCTATTATGCGATTGGGAACATACACTACCTTCATAGTGAAACAAGATCATATCCGCAATTGGATTTCCAAGCATCTCAGGTGTATCAAAGTAACCCGCATCCAAGTCGAGCGCCAAAGCCATAATTCTCGCAATAGATCTACAAACCCTCCTGAACATGCAGAATTGCTCATCATTAGTATGCAGTTTGAGAAACTTTATCCCTTAAGAGTTCCACATGAACATATGAAAAGGCTATAAAGTTTAAGAAACAAAGACTCACCCACTTATTTATTTTTAGTTGTCAACTTTTTTGTCATGAAATTTGAGTTTGAAAATCTAATTATTCCTTAAACAAAAGTGAGAAACCATTTTGAAATTTTGAACACGAGGCTCAAAGAAACCATTCCCTCAAATGTTAGTTGTTTATGTAATTTAAAGTTAAAAATGCGAGTTTTCCGTTTTTTATGACCAAATTACTTAATCTTTCTCTCACAACGTATAGAGCCATAAAACCCATATTTACAAGGAGGACTAAAGCAAAAATTAGTGAAATAACACGTTAAACTGACGATAAAAAAAGAGACTAATGAAGAATTGAGGTGTTCAGTTGACGATACTGCCCACATAACAATATTTTTACCTTTTTAGAGTTTACAAATTAAATAAAAATTCTAGTTCCGATTTGACCAAGAGTAACTGTCTAACTGAAGTCGTAGGAAAATCTGTACTGGTAAATGGAAGTCTACTTTATGCATGTGGAAAGAGAGAGATGTCATATTCACTACTTTTTTTGTTTCTTGTCATATTCATTACCTATTTGGGATAAAACAGAAAGAGCCAAGTTTTTAAAAATCTGAGTTACCTAATTTGCCATTAACCTAAAAAATTTGTTATTCCATTAATCATTAAGCATTAACAGCTTTCCACATAATTTGTCATTCTTCTAAAAACAAAAGAAATGTTATTCCATTAATCATTGGGCATTAACAGATTTCCACCTAATTTGTCACTATTCTACAAAAAAAAATGTTGTTCCATTAATCATTGGACATTAATAAAATTTCCCACCTACTAATTTCTCTATTTACAACTCTAAAGCAAAGAAACAAACTTGAGACTTACAATGCTTCTTGATAATATTCCTCCATGGTCTCCCGCCATCCAGGCAAAACATCTACCAGAAACATCAAATATTATCCAAAGAATAAAGCATAAAACTAATAAAAAAGGACAAGGCAAAAACGAACCAGGGTTAGGCCAAATGTTAGGGCTATAGAATGGCTTATCCAAATGGGGACCATATTTTGGACCTTCGTTTCCAATGGTAAAACCCTCTTTGCAATCCCCTAAAACCCATGATGTTACACCAAGAGTGAGATACAAGAAACAGTAGTTTTAGACTAAGCAAGTGAATTCTGATTCAGACGAACCCCGAACTTGGTTTATAGGATCCAAGAGTTGATCATAAAGTGGTGAATAGCCTCGATACTTTTCGTTTCTCAAGACTTTCATCTTCTCTTCCATAGGAAGACCAAAGAACTTCTTGCTCTGCTCGAAAGCCTCGTCCTTCAACTCCTCACGTATACCATGATTTATGACATAAAAAAATCCAGAATCTAGACATGCCTGGAACAAAAATGGACCCATAACAATCAACGTTTTCATCTTTATGGGAAAAAAATGTAGACATACCTGTTTGAGCAAAGCAGCTGATTGATGAAGGTCAGAGTTTTCAAGATCAATGCAAGTAAGGGATGCTTTGATGGTTAAAGCTTCCTCCTCAGGTTTATTCTCCATCTCCATCGATATCTCAATCTCTGTATTGACTTCTTAGGATAGTGAAATAGAATGGTTTTTTTCCACCTTAGCTTATCTTATCCCGTGATTTATGCCTCTGCCATATACGTATTATTATCCACATCCACTTATTACGATCCACGTTTTAATTATTCAGATGTACTAATTTATTACTAATATTTGGAATATGGCCAAAATGATCATTTATTGAAATTGAAGCCTGCGACAAGAAGTGGCGGCCTACATACAGCTCGGTTGTTTAATATAGTGTTCGAACCTGAAAAAAATAGTTGCAGAATGTAGATTTTCAACCTATTAATCTGTGTTATGTAATATCTCGTTAAGTTAAATGTTTCATATATACAGAAGACAAATCCGAGTTACGTATATTTGGACTGGCATAAGATCATTAACCTTCGTAGAACAAACATGTTCTAGACTGGTTAGATAAATCTCCCAGTTAAAAGTTAACACACATATTTCGAATCACATTTTAGTGTCAAAGTACGGAGAACTGTCAGTTCGATATCTTCGAAAGAACTGGTTACAAAACCTGATACTATGTCATTTATAACAAAAGTGTTTTAGAAATCTCTTCATTTATTTATTTTTCATAGTTTTCTGATATTTGTTAATAGCAACCAAATTTGATACGAAGTGCATATAACATAATCTTAAGATCATATGAAACAAGCAATTTTTTAAAGAATAAAATAATGACATTTGGGCAACAAAGTTGACAAACAAAAATTTTGAAAAATAATCCTGGTGGCTACCATATATTTTAGACACCTTTCTTATTTTCCACTATTTTTAATATCCAGCAAACCGTAAGTCCATAACAAAGAACTGATCTAAAGTGACGAAAAAAGTTACACGTTAAAGTATTCAATAAGACTAAACCCTATGATTTACCACTGATCATCAGATGTCACCATCGGCTTAGTTAAGAGCGCAATAGATACATTTTCGTTGTGGGAAAATGTTGGAATCAGCTCTTTAAACCTACAGTAACCTCCGTCCAACTGCAAACCTATCTTCTCTAATGTCTTTGTGTTCTTAAGAAGAAGTTCCACGAATGACGCCACATGCTCTGAATTTAAATTCCAATGAGACGTGTTCCAAGACAACCCATCTTTTGATCTCCAGCATTGATCCGGATTCAATCCTTGCGAAACAATGTGCTTGTAGAAATAATCATTCTGTACAACAAGAAAAAAAAATATTTTCAAACTCGATATTTATAGTATGGTCAAGGAAAGTCAAGGAGTTTTTAATAATCAGTACATACCGGTATAGCAATGTAATGCCTTGTGTGTAGTGTTAGCTTCTTCAAATCAGGTGAGTTTTGTAATATCCTCTCTACGCCAGGAATAACATACTGAGAGATCGATGTCTCAAGAGTCAGATCTTTGACGTTGAACATCGGAAAAGGAAGGCCACGAATCTCGGCAAGAGATAACATCTAACAAGAAAGCAGCGAAAGATAGTAAATAGACCTAGTTACACTTATCGACAAGCAAGTAAGGAACTGATTATAATCATTCCAAACTTTGGGAGATCATAGATGCAAACTTTTTGAATTTGAATTATTTTTTACATTCAATTTGTTTTAAAAAGATAGTAATATATTGTATATCAAACTCAGAAATAAAGAAGGAGCATCACAAGAAAAAATTCATTGATCAAAAGCTATATACCATGCACATAAAACATATCAAAACGTTTTTAAACTTGTTAATAATCAAAGCCTAGTGAAAATCTATCTGATTCTTTATGAGTAAAGTAATTTAAGAGAGAGAGACCAAAAATATACCTGAAGAAAGTTTCCTCCAATAGTAAGCTTCTCTACATGCATCAACTTTTCTAGCATATTTACCACATTGGCTTGAAGAAGAAAACCAGCCTGCAAGGTTTCTCTAACCGACTTAAAAAGTATGTTCAGTTTAGCTTCCGTCAAAGACGAGACATCAACTAAAGTACATGGTAACTGAGAGGTTTTCAATATGAGACAACGGATATGTGGTGCCACTATCTCCGTTGGCCCCGGAATACAAGTGTCTCGGACTACTTCTAATGTTCTCAGACGTGGCGATGTGCTGAGATCAAGAACATTGAGTTGATTGCAGAAATACAACGTTAAGCTCTCGAGAATCGGACAACCAGATAGAATCTTAGCCATGGTATCATCAGAGAGATTCCAAAAACGAAAGGACAACTTCTTGAGGGACGTCCAAGAAACAGAGCATCTTGGAATCATATAAGTATATTGTAACTTCACGTCGAGTTGCTTGTGAAAGATATATAGGGTTCATAATTTCAATGAACCTTAATCACCTTAATGTGACATGCAAAATTTATATGCATGTCACTTCACTTAAATCTCATGATCTTTAAACAACTATATTAATCACATAATAGAACTATGAAGAGTTTTAGTAATACCTCCATTCATTGTGAGAGAAGCTTTCTTGAATGATTCTTTAGAAGTAGAGCTTTCTTGAACAATTCCTTCTTGACTTGAAATGGAGAAACTCTTGATCTTTGATAGGATTTTAAGGTTTCTGTCCTCTTGCCTATAAACTTCTTTAGGTGTTGTGTTTTCTTATATGTTTTTGGGATGGAGCAAAGACACCTATTTATAGGTGAGGAGAGGACCTTATTCCTCATTAGGGTTCTTCTTGATTCAATCTCAACCATCCATCAAAGTAGGATTGAATCCATTTAGTGACAAGTGTATGAATATGTGTCATGCCATTAATCTTTTATATGACAAGTGTGACACAAACTTGGAGATCAAGACTAAGGGAGATGTATTCTTAATCCATAAATAACATCTCCAAACTTTGTCTCCAAGCTATTCTCCTAAGCATGACAAGTGGTTTAACACTTGTCACTTTATGTTCATAACACTTGTCCTTTAATTCATGAGAAACTAAACTCCTTAAAACCAAACTTAATTGGTTACCAACCAAAAGAAAAGCATTTACTATAAAGACCACATTCTTGAGAGATGAAATATATTAGTTGCAAACATATTTCTTACAGCTTGATAGAGGAATTGGTGTAGAAGAAGTCTGGAATATCATAATTATAAAGAAAACTGAAATCAAGGAACATATTCTCCACGTTCCGGGACATGGCGAACTCGATCCACTTGTCGATGTCGGGAACATTGAGCTCCTAGTTGGTTTTGAGATGAAAATTCATCATCTTGAGAGCCGTGTAGAAAGTTAGGGTTTTGTTGATTGAAGCAGCCTTTAGTGTAGTATTATCGAAGCAAAGAGAAGGCATATTGGACCATACATGCCTCCATCGTCTGCACAAGAGGGAAGTTCTGATGGCCAATTTTGTTGACACAAAAGAGAGGATATGTTGAAGGATTTCATCTGGTAGAGAGCTGATTTGTGATTGTTCATGGCTATCGATTCTTTCGTTGGACATCTTATTCTACGATTTGCTTTTATGACACAGCTTGTTTATTTTATTTTATTATAGGACGTGAGAAGTCCCTTCCTCACGTATCTTCTTACAAAACACTGTCTTAGGGTTTTTTTAACGTCCCATTTTTTTTCCTTTTTAGTAACTTTTCATAATATAGGCCCAGTATATAATTGGTTTCGTTGATATTGTGGACTCAGTTTGTATACGACATATTGGGCCCATTGATATCATACTAATTGAGAAAATTATGTTTTGATAAAAAATATAATAACATGTTCTTTTTCTTTTATGATGCCTTCCAATTTTATCAATACAGATGTAGCCAGATGTATAATGGTCAAACCATACAACGAAATCAAATTTGTAGAAGAAAAAAAAACGAAACCATAAAAAGCAAACTCAAGAATTTTGACAACAAGGAAAGACAATCAACTGAACTAGAGAGCCGAAGCATGCATTTATAGTGGGAAGGGCGTGGACCGCAAACTTCTGTCATCACCTAGGTCTGATTTTTGTAGCTGCTCAGTTTCGCATGTGATTCTTCGTAACGCTGCTTGAGGTACGTCGAACATTTGATCGCTGGATATCTATTTATCAAACATAACCATAAACAGATTTAAAACACAATGAGTAGAGACTAGAGAGAGAGAGGGAGAGAGAGACAAAAAAATCTAAAGCATTACTTGGGAAGGTTGTTTTTGGACTGGCAGGTAGGAAGACACTCTATTATACAGTCGTGACTCGGTTCCACGAAAAACGGAATCTGCGATTAATAAGGGTAATATTAAATATTGTTGTTGATAGTAATATTTTATAAACTCAACATGAAACACGTTCACGCAAAAATAGATTGTTGAGAAAATGATAACAAACATTGATCACAAGAACATTAATGCAAGTTAAGCATAGAAAGAAGTGGGGATTAGTAAGAGACTTACTGAATATCGATTCTGGCCATTCAAAATAACCCGATGCAGTGTGGATCTTTATGGTAAAAAAAAGGGCTTGTGAGACAAATGATAGCTTGAAAGAAAAGTTTGCAAATCACATTCACATGTACTCCCTAATATATAAAGTACGTCCAAAGAAAAACGGATATTACTTGAAAAGGCCATTGCTCCAACGCTCCATCATATCACCAATATTCACAACAATCGCTCTGTAGATGGAATAAGAAAAAACAAAATATACAAGTCCACAAAAACGTTTAAATATGAACCATAGAAGTTCAAGACTTCAAGAAATTTTGTTTTACGAGAGAGGGAAAAAGTTATCATTGTACCCTTCAATTGACGGTACATATTCCCATTTCTGAGGCTTGACGTTCCTATCCTTGCATATCTGGTCATGTTTAATCACATTGCTTTAAAAATACATGACTAATCAAAACAAAACAGAAAGTGATTTTGAAAATATGTTCTCAAATCAGTACCTGGAGTCCCATAACACCATCAGTTGCTAAGAGAGTTATCATTCCGTAATCAGAATGTGCTCCAGTTCCATATATTCCTTTTGATGGATCCGACTTCCCTAAGAGATACACATAGCAATGAGATTAGCATATATATATATGTACATTGGTATATGGTTTTCTATGTAAAATATATCACCTTCATAGTGTAGCAAGCGCATAGTTGAAATAGGCTTTCCAAGCATCTCAGAACTATCAAAGTAATCCACATCCAAGTCAAGCGCCAACGCCAATAGTTTGGCAATGGCCTTACAAACCCTCCTGATAAAATAGATGAACATTCAATTAAACCTATGGAACCAGAATTTTGAATCTTGATTAAAGAGTCATCCTATCTTAACTTCATAAATGGAATGATGAAACTCAACACTTATTCACAAAATGTGAAGAAGGGAAACAGGGAAAACCATAAATGTGACTTACAATGCTTCTTGATGATATATCTCCATGGTCTCACGCCACCCAGGCAAAACATCTAACAGAAGAAAAAAACAGTAATATAAGTTTCTTCAAAGGAAGAGAAGCCAAAGACGAATATGAGAACTTTTACTAGTACAAGATTTTGGAATGAGAGAGAGATAGAGACGTACAAAACAATTGATCAAACCTCTTACACCCAAGACAATAGTTTTATAGAACAGGGTAACAAACTCTACTTTTTTTTTTTACTATCCAAATTTATAATCAGAACACCCCACAAAAAAGAGCTCACTAACCAGGATTAGGCCAAGGGTTGGGGCCATAGAATGGCTGATCCCATTGAGGATCATCTCTGGGAACTTCTGCTCCAATGTAATAACCCTCTTTGTGATCCCCTAAAATCAACAGCAAGATATGATTGAGAGAAACAGACAACAAAATTTGAAGTGAAATATGGTTACACGAACCTAGGACTTGATTCTCAGGATCAGGGATTTGATCATATAACGGTGTATAGCCTCGGTGCTTTTCGTTTTTCAACACTTTCATCTTCTCCTCCAAAGGAAGATCGAAGAACTTTTTGCTCTGCTCAAAAGCCTTGTTCATGACTTCCTCACTTATACCGTGATTTATAACATAAAAAAATCCACAGTCCAAACATGCCTGAGACGAGAAATCTCTCCCTAATTAAGGAATCATTGTATTTTAACAAAATGGAAAAACTAAATGGAGACAGACCTGCTTGAGCAAAAGAGCTGATTTATGAAGATCAGTGTTTGTGAGATCAATGCAAGTAAGGGATGATTCTTGGATAATCGAAGCGTCCTCATGTGTTTTAGGCTCCATCTCTCTCATTTCCTTGTTTGACTTGTAGAGGAAACTGGCTCTTTTTTACTTTACTTCACTCTCATGTCCTATATGTGATATATAATGCGATATTTAACATGGAAATTTTAAGAGATTAGTACTACCAATAATTCAAACCACTACCAAGTATTCAAACCATTAAACAATATGTAGAAAATACTATTAACATTAATAATCAAGTGGACAGCTTTTTTTTTTTTTTTTTGGACGAACTATTAACATTAATAATCAAATGGACAGCTATCTATCTAATTTTCTGAATTAAACAATATTTTAATTAAACAAAAAGACAAATTTACCTTTCCAATTAGGGGATAACACTGTTTACCCATATAAATCATGAAAACATGACTCATAAGCATCGTTTTTGATAAGTTATTTTGTATTCTTTCTAGATCTTGTTTGATATTTGTCTGCTAATTCAGAATCAAGTTTATCCTCTACAGCCATAAGTACTTTGTTAACTTTAACAGAATTTGAATGGTGTGTTTCATCTCTACACCTGAGAAGCCGTTGATGATAGAGAGAGGCAAAGACTGTGCCTCAATTTTTGTCTTATTTAAATCCTGTAGTTTAAGAGCCTTTTTCTCAAGGTATAATATCATAGCACTGGAGAGGAGAGAGGGAGAGAGAGATTTGAATGTAATAAGTGATCGTTACTTTTAGGTAAAGAACATTAATAACTAAACCAATGATGGAGATGTATTTGATCATTATATCAAATGATTATTTCTTTAGTTTAGTTGATTAAAAACTAGCCGCCCTTAATGAAAACGATCGCCATTTTCTTTTGAATGTTGCTGCCACACAAATCTAGCGACAGAGTATATAAACGAATCAGTTGATTAGGTAACACATGCAAAGCAATACAGCTAAAAGGGGATGCTACTTACGTTGTACCTGAAAAATAAAAAAATTCACTAGCAAAAATGGTAAAAAATGTCTACTGACACCTCATAACCCATGTTCGATTTCCACTCTTTCTATTTAATGTATTTTCTGAATCTTTTTTGGGCTTCTTGTATGTGCTGGGTCATTAATCTGAGCCATACACATTCTCTACAAGTCTTGTGGAGAGAAATAGTTTATGCATAATTTGAATATGTTGTAACTAGAGGGTTTATGATGTCTCCCAATCTTATATATAAATGTCTACTCTGGAATTTTACGTAAAAAAATTGCCAATACATATTGGCCCTATAGATAGGCAGATGTATAATGGTCAACCATACAAACAAGAAGGCAAACTTGGAGAAAAACAAGACAAAGAAACCATATATATAATATAACCTTGGTGAGGAAACCAAACTTAGAAGACTCTTGCAAGGAGGAAAGACAAGAAACCCAAGTAGAGAGCCAAAGCATGCAATTATAGTTGGAAGGGCGTGTGACTACAAACTCCACCTAGGTCTGTTTCTGGTAGCTGCTCAATTTCACAAATGATTTTTTCATAACGTTTCTTGAGGTACGTCGAACATTTGATCGCTGGATATCTATTCATCAAACATAACCATAAACAGAGTTAAGACACTATTACAAAGGACATTTCGACCTTACGGTCTTAAATACAAGGATTCATGTGTAGATAACAAAGAGGAGGGTAATACAATTTGACTGGTCAAGGGTCTTAATATAACAGTGTAAAGATGTTAAGCATTACTTGGGAAGGTTGTTTTTGGACTGGCAGGTGGGAAGACACTCTATAATACAGTCGTGATTCGGTTTCAAGAAAAAGGGAATCTGCGGTTAGATGCAATATTGTAAATGTTTTAAAATTTGATATTTGATAAACTCAACTTGAAACACGTTTAGATCGTTGAGAAAATGATAATTGTTCACAAGAACATTAAAATGTAAGAGACATAGACACAAGTGGGGATTAGTAAAAGACTTACCGAATATCGATTCTGGCCATTCAAAATAACCCGATGCAATGTGGATCTTTATGGGAAAAACGAAAAAAAAAAGCTTGTGAGACACATGTTAGCCGGATATTTTTTTCTTTCAAATCACATGTACTCCTTAGTATATAAAGTTACTTCCAAAGAAAAATGGATATTACTTGAAAAGGCCATTGCTCCAGCGCTCCATCATATCACCAATATTCACGACAATTGCTCTGTGTAGACGGGAACATAAAAAAGCCAAAAACACATAAGTCCACTGAAACTGTAAATTACGAACCATATGAAATTAAAATTTCTCATTGTGTTACCCTTCAATCGACGGTACATATTCCCACTTCTGAGGCTTAACGTTCCTATCCTTGCATATCTGTCATGTGTTAATCAGGTTACTTCAAAAATAAATGACTAATCGAAGGAAAAAAAAATTGTGACCCTTAAAAACTTAACGCTCAAATCAGTACCTGGAGTCCCATAACACCATCAGTTGCTAAGAGAGTTATCATTCCGTAATCAGAATGTGCTCCAGTTCCATATATTCCTTTTGATGGATCTGACTTCCCTAAGAGATAAATATAGTAGCATTGAGATTAGCATATGTACAATGGTTACGCAGTTGTATAACGCCAATAGTTTGGCAATAGCCTTACAAACCCTCCTGATAAAAAAAAATATATATATATATATATATATGAACATTTAATTAAACCTATGGAACCAGAGTTCTGAATCTTTTGTACAGAGTTATCCGACCTTAAATGGAACATTTAAACTCAACACTTATTCACAAATGTGAAGAGAGGAAACAGGGAAAACCATAAGTGTGACTTACAATGCTTCTTGATGATATTTCTCCATGGTCTCACGCCACCCAGGCAAAACATCTACAAGAAAAATAAATGATATATGAATGACCTCTTTATATGTGTGCAAGAACTTAAAACATCACTAATGAAAGAGGGAGAGATTATATAACAGAGTAAAAAACTCTATTTTTGTTTAACTATACCATTTTGAAATCATAAATTCAAAACTAACAAAGAAAAAAGAGCTCACTAACCAGGATTAGGCCAAAGGTTGGGGCCATAGAATGGCTGATCCCATTGAGGATCATCTCTGGGAACTTCGGTTCCAATGTAATAACCCTCTTTCTGATCCCCTTAAACACAACAAGATATGATTTGAGACTTCAGAGCCATCAAACAAAATATATTGAAGTGAAAACTTGTTACACAAACCTTGGACTTGATTCTTAGGATCAGGGATTTGATCATATAACGGTGTATAGCCTCGGTGCTTTTCGTTTTTCAACACTTTCATCTTCTCCTCCAAAGGAAGAGCGAAGAACTTTTTGCTCTGCTTAAAAGCATTGTTCATCACTTCTTCACTTATACCGTGATTTGTAACGTAGAAAAATCCACAATCCAAACATGCCTGAAACAAGAACTTTCCTAAGGGAATCGTCGTATTTTTACAAAATGGAAAAACTAAATGGAGACCGAAGACGTACCTGTTTGAGCAAAAGAGCTGATTGATGAAGATCAGAGTTTGTGAGATCAATGCAAGTAAGGGATGATTCTTGGATAATCGAAGCCTCATCCTTTCTTTTAGTCTCCATCTCTCTCGTTTCCTCTTTCGACTTATTGAAGAAAATGGCTTTTTACTTTAATTTACTTCACTCCCAAGTCTCATTATATATAAGAATAAAATCACTCAATAATAAGTATTTGGGTCCAAATTAGATTTGGTTTTTTGTCATTTTAGTAAAGAAGAAATATCGCCGGAATAATAAAGGATTGTAGTTAGTAGTTACTTGTATGATTATTATCGTAGTGAAGGCCAAAAATTCACTACCGTGACAGGACCATGCACGTTTTACGACATATCATCCTCCATGAGCCCCAAAAGGACCATGCACGTTTTCCTTTCTAATCTCTTATTTTCTCCATTTCATTGTAAATTTATAACTGTCGGTTGATATCTTCCAGACATATGATGCTAATTTACTATATATAGTTCTAAGTTCTCTATCAAATTGTTAAACAAATATAAGTCATAGACATAAAACTGAAATTTAGTTTACAAAACTGTATTTTATGGAAATGAAGATTGTGCAACGACACATATTATTAAACATAAAAATAAAATAAAATATTTATCTATAAATCTAATAGCTTTATAGGTATAAACCTTGATGAGCAAGCCCAACGCAACTCGGTAACAATTAATATAGTGTGGGGGAGGGCTTGGACCATAATTAAACTTCACTTACGTACCCGTAGATGCTCAAATCCGCATGTGTTTCTTGGTAACGTTGCGTAAGGTATGTAGAACATTTAATTGCTGCATATCTATTCATTAAACACGATATCCTTCAACTTCTTTAAGACACTGTGACAGATCCAAGGTCTCAATATATAGCTAGGTAAAAGACGTTAAAAGCCTTACTTGGGACTTGGGAGGGTTGTTTTCCGATTTGCAAGTAGGAAGACATTCTACTAGACAGTCGTGGCTCGGTTTCACGAAGAATGGAATCGGCAAACTCGTTTAATGTTCTACAAAAAACATAATTTTTTTGATAAACAATACAGTACTGATCATGGCCGTGGCCGTGGTGATCATTGACCCAGATTTCAAGCTTTGGTTTGCATTTTGTAATCCCTCTTTCAGTTTTTAGAGTTTTATAAAAACTTTCACTAGATTAAGCCAAAACTTAATCCTTTCTCCTCTAATCTCTCTTTTCTTTTGTAATTTTTTTGTAATGGCTACTTTTATTTAATGAAAACCCTTTACCAAAAAAAAGATAAATAATACAGTACTGATCATATGGCTTAAAGTCTTCCACACCATAGCCATCGTAAGAGACTTCCTGAATATCCTTTTTTTTTTTTTTTTGAACAACATCCTGAATATCCAAAAAAAGAAACATATAAAAACAATTTGTTGTGGGAGCTAGCTAGTGTAGTATATTTAATGAATCATGAAAGCAAAAACCAAAAACTTTCATTCAACATACCCTTTAATCGATGGTACATACTTCCGAGGCTTCACATCTTTATTCTTGCATATCTGATATAAGCAATTTCTCATACCAAAGCTACGGTTACATCAAAAGTTATACGATTTGCGAAAAGTGTGTATATATATGATCATAGTATCGTATACTTTACATGACTATAGGCTATAGCTTTAATTTTTGACCATAAAGGAAATACAAAACCTTACATATGCAATTGAACCAAAACAACGCAATCCTATTGGTTAAAAATTGTAGTGTAGCCATAGACCCGTCCGTAGCTGATCCGGCCACTCCCATATGTTCCCTTGATGAACAATTGAACATCGATGCCAACAACAACAACAACAGCAAAATAAAAAATCCCCAGTTCGATCTTTTGAACCTTCTTCTATCAACTTTAAAGCTCAATTTCAATTGCTTTTCTCTCAATCTTTCTCTCAGATCACTGAAAACCTCAAGCTCGATTTCTTATCAATCCGCTATGGCGTCGTCACAAGCTTCTCTTCTTCTTCAGAAACAGCTCAAAGGTACAACACAAAACCCGCGAATCTCTCTCTCTGTTCGAGTTTTTGGTGCTCTCTGTTATTGAATTCGATTTGATTGTTATTTTCTCAGATCTCTGTAAGCATCCGGTTGATGGATTCTCTGCTGGTCTGGTTGATGAGAAGAATATATTCGAATGGGGCGTTACGATTATCGGACCTCCTGATACTCTCTAGTACGTTTTCTCGATTTCCCTCTCCCTTTGATCCATTAGATTTATAAGCTTTTCCGTAGAGATTGATTCGATGATCCATCTGAGTTTGAGCTGAGTATAGCGATTTTTTTTATTTCTGCCGGAAATTCGGATCGATTTGTTGGAACGACATTGGATTACTGATATAGCGAAGTTTCTGAGATTGTTAATTTCAGATTTATGCAGTTGTTAGAATTTCAGCTTTTTTTTTGAGCCTTAATAGTCATAGAATCGAATTGGTTTTGCTGGATTGCATTGGAATAGTGTTCTTGTGGAGATTTTATTGTAGAATTTAAGTTTTTGTAGCTATTCTTTGTAAATAGTTATTGTATGTAGAATTGAATTGGTTTTTCTGGATTGCATTGGAAGAGTAGTGTTCTTGTGGAGATGCTATTGTGTCACCTATGTGTTTTTCTTTTGCTTGAAGTTACTCAGATTTGGTCCTTTGTTTCACTTTGCTAAAAATGCAGTGAAGGAGGATTCTTCAACGCCATTATGTCTTTCCCACAAAACTATCCCAATAGCCCACCCACGGTGCGGTTTACTTCAGATATTTGGCATCCTAATGGTTAGTTCTTTCTCGCCAAAGCAAGTAATGTTTGAGAAGATGACAATTTGCTACCAACTTATTCCGCTCATTGCTTCGTGTTTTGAATCCCTTTGGCAATTGCTTTTCTCTTATGGTCTGCAGTATATACCGATGGCCGTGTTTGTATATCTATTCTGCATCCTCCTGGTGATGATCCAAGCGGATATGAGCTTGCAAGCGAGCGCTGGACGCCTGTTCACACTGTACGTTTAAAGAAATTATCCAATATTATGCTTGGACCAAGAATGTTGTCATTTAGAATTTGATGAGTGGAACGTATCAATGCTTGATTTCAGGTTGAAAGTATCATGTTGAGTATCATATCTATGCTTTCTGGTCCCAACGATGAATCTCCAGCAAATGTTGAAGCTGCTGTGAGTATTTTTCTTTTTACACTCTCTTTTGGATTTTCATTTAGTATCGTTACGAGTCATGTATGTACTGAAGCTTGCTCGTTTTCTTATTGTTTTCCTCTTTACAGAAAGAATGGAGAGAGAAGAGAGACGAGTTCAAGAAGAAAGTGAGCCGTTGTGTGAGAAAGTCTCAAGAAATGGTGTGATCAAACACTTTCCACCACTTAAAAGTTGATTCTCTTATCAAAAACTGTCCAAACACTATTTGTAATAAACCCGTCTTCCATCTTTTTGATCGCGTTTCCAGAACGTGAATGAAGTGTTTGGTCGAAATTGTGTTGTTTCTTGAAAAACTGACATTAAATTTATACTATTCATACGAAGCTTTGTTTTGAGTTTGTTGGAGCTTTTAGCATAGTACCTTCTTTGTTCTTCATAGTAGCTAAAACTCCATGCCGTGTTTATGTTCCCGTGAGAAACTTCGTACAGTTTCGCTTTTTGCATGAGTTAAATAAAAAAAACAGCGTGATGTTCGCGTCTTCCGTGGCCTACGTATTTAAAAGGCTCGTGACGTTGTCGCTCCCGGGCCGTTGATTAACTAACCCATCAATCGCTATCAGCTAGTTGGGACAGTACACGTGTCCCATACCGTGTTTCCTTGTCTGTTTCAAAGTTTCGTTCGTCTCTTTAGAATTGCGACTTCGGCGAGAAACGGAATCTCGCCTCGCTGCCGATAATTTGATTCTCCGATCAGTTCACCTATTTCGTTGTCCTCGATTAGTTCAGCCGATCTGTTTTCAGTCGATTAACTCGAGGTTAATGAAGAAACCGCAGAGCTTTTACGTTTTAACCGATGATGAATGATTTTTCGTTGCTCGTTTTGTTTATAAAATTTTCCGATTTCGTGAATTCTGTTTATCTCCTTGTAGTTCCTTATGAGGAATTTAGATTATCATTGTTGAATTTCCATGATTTTGGCTTCAAAATTAGTGATTCGCTCGTTTATTCTGATCGATTACCGGAAATTTTGAAAACACACACTGTTTGCAGATTGATGTTGTTCGACATGAAATCGGCGTGATCTCGTTTTGAGTTACTGGAATTGTTTTATTAATGGGAGACCATTCTTCTAGAAGCTCTACGATGTCAACTGTTTCTTCTCGGAAAGAGTTTCCTAAGAGAAGCTTAGTAGCTGCTATTCCAAGAGCCGTTCACCAGACGATTTGCAAGCATGTTTCCTTGGCGAGTAATGGCAGAGTTGGGAGTGGCGGCACCGTGCGTAACGCGGCCGTGTTTCTGCTCAAAGTCGCGGTTTTAGAAGTCGTTCGAAGAGTTTCAAAGGCCAAGTGTCCTCATTTGTGGAACAGTATTCAAGCGTTGCAATGCTTTTGTTACCCTCCTCTTAAGTGGATTCAGAGGTGGGCTCCGTTTAAGGAGTTGATCAAGGCAATGCAGGTTTGCTACTTTGTGTTTATTTGATATTGCTTTCACTGTACTGATCAGATCTGCTGTGAGTCTCAAATATATGTGTATAATCTTTATGCAGATGCTGTCTCGGCCATTATTGGTCCTCACGATTGCAGAGGCTCTCACGGATCAGTCAGAGTTAAAGCAAGAAGCCCCTGGTGGTACCGCCTCTGATGCATCTTCAGAATCACATTCTGAGCCACAGGCGTCTCAGTCTCCATCAGACATAAGGTACGTCATGTCAAAGTCTTACCTGTAATGTCAGTATTGTCTAGATATCTTAGATTTTCTGTAAATGCAGAATTGAAGATGAGGCTCCACGTCCTGTAATTTCACAAGACTGGCTTAAGCAACTCTACGAAGAATTGGAAAAGCAGAGACTTAGCTTGCCAGAGAGGTACTGTCACATTTTAGTGTTTATATGAAGAAGTGCTTCCTTCTTTTGAGTTTCAACGTTATATTTTTCTACATTAGATCATAATCTTCAAGTCTCATTTAAATGTAGACTCAACGAAGACGAGCTTCGTAGATTCTATAGAGTGTCAAATGGAGACTTCACATCCTTACTGTCTTCGATTAAAAAGACAATCCATTGGAGGGAGACTTACAGAATCCTTTCTGAAGAAGAACTTGAGACATGGTCAAGTTTAGTCTTTTGGCATGGATATGACAAGAACCAGCGACCTTGCCTCATTGTCCGCTTGGGGCTTGCTTTTCTGAAGTTGCCGTCTCATGAAAGACCTCGTTTTGCTCAGGCAATCAGTACGTCCTTAGTTGCTTTACTTCATTTTTCCGGCATTGTCTTTCTTACGGTGTTCTTATAATCAAGTACTATCTTTGTTTCAGTTTCTCAGGTAGAGCACGGCGTTTTGCATCTTCTAAACCCTGAGAATTCAGAACTTACGGTATTGGTTGATTGTGAAGGATTATCTCCTCTGAGGATTCCCATGCAGATGATGAGATCTTGCTCTTCCATTCTTCAAGATCACTTCCCTAACCGTCTCGGCTGCCTATTCATCATCCGACTCCCTCCTGTTGTCCGAGTCATTTCCCAGACTTTTATCCAAGTAAAAACATCAATTTTTTTCTGGTTTTCTTAGTCTATTGATAGTTTCATGTGAACCCCTGCCTAAACTTATGTTTCCTCTCTCATAGATTCTCAGACCAACGACACGCAAGAAGCTAAGAATTGAAGGGGAAACTTTCCACCGGGTGCTCTCTGAATATCTCCAGACGCTTCCTTCGTACCTTGGCAGTGACTGCAACTGCAGAAGATGCTCAAATCTCAGCAAACAAGATCCACCACAACCACAGACACAAACACACAGAAGAAGCAAGAGAGGAAGCTCAAGGGAGACTGAGAAGCTAGACGAAAGCCCTTGGAGTTACAATGTCCAGACACCTGATTTGGTCTATGAGGAGGACCCGAGCTTGAACATGTGTAACCAAGTGCTTCGAACAGCAGTAGTGTTCTTGCTCATGCTTTGGCTCTTCGGTGCCTTACTAGCTGGATTCGCCGATCCCGAGAGCAGACCCTTTTAAGCCTCAGTTCCGTAAAGTAGGAACCAGCCATAACCAAATAGAGGCATATACGTATGTTGGTGATGTTTTGTTAAAGTCTGAGTTTGCAGTTGGGATTATGATTGTTGGTGATGTTTTGTTAAAGTCTGAACTGTTTAATAGTGAGAAAATTTGTATCTAAAATCTATATTTATAAGTAAGGAAAATGGATATACTGTAGTCACAAAGTCACATTCTTATTCCTGAAGTTGCCCCATTCCTATCCGGTCCTATTCTCCCAGAAAATCAAATACAAAGCTAATCCCAATTTAGTATGAATATATGAGGGCAAGTGGCTTTTTTTTGTAAAAAAAAATCACTAACATGAATCTTCATATATCACAATAAATTTAAAGGTGACAAATGTCCTATGAAATTTATGACATGTCATCTTCTTAATTCAACATATATAATATATTTACATATATCTATCATAGTTCTTTTTAATTGCTGAAATAATGCTAATACTTATTTTTAAATGTTGAATGTTGAATGTTGAAGCAATTGTAAGGATCTTAATCATATGATTTTAATAAGAAAATATATCTTATATGATAATGTTGTCACACGGTTTGCATAAATTTTGCATATAGTTTTTCACATATATTGTTATATAGCCCAGTTCATTAATAACATTTTCGTAAATAGATTTTTTGTTATAAAATAAATAAAGGTTAAATTGGTCAAAAAGACATTTGAATCATAATGATAAAATAAGGTTTATTTAGTCACTACATAACTTTCGAAGATTATTATAGCTAACTTTTCAATATTTTATTAGTTATATTACTATGGTAACATTTATTATATGAGATAAGACAAGACAATAAATATATTTTTCATCATATTTTCGTTTTAAATATATTTGTCCTTCCAAGAAAAACAGTAAAGTTCGGAAAAATCATGATTTAAACAATACAAAGAAAATGGATGAAAAGTGTAATCACGATTTAGTTACCATAATAAAAATGTTTACATATTGTGAACATTCATATCGAATAATCAGTATTTCTTTACTATATTTTACATTTCACAATCATGTCCGTATAATCAGTATAAAAAAAGATAGAATAAGACATTTGTTTTTCTTTATATGAAAAATACCGATGATAAACATATATTGAATACTCGGAAATAAGAATTAGATAAATCAATGTAAATACTATAATAACAAGAAAATTGAAATATTTAATAAGTATAATTAAAATAATTGGCTTAGTCATTAGAAGAATAAGTAAATTATTGTTATTTATGAATAAACAATTAATTTATACATAAAAAAAGAAGAGAGTTGTCAAAAATTTGATTTACAAAAATAAGCATAACTTAAGAAAATTATAAACAAAATATATGCATGTAGAATGCATTTTTTCAGCAAAAATAAAATAAAATATATGCAAACCATAAGTAAAACTAATTTGTAAGAAGAGACTCCGGTGAAGACCCTCCTCTTGTAAATGTGAAAAATGGAAGATAAAATGGAATCGTAAAAAATAATGGAAACCGGGATCAACCTCGAATTCCCAGGTGACATTGAAGAAGGTATTCCTTGAACTCATCTCCGTGCACCTTGCTCAGAGTTGGGGTTTGCTCGTTTCACAGCAACTTTGGTGCCGTCGTTTAGCCTTCCTTTGTAGACTTTACCGAAGCCGCCAAAGCCGATGATTCGACTCCCGTCGAAGTTATTGGTAGCTTCTTTCACGGCCGCAAAGGTGATACTCCGAAGCCTACTTCCCATGGAATTTCCAGTGCTCCAGCGATGTTTGCACAGCATACAGCAACCAAGGCGAGGGAGTGACGAAATCCATGTTTCTGGCACCAGCGAGAGTGTTGTCCACGTAATTGCTGAGATTAAGATCCATCACAGCAAGCATGGAGTCGATGTAGAGCTAGGAAGGATTGAATGTGAGGACGAAATTTGTTTGCCATTTACATAGAGTGGAGGTGGATCTCATTATTTTAATTATATTTAAACTTTAAAGTATCAAGAGATGATACTCCGTTGGAAGATTATCCAGTTTGTAGAAAATGTTTTTGGGAGGTGGGAAGATTATAAACCCTATGTGTTGTATAAGTCCTGATAAATCTAAACCTTATTGTTTTCATTGGGATGAAATTAATATTTAAAAAGGTAAAATTATTATTATTATTATCTCATGTAAAATATCACAATTCATAATGTTCAAATGTTTATAAGTTTTCTTTTGATGCCTTTTATATCCACATAAGCAAACTAAGTACTATACATTTGCCAATTGTTATGAAGTGTTGTCCCAATTTAATAGACTCAATTTAAGATTTTTAATGAGCCAATGAATCATCCTAATTCATAAAAGAAAATTACAAACAAAAAAACAAACAAAATATAGAGTCCCATTAATGTCATAAACTAATAGCATCTATATAAACAAATTTTACACAAAGATATAACCTATGAGAATATACTAAAAGATAAGTATAGTATTATTTGTTTTTATTTAAAGTTATATATTTTTAGAACTTATCTCTAATTTTAGAAAGTATTATAATTGTTTAAGAATATATTATTTTAAAATTTTTTTATTAATAAAAACATATTTTGGACAAAAACAAATGTATTCAATGTTTTTTTGGGTGCAAATATGTATTCAATGTTACTTTGACCATTGCATTCAACGTTGCCTAACACCATCAAAATATATTTACATCTTCTTAACATCTATAAATAGGGAAGCAATGTGGTTTATATAACCACCTCTAAATAACTTACATAATCATGGTTTTCTCCAATAAATGTCATTATTTACTGATGCTAATGATCTCATCTACTTTTCTTATTCTTTTCGCACAAGCGTTCGATATTTCAGATGCTCCAGCGGAAGGACCAGCACCGATATCCAACAACAACGGCTTATTCCCTTTCACGCGAAAACATGTCATAATACGCAACTTTGTAGCAAACAAACAAACTTTGAATACACATTGCAAATCTTCCGAGACTGATTATGGGCTAATCCATATTCCTTGGGGTGATTCCTGGCAATTCAGTTTTCGTGTTAACCTTTGGAAATCTACTAAATTCATTTGCCATTTTACATGGACTGGAGGTGGATCTCATTATTTCAACATATTTAAAGTATCAAGAGATGATAATCCATATGGATATGTTCCGGTCTGTGATAAATGTATTTGGGAGGTGGGAAGAAAGGGTCCCCTTCCTATGTGTCGTTATACACGTGTGGTCGATGTTCCTTCCCCTTGGTGTTTCCCTTGGGACGACAATTTTTAAAATGAAAATACGATCAAGTAAAAAAAATTTCTCATCTAATTAAGTGTATCATCGTAATAGAATCAATAAAATATTATCATTCATAATGTTCAAATGTTTATAAGCTTTCTTTGAAGTTTATAAGCAAACTAGACTTCTAAGTACATTTGCGAATTGTCTCTGAGTATTTTTCAAATCAGAAGACCAAATCATCCGATCGAAACAACAACGACAATAGAAGTCTATACAAATATAAAAACAACAATTTTGTTCATAATCATAATTTCAAGACAATATGAGCAAGTTTCGAATGAAGAACAAAAAAAAAAGCTATCTTTTCTCACAAGTAAAGAGAGAGAACCAAACTAAGCCTTCATAAGTTCGTAGGTTTGCGCTCGCCTTTGATGTTGTTACACTATACAAATTTCTCCCGAGGTTGTAGAAACATTTATAAAAAAAAAGCTCCCATTTTCAGAATATTGATTGTGATTTGTGACTGACACTAGACAAAACGATTCTCAAACTGTTCGCTCATCACCGAGCTCTGGCTCTGTTCAAGAATTTGTGCGTTCGGATCTAGCTGTAGAACACATGTGTTCCATTTGGTTCTGTTTAGTGCAATGTTAGCCTCTCAAGTCTCAAGTCTACGAGTATCAAAACTTCTCTTCCAACCAACTTCTGTTAACAAAAACATCCAAGGACAACATGAACAACAATAAATCAAGTAAACACCTTTTTGATTTTCATAATCAGATGGAGTACGTTGAAAGTGAAGAGTTTGTTAAACAACGTAAATTAGTAATCAATAGCCACCAAACACAAATGTTTTCTTCACGATTCTTGAAATGCCACATCAGATCTGCGTTTGGTCAAATGTTGTTCTCTCATTAATAAATTCATTCTGTGTATATCCGCTTTTCGTGGTTTTGAAGTCTCTTGCGTATCGTATCTAATTATCTCACCCAAAGTTAAATAAAATTCTTTGGAAAAAAACGTGAGAAATCTGAACAAAAAACAAAATCTTATTTCTCCAAATATATTTTTTAAATTTTGCCAGAGGAAGTTCCGACACTTGTGACTATAAGTAATACGATCCCTCGCACTCTCTTCAGATCACACCAATTTTAGGGTTCTCTCAAAGCTTCTTTCATCGGAATTCGGAACCGATCTTGTAATATTCTTCTCCACCTCTCTCTCTCTCTCTCTCTCTCTCTTTCTAATCGAATTTTTCGTTTCTCGGTTGATTGATTAGTTTTCATTGCGATCTCAGAAAATGGCGACAAGCGACAAACAAAGCAGCCCAAAGCCTCCACCTTCGCCTTCACCTCTCCGCAATTCCAAGTTTTTTCAGGTGAAAATTTTGCATTTTTGGTGGAGATTCGATGTTTTGATTCCGATTCGTCCATACCCATTTTTTGAAAATCATTTGTTGCTTTTCTCTGATTAGAAGGTGAATCTCGTGTTCTGATCCTTGTTGTTATGTCGGATCACGTGTGGGTGTTGATCTTATTTAGTTTTGATGGAAAAAATTGGATCTTGTTTGATGACTCTGTATCCACTTGTTCTCGTTGCCATTGTATAGAATCAAATTGATTTTCTAGGTTACTTACAAATAGATCTGACCTGTGAAGAAGAAGACTCTGTAGCTACACACATTTTGCTCTGTGAGAGAGCTTTGTTTAATTAAATTGTAATCTATAGGTTTTGGTGTACTTTGCTCTGATCTTGTATTGACTTAGTGTGTTTAGTAGAGGTTTTTGATTTGTTGTTTGGTGTTAAATTTGTTAATAAGATGTGCTGAGTGGTTTTTACTTTTGTCTCATTTTGTATAGTCGAATATGAGGATCTTGATCTCAGGAGGAGCTGGATTCATTGGCTCTCACCTTGTTGATAAGCTCATGGAGAACGAAAAGAATGAGGTTTGTATTATAACAATGCCTTAAATCCTATACACAATAGTCGTTTGATCAAATTACTTATTGATGGTTTATCTTCAACAGGTGGTTGTTGCTGATAACTATTTCACTGGTTCAAAGGACAACCTCAAGAAGTGGATTGGTCATCCGAGATTTGAGCTTATTCGTCATGGTATGGTGTCTTGAAATTCTCTCTCTGGCTTGTTGCTGTTGCTATCAAGAAGATCAACGTCGTCCTCATTTTTATATTTGGTTTTTGGGTTTTGAAAACAGATGTCACGGAGCCGTTGTTGATCGAGGTTGATCAGATTTACCATCTTGCATGTCCTGCATCTCCCATTTTCTACAAGTACAACCCTGTGAAGACGATCAAGACCAATGTGATCGGTACACTCAACATGCTAGGTCTTGCCAAGCGTGTGGGAGCAAGGTTTTTGGGACTTAGTCTCCATTTTTTTTTCCTTTAGTTTCGTTACTCGCCTTTTGTCACCAAGTAACTCTTCTTCTGAAATCTGAACAGGATTCTGCTAACCTCAACCTCGGAGGTGTATGGAGATCCTCTCATCCATCCCCAGCCTGAGAGCTATTGGGGAAATGTCAACCCAATTGGTAGGCTCATAAAGCTTTATCATATATCTGATATATGTGTATCAATTCATAGTCTTATATTTTGGTTGATATTATAAAAGGGGTTAGGAGCTGTTACGATGAAGGCAAGCGTGTAGCTGAGACCTTGATGTTTGACTACCACAGGCAGCATGGAATTGGTCAGTTGTAATTTCCCCAAGGCTCTCACTTCAAGATTCTCTCATTGTCTTTTATTACTGACACTGTGTTTGTTTCTTCGTTTCTTTGTAGAGATCCGCATTGCCAGAATCTTCAACACATACGGTCCACGCATGAACATAGATGATGGGCGTGTTGTAAGCAACTTCATTGCTCAAGCACTCCGGTGAGCCCCTTTTGTCAATCCATCCTGATTGATTATTCGTTTCTTGTTCTTATTCTTGGCATGGATATATATAGGGGTGAGGCATTGACTGTTCAGAAACCGGGGACGCAGACTCGCAGTTTCTGCTATGTATCTGACATGGTTGATGGACTAATGCGCCTCATGGAAGGTGATGACACTGGTCCCATCAACATCGGTAACCCAGGTAAGCCCCTTAAACATTCCTCCATCAGTAGTAGAACAAACACAAACCAACTATTCTCTTGACTTACTGAATCTTTGCTTTCACAGGTGAGTTCACAATGGTGGAACTGGCTGAGACAGTGAAGGAGGTGAGGATCTGGTTTCTTGGTTGATTATTATTTTGTTCTTGTAATGAAATGTTGGTCTTGGTTGCAGCTGATAAACCCGAGCATAGAGATAAAGATGGTTGAGAACACACCGGATGATCCAAGACAGAGGAAGCCGGACATCACAAAGGCTAAAGAAGTGTTGGGATGGGAGCCGAAGGTGAAGCTCCGTGAAGGTCTTCCTCTCATGGAAGAAGACTTCAGGCAAAGGCTTGGAGTTCCCAAGAACAAATAACTTTGATCACTAATCAACAGCAAAAGAAACTATACAAGTCAAATCCACTTTTCAGTTTCCATGGAGCAGGTTGTTTGTTTCATATACAGTATGTTTCTACTTTCTATAGTCGACATTTGTTGGTAGAGAACAAAATAAAGGTTATGAGAAACGAAAGCTTTTTCGTTAAAGGCAAAACAAAAAAAAATACTTTCTTGTTATTGTGTTCAACAACTTCAATCATCAAAGCTAAGCCCAAATTTAACTGCGCCATAAACTCTAAAGCAAAACGAGACTGGCTTTATATGATAAGCTGAGATAAGGAACCGAAGTGTTATTGGAGCATATGTTAGATTTTATTGGGAGGGAGACGTAGCCATATTGAGATGTGCACTCAAGTGAACAAAACAAAATAAAACCGCATAAAAATCCATTTCCAAACATTCGGAAGAAGATACATTGATAAGTTTCAGAGAAAGAATTGCAAAAAGTCAGAGAAACAAAAAGAGAATCAAAGAGTGTATACAATGCTCTTTCTTTGTTATTGAACATGCTCAGAAGCTGAAACATCAAACATCTTCGATAGAAATGCATCTCAGCTTCTCCATTTTGCTTCTGCAAAATCACCTGAAAATACAAAACAAGTTTGTAATCTTTAGGATTTGGCAGCGACTTTAAGCAGAGTAAATAGCAAACCAATGCTATTATTATCTGATTCTGATATCATAAATCTATTTCTTAACCCAAAAGAACATAAAGAAGTCAAATTGGACAATCATGAAACTTGGCAACAAATAAAAGTTTCATGGGATTCTCTGGGAAATTTGATTTGAAATGGGTTCATCACTAATGGCATAAGACCACCGTAATACGAATAATCATCCAATAATAAAACCCTAGAAATCTCAAGGATCATTCCGTATTCTAAGATCGAAAAAACATCTCAAACAACGAATTACCAAATAACACCAACAAAATCCAAATTGCGAGACTATCGATTTAATTAATCAAATGTGAGTTTTGGTGGTTACCTTCTGTGCTGCTGGACAAACTTGGAGTTTTTCGCATCTTCCTCTGCATATCATCACCATTAATGGGATTTAGAATTTTTCCCCAATACCGATCTAAATCCATGAAAAGAAGGGGAGAAATCTGGAGTTTACCAGTGAGTCCGGCGGTTAACTTGGTGATGAGGACGCCGGTGACTGCGAATCCGGTGAGGAATGGCCAGCAACGTTTCCATTCCCTCTTGAAGAACACCGGCCATGGATCAAACAGCCTCATTTCACTCTCTCTCTCTCTCTCTCTCTCTCTCTGCAGAAATGATTTCTCTCTCTCTCTCTTAACTTCTGTTGTTGCCTAGTGACTGCTTCGTGTCAGATAGAGAGACCAAACCTGAACCAGTTTTGTTCTGTAAAGACTCGTTTCTTCTGTGGGCTTTTAGCCCTAAACTGGCCCATACCTAGTTTTCAACTCAAGGGTATTTTAGTCTTTATTGACCCGACTCTTGAAAAGTGCCTTTAGAGCATGCTTAACGCAAAGGTGCTTATGTGATGCTTATTATATATTTTATTAATAAAATTGTGCTAAGCATCTCTGTTAAAATTATTTTGTTTTCTCTGCTTTAATGGGGGGAGCTTATTGGGGGGTGCTTAAGAAAAAAAAAATTAAGAAATTATTTTAAAGGCTGTCAAACCAACCAAAAATACTATCTTTTGTGTCTCTCAACTTCAAATTCATGAAAACACTTAGCTTAGAATCTCTGTTGGACAATTATGCAAACATATAGTGTGTACAAGACTTTACTTGAACAAAGACAAGGCCACGTTCATAGGCCAAGCGATTGATAAGCCGTTCTTTCTCCACATGAATTGCAAGTGAATTCCACAAGCAAACGTCTTCTTGGTAGTTTAATATCTATAGCAGCAACTTGTCCCTGGAGAACAAAGCACCAACAATTCAGCGATAAAGACAGAGACACAAACAATCACCATTAAGACCCAATTTCATTGAACTACCTCTGAGAGGTATCCTCAAAAAAGAGCACCATGTATTTCACATAGGTGGATACAAACATAGAAAACTAATCTTGGCTATCTTATCAAATTTCAGAAAAGGAAAAGCAAGACAATCTGTTCCACCACAAAACATGAAACATTCTCACTTCAAATCATAAAACCAGTGAGTTAAAATATACAAGATATCCGCAGTTAGAGGAAATAGCCACTAGACAGACCATCAATACAATAACTATGAACGCTAAACCAATCAATGCAACAAGTGTTCATATCACATTATTATGTCACTATCTTCTCAATCTGCTAAAAGATCATGAAAGCTAATAGAACTCACCATAATCACCTCAATTCCAGCAACATCCATCTTAGTTTTGGTGAAAAATGCTGTAAAATTCACTGCTACTTGTAACAGACAAGACACAAGAGAACAAACCGATTTCAGAGAATCAGAATTGAAGAACGATGGAGAAAGATCAACATCCAAGTTTTCTACATCTGAAGATAAAAGTGTCAATGCACCGAACAATAAGCAGATATTGAAAAAAAGAGATCTTAGTTTTAAATTCAGAAGAGCTTTGTTACCAATCTACATTCAATTCAACAACACCAATACAGAATTACAATCACAACTGTAATTAAAGGCACAAGTACTCATCTCAAATCCATGTTCTAGACTCTCTAAGCAAGCGCAAACATAACCAAACATGCATATTTGAGGTCTTACTTGAAACAATGGCTGGATTGAGTAAAGTCCCATCCTCTCGCAGACTGAACCAATCATGCGGCTTCTTCGCCGATTCTCATCACCATAAGATGATTAGGGATGCCCCATCACCGGAGACGTGAATTCCGACTGATTTCGTATGCAAAATTAATTCAATTTTGGAATCGCCATTGGAGAGGGGAAGCAAAGAAGAGAGAGAAGGGAAAGAGAAAGAAACACGTTTTTATCTCTCAATTACCTCCTTCCAATCATAACCTGCCACGTGTCCATTAGCACCAGCGCTTAAAAAGCTTATGCAAGCGTCGGAGCTTTGTTTTTTTCGTATTTTTTATTTAATTAAATGCTTAATTTGTGTTAAGCGTCGCTTTAAGCGCCCGCGTTAAACATGCTCTTAGTCTTTATAGCTGTGTTTCTGATTAGTCAGACAACAGAAGCTAACTTCACAAATTTAACCTCTAATAATAATTTCAAATATACAAGATGAAAGGAATGTTACATTTTTCTCACATGTTTCTTTATTATGTCCCGAAACATAAATTGAACCACTCGATCCTCCGACTAAAGATCAATACCAAAAGCAGAAACACATCATCAACACAAAACAAGGCTTCTTTGCACATACTACCTTGCGCTGGGCACATCCATGTTGTCAATGCTCACTTCAGAGGAACTTTGAGAGTCCTTGTCTTGATTCTTGTTTTGCATCGAGATTTCAGAAGTCAGACACTCTTTTAGCTCGATAACAACTTGGAACATGTTTGGTCGTTTGTCTGAAGAAGGGTTTGCACACAACATAGCCAGTTCAAGAGCTCTCCACACAGAACGAGAGTTGTAATCTCCATGAAGGTTAGGATCCATGATTTTGGTAATATCTCCTCTGTTTAGCATAAACGCTGTCCAGTCCGCTATGTGTGGCTGTTCGCGAGTTTGATCAAGCACGCGTTGGTTTGTGATTATCTCCAATAACACAATCCCGAAACTATAGATATCGCTCATTTCCGCCAACCGACCTGTTCTGTAATATCTAGCAAGGCAAAAACATGGAGTTAGTCCACATTGTTGACGGAGAACAATGTCAACACAAAATTACTAACGTTTAAAGTGCAGTAATAATAGATAATATAAATTACTAACGTTTAGAGAGCAGTAATAATAATACTTACTCAGGATCAAGATATCCAGGAGTACCAGCAACAGCAGTCGAAATGTGAGATTCATCTCCGAGTTGGGAAGATCTTGAAAGCCCGAAATCCGCAATTTTGGCGGTGAATCGATCGTCCAACAATATATTTGTACTTTTAACGTCTCTATGCACCATTGATGGTCGACATCCAATATGTAAGTATTCTAGTCCTATAAATATTAGAAAATGCAAATTTTTTTGGTAACGACTATATGAATGTAACATTATCTCTTAGTTCTATTATTCTCTTCCTCCATTTATATCGTTTTGATGTTTGGACACCATATAAGAGCTACCATTTAGATTTGAATCATTGATTTCCATTGATCACATGAAATGTTTTCTAATAAGAAAGACAAGTGAATAACGCTTTGTGAGATAGTTCGAACCTTGTGCGGCATCGACGGCTATTTGTAGTCGAGTACTCCACTTCAGAACAGAGCTACCATGTCTTCCTATAGTAGAATATTGTCAAATCAGCTTAACATACTCCTTTCTGTTATAATATCAGCTAAATATGTTAAAGTTATATGTACGATAATCTTTTCACCTGACATATGATATTTTAAGTCTTTATTGGACATGTATTCGTAGATGAGAGCCAAATGATCTCGTTCATCGCAATATCCTACAAGGCTTACCAAGTTTATGTGGTGAACTCTCAACAGAAGATCGACCTGTCAATAAATTAAAAATGAAAATCCATATGAATCACATTGGTTTTAACATAAGTATAGTCTTAAAACAATTATTACCTCTGCCTTGAACTCTTTATAGCCTTGTGTTGACGATTGAGAAAGTATTTTGACAGCCACTTGTTGTGAACCATTTATATCACCATGATAAACAATACCAAACCCTCCTTCACCAAGTGGTCTTTCCAAGTTTTTTGTCATTTTCATTACCTCTGCATGCGTAAATTTTTTTCTTTTCGTCTCGATCAAGATTTCAGATATATTAGTTGAAGTAACATCTGAACGTGGCTTAATTGACGGTGGTGGTAGATCTGTAGATGTAGAGACCAACATTTAGTACAAAAATAATACAAACATCAAGATATGAGTTTCGGCGAATACCTTCTGAACTAGATGTTTTTTTCTTCTTGGACACAAAGAAGAGAACTAGTACCACTACGATGACCAAGACAGCAACTGAAGAAACTAATGCAACAGTTTTTACTGGAAACTTATTCTTTGTGACACATGAACCAGATATACAATGATGCTCCCCATCAACACTACAAAGAAAAAATTATTGACCTTTAAGGATTCTGAGTGTGTGTGGAGAAGGAGTCAAAATGAATTTTGTGGATGGAGTTACTTCTTACATTAACTCCAGTCCTTCTTTTTCTCTATCTAGAAGTGCTTGTGGGATTGAATTTTCCAAGGTGTTCTTGCTCAAGTTTCTGTTCAAGAGACATATCATACATATAGGTGAAAATAATCCTAAGGAATACGTACTAATACTATGACCAGATATGTAAAAACTTTCTCTTCTTATTTTTGTAAAGAGAAACTTACATGAACAACAAATATTTCATATTAGCTAGAAATCCGGGAACTTCTCCAGTCAGATTGTTATTTGACAAGTCCCTGAAGTTGTAAAAATCAAGTCACTGACATGTATGAATTTCTTGCCTTTCAAGTAAGAGTTATCATCACTTACAACTTTTCAAGATGGGTAAGATTTTGAATTGCAGCTGCTATGGTTCCCTTTAACCCGTTGGAAGATAAGTCTCTTTTTACAGAGGAGAAAAAAACACAAGCGTAATGTAGATAGAAAATGTTTTAAGAATTTTAAAAAGGTTGTGCTATATAAAGATCTCACAAATGAGTGATTCTTGGTGGTGTAGATGTGTCTGTGCTGTTGCAACTTAGATTGTCCCATAAAAACTTCTCCGGGACGCATGGATCTCCTTGCCATGTGATTCTATTCAATCCATATCTGGCTTTGATTTTCCTGATAGCAACAACTGTCATAGAGTACAAAAACAATAAATATATCATATTTAGCAAAAGAGATGTTTCCAAAACATAAAATTATAAAAATTTGCATTGGTGTTTGGTTACGAACCATCATTCTCATCTGTTTCCAACTGTGGAAATTTGATTACTGTATAAAATTCGATGGCATTGAGAAGAGGTGGGAGAGTAGAGTTTTTAGTTCTTCTCAGCTCTACGTTGCATTCTCCACCTTTGCAAATAAGTGGTGTTGTGGAGTACATTGTCGTGGTCTTCAGATACTTAGGGCTAATTGCTTTCTTAAACTCTTCCCCGTTCCAAAAAATATCAAACTCTCTAGACTCATTGGCACGTAATGATTGGACCTCAGAGAAGTGGAGGTACACGTAAACTTCATCATCAGGTAAATCAAGCTCCTCTGTAATATTAAACTGTGCACTACCATTCGCAGGTATGGAGGCGGTCTTGAGCACATTTTGCGGCACAAGAAACCCATTAGAGTTGTTCGCTTCGGCTTCGAAGGTGGTGGAAATTTGTTTCCACTCTGGCACAAACTTTGGTTCCCATATTCTATCGTTGCCGTCATCTGGGTACCTGTGATTCATAAAAGCTTGCATGTGTTATTACGTATTAACCATGCAAAACCAAATAAGTAAAAAACAAAAGAAGTTTAAAGATCAAAGTAAAGTGACTTACGATAGAATGGTATCTGTATTGCTAAGATAGTATCGCTTGAGAGACCTCAACGAACCTGATTCAGTGATGTAAATATCATTTGCTAACGGCCTTAGTTCCACGGATGAAATCATTGGATTCGTCGTGCCGGTCTTAACAAGACACAAATCTACGAAATCTGATCTTGGGATGTATATGATCTCCTCGGTTTGACCGCTTATATTGTTTTCCAGGTCTATTGTTACCCAAAAGTTAGGGCCTATGTATAAGTCAAACTTAGGAGTACTATTGAAACCATCATAATTCCCATATAGAGATGTAACTCTCATCAAATAGTTTGTTCCTTGCTTCACATTAAGATTGTAACAGTTTCGTATTCCATCTGGAAAGTATCTCAGCGTTACGTATGACTTTAAGGTCTTGGGTAGACTTGCATCAATTTTTCCAATCTTTCCACTTTGGATGAAGTCTGCGTCTGATGAGAATCGTAGTCCGGTATCTGGCTCGGTATATGGCGATGCTTCACTCGGGGATAAACCGCAATCCAAACTGATGAAGCCTATTAAGATATCCAAGAGATCATTTCACCAAAAGTAAAATTGTTAATTTCCTTATTTTCTAAATAGTCCAGGAAGAAGGAATTATGGAAACTTAATTATCCCAATCTATCATGATTACTTAGATTTTCTTTTGTTGTAATGATGCAAGATAACCACTGTTGTGCTAAAAGTGACGAGTTTTCTATTTCTTTGTTTTTGTTTTCATACATTATTTGAATTTTAGCCAGATGGTTGTTAGATTTGCTATAAATGAATATCAATCACAAGTGCACACGTACCTTCTTGATCTTCAGCTTGAGCAAGACTACTAATTGCGAAAATTGCAATAAGTGCGAGAAACAAGATCCCATGGGGACTCTCCATAAGCGCTTACGTACTTTCCAAGCAAAATCAAGAAACACACTGTTCTGAACCATAAATGAATTTTTAATAAGCAATGGAGCCACAAAATACCTATAGGCATTTCAAAACAAAAGACCAAGTCAAGAGTCAAGAGAATCCTCTTAAAACGTGGGGACATGTCATGAAATTTAATTGACGAATGAGCAGAATCATACATTTTCCAGAAGGAAACGCATTTTTTATTGGTAATTTTTCTTGGTAAAAAAATGTTCAACTTGTCTTGATTATTTTAAAGAACCTACCAATGGAAAGTACTATTTGGACAAATTTTAATATTTTCTTTTTAAAACAGTTCTTGGAATCAACTTCAGAAGAAGCACTTTTTGATATCACATATTGAAAACAATAACAAATTGGAATCTTCTAAAAGTACTAAAAAAAAAAAAAAAATTCATGCTTTTAAGCAATTGATCGTCGCCGACATGCTTAAACTGGGCCATTGATTCTTCATCGCCACCTCCTAGAAGGTGCTAGGATTTTTTCCATTTCTTACTCCTATATATCTAAGACCAGGTGTTCGATCGAACAGAAGAGGTGGCGATGAAGAATCAGTGGTTATTAATGGTAGTGATTGTCACTAAGATGCAATATATGCAACCTAAAAAACTAAGACGAGGGGCAACGCAAAAGAAGAACCCAAATGCATATATACAACTCCTGAATATCCAAAATGATAACAAAACCATACGGAACAAAGGTTAGAGATGTGTTAAAAACATGAATACCATTCGGTTCAACAAGGGTGTGTCAAGTTGGAATGGTAATATAACTTGCTTATTTTAGCAGTAATCACTGTTGAAATGTAACTTGAAAAAGAAATACTTGATAACTAAGGAAGGTAACTTCGAAACTTGCCAAACAAAAAAAAAATCAAATTAAAAGAGAGACTGTGATATCAAAAGAGTGATACATATTTGACCTCACAACAAAAATTGAAGCACTCCTCCTATGACCAAAAAATAGTACCACAAGCAGAAACACCGAGGTATCTTTGCAAATACTACCTTGCACTTGGGGTAGCTACCTTGGTATCAAAGCTCATGCTTTGTTCAAGTGAATTTTGTGAGTTCATATCTTGATTATTACTGTTCCCCGAGTTTTCAGATCTAAAACACTCTTTTAGTTCGATAATAACCTGGGACATGCTTGGTCGTTTTTCTGACATAGGGTTTGCGCACAACATAGCCACTTCAAGAGCTCTCCACACAGAACGAGAGTTGTAATCACCTTGAAGGTTAGGATCCATGATTCTGGTAATATCTCCTCGATTTAGCATGAATGCTGTCCATTCTGTTATGTGAGACTTTTCACGGGTTTGATCAATCACACGTTGGTTTGTGATTATCTCCAATAATACAATCCCGAAACTGTAAACATCGCTCATCTCAGCCAACCGACCTGTTTTGTAATACCTGGTAAGGTATGAACATGGATTAGAATTCATATATAAATATTCATTGTATCAAGCATCAACTCAGATGAATGTGGAGACAAATATCATCACGATGCAATGTGGTGAAGTTCACATCCACATTATTCTAGAAGTGGTATGAGATCACCGATTATAAATATCAAAGAACAAAAAATCACATCCAACGGAATATACTTACTCGGGATCAAGATATCCTGGAGTACCAGCAACAACCGTTGAAACATGAGATTCACCTCCAACCTGGAAAGATCTTGAAAGTCCAAAATCCGCAATTTTGGCCGAGAACTTCTCATCCAACAATATATTTGTACTTTTGACATCTCTATGCACCATTGATGGTCGACATCCAATATGTAAGTATTCCAATCCTACAGATATATTGCAAGTGCCTCTTATGCTTAAATCATCTGTAGGAACGTAATTAATAAGAATGTGAAAAAACTTGTAGGACTAAAAGTCATCAATAGTTTTTTTGAAGTATTACCATGGTCGTTATCATCAGTGTAACATGTTTTTGATTATTTGCTTGAAAAGCGCTTAGTTGGTTTTAAGTAATATTACTACCGATAAAAACATACACTTATATTCAGTTATTCCCAATGATGACTGAAAAGGCTTTCTGATGAGAAAGACAAATGAATCAATTGGTTCAGAGTCATTACAAACCTAGTGCGGCATCGATAGCTATTCGTAGTCGAGTATTCCAACTCAAGACAGAGATTTTTCCTTTTCCTGCAGTTGATCATCAAAATCAGTCTAATGTTTGAGTTATTTGTTGTAATATATATAACTAATAATTATAAATGCTAATGTTTTAACCAGGCCAGGCTTCACCTGACAAATGATGTTTTAAGTCTCCATTCGACATGTATTCGTAGATGAGAGCCAAGTGATCTCCTTCATCACAATAACCGACAAGGTTTACCAAATTTATGTGGTGAACCCTCAAAAGCAGTTCAACCTGACCAGAAATGTATAATAAACAAACGCAAAACACGTTTTAGTACATGATCATATGTGTAGATCCTTTTTTCACATAATATTTAATTTAATTATTTTCATACCTCTGCCTTAAATTCTTTATAGCCTTGTGTTGATGATTGTGAAAGTAGTTTGACAGCTACTTGCTGTGAACCATCTAGATCACCGTGATATACAGTACCAAACCCTCCTTCACCAAGAGCTCTTTGAAAGTTGTTTGTCATTTTTATAACTTCTGAATAAGTAAACTTTTTCCTTTTTGTCCCAATCAATGTCTCAGATATACCATTAGATGCAACATTCGCCAGTGGCGTAGTTGGTGATCGTGGTATAGCTGTAAGTTGCAAAAATTCAGTTAGAGCATGACACCTTATAATATATAGTTTTTTTTTTTTTGATGATAAGTCCTTACAAATATACCTTCCACATGATTTGATGCCTTTTTCTTTCTGAACACGAAAAAGAGAGCTAGTGCAACTAGAGCAACCACGACTGCCGAAGCAACAAGTGCAACGATCAACACTGGAAATTTCTTCTTTGGGTCACATGCACCAGCCCGACATGGATTATTCTCATCTCCATCAACCCTACCTTACAAAAAACGATAAATAAATAAAAAAAATGCACAAGATGATGAGGAGTTTGAACTAAAATGTGTACACGGACGTTGATTCCTTTCTTACAAGAGTCTCAGTCCTTTCTTTTCTCTATCGCGAAGAGCTTGTGGAATTGAACCATTCAGATCATTTTTGGTCAAGTTTCTGTTAAAATATATATAAGAAATATTCATATATTGGTGAACATGATATGGAGGAGTACTATCACAGAAATGTATTAGAAACTTACAACAACACGAGTGATTTCATGTTAGCTAGAAATTCAGGCACTCCTCCCACCAACTTGTTGTTTGACAAGTCCCTATATTTTTGAAGATATCAAAAATTCACTGAAATTCTTGCGTTCAAAAGTAAACCCTAAGGCAACATGCCAACATCTATAATATACTTACAACTTTACTAGATTGGTGAGGTGGAAAATTTCAGCTGCTATGGTTCCTGTTAACCCGCTTGAAGACAAGTCTCTGTTTTTATGTTAAGACACAAAATTAAAACAAGTGTAATGTCGTTTGAAAATTAACTTTTATTAAAAGGAAAAAAGGAACAAATTACTCACAAGGAGGTGATTCTTGGTACTGTATACGTATCAGTACTCTCAGTACAGTTTAGACCCTCCCACAAAAACTTTCGAGGGACACATGGATCACCTTGCCATGAGATTCTCTTCACTCCATATGTGGCTCTGATGTTTTTTATAGCAATCACTGTCATTAGGTTAGACGATATGTTAGATTTATTGGGTGATATATGCATTATAAAAATATATGTACCACTTACAAACGTACCATCACTCTCAAATGTTTCAGACTGTAGAAACTCGGTAACCGTGAAAACTTCAATGGCATTAAGCATAGGTGGGTGTGTAGATTTTGGAGTTTTTTTCAAGCTTAAGACGCATTCCTTGTCCTCGCAAATGACCGGAAGCTTGTTGTATACAGTCTTGGACTGAAGATATACTGGCTTGTAGGACTGGATGACGGAATCATTGTTAAACGAAATGTCGAACTCTCTAGTCTCGTTGGCAGCTAAGACTTGAACCTCTGAGAAGTGGAGGTACATATAAACTCTATCTTGAGAGGAGTCAGGATACTCTTTATCTACAAATGTTGAACTACCGAACGCTGGTATTCCGGCAGTTTTGAGCGCAGCCTGCGGCAGACGAAAGCTATCAGAGGTGTTCACTGTAAGGCCAGTGGAAATCTGCTTCCAGTCATCCTGAAAGTATGAAATCCAAGCTCTATCGTAGGCATCATCCGGGTACCTGCTCTTGCCACAATCTAGTGTTAGCCGTGGCCCTAGCCCTTGACAACACAATAAACAAAAAAAACATCTTGAAAGATGGCTTACGTACCGTACACGTATAGGACTTTCTGTTTTCTTGAAATAGAAACGCACTAATGTCTTCAATGAACCTGCGGTTGTGATATAACTGTTGTTTGGTAGAGGCCTTAGCTCTAAGGCCGATATTAATGGAATCGACTCGCCGTTCTTAACGAGACAGATATCCAAGGAGTCTGATCTTGCAATGTGTGTAATCTCCTCCCATGAAAAGTTTTCATACCTTTTCAGGTCTAGTGTCATCCAGAAATTGGGGCCCACGTATAAGTCAAATTTCGGAAAACTATTGAGACCGTCATAGTTACCATATCCAAATCTAGCTCTGATCAAATAGTTGGTTCCCTTCTTAACAGTAAGATTGTAGCAGTTGCGTAGCCCATCTGGAAAGTATCTCAGCGTTGTGTGCTGCTTTGGGAATTGTGCTTGGAGCGTTGTATCAGTCCTACCAATTTGTCCACTTTGGATGAAGTTTGAATCCGATGTGAACTTTAACCTAGTTATTGGCTCGATATAAGGGGATGGATCAGTGGGAGGTAACCCACAATCCAAACTAATGAATCCTATAATAAATTATAGAAGACGTTAATAATGGCAATTCAAAAGGTGTAATATCTTTCGCATACTGATGGTTCCACCTAAGTCTTTTATTCTTTTTCCGTTTTACAGTTTGACTTCTTTTCTTTTCTTGATAATAAAGATTTTTTTTTCTTCGTATATACGGTAGATCACAAAATAGTTTTTGTTGTATGTGAATCTGTGAGTGTCGTTAAATTTTAAGTACGTAATTTAAATATGGTTTGCTATACATTGTGTGATAATGTAAACAAAGCTACACTTACATATTTACATACATTTAACAACATTTCAAAAGTTGGTTGACAAAATAAAAACCAACTTTCAAATACTCAATTCATATTTATAACAAACAGTTTCATAACATAATGTAAAATGCTATGACCTATGAGTTACTTTTACTTCTACATATAATTAAAATGGGTATTAATCATATAAAAAATTCTGAAAAAAATCTGCAAACATTAACATTGAATGTGGATTCATACCTTCTTGATCTGGATCTTGAGCCTGAACAAGGTGAAATATAGCAGAAGTTGCTATAAGTGCAATCAACAACAGCGCATGAGAACTCTCCATATTCTCTTACTTTCCAAACGAATTCTACAGTGGTCCAAATTCTTAACCATGAATGAAGTTTATAAGCAATGGGGAAAAAAATCTCCTTTGGACATTTCAAGAAACACCTTACCAAGTCAATCCTCTGAAAACGTGACAACATGTCCTAGTTTCTACAAAAAGAAATTCAACTGACGAATGAGGAAATATGTTCTCTACTAAAAATGCATTTGTTTTCCGTTAGTTTCTTCGCTTGACAATCAATATATATTAACTTGACTTCTTTTTATTGGCTTCTATTCAACTTGACTTTAATTACAAAAACAAATAACAAGTATAGGCTTTTATAACAACCAACATGACTAATGACGAAAAGTTCTAAGAGGGAGAAAGATGACTTTTAGTGTCGTACGTTGTTGACTTGATTCGTTCCAATGTTTAGATCTATCTAGAGGGCGTTAAAGACGTTCAACCAGGGATGTCCTATCCGGTTTCAACTTCATTTGAAAATAGAATAACTGATTAGAGACTGAATCTTCGGTTAATATGTTTAATTTAAGCGTGAAGAACTTAGCAATACACAAAATTCATGAATTGTAAAGCACTTGTTTACTATAAATCATTTAGGTTAATTTTTACTAGGATCATTACACTTAGCTAATGTTACGAAAACTCTAAGTACTTATATTGTTTCCAACCAATTTCTAGTCCTAGCTATAATACATTCAACCTAGAGATCTCAGCAAACCGTGAATGGATGGATAAAGAATAATCATCTCTAAGCTTTTGTTTTTGTAAAGATTCAAGGAAGACATTTTCCCAACTATGCCAATCTATCATGATTTACTTTGTTTTTATTTTCTAGTAATAATCATAGTTGTGCTAAAAGTGACAACAATGTATATCAATAACATGCATTATTTAAGTTTGAGTCAGATGGTTTTAATATATGACAGAAATGTATATCAATCAGATGTGAACACGAGCATTCTTGATCTCAAGCTTGAGCAAGGTGAATAATAGAGAAAATTGCAATAACTGCGACAAATAAATCCCATGGGGACTCTCCATATATATGAGCTTATTTCCAATAAAAATCAAGAAACTCGCTGTCTAAGTTGTGAACCATATATGAAGTTTGTCTAAGCAATGGGGCCACGAAAAACCTACAGACATTTCAATGCAAAAGATCATATCAAGTTAATCCTCTTAAAACGTGGGGACATGTCATGGACTCATAGTTTCCAGTTTCCACATACAAAAAAAAAATTTAGTTAACGAATGAGTGAAGTAATACATTATCAAGAGGCAAACACATTTGTTATTGGTTATTTTCTTGGTCAGAAAATGTTCAACTTGTCTTGAATATTTAAAATAATATATCAATGGAGAGTATTGTAGGCTCTTTTAGCAACGAACATGACTAGTAACGAATTGCTCGGAGAGATAAATGGGTTTCAAGTCGTCAATGACTTGAATTGTTTCGATGTTTAAATCTGTCTAGATGGCAGTAGAGGTTCCAAGTAGAGGGTGTCCACTCTGGTTTAACTTTGGCTTAAGTTTGAGTTCTTTTTTTTTTATATGTAAAGTTGTATATACATTTTCTTCTACAAACAAACAAGTTTGCATTCAAATGCAAAAGTGATACCAAACTGAAGACGACAATCAATGATAGAACTTTTCACACAAAACAAAAAACAATGATGGAACAAAAAGGCATCAAGCATGATTCTTTATTTTTAAGCTATTTTAATCAATGATTGATTTTTTTAAGCTATGGCTGTAAGTGGTAACCAAAGAATGATGGGGAATAAGACAATTCCCCTTCCTTCTTTAAAAATTACACCATTTATAAGAAATCTGTATTCCATATTATTCTTTACCATTCCATATTAATTAGAGTATAATAATATTAAAATATTCCTTATTAAATATGAGGAGGAATAAGTTCCATTTATTCCTCTTCATTCCATTCCTTCTCATTCTTCTTGTTCCTTTACAGGTCACCACTTAGAGCCATATATTTTCTCATACAATATAATTTTCAAACAACCACTATGATATCACCAGCTGAAATTACTTAAAACCATCCTCATTACCTCTTTCCACTCAACTTTTTCTTCGTTTTTCCAGTATAAAACTCAATAATGTTTCATGTCATCCATTCAATACATTATATTGGGCCTTCCCTTATCAATAGATTAGACATTTGTGGCTCTCAACGTCGTTTAGAAGGGCTCGTGCATCACGTGTTTTATGACCTGGCCCAACCCGACCCAGCCCCGAAATTCAAGGAGTAGGTAATTATTAACGTTCGTAAATAAATAGGCGCTTCTTCTCCACAAAACACAGGAGACTGAGAGTAGCAACGTGCTCTATAGGCGGTCATCCTTCGAACGGCCATTTTCGAACTCCGGTTTCTCACCGATCAGGTCCTAGATTAAGAAAAAGAAACTTCAAAGTCCCAAAATAATAATAAAAAATCAAATAAGTTGCTATTATGTTACGTTTCTTGTTTATTGTTTCTTTGCATTTTACACTACGTTTTATAAATCTCAAGATTATCTTGTTAACTTTCGTTACGTGTTATGTACGTAAACGTTGACGTAAACGTTGACGTAAACGACCTCATGCTTGTTTCAGGTTGTAGAAAATGAAATCGGAGATGGATCCTCTAACGGTTCAGATTCTACCTGAAATCCACCCATCGCCGCCGTTTTCGCCAATGTACACTTTCACTAAGCCCAAGCCAAAACCCACGATATCGATTATCATGCTAATCGTCACTTCTCTCGTTTCCGTGGCTATCACGTTGGGTTTGCTCTATGTTTTCTGTTCACTTCTCCTCCCCGGAAGTAGTGACTTCCGTTACAGCGTCGTTATCGATGCAGGAAGCTCCGGGAGCAGAGCTCATGTGTTCAGGTACTGGATTGAGTCCAAGAAACCGGTTTTCGATTTCGGTGAGGAGAATTACGCTAGCTTGAAGCTGAATCCTGGTTTATCGTCGTTTGCTGATAATCCGGAGGGAGTTAGCGTGTCAATCACGCAGCTCGTGGAATTTGCCAAAGGGAGAGTTCCTGAAGGAATGTTGAAGAATGGTGAAATTAGGTTGATGGCAACGGCTGGGATGAGACTGCTTAACGTAACTGTTCAAGAACAAATTCTAGAAGTTGCAAGAAGAGTACTTCGATCTTCTGGGTTTCAGTTTCGAGACGAATGGGCATCGGTTATTTCTGGTTAGTATAGTTCTTCATTCGATCAAATGCGATTGTTTAAGATTATTGTTAGCTTCATCCTAGTTATATACACTGTTGGAGATAAAGGAGAGTGTTTGGTTGATGTTTTTCAAAGTTGACCTAGTTGTTAAAATTGTTTGAGTAGTTTTGGATTTATGTTCCAAGAAAGATATTGTTTAAAAAAAATTAAGTTCATTTATTAACCATTAGGTGCTAATTATTAGAAATCTTGGGAAAATATTTATTTTCAGGATCTGATGAAGGTATTTATGGTTGGATAACTGCAAACTATGCACTTGGTTCACTTGGAAGTGATCCTTTGGAAACAACAGGGATTGTTGAACTCGGTGGTGCTTCTGCGCAGGTTTAGTCTCTCCCCTGTAAATTTTGTTTTCGAGTAAAAGTATGTTTATGATCAGACTGTAGATAAACCTCAACTTGGGTGGTGTAAATGGTATATCATGATGACTGTTTGTTCATTGGTTTAGGTGACATTTGTATCAAGTGAGGTTGTGCCTCCTGAGTTCTTGCGTACTATATCCTATGGAAATGTTTCATACAAGATCTACACTCACAGCTTCCTCCACCTTGGACAGGTAACTTCAGAGAGCAGAGCATTTTTAAAAGTACAATCAAGTAGAGGTTATTGATTGATGGATTTTGATGGTTTGGAAATTCTAAGCAAATTTTGTGTTATTGGATCAGATTTTGAAATATTTATAAAAATCTTAGCTTATGCTTGATGTATTACTCAATGTTTACTTTTAAATTCCACTTTTGCAGTGACTTTAATGGATTTGAAAATATTTTAAAAAGACATCTTAGGAAAAACCTACAGTTTACAAATATTTAGATTTGAAAATGAGTTAGTTTTACAAGATTGAAAATCAATTAAAATACACAAATTGATAACGACTCTCATCTTTCCTCATTCGTCAGTAGTTATTTCTCTATTTAATGCTTATTGATCTTCAGGGCCGGCCATGAGTCCAACGGAAAAATGGTCCTAATATTGTTTGAGAAATTTCAAAACTACACTTCTTGAGGTGCCAATTTTCAAAAATACATCTATATGGTATTTATTTTCAAAACTACACTTTTCTCATGGAGTAAAAAGAACTCTAAGCCCTAAAATATAAACCCAAAACCCTAAAATCTAACATTGAACCCTTAAATCTCAACCCTAAACCCAAAAATCTAAACTCTAATCTAGAATTAGTGAACCCCAAACATATATATTAAAATTAGGAAAAAGTGTATTTTTTAAAATTTTCACACTATAGGTGTAGTTTTGAAAATTTGCATCTCAAGAGGTGTATTTTTAAAAATTTCTCAATTTTTTTTTTTTGTTTAAATTAACTAATGATCCGGCCTAGTCAAACCATTTTCATGGCCGGATCTATGATCGTTAAACTTCCTCAAAATAGTAAAACATGTGACCAAAAATCCTTTGTTAACGTTGGAGAAGCTATTAACTTTTGTCGCCTTGCAGAATGAAGCACATAAAAGGTTATGGAAATCACTTCGCAACACAGGTTTGATTGTTGACAAATTCTTTTTTTTTTTTTTTGGTTGATAAAGGATTGTTGACAAATCTCTAAAGTAATAATTATTCAGCTTACTGATATTGGAATTTGGAAGATTGTGTAAAATTATAAGTGAAATTTTGAGTTTAAGCAATTGATATAAGATTTTTTCTCTCCCTAAAAAACTCAAACAATGTTTCAATCCTTGCAGCTGCAAACTCTACAAAGGATGGAATAGTTACTGACCCTTGTACTCCTAAAGGATACAACCTCTACGAAAATTCGCAGAAGGATTCTTCTGGACTCTTAGCTGAAGAAAGTACTTTAACAGCCTCACTTCAAGCTGCTGGTAACTTCACAGAATGCCGATCTGCTACATACGCAATGTTGCAAAAAGGAAACGGTAAGATCATTATCGGTATAGATGAATATCGTTCCCCCTTATCGATTTTTTTCATCACTAATGGTAGTTTTGTGTTCAGAGAAATGTCCTTATAAGCATTGTTCAATTGGATCAACATTCACACCTGATCTTCAAGGACATTTTTTGGCTACATCAAATTTCTACTACACCGCCGAGGTATTATATAATCCCATGAATTAATGGTCCAAAATACTCTGGTCTAGACCTTCTAATAATTCCAAAATATAAATAAATTAATTAATCTCATTAATATTCATGTTGGTCGACGTCAAGATTTATGTCTATAGTTCGTGGAGACTTTGTTTGAACTTTTTCTCTTATATATTTCTGTCTGAAACAGTTCTTTGAGTTGAGTGAAAGGGATTGGCTGGCTGAAATGATTCCAGCCGGGAAGAGATATTGTAAAGAAGAATGGTCGAAATTGAAAATGAAATATCCAGAAGAGAAAGAAGAATATTTGCTTGGGTTTTGCTTCTCATCAGCATATATTATCTCAATGCTTCACGATAGTCTTGGTTTTGCTCTTAATGATGGAAGGTAATGTTACTGAACAAATTCAAGAACAATAAGAAAAATCAGTGTCGGATTTGGTTTTTTTTTATCATAAACTATGTTTGTTTTGGGTGCAGGATCGAGTTTGCGAATACAGCAGGAGAGAAAGACATACCACTAGATTGGGCACTGGGGGCTTTTATCCTAAATACTGACGCTGCGTACAATGGTGTATCTAGAAAAATGTTTGGTTTCAGCCTTCAGTAACGTAGCCAAATAAAAATGATGTTGGTTGCTATAAAATATTATGTTTCTAATGTTGATGATGTTTCCAATAAAACAACTAAGTTATGTTGAATTGTGTATGAAACTCTCTTGTTGTCGTTTATTTTCCACATCTGAAACTCAACTGAGAAAATAAAATCTCTTGTCAAACCTTGAAATGAATTGACGATGATGTTGCTTTGCGATGAGTTTCATTATTATATCTTTTCATGAAATTATAGTGATAACAGAGGTAAAGAAATTTGAAAATATAGTTAGAGGTAATTTAAATATCAACCACTTATTAGCTAGTGCGGTGGGTGTAATCACTTTGTGTCGATAACATAGCCTAATATTCAGCTTTGTGTACCATAGTTTTATTTTTATTTTTATCAATTGTGTAATAAGATTTGTATCAGTTTTTAACTTTGTACTGATTAAGTGTGGACCCCTTTAGTTTTCTCTTCCATGATTTGTTTTCTATTTAACAACGAAATGGGCCTCACAAAAGGTATCAGCAGGCAACCTTTACAGTTTTGTTTTAAACTCTTTGCTCTACTAAGTTTTCTATATATTATTTTGTAACAAGTATGTAGATGTTTTTGCAAAAAAAAATCATCTTTCCAAACCAAATCTCAATCCGGAAAAGGTGAAACGAAACAAAGCAAACAGATACAAATAAACGAGAATGTGAGATCAAAAGAGTATAGTACATGTTTATAGTCTCGTTTAGTTATGATGTCTCAAAACAAAAATTAAAGCACTGCATGCTCTGACCAAGCAACAATACCACAAGCACAAGCGAACAAGGCTTCTTTGCACATATTACCTTGCACTAGGGACATCCTTGGTATCAAAGCTCATGCTCACTTCCAGGGAACTTTGAGAATTCATGTCTTGATTCTTACTTTTCATGGAGTTTTCGGAAATAAGACACTCTTTTAATTCGATAACAACTTGAGACATGGTTGGTCGTTTCTCTGAAGAAGGGTTTGCACACAACATAGCTAATTCAAGAGCTCTCCAGACAGAGCGAGAGTTGTAATCACCGTAAAGGTTAGGATCCATGATTCTGGTAATATCTCCTCTATTTAGCATAAATGCCGTCCATTCTGTTATGTGAGACTTTTCGCGGGTTTGATCAATCACACGTTGGTTTGTGATTATCTCCAATAATACAATCCCGAAACTGTAAACATCGCTCATCTCAGCCAACCGACCTGTTTTGTAATATCTGGTAAGGCCATAACATGAAATACAATTAATGTTTATTAATCATACCAACTAAAATTAATTTCAACGTCAACAATTGATGTGTTGTGAACTTGACATCTAGGTCTAGGGTTATCGTTAAGAAAAGTTCACATGGAAGCAAGAGTGAACAAAAAAAACTTACTCAGGATCAAGATATCCAGGAGTACCAGCAATAACTGTCGAAACTTGTGATTCTTCTCCGAGTTGGAAAGATCTTGAAAGTCCGAAATCCGCAATTTTGGCTACTAAATGCTCGCCCAACAAAATATTCGTACATTTGACATCTCTATGCACCATCGATGGTCGGCATCCAGTATGTAAATATTCCAATCCTAAAAACATTGGCAAATGTCTACTTTAATTAGTCTTAAAACATCTCTATTGTGATTAAAATCTGAAATACTTGTAAGATGAAAGTATCTAATAATTTCAATGGTTGGCGATGGAATAGTAAGAACCTAGTGCGGAGTCGATGGCTATCTGTAGTCGAGTACTCCAGCTCAAAACAGAACTACCATGTTTTCCTGTATTTGATTGTCATAATCAGTTAATATTATTTTTTTGCTAAAAGCTTTAAAAAAGTAAATGTCCTGATAGTAGAGATATATACACATATATTTTTCACCTGATAAATGATGTTTTAAGTCTACATTGGACATGTATTCGTAGATAAGAGCTAAGTGATCCTTTTCATCGCAATATCCGACAAGGCTTACCAAATTTATATGGTGAACTCTTAGCAAAAGTTCCACCTGTATACCAAGAGTTAATAAACGTATTAACCACCATGATGCTATAAAAACTTATGTTAAATCTTTTACTTTTTTTCGTTTCTAGGAAGATCTAAAGCATTTCACACCTCTGCTTTGAATTCTTTATAGCCTTGTGCTGATGATTGGGCGAGTACTTTAACAGCTACTTGTTGTGAACCATTTAGATCCCCGTGATAGACAACGCCGAACCCTCCTTCACCAAGTGGTCTTTGCAAGTTTTTTGTCATTTCCATAACCTCTGCGTAAGTAAACCGTTTCCTTTTATTCTCAATCGATGAATCAGATATACCGCTGGATGTTACATTTCCACGAGGTGTCACTGATGACGGTGGTTGAGCTGCATGTAGAGAACAATATTTAGTAAAGGAAGGATGTATCCATCATGACACCAGTATAGATCTTTGTATTGGTTTTATCATGGCTAGTCTTAGTGAATACCTTCCACATGGATAGATGCTTTGTTCTTTTTCAACACAAAAACGAGAACCAGTACCACTATAATGACCACAACGACCGAAGCGACTACTGCAACAATAATTAGCACTGGAGACTTCTTCTTTGGGGCACATGAGCCAGGTGAACATGGGTTTTTTCCTTCTTCATCGAAACTATATATAGAACAAGAAAATCAGTATTTTACGGTTCTGAATGTACTAAGCAGTGAAAATAATAAATGCAAATGTGAGTTGGAGAAGTTATGTCTTACATAATCGTAAGTCCTTTCTTTTCTCTATCACGAAGAGCTTGTGGAATTGAACCGTTCAGATTGTTCTTGCTCAAGTTTCTGTTAAATATTTATATATGTGAGACATGAGATAGAGTATTACTACAAAATTTCATTTTAAAATAGCCGATACTTACAAAAGCGTCAAAAATTTCATGTTTGCTAGATATTCCGGCACTAATCCAGTCAAACTGTTATTGGACAGGTCCCTGTAATGTGGAAGACAAAATCAGAAATAATCAATGTTTCCATGGCTGAAAATTCCTCATTTAATTTGTAAAGACCTATGTTCATACTTACAATTTTTCTAGATGGGTAAGATTTTGAATTCCATCTGCTATGGTTCCCGTTAACCCACTTGAAGACAAGTTTCTGTTTATAAAAAGTGTAAGGTACTTAAGATATGTTTTTAACTATTTTTTCTTTTTAAAGTGTTATATATTTAGATATAGGGATCTCACAAGGATGTGATTATCGGTGGTGTAGACTTATCTACAATGAAGCAAGCCAGGCTGTCCCACGAAAACTCTTGTGGGACGCATGGATCTCCTTGCCATACAATTTTCTTCAATCCATAAGTGGCTTTGATGTTTCTGATAGTAAGCACTAGCATAAAAGTAGATTTACGCATTTAGCATACGTTACGAGTTGAAAACTTAAATAAACCAAAAAATGCTGTTGTCTATCTAGCAAACAAAATTGCAAAAGTAGTACGAATTATTTTGTGAAAACAATTGGTTATTCTTTATAAAATTTAGTTACATATAAAAACTAAAAATTTCTACTGTTGACCCCAAAAAAAATTAAGACATTATGTTTAGGTTTTCTTTTTTCCAAATTAGAATTTAGATTTCTTCCATTAAAAACAATTCTCATTTTTCTGTTAAATTTGTGCTACTATTAGAATAAAAACAGACTTATGGATCTACTTTCTGAATCAAAACTTTAAAATTGATGATTCTGGAGAATCGCCTATATGAAATCATGCAATAAAGTTTGCTAAAAACTTACCATCATTTTCATTCGTTTCAGATTGTGGAGAGTCGACAACAACATAAACTTCAATGGCGTTAAGCAGAGGTGGGAGAGTAGACCTCTGAGTTTTTTTCAGCTCTAAGACACACTCGCCGTCGTCTTCACATGTAACTGGATACGCATTGTAGAATGTCTTGGGCTGAAGATATACAGGCCTATAATTCTCAGAAATAATTTTTCCATTCCACGAAATATTGAACTCTCTAGTCTCATTTGCCTTTAAGACTTGAACCTCAGAGAAGTGGAGGAAATAGAAAATTTTATCCCTAGGAGTATCGAGATACTCTGTATATGTCAATGGTTCACTCGCATTCGCAGGTGTTGCAGCGGTCGTGACTATAGTCTCCGGCAAGTTAAAGCTACCAGTGTTGTTTCCTTTGACTGCGGTGGAAATCTTCTTCCATTCTTTCTCAAGGTACGGGACCCATATTCGATCATAGTGATCTTCTGGGAACCTGTCATTACCATCATTTTTTGTCATAATTAACATTTATATAGTCTAAAAGATTTTCAGATTCATAGTGTTTTTAGAAAGAAAAAATATATATACTAGATTGTTTGGATACTACCAATTGTTTTGCAAAACAACAAAAACAGGGTAGCACCAAATTTCAAATAAATCGTATTAACCTTGATCAAATCAATCATATCTCAAAAATCATTGCTAAGTATACAATACACTCTCCACCAAAAAAAATAGTATATTAAAATAATTTTACTTACTTTAGAACCTTTTCTGATTCGCTAATAAAGTACTGCGTCCAATAGGTCAATGAACCCGACGTAGTGATATAGCTGTTATTTGGTAGAGGCCTTAGTTCTAACGCCGATATAAATGGTGTTGACGTGTCTGTCTTAACAAGACACACATCCAAGTAGTTTGATCTTGGAGAGTGAATGATCTCGCCCATTGAGACACCATCATCTGCGTTCAAATCCACTGACTTCCAAAAATTAGGGCCTATGTAAAGATTAAACTTAGGATAGTTATTAAGACCGTCGTAATTTCCATAGAGAAATCTAGCTCTAATCAAATAGTTTGTTCCCTGCTTGATGTTGAAACTGTAGCAGTTGCGTTTTCCGTCTGGAAAATATCTCAACGTCCACAGCATCTTCATGTACGTTTCCTCTAGACTTGCTTCAATTCTTCCAATTTTTCCACTCTGGATGGAGTTTGTATCTGATGTGAATATCAAGCCACTTTTAGGATGGGTATAAGGAGAAGCTTCATTCGGGGGTAACCCGCAATCCAAACTGATGAACCCTGTTAAGATATAGAAGAGCACTCATTGGCAACAGAATAAAAAAAAAGTGTTCCAGATTGATGTTATAGTGTTTTCATATATTTTTTGTTTGATAAGAAATTGATGTTTGAGTTTCAACTTTAGAGTTTCAAATAAAAGTTGACATCCAATATACAAGTTAAACTATTTTAGATATTTGAAATTGATCAAAAACATAAAATATTGATGCCATTTTAGATTTATCAAAATATGAAAAATATTAAATTTCGATATATTATAATTTTATAGTATATTAACTAAAAATGGTATTTAAATCATACTTGTCTTGCGTACATTAATTCAATTTATTTAAAATGAATTATCATTTTAACATATATTTTTTATATAAAAAACAAAATTTCTGTTTGGGGTTCTCATGGATGGAGATATCCTCTAAAAACATTGCCAACAACGTCAACCCAACTCACACAGCGGAGGTGGTTCCCTTAGTTTTGTTGTAGAAAGACGATGATAAACGGTGCCACAATAGTGAGAAATGAATTTAAACAAAGCCATGTAAGCGGAAAATAAATTTTGGGTACCTTCTTGATCCTGAGCTCGACCAAGGTCAAAAATGGCGAAGGTTGCTATTAGGACGATCAACAAATGCCTATGGGGACTCTCCATTTTCTCTTACTTCCGAAACAAATTCAAATGGCACTACCAAAATATTGAACGGTAAAAATGTGTATAATCAAAGGGTGGGGCGCAAAACTATTTAAACATTTCAAGAAAGTCTAAACGCAAGTAAAGCATCACAACGTGACCACATGTCTTAGTTAGTTACTTAGTTCTAATTCTAAAGGACGAAATATACAGGAATGAGTAAATATATTTTCTAGTGGGCATTACAGTTGTTAGTTGCTAGTTTATAGGTCACAAACTAGAGTAATACCACTAGATGACTATGGTTTGCTTTTCATTGTATATATCGGTGGAAAGTCAACCCTCTCTTAACGTTTCTTCATGGGTAATGGTGGTGAGTATAAAAGCCTAGAATCTTTCGCAGTTTGACAACTTCTTCAGAAGAAAAGTCAAGTTAACAAGTTGCAATTGGTATTAATCAACAATTTTCAAGTCATCACCAATCATAATCTCTATTAAATGTTGTGATATGACCTGGTCGAAGATATGCACGAACATCATGCATGAAGACTTTCCGTGTGATTTAACATATATTAATCTTGCGACAATGAGGTTTCACTAAAAGACATCATTCCTCACTCCCTCGCATGATTTCTTTAAGCAAGACTTAAATCCATTTTCCCTCATTTTCTCTTTTTTTTTCTCATATGTTTGACTTCAACTTTTTTATAGTTAGTATCAATTATTGGAGGAGGTTAACTCGTATGTCTTAGATATAAGTGAAACGTGAGTACATGCGTGTGCCTACTCACTTTTCCTGCGTGCTTTGTGATCGGAATCATGAAGAGTCCTCACTTTATTTTTTTGACGTTATTTGGGTTAAGAGTTTTGGCCATCCTTCGGTTTGCTGAAGCACAAAATCAAGAAGGTATGTAAGATTTTACTTTTCTCACTAGAAGTATTTTACCGTAACTCCTTCCCTTACTCCTTAATCACACCATGAACCTATCTTTCTCTTGCTATATGTCTTAACAGGTTTTATCAGTTTAGATTGTGGCTTACCTTTAAATGAGTCTCCATATATAGAATCAGAAAGCCAAATACAGTTCTCATCAGACGAGAATTTCATCCAAAGTGGAAAGATCGGAAAAATCCCGGAAAATCTTGAATCTCCTAACCTAAAACCGTACTCCACCCTACGATATTTTCCAGATGGTATACGAAACTGCTATGATCTACGTGTGGAAGAAGGAAATAATTATCTAATTAGAGCTATATTTTTCTATGAAAACTATGACGGTCTTAATGTTAGCCCGGAATTTGATATATATCTTGGTCCAAATAAGTGGACAACAATAGATTTGCAAAAAGAATCATTTGGTTCAGTGAAGGAGGTCATTCACATTCCAAGATCAACCTCTTTGCAAATTTGTCTTGTTAAGACGGGAGCAACTACACCGATGATATCAACTTTGGAGCTCCGGCCTTTAGCAAATGATACTTACATCGCTCAATCTGGTTCACTCAAGCTTAACTTTCGCATGTATCTTAGCAATTCCACCTTTAATCTTCGGTATGTATTCAACCTAAAACCATAGTATATATATATATATATATATATATATATATATATATATATATATATATATACGTAAATGATACGTTAAGTGTTGAAGCATACATAGTCAAGATGTTTATTCATTTTGCTTTTTTTGACAATAGTATTATTATATTGAATTTTGATAGGTACCCGAAAGATGTTTATGATCGTACATGGATTCCATATTTTCAACCCGAATGGACACAAATTTCGACAACTGCGAATGTGTCCAATCAAAATCACTATGATCCACCGCAAGCCGTACTTAAGGTGGCAGCGACACCTACTAATCTCGACGCACCATTGATGATAAATTGGACACTGGAGAATCCTGATGATCAGATTTACTTGTACAGACACTTCGCTGAGATCCAAGACATAAAGGCCAATGACACTAGAGAATTCGACTGTGTATTGAATGGAGAAAAAATTAATACTCAAGTTTTTAGTCCTAAATATCTTGAAATAAAGACAATGTTAACCACAATTCCTAGGGAATGCAAAGGAGGTATCTGCCGCATGCAGTTGATAAGGACACAGAGATCGACACTTCCACCTCTACTTAATGGTTTTGAAGTTTACTCAGTTCTCCAACTTCCACAAGCTCAGACAAACGAAAATCAAGGTATCAAAATTCAAAATATAGTTCTTTAATTCTTTTGTAGGTGATTATTTTAACACATACATGAGATCTAATTATTCCATTAGTTTTTTTTTTCACACAATGAAATTTTACATCAGTCGTTGCTATCAAGAACATCAAATCTACTTATGGATTGAGTAAAATCAGTTGGCAAGGAGATCCATGCGTTCCCATGCAGTTCTTGTGGGATGGATTAAACTGTAACATCACAGATATCTCAACGGCACCAAAAATAATTTCCTTGTAAGATCTATTTTTTCTCTCACGCAGACATTGAAAATTACTGAAATTTTATTTGTCTATAAATAAATAAAAATATTCGTTAATAACCAGAAATCTATCTTCGAGTGGCTTGACTGGAACCATAGTACCTGCCTTTCATAATCTGACTCATCTAAAAAGTTTGTAAGTATGATCGTTGTTGATTTTAAAGACCAGCGTTTTTTCTTATGCATGCTTGATATATGAACACAAAGCAAATAATGGTTCATTGTTTTTTTTTTTTTTTTTTTTTTTTTTTTCATATTCCAGGGATTTGTCAAATAACACTCTAAGTGGAATGGTGCCCGAGTTTCTAGCCTCTATGACATCATTGTTGGTCATGTAATAGATTGCTCAATTTATTTACTAATCACGTTCACAAGAATCATGTTTTTGTTTTGTGTACATATGAGTTTTCCTCCACTTGGACAGAAACTTGAGCGGGAACAATCTTAGCGGTTCAATTCCTCAAGCTCTTCGCGATAGAGAAAGGGAAGGGCTAAAGTTATAGTAAGTAACAAACTCCATGATTTAACTCTATAACTAATCAGTATCCTAACTTAAAAACATTGATTTAACATATCTTATGAATTCTAAATTTCTTTATTTGTAGTGTCCTTGGAAACAAAAATCTTTGTCTATCTACTACATGCATAGATAAGCCAAAGAAGAAATTTCCAGTGAAGATTGTTGCGCCAATTGCTTCCATTGCTGCTATTGTTGTCATGATGATCCTTATTTTTGTGTTCATGAAGAAAATGTCATCAAGTAAGGAAGACATTTGCAACAAATTTATGTGTCTATGCCATGCGTGTCTTTGCTCTTATGTATGTACTCTCATTTGCTTTACGTGCAGGGAATAAGTCTGAACCGTGGATCAAGACAAAACGAAGAAGGTTTACTTATTCAGAAGTTTTAGAAATGACAAAGAACTTGCAACGACCTCTTGGTGAAGGAGGGTTTGGCATCGTTTATCATGGTGACATAAATGGTTCAGAGCAAGTAGCTGTGAAACTACTTTCCGAAACATCAGCACAAGGTTATAAAGAATTCAAGGCAGAGGTAAAATAAGCTTTAAATCTTCGTAAAATGTGATATATGTATATTAAAGATTATATTAAACAAATGTGTTTTGTGTGTTTGTTTTACACTATTGATTAGGTTGAACTTCTTTTGAGGGTACACCACATAAACTTGGTTAGTCTTGTCGGGTATTGCGATGAACAAGATCACTTTGCCCTCATCTACGAGTACATGTCCAATGGAGACTTACATCAACATCTATCAGGTGAACATGTAACTTAAAAGTATATCATAGTGATAATTGATAACCAAATGTATGAAACTAAACAATAGAGATTTTTGTTTTATCCTCTAATAATGTTTTGCAGCCTAAGTATATATTAATCATCATGATATGTAGGAAAACACGGTGGCACGGTTTTGAACTGGGGTATGCGACTACAAATAGCCATCGAGGCTGCCTTGGGATTAGAGTACTTGCATATTGGATGCAAGCCAGCAATGGTGCACAGAGATGTCAAAAGTACAAATATATTGTTGGATGAAGAGTTCAATGCCAAAATCGCGGATTTCGGGCTTTCAAGATCTTTCCAAGTTGGAAACGACGATCAATCTCGAGTTTCAACTGTAGTTGCTGGTACTTTAGGATACCTTGATCCAGAGTAAGTGTATATCATGGTAAAAACATGTTTTCATTATTTTAAGTGGTATAAAAACTATACAATACATATGAATCACACTCCATCTTCTTGTCTTTTCAGATACTACTTAACAAGTGAGTTGTCCGAGAAGAGTGATATCTACAGTTTCGGTATCTTACTACTAGAAATTATCACAAACCAACGAGTGATAGATCAAACACGTGAAAGGCCTAACATAGCGGAATGGGTGACATTTGTGATTAATAAAGAAGATACGAGTAAGATCGTGGACCCTAAACTTCAAGGGAATTACGAGCCCCGCTCTGTTTGGAGTGCTCTTGAAGTGGCAATGTCATGCGCAAATCCTTCTTCAGCCAAACGACCAAATATGTCTCAAGTTATCATCAAACTTAAAGAGTGTCTTGAAACCGAAAACGCGAGGACGAGTAGGATCCAAGACATGGACTCTCATCATAGTTCTTCGGCTGAGCTGAGAGTGACTGTGACCTTTGATTCCGATTTGTACCCTAAGCCAAGATAGTACGCTAATGTAAGTAATGTGACATGAACCAAACCTATCGGTGTATAATGTTTGTTTAAAGTTATAACAATTGTCAATAGTCTTTTAAATTTGCTTCCCATGTTAGAAATATAAATATTAACCTATGTAAACTGTATATGTGAATGTTGTAAGGTATAATTTCATAAGGTTTTGTTAAATATGATGAATCTATGTGTTTGGTTAAAAAAAATTTACGAAAAAGCGGTGAAAAAATTTGGCGCTACTTTCCCCGCTTCATTGAAATCATACAAATTTTATTTGCTGGCATCACGCGGATCGACAATATTAACCGTTGATAAAAATAAATCGACGGTCAATAAGTCATCTCGTTGTTGACCAAGATCGATATCTACAGCCGTTAGATCTAAAAAGAGATCTGAAGGCTCAAATTAAAAGGGGCTCGTCTTGTATATAAATCACCTCCGGCCCAGTGTAATTCTCAAATCTCAATCTAAAACTCTGATTCACAATCTTCAAATCTATCTTTCTCGAGAAAATTCAAGTTTGCTGAGAAAATGTCTGGTCGTGGAAAGGGAGGAAAGGGTTTGGGCAAAGGCGGGGCCAAGCGTCACAGGAAGGTTCTGAGAGACAACATCCAAGGAATCACCAAGCCGGCGATTCGGCGTTTGGCTCGTAGAGGTGGCGTGAAGCGTATTAGCGGTCTGATCTACGAGGAGACGCGTGGAGTCCTCAAGATCTTTTTGGAGAACGTCATCCGCGACGCCGTCACTTACACCGAGCACGCACGGAGGAAGACGGTGACAGCCATGGATGTGGTTTATGCTCTCAAGAGACAAGGAAGGACTCTCTACGGATTCGGCGGTTAAGGATTTTAGCCTCTTATGTGCTTCTAGAACTTGATTTTAGCTAATATCTTCTGGAATTTGAGATCGATTAGGTGTTTCCCTTTGCGTTTGCGTTTACGTTGTAATGTTGTTTTGGTGATGAATATATGAAGTTGCGTTTTGTGATTTGTATGAGCGTTTGCGTTCTGAATATCAGTGATAATTCCCTCTTTTTAATCTCTTCCAAATTACAATTATGAGAAACGCCTTACAATCCACTTTTCTGATAAATCGACGACAAGAAATTTATTTATATAGCGAGTGATATGATGTTCTTAATTGGACTTATATAAAATGGTTTTTGTGAGAAACGGCACACATGACAAATGTAACAGCTATGGAGAAACGGAGTGAAAAAACCAACTAACTAAAACGGCATGCTGTTTTTCGATATGCTCGATAAAGACGTGACAAATTGTAGGTTAGAGATAGACGGCATAGAAAAACGCAAGTTTCAGAATTCAGTTCTTGTGTACATCAGAATCGTCGTCTCATACTGATGATACGAAGAAAACTTAATGGGCCTAGCTTAAAACTAGATAAAAATGGGCCTTATTAGCTTAGACCTACCATTGTTGAGTATATGCAAAGCAAGTACAACACACGGACGCAAAAACAGTAATTACATAAAGTGTTTAGCAAATTAGCGTAATCATGCATAATGGATAGAGAGACTGAGAGAGTCAAAAAAACAAATGCGGTGAGCGTGGATCGAACACGCGACCTTCAGATCTTCAGTCTGACGCTCTCCCAACTGAGCTATCCCCGCATTGATATCAGTTCAATTTAAATAAACTATAACCCAAACCGTTTAATATAAATTATGTCATGAGTTTCAGTCTGATTTCATCAGTTATTTTTTATCACGATCAGTATTTTGGACTGATCATCATTGGGTTGACCGAACAAGTTCAATAATCTGATTCGGTAATCAGAATTATTCATGATAGAATGTATGGTTTTGTGACTATGTGACAACAGAAAAAAAGGTACGTTTGTTTACTTGTATTTGACGAAATATTAACCGGACTTACTTCAGCCAGAATAAGTCAAATCTTCCCCCATTTTTTTAGCGTCATCAGTCAAACATTTCCTTTACTATAGTACCATATTATGAATTTATGATTAGTAATGATCGATAATTATGTAAAGGAGAAAGAACTATGCAAGTCACTCTAATTGAGTCTTAGTTCTTCAGTCAAACTCTAATCGTTGCCAAAAAATAGAGAGGACGTTATTGCCACGAATCTCTCTTTATCATTACTATCCATTATTATATCCAAACATTAGACGGTTTACACTATAATTATTTATAAAACCAAACCCCAAAGTTCAGAAACAAGAAAAAAATAGAGAGATTTAGGTAACTATGGCCTCGAAATGCACAGGTGATTGTCTAAACATCAAAAGCGACGCCGCTTGCGTCCGGCCAGGTACGACTTACGCCAATCTCTACAAATGGCCGGTGGCCGAGGCGGAGTTCGTACGATCTATCAGCCAAGGCGGAAGCCAGCGTCGTAGCACTGTGGTGGACGGCATCTCTTGTCGGCAGATGTACCTTAGAAGCTATACCTTCTCAACAAAAGAGGAGAACAAAGGCGGTGGAGATCAAGATGGTGATGACGATGGTTGCCAGAGAAACCAAAGGAGATGTTTTGCAGGAGGAGGAGGAGGTAGGAAGAAGACGGCGAACAATGGTATGGGGACGAGTAAAACTATGTCGTTTGTTGTCAGAGTCTTATGGAAATGTTTGACTTGTACTTCCTCTACAAGGGTTAATGTTGAAGAGTGAAGTGGTTTTGTCAATAGAGAGAAAAATAATAAGGAAAATATTCAAAAGGAATTTATATCCATCCCATGCAAGACTTCTTAATTAACATATATGGCCAAATGTGTTGAAGTTTGCATTTCCGTATCCATGTTATGATAATCATGAAAGACGGATACTGAATTGAAGTTAATTATAGCATCTATAGCCAAATAACATTTTAAAGCCGCAAATTGTGTATGAAAATACAATATGTATTTATTAAGTCATAAAAATGTTTCGTGGATGTTGGTATAGTACGGAGTCTAGCTCTAATTTTGACAAAACTAGTCAAATGGTTGTAGAATATAATGGCTTACATGGTTTAAAACTGATAAAGTGCACGTTAACACCTACATAATGATAGTAATAAGATATATAAAATTCACCAATTAGATGGAGTCAGAAAACAGAACCGATTTCAGAATGCAAGAGAGGGATAGGGGGAGAATTTTTAGGGATTTTCATTTTTAGAGACATCTCCTTTGTGATTGCTAAAGTTTTCTTCTCCCGAAACAACCTTAGAAAAATTATAGAGTTGACAAGTATGCGTCAAGTTGAGAAAACTTCTCATTTTTGTTCTCTGACTTAGTATTTTATATAAAAAATAGTGAATTAATAATGATAAGGATAAGGTAAAGGTTATTTATAAGCCAAATCCACACTAGAAGTTAGAAGTAGCTCCAAAAAAATTGGCCATGGCCTCCAGTTGCATAGATGATTGTGTAAACATCAAAAGGGAGGCCATTTTCGTCCGGACGGTGACGACTTACGCCAAACTCCACAAGTGGCCGATGGCAGAGGCAGAGTTTGTTCGGTCAATCAACCACGGTGGTAGCCTGCGTCGTCCAATGGCGGCTGATAGCAGATCTTGTAGGCAAATGTACCTTAGAAGCTATACTTTCTCAAGACAAGAGAACCTAGATGACGGTGGTAGAGGTGGTGGTGGTGACGGAGACTCCGGTGACCGAAGAAACGAAGGAGGGAAAAGGAAGGCAGCAAAGAAAGGTATGAGGAAGAGCGAAACAACTTCGTGTAGGGCGTTTGTTTTCAGACTCGTATGGAAATGTTTTTCTTGTGCATCTTCTAGTAAGGTCAATATTGATTGATCAATGAAGCAAAATTATCAAGATGCGTATGTAATAAATAAAACAAAATAAATTTTGGTGAGACATAATAGATACTACTAATACGTATATGATCTTGATCCCAAAAAAAAATAGCCAGCCTTTTTAGCAAGTCAACATGATGAACATGAAGAACCAACTCAACCAAGTTCTAACTTCTAAACTTACAGTACAATTGAAACAACAAGAGTGTTAAAACATTCCTCAGAAACCAAAAAAAAAAAAATGAACAAACAAATTTCAGAAAACTTCAAATGAACATTCAATCTGCAAGAAAAATACAAACTCAGTAGGAGAGAAACAGAGTAATAAATAAATAAAAACATTTTCAGCTATTTGTATCATTACTAATGAAAATCGCCAATAAGAACAGCTCGAGCAAACAACAAAGACCTGATGCTTTCTCATCATTACATTACATTACATGTTTGCTTACTTCTGCTTCCGTTAGAAAGATCTTTCCAAACTTTTCTAGCTCATTGCATTGCCCTCCAATCTCTCATCACCATCATCTTCCTTCCGATTTCACCAGCTGAGAAAACACTTTACTCATGGAAACACCAGAGAGATCATCAATGCTCGACTCCTCAAACCTCCCCGCCGTTCCGGGAACATTAACACTCGTATCTCCCTGACTGAAATCATTGATCTGCGTCGGTAACTCCCCGATCATATTCGTGCTATTCTCCTCCGGCTCGCCGCCATCATCAACAACCGCTTCTTGAAGCTGCAACGCATATTCAAGATTCCACAACACATCTCCCATAGACGGCCTATCAACTCCGTAATCAGCCAAACACTTCTCACCCGTCTCCGCAAACTTCCTCAACGAGTCAGGCCTAATGTTCCCTCTAAGCGACTGATCAATGATCTGATCCAACTGCCCTTTCTTCTGCCATTTCATCGCCCACTCCGCAAGATTCACCATCTCCCTCGGCAGCGTCGGGTCAATCACAGGCCTAGCGCAAAGAACCTCAAACAGAACAACCCCGAACGAGTAAACATCGGACTTATCAGTAAGCTGTTGCCTTCTAAAGTACTCAGGATCAAGATAACCGAAGCTCCCTTTCACCGCAGTGCTCACATGAGTCTGATCAAGCTCAGGTCCGGTCTTAGACAGTCCAAAGTCCGCAACTTTCGCCATGAAGTTCTCATCAAGCAATATGTTCGCAGACTTCACGTCTCTGTGAATCACAGGCTTCGAGTCACCAGTGTGAAGGTAATGCAATCCTCTAGCCGCGCCAATACAAATCTCAAGACGTTGCTTCCACGTCAAGCTAGGTAAACCAGAGCCGTAGAGATGACTCTTGACAGTCCCGTTCTCCATATACTCGTAGATGAGTATCATCTCGCTGTTCTCATCACAGTAACCGATCAGAGAAACCAAATGCCGGTGACGAAACTGAGACAACATCTCGATCTCCGTCCTGAACTCCGCAAGCCCTTGCTGAGACTTAGGGTTTCCTCTCTTCACAGCTACTCTCGTCCCGTCGTTGAGCTCTCCTTTGTAGACTTTCCCGAACCCTCCCACACCGATGTTCCTGCTCTCGTCGAAGTTGTTCGTCGCGTCTTTCACCGCCGCGAACGGAATACGGTAGTTAGCATTGGTGGTTATACTCATAAGCGTAGTTCCATTCGATCCCTTGCTTCCCACGGAAGTTCCGTTGATCGAAAACGGCATCCAACTCTTCGAATGACCGTCTTGCCCTCGCCGGCTTCGTTTCCGCTTCTTGCACAGCACAAAGCAACATCCCAACAAGACTAACCCTAGCAACGGACCCACCGTTGCACCTACAATCAACCCTAGATTCTTCTTCTTAACGGTGGAGCCACCAGGAGCCACAAACGTTCCTGTACTCAGCTGACCTTTAGAGTTATTCATCTTCATGATCTCCAATCCGTTCACAATAGCATTCGGATAATCAGTGTGAACGTTCGAAGGACCGATGCTGACACGGATCTTGTTGCTACCTTTCGGCGAAGGAGTGACGAAATCCATGTTGTAGGCGCCAGCGAGCGTGTTGTCCACGTAAGTGCTGAGATCAACGTCCATCACAGCGAGCATTGAATCTACATAGAGGTTGAAGTAGAGCTGGTTGAGAGCCAAGCTGACTATATCACAGAAATGGAACCGGAGAAAGTACTGGAAACCGGGATCGACCTCGAACTCCCATGTCACATTGAAGTTGCTGGAGGGATCTTGCGCGGCGACGGAGTTCATCTGCGTGCAGGTTCCGTAGACGGTTCTCGGAGCGGTTTCCTCCGTCGCGTAGCCTGGAACGTAGTTGACGGTTGCGAGCTTGGTGACGGAAGTGGCGAGATTCTTCTCGAGGAGGAAGGTGGAGTCAGGGAGCCAAGTTCTTGTGAGAGTGTCGTTGTTGGCTGCGACGAGAGAGCCTCCCATGTTGACTCTGTGAACGGTTTCGAGAGCTTGTGAGGATAAGCTCTGCTGAAACGTTCCTGAGCCTACTAGTCTTGGAGGAGGAGAGGAAGTGATTAATGTCTCCGGGATTGAGATGACTTCGATTGCGTTGACGAAGGCGAAGGAGTTAGAGGAAGGAGTGAATGTGAGGATGAGATCGTCGGTGGTGATGTTCAAAGAGTACTCTTTTACAACTCTCGAGCTCTTTTTGATTGTGAAGTCGCTTAAGAGGACGTGGGTTTGGGAGGAGACGGAGAATTTGGCGGTGTTCATTTGGTAAGTTTGGTAATCGAATGGATCGAAGTGGAGACGGACCCAGTGACGGCCGCGAGCGGTTACGGAGAATTTGTAGGAGGAGACTCCGGTGAAGACTCTCGCCGTGGAGTAAATGTCGGAATTTGCGGTTTGACTTGCGAGGATCTCTTTTGGGGATGTGAGTAAGTTGGAGGAGAGCTTATCGGAGATGAAGACTCGACCCATTACGGTGGAATTGGATTGTGAGCCACAGTTGATTAGGTAATTGTCCTTTGGTGTGAATAATCCATGGCAGATGCAAATCAAGGTCGAGATCGTTGAAATTAAGATGAAAGTTTGGAACTTTTCAACACCCATTTTGACCAGCAGCAGAAAAAAACCTGGGAATTTGACAAGGAACGGAACAGATCCGGAAAATTGATCCATGAGCAAGATTCATTATGAACTAGGAACAAGTAAAGATGGCAACTTTTCTGAGATCAAGCAATGGAACAATTAAAATTTACCTTTTTAAGACGAGAGATTCAGGAGAAGTAACGGTCCCATGAAAAAAGGCTAGACTTTGAGGGATTAGAGCTGATGAATATACAGATCAGGAAACTGAAAACTCAGATTTTGAGTTTCGGTTTTGAATAAAATATATCGAATACTGTACTCGGAGAAGAGAATTGGTTCCAGCAGAGAACAGACTGGTAACAGGAAGTTTTGATTCTTTTGTGAACTCTGCAAAAACATGAACTCAAGAACAAAATATTTCTTATTTCTTCCGTCAGGAGAGAAGAAGAAAGAGAAAAAAAATTATCAATCACGGTCGAAAAGGAATAAATCGAATTTTCTCTGGCTGTATTTTTTTATTAATGGCTTAAAGAGAAGGAAGAGAAAAATGGAATTTCCAGAAAATGATTAGAAAACGTAAATGGTCTTCGCAATTAATATGTCTTTGAGAAAATGTTGTTTTTTTTCTTCTCATTGGGAAAAAATTCGTTAAAATATGAAGAAAATAGTTTAAACACAGACCAGATATTTTATTTTTTATACTTTTATATAAAAATGTTACGAAATTGTGTTTTTTTTTTTTTCATTTTGTTTCAGGTGTCTACTGGTGGTGGGTGGTTTGCAGCAAAGTCAACTTTTATTAGGGATTATTTTGTAAATATTTGAAATATTATTTTAATTTTCCGACAATATTGATGAAAAAATCTCTTGAATTCATGAAAGCTTTTTTCGTTCACTTTTTGACTCAATAGTAAATTGTCGTGGATTTATATATATCTTCTTCTTTACCATTTCTAAAGTTTCTTCTTTTTTGGAAATTTCTAGCATCCCTTAATTTATCCATAATATTCTTACTTCTAATTACTGTACTTCTTCAGTCCTAACAAATCTTGGACTTTTTTACTTTTCTATAAACTTTCTGAATTCTATGCGACAAACTTTTCCCAAAATATGGAAGATTAGAGCTTTATGCACATCTTTTTGGGCTTGCAAAATTTCAGAAGATGGCAACATTAAGTCTAACCACTCCATTATACAACCATATGGAACATGACACATATTGTCATTATTAATTGGAACTAATAAGATCCCACTAATGCTCCTTGTGACATTATTTTTAAATATTGCCTAACAAGACACCGCAACTGATATATTAATATTGTTTCTAATGGCTGGCAAAATTTGATTGATGTAATAGTGAAGTTTTGGGAATGATATAATAACCCACGTCTATGTAGTTTTTAGAAGAACTTATCTTAGTCTTCTTCACATCTAAAAGCTGAAAGTGAAAAACGAAAGCTTTCTGTCGGCAGCTTAGCTTGGAATTGGATCTTTTTTTAGAAAGCGTAACATTTATATATACTGATGCCTGATGGAGTTAATTTTTTTACTTTATAGAAAAGGAGATTTAATTACAAAAGAGAGTATAGAAAAATATTTAATGACATTTTCTCTCAAACGTAATATCATGCCCATTCCTTGCATAATACCAAGCCATACTTTTAGGCTACAATTTAATAACCTGTTTTAAGGGCCTCGATATAGAGGTATGTTGGTCTAGTGCCATAGTGGCAAAATTTTCAACTTTACTAGCATGAGCCTCCACACCTTAATTCCACTCCTATTTGGGTGGGTTTATTTTCGGTTTCATCTAAATTATTAATGAGCTAGCTACTTAGCAACTGGATCCAAAAACCTTTATTTTTTTTTTTTACTTTTCGTGCTCTTATAGAAAAGTACCGATAAGTCCATTACCATACAAAAAGAACTATTGATAGAACAAGAAAATGACGAAGACTACTATGACAGGAGAGAAAACATTCTGTTTCTACCAAAATATTACTGAAGCTTTTTTTGTTTTTTTGGGTATAGTCGACGACCGAACCCTACACCAATTTCCAACCTATGATTAGGAGGACTGATGTTGATATGCGGGAAAGTCGGCTGAACACATGAAATTTTCAACCACATGTTCCCACATTGTATTAGACAGATATATTTGTAGATGTTTACGTATAAGTTGAATGAAAATGGATGAACGTGAGCCGTTAATGGGCTCATAACAATACAAAAGCAGTTATCTGTACAATGTCCATTCCACGCGGAGTCTAACCAAAAAGTTGGACCAAATTCACTCAACCAAATAAGTGGACCCATTGCAAACTCAAGTGTGAATTACTACTGACGGTGAGATGCGGGGAAATCGGATGAACACATGAAAGTTTATAACCATTTTGTTCGCACTAAGTTGAATATATATTTTGGACAAAGGATCAATTAGTTTTTGTTAAAAAAGGATCAATTATTGAATATATTTATTGACTTCACTAAAATAGACAAACAAATGTATACTTTAAAGTCTACTTGACATATAAAAATACAAACGCCGTTGACCTCAAATATGTCAACCAAATAAGTTGGAGACTTAAAGCAAATTCAAAAGTCATTTCCTAATAATTGCTCTAATTTGTAAAGTATATATGGGAAGTGATTTGTTTTTATAAATTCAACACTCAAAACTTAAAAGTAAAGAGACTTTTGTCTTGGTAAACGTCAATTGTATCCGAGACTTGTCAGTTAATTTTTGAGATAATTCTTTTTTTTATATAAACTTAAAAAAGTAGTCTAGACTCGATGTAGAAAATACATTTGAAAATACTATTTTATCACGGCAGAAACCTAAATAAAAATGTTGAAGAAGATTGTTGACATTTATGTAGTGGGTTTTGACACCCTATTATATTCCTTTGTTGAATTCATAATGGTCTTTTTTTTTGAACAACAATTCATAATGGTCTAAAAACCAAAATCCAGATCTGTGAACCGCTATGCAAATATTATATATGAGCTGTGCAATCTCAATAAGTCAAGTCAACTGTAGATATACTTTTTTTTTTGGTCAACTAGATATGAACATGCTTCATTTTATCTATAAATTACGTTTGTGTGCATGTAATTAAGCTAATTAGTTCGTTGATGATGGCGGCACTTCTTCATCTTATCACTCTCTTCTCTCTCTCAGCCATAATCCTAACATTAGCAGAAAGTACGTAGAATTAAACTCCCTCAAAACTAATATTTCCTTATAATTAGACCCAATTCAATTATTCTTTTACTCACTAATTAATCGTTAGGTATAAGCATTGACTGTGGATCAACGGGATCCTACGTGGACTCCAACAATGTAACATGGGTCGGAGATAAAGGCTTCGTCACCACCGGCGAGCCCATGAAGATTCCGGACGTCGTGACGAAGCCGATCAACACTCTCCGGTACTTCCCATCCGGTCAATCCAACTGCTACACAAACATTCCGGTGACAAAACGCCGAAACACTCTCGTGAGGACAAAGTTTTACTACGAGAACTACGACGGGAATTTCTCGCCCCCATCTTTCGACCTAGTTTACGACGGGAAACACCGTGATTCCGTTGAAATCACTGAGTCTCTACTCAACGACGAGGAGACATATTATTATTCAGAGTTGATATTTTCTCCCGCGAATGAGAATATTAGTATATGTCTCTTCCGTACGTCGCCATCCGATAACCCTTTTATATCGTCCATTGAAGTTTACAGTTTAGACGTCGGCATGTACGCCGATCTTGGTCCCAACGAAGGTTTGATTACCCGACAAAGAACTACTTGCGGTGCTAAAGAGAGTATAAGGTAAGGTTATAGTATTACCTATAATAATAATATACAAATTAATTCTTGTATCTAATGTTGGTTTTCTTGGTAAACTTATTTTAGCTACCCGTTAGATCCTTACGGTAGGCCATGGTACCCGTTAGGGTCCGACGACACACTGGCCGATCTAACGACATCAGCTCCATCAATAGACATCACCGGGGCGTCGAACAAGCCGCCAGAGGTGGTTATGTCGAAGGCAACGTCATCGTTAGGAAAAATCATTAAACTTTCCAACCTGGCTCTCCCCTTAACCGGTCTACCAGTGTACTTGGCTCTTTACTTCTCCGAGCCTCAGAGTCTAGGCCGGACCCAAAAACGGTCATTCAACGTTTTCTTGGACGACACACAAGTGGGTTCGGGTCCCATCGTACCTGTTTTTGGGAAAGCAACTCAAGTCGTTCTGAGAGATGTAGTGGCCACGTCAGGGTCCCAGATAGTTTTTCAGTCCACTGATGACTCGGTTTTGCCGCCCATCATCAATGGTTTGGAGCTCTATGCGATAAGTAACAGCCGAAATGGTGGAGGTGGAGGCGGAGGCGGAGACCATAGCGGTGGTGGCAATGGTGATTCTGAAGGTTAGTTTTATTTTCTTTAGGTGAAGGTTATTCTAGTTTTGAACCTATGTATATACGTACTTAGGGATAATTATATTTTTTTCAGCTAAAATAACTTTTATGTGCTTAATATAGAGTGTGAATTGCTTTGAATGATATTAATAATTATTTTCGGTTGGTATGTAATTAATTAAGGTTCCGGAGGAGCGATACCACGTGCAAACAACGCGGTAGGAGGTTTGTACTCTGTACTCACAATCTGTATCCATTTGTTTTTTTTGTTTCTTTCTAAAAGAATTCAAATTTATATATTTTCATTCACATACAAAGTACAGTAATTAAACAGTAAAAATATAACATTAAATCGGATAACATTTGTGATTTGTCATTACATTAAGGTAAAGATCCGATTAGTAGTTTTTAAATAATGGACATATATACATGCCCTAAGTTTCCTATAGTATTATTGTGACACGTACAAAACAATTTTGACACCCTTCTATAGATGACGGCTTTAGGTGGGGCAAAAACCAATGGAAGAAATAAGAAGAAAAACAAATTACCACTCATTCTTGGTGTTACGTTCGCTTCCACGTTTGCGATTCTCTCATCAACGTTTGGAGCTATTTTCATAAGAAGGCGTCAAAACGCTAAAACACGGTCCAGTACAGCAGCACCAACTACGTCCACAGGTACATATATATAGATATTGTTTCTTAATAGTTATATATAGATATTACTAAATTATATATTTGACTATAGATTGCAAGTATCATTGACTTGCTTTTTTTCTCTCGTATGTTTTCAAGGGCATGGAACAGGCACAGGGATGTCGCCTCTAGTTGGACAGCAATTTGCTAGTGACACGAATGATTCGTATGTTGTCCAAGATGATCATCATTGAGATGGAACAAAGTTTTCGATGAACTAGACCCATTTGTTATTCTACATGTCCTTTCTTATTTATGATTTTTTAATAAAGAGTATTCTGTTTAATTTGTACTAGACCAGCAAATTGTTACAAAACTAATGGGATAAGGTAAATGAAAGCCAATTCTTACATGTTAGAAGAACCAATTATATATCCCCTTCGAACCGCTGGAAAATAGAAAGGTCAAAACTCAAAAGGAATGTTTCTACTTTTCGATTTCAACTTGGTTTAAGATATTAATAGACAGCTCACTCAAAACGTAGAACAGAAATATACATACAAATTACGTGTATATATGTATGGTGTGTGAATAAATTTCGTTGGAAGCATTAGTTAAAAATTAGTTCCCATGGCTGTTGCTTCTGTTTTCCTTCTCATCATTCTTTCTATCATAAAACTATCTCTAGCCAGTAAGTAATCGTTTACGCCTTTAAATAATCTCTTTTTATGTTTTTTATATCTCTCGAGTAAATTCTTCTTGATCCACACAAAATATAATTCTTCTTTCATAACCAGCCAGGTTAGCTTAGTAGCAGGAAGAGTCTTAGATTTACCCATAATCTCGACCTTAATTGGTCCCGATCGATCCACGTGATTAAGGAATTTGTTTAGTTTTTATATGTGCATATTTGTTAAGAAAATCAAAGGCTTTTCTTATCTTCTGGTCACAAGATCTTTAACTACCTTGTTCATTTTGACGAAAACACATCATACATAAAGTTTTGCATAATTTGTTCTTACTAAAGGCTTCTTTTTATCATATGTCAACGACCATGTAAATTTCTCATATCGACCTACATGTAGACTCGATCAATGGGGTGAATTTATGTATTGAATACATTGGCGTGAAGTTATTGACTTATTCGGTGGTTTAAGTGGCTGGCATGTAATATAGCAATAGTTGGCCTCAAAGTAGGATACGAACCTGCAATTTTTAAATGCCTTAAAAAAAAAAAAAAATCAATTCTTAGGCCTTAGCTATCATTAACACGATTTCATGCACGCATGATCAATTTCAAGGGTAAACATAGACTGCGGAACGTCATCATCGAGTGTAGACGACAACAACATAAAATGGGTTGGAGACAAAGACTTTATCACATACGGAGAGTCCTCCACAGTTTCCTCCACCACCGTCGAGAAATCCCTCACCACACTCCGCTACTTCCCTACCGGGAAATCCAACTGCTACTCCAACATCCCGGTCACAATAGGTGGGAAGATGCTAGTGAGAACGAGGTTTTACTACGGGAATTACGACGGTAGATCTTCCTCCACAACTTTTCAAGTAATGTTCGACGGTAATCACAGCCGCACCATATTGATATCATCGGCGTTTGATATTTACATTTTGGAGCTGATATTTGTTCCGGCTAGCGGAGAGACCAGCGTTTGTTTCGTGCGAACCTCTTCGTCGTCAAACCCTTTTGTTTCTTCCATTGAAGTTGTAGGCATGGCTTCAGGCATGTACGACGAGATTGGTCCTGGCGAAGTTTTGTTCTACGGTTCTACCAAGCTCGAGTTGCGTTACAGGTGCAGTTGAGCTCTATTCCACTCTTTATCCATTTTTTTTTTGTCTTTTTTAGAACAGATCTTCACGGTAGGATATGGTTTTCATCAGGCCTAACTTTTTGTACACTGTAACTACATCCACAGCCACATCCATCGACACCTCTATGGCATCAAACAAGCCGCCTGAGATCGTTCTTCAGAACTCTTGGTCGGGGCAATGGCTTAAAACATACTTTTACCTTGAATCCTTGATCGTATTGGAAACCTAAAATGTGGGTCTACAACTGACCTAATATAGATAGTTATGTATTGAAAACCTAAAAAGACACTTATTTTAAAACGAAAAAATAAGTCTATGAAACGGAGAAGTATTTATTGAAAATAAGTCTAAAAGAAGAAGCTTTTATATTTTTTCTGATTTGTTAAAAAGACATCTAAAAGGAGTTTTGAAAGCCATGAACGATGATGGAAGCTGATTGATCAGTAAAATAAATAGTCATCATGAAAATCACATGTCAAATGCTTCAACCGACATAGAAGCATGATTAAGTGAAGCAAAATTGATTTCAACAGCGGCGATGTCCTTTTTTACTCACTTGTCTTGTATTTATGAATATTTCCTGAGACCAGGATATTTCAAAGTAAGCGAGTAGAAATTATGCAAATTTTAACACTTGATTGTAAAGCTAATGGAGGACTCTGAGGACAATAAGAAGCTATGTAAGAGTGATTCAGAACCATGAAACATGAATAAAAAGAGAAAGGAAACATGTTTGTCACTCTTGTATACGTTAACGAAACATGTTTGTCAAATCATTGAACTCTCCTGGCAACAAACAATACTTGATTTTCATTGCTCCGTTTGTTTTTTTTTGTTATTTATACACAAGCTATTTTCTTCAAATTCCAAAAACGAACTTATTTGACTTGGCAAAGTGAATCTTCTGGCATATGTGGCATGCTCTGATGTTCTCATTGGCCATTTGTTCTGCCTACGTGGAGTCCTTGAGAAGAGTCCAAATATTTCACCGTCTCCGATCCAAATTTGGTTAATTTCTACTCTTTCCAGTTTCCACTTTATCTAATAATACTTCTTCCCAGAAAATATTTGTTTTTCCCAGTTTTCTCCCCTTTTCTTTAATTTGTCTCTACACTCTGCGCTTACTCTTGCTGTGATTTTACTTGAAATATTCGTCCCCTTTTTTGTAAAGAAAGTTTCATTCTTTCTGAATCTACCAGGAACTTTCATTGATCCTTAGGGAGAAAATTTTCTCTTCACTGACAAATTATTTTTCTCCAGCGGAGGGTTTATCGCTCTCTGTTTTCTCCACTATTTTGGGGAATCAAAGTCTCCCCTTTTCCTGGAAAATTAAACATTTTTCAATTATTTGGTTAGTAATTGTTCAATGGCGTCAAGAGAAGTATCAACGATGATCAAACAAGGGTCAAGAGAAGTATCAACGATGATCAAACAAGGGTTTATCTCTGATCCTTCTCTCTCTTTCTCTCCTTCAAGAACTACGTCTCTCTCCAAACCCGCCATAGCCTCTCCTCCTCCATCGCCGAACGATTCCACTCGGTCGCGTCACTCAAACCCGACCCTTCTCGACATGATCTCCGACGAGCACAACCGCGAGACCAGAAGGTACCAAGATGAGCCTCGGAGGGAATACCACGCGCGTGTGGCCAAGATCTTGACGGATTTCAAGAACGCCGTGGGACCTGGGGACGCGAAGCTGACTGTTGTTGGCAGAGAAGGGTATAGAGACAGAGTGACCATGGATGTGCACAAGAAGGTGTTATCAGAGAAGACCAAGTTTATCATGGAGAAGATGTTATATCAATTAATGGCATGTAAATATGAGATGTTTAATTTGTTATGGGTCTTGCAGGCAACTCTTCAAGTGAAACAGCTGATATTTAGGCTGTTACAACGAGATCCGAAGAAGAGATTAGGTTGTTTTGAAGGAGCAAACGATGTCAACAACCATTCTTTCTTCAAAGGCATAAACTGGGCTCTCATTCGATGCACGGTAACTTTGAAGTTTCTCTTTACTTGGGACAGAAGTATACAGTTTATGTTTTACTTGCGAAAGAAAAAATATATTGTTTTTATTTTATGAGTTTGTTTCAATCTGCAGACTCCTCCTGAGCTTGAAACTCCGATATTTCCGGCGCAGCTGAAAACGGAGAGAAAGACGTCGTGGATCCTGAACTGGAAGATCTCCAAACAAATGTTTTTTGAGATTTAAAACTAAACGTTTTTGTTCCTTTTAAATGCTTTCAACTTGCTTTCCAAAACTTTTAAAGAAATGGCTTTCTCTTTCCCTATTTTTTTGTCGTTATCTGTTTGATTTATGTTCCCAAGTTTTTCTTGTATTATGTGTTTGTTTGTGTGATTTCGTTAAAGAATGTTTTGTTACCTGTCAATAAAATTAATCAAGTTTTGTTTGTTTATAAAATGGCATAACGAGATGAAGTTGCTAATTATAAAAAGAAAAAAAATGAAGCTTTTATAGTTTTGTGATTTGCTAAAAACACATCTAAAAAAGGAGTTTGAAGGCCATGAAATGAAAGATGATGAAAGCTGATTGATCAGTAAAATAAATAGTCATCATGAAAAGCACATGTCAAATGTGTTTCAACCGACATATATATAGAAGCATGAGAAAGTGAAGCAAAATTGATTTCAACAAAGTGGCAATATTTTTTTCTCTTATATGTCTCGTAATTATGTTTCCTGAAAGCATGAAATTTCAAAGTAAGCGAGTAGAAACTATGCAAAGTTTAACACTTGTTTATAATGCTAATGAAAGACAATATGAAGCTCAGTAAAGTATAAAGTAAGAGTGAAGAGTCAGAAGACTCAGAACCATGCAACATGTATAAAAAGAGACTCTTCACTCTCGTATACCTTAATGAAACATTTTTGTCAAATCACTGAACTTTCCGAGCAACAATCATACCTGATTTTCATTACTAAGTTTGTTTTCTTGGTTAGTTACACAAAAGCAGCTTACTTTCTTCAAATTAGCAGACCCTTTGCAGATATGACTTGGCAAAATGAATCGTTTGGCATATGTGGCATGGTCTGATGTTCTCATTGGCCAATTAATCTGCCTACATGGAGTCCCTGAGAAGAGCCAAAATCTTTCATTGTCTCATCTAAATTTGTCTCCGATCCAGGTTCATTTCTTGGATTCTAACTTTAACTTCTTCCCAGAAAATTTCCAGACTTTCTTGTCTCTTCTTACTTCTTGGTCCAAGTTTTTGTTTTTCCCATTTTTCTCCTCCTTTGATTAATTTGTCTCTCTACTCTCCGCTTACTCGTACTCTGATTTCACTTTAAAAATTCGTCCCCTTTTCTCCTTTTCTCAGAGAAAGTTTCAGTCTTTCTGATTCTACCAGGAAATTTCATCGATTTTCTCTTCACTGACAAATCATTTTACAGCGAAGGGTTTATCGCTCTCTGTTAGCTCTACTTCTCTCCGGGAATCAAAATCTCCGCTTTCCTGGAAAATCAAACCTTTTTCAATTCTTTGGTTAGTAATGGCGTCAAGAGAAGTATCAACGATGATCAAACAAGGGTTTATCTCTGATCCTCCTCTCTCTTTCTCTCCTTCAAGAACCACGTCTCTCTCCAAACCCCCCATTTCCTCTCCTCCTCCATCGCCGAACGATTCCACTCGGTCGCGTCGCTCAAACCCGACCCTTCTCGACATGATCTCCGACGAGCACAACCGCGAGACCAGAAGATACCAAGACGAGCCTCGGAGGAAATACCACGCCGCGTGGCCAAGATCCTGGCGGATTTCAAGAACGGCGTGGGACCTGGCGACGCGAAGCTGACTCTTGTTGGCAGAGACGGGCACAGAGCGACCATGGATGTGCACAAGAAGGTTCTATCAGAGAAGAGCAAGTTTTTCATGGAGAAGATGAAGTCTCGAAGAGAGAATGGCGTCTCTCAGCCTCACATTGTGGAGTGTGATGATGTTGAGACGTATGTGGAGACTGTGGTGTTGATGTACTGCGATGATCTCAAGAACAAGCTGATTGGTGAAAATGTCTTCAAAGTCTTGGCTTTGCTTAAGGTAACATTTGCAACTCCTCTTATATAGTGTGAATTTGATTCTGGTAGATAGATTGAAAGGCCTGAATTGGAATCTCAGGGATGATTAGGATAGAGTAATTGATAATCCATGTCTCTCTGAATCTCTTGATCTTTTTGTTCCTGAGGAAATTGAAGGAAAGTGGAAACTTTTGTGGACTAGTTTACTCACAGAAACACTGTTTCTTGATGCATCTTTTGTGTGATTTAGAAATGCTCATTCGATATCATTTAGTGCGCCAAGTGAATCTTCTTGTTTTTTGTATGTATGGCTAGCCAAATCTGAGAGCTTTTAATCTCTAGATTGGTTTCTTGAGTTCGTTTGCTTTTGCTTTGTAGGTTTCTTCAGCTATAGTGTTTGAGGAGGGGATAAAGTCATGCTTGGAGTACTTAGAGGCGGCTCCATGGTCAGAAGAAGAGGAACAAACCGTTGTGTCTTGTATTGAAAAGCTTGATCTTGCTGGTTCAACCGCCAATTCGGTTCTAGAGAGAGTATCAGTATCATCCTCTGACTTTCCAGAAGTATAACCAATGACGTCTTCTTGAAACTCCTTACCAATGTTCTCAAGGCCAAAGACGATAAAGCTCGCCGAGAAATGAAAGCTGTGATCTTTTCGGTTGATTAAAGAAGAAGCTGATCATAATGTGTCTAAAGAAATGCTCTACAGTCTGTGTCACCGATGTCTCCTCTCACTTATCCTCTGCTTATCAGAAGCCACCTCTATGAATGATCCTGGTGATTTGGTTGGAGAGATCTCTAGAGAAGCTGGTAACTTGCTTTGGATAGTCGATATACTAATCGAGAAGAAGATCTGCGAGGAGTTTGTGCAGCTATGGGGGGAGCAGAAGGAGCTAGCGAATCTCCATTCCAAGATTCCTGCAAAGTACAGACACGAGATAAGCAAGATCACTGCACGGATCTGCGTTGGAATTGGTAAAGGAAAGATCTTGGTGAAGAGGGAAGCTCGGTTTTTGGTTCTGAAGACATGGTAGAGGCCTGGACGATGATTTTGGTTGGATGAGAAGGGTCTTTTTCGAGATCAATGGAGTGGAAAGGTGGTGGAGGATGGACTCAGCCAGATGATACTGACATTGTCGTTGAGTCAGCAACAGGTGGTTCTGGTGAAGTGGTTCGATCGGTTTATGAGCAATGGAGATCATTGTCCTAATGTTGAAAGAGCATTTAGTCATGGTTGAGCACTTGAGCCTACTGATGCGTCTCAGCTTTAGATTACAACTTTCTATCAATACTTCCACAAAGACTTCACATTTCTTTTCTTTTTTGGCCAAGTAATTAGCGCTAAGTACTAGTCACCAATAATCCGTAACCAAACCGTGGCCATATATATGGTTATCAGTGGCCCTTTAGCCAACTTCTATTAATGGTCAAGTCTTGGTCTATTTTAGGTAGCCACAAATTTTATTTTATGACATAACTTATAGAAATTAAACGTAGAGATTACGTGACCACACATTACAAAATATTTTATTATCTTTATATAATAGCAAATTGAACAAATGTCTTTTTGTTGTGGTGTCTTTTCGTTTCTAATCGTTTTATCTATAACAGCTTATATGAAAGTTATGTCTTTTCGAGTCACATCCTTTTACTTAAAATCGCTAAATTGTTGAAAAGTTGCACCTTTTCACTTCTATATATACTGTTTATAACATTTTCATTTTTCAATCAAAATCTTTCCAACTTTTATTCTTCTGAATTTGCTTATCCCTTTTTTCTCAGCATCGCTGGGTTTTCTTATAAACACATTCATATAATCATTCGTTTGGTTGAAAAATTATTTCTTCTTTTTGGTATAACTTTTCTCTGAATTTTTCCTTTATAGTTAATTGCTGATTTAATATAGCCACTGGTCTTTCATCAATCAATTTGCAGTTCAATCTCTCTTTTTTTGTGTGGCTATTCTCTGCAAACACCAATCATTGTTCCAGATTTTTATCCCCACATCCACACTATCTTCATTGTTCTTCCTTCAATTTTAATCAAGTAAGTTTTGAAATAACCTTTTTAAATAAAAAATTGCTGTCCATTTTTTGCATCATTGCTGTATTTTTTAGAATCCCTTTTCTCCAAATTCGTTATTCACATCGTCGTTTCCCACCCTCTATGATTATAAGTTATGACTGCTCTTTTACTTTTTTAGAAACCCACCCAACTTTTTGTTTTGATAAAATCTCTTTCGAATAAGAATTATCGCATCGCTATGTTTTCGTTATGGTTAGCCATCCATAAAAATGAAACCATATTTTACAAAGAAATATATGATTTGTTTCTATCATGAATTTCTGTAAATATTTATAAAAGAACGAATATTTGTTTATTGATAAGCGGATCCCACATTTTTTATCGGCTGACATCATCGGTTCTAGTAGGAAAGAAAAGCCTAATATAATCCAATAGTCAAGTTTGTTTCATATAGTTTAAAGGATCTCACGTCATCAAAGTATGAAAAGAAACGAAGACACTTTTGCTTGGTATGAAAAAATTGATTCATATACATTCTGCAACATGGATTTAAATTTTAAAGGAACATGAATGGAGTTTTGTAGTTCAAGGAAGGCATGAAGTCAGAGTTTGGAATGACGCAATTGGTGTTAGCACCAGAGGGTCAGAATAACTAAGAAAACTTTGAGTAAGAGCGAAATCAATTAAGGGAAGTGTTGGTTTAGAAATGAAGAGATGTGTGTTAGTCGTAACTTATCAAATGGGTAGTTATTACGAACAGTTAGGTCTGTTCAGTTTATTAGTCTTGCGTAAATGTAAAATAGTCGTAATTCAAAAAAAAAAGTAAAATAGTCAAAGATAAAGAGGTTTTCCATGTTTTATACTCGTATGACTTGTACAAGAAGCAATAACTTCAAAAATGACACAAGAGCATAAAAATATGGTCTGACTCACTCGCAATAAAATACACCCGAACTCGATATATATAGATAAGGTATAGATTGAATTGATGATAGATATATAAGAGAATGATGAGGGAAGTAAAAATGGTTGGCTATAGTTTGGTTTGGGATAAAAATAATTCCGTAAATATTTTGTTTCTATTGGGGTTATTTTATAATTCAGTTTGAGTTGGATTCAGGAACTTTAGGTTACGTTTGATTAATTTATGATTCAGGATTCAGTTTACTCATCCTTATTTATGATTAATTTCTTTACAAGATTTTTTTTCTTTCTCTTTTCAGTTTTCTAAGCCAAAAATGATAAGAGGTTGGAACAATTTTATCCCTGTTAGTGATTTAAATTTTTAGTTTGCTGCAGTTGTCATTTGAATAATTAACATGATTTGTGTGACTGTGTCCCCTTGAAACACCTTTTCAATTAGAAAGCTGAGTGTTTGTGAATTACGTGTGGAACTTGAAATAGAACTATACTTTACAATGCATGAGAAAATTCTTATATCCATTGCCATTGTTTGAAGGTATAACTTTCTTTTTGAATATCAACACATATCAATATTGTACCTCAAAACATTTATTTAGAAGTTGTCCTAATTAAATATTTATTTAGGATTTCTCAAAACAAGAAGGGGATGATTACTTTTCACTGAAAGTGATGATAATTCTCACATGTATTAAAAATGTAACATATTTTAATTTCAAAACAAGATTATCATTATCAACTCAATGCAACTTTGCATATGAATTGCAATCCTTGGCCACCTTAACACACTTGCATTTTTTTTTTTAAATGGTTTCTCTTAATGGTAAAACAAATACATTTTAATAATTAATCCTGTGCTCAAATACATTACAAATAATATTGAAGCTTTTTACAGATATTACTATAGTATTATTAAACATATTCAATAAAAATACTTTATATAAAACAAACCATGCGATTTGCGCGGGTTCCATTCCTAGTTATATAATAATAACAAAGTTTAGTGTGTAGATGGTAGGCCCAACCAAAACCAATTAAAAAAAAAAAAGCCCACTCAAACTTTCTTAACCTAGTTCCATCCTTTATTATTTATATCTGCCGCTTTTCTTTATCCGTTTTTCTTTATCCGCTTTTCTTAACAAAAAAAAAAAAAAACAGAAATATCAAACGTCGGCGATGCTCGCTTTGCGAACAGTTTCCTCTGCATCCGAGAGGATTGCATTCCTCGCTGCAGAAAAAGTCAAAGCGGACTGGGAGTCTCACTTCCTTTCCTCGCTCAATGCTCGACCTGGATCTACGAAACTAGATCTGTACCAGCTTGTCTCAGCTATTCAATTCGCTGGCTTCATGTTCTCTAATGAAGCAGTTTTCACCATGTTCAAAAAGTTAGATACTGACGGTGATGGTTACATTACCAAATCGGAGTTCATGAGCTCTGTTACCTCTCCGTACTCGGCGACGGTCCTCTTTGACGCCTTTCAAAAGGCGGACTCCAACAGGCACTCGACTCTCAGTCCGGGAGAGTTTTATAAAGCCCTTGTATCTCTCGGTGTCTACGACATCACCGAGATTGGTGCAGCTCAGCTTCTCAAACGCAAAGTTCCGGGAGTTACTTCGGCCGACTTTGATCTCTTCGTCAAGCTTACTGCACCCATGCTTCTCTTCATGCACCGTCAGATTCCCTTGCCAACCGTGGCCAGCTGGGATGAGCATGTTCTGTATACCCATTACATGTTTGGTGTCATGGGGGCTGCGCTCTATTCCTCATTACCTAAACCACCGAGCAGCTACTTTGATGCCGCTACTATGAACAACACCACCTCAATTTTTCTTCCTCTGGTGTATCAGCTTCAGAAGACTGGGACGGAGAGGTTGGTCGATGTGATTACAATGGGATGTCTTGTAGCTTGGGGTGTCACCTTCCACTACTCACTCAAATTGAGAGGAAAGACACGTAAGTGGTTGATTGATGTCCTTTCAATGGCATTTGCTTTCTTCTATATTGTGATAATGATGTATGCACTAAACAAAGACCTAATCGTTGTTTTTGTCATTGGTGTTTTGGCTTGTGTTGGTCTTTTGTGGAAGAAAGAAGACTAATTTTTTATTTCGTTCTTTTGCATGTTTTTTTTTATGTTTTTTTATGTTATGTTGCATGTTTTTAATATTTTATTTTGTGTTGTTTTTCTATTCAGATCTTTTTTGTGATGTATGAGATATTTTTTTAAGTTAGGTATGATTTTTTTAATATATGTTGTTTTTTTTTCTTCTAAATTACTGATCATTAGCGAGAAAGTGGTAGATGTAGCCAATTAATTTGAATTTGAACAATGAATAATCACCCAATACTTACAAACCCATAAAGCTCCAGCTGTCACCTACAATATAACAATAAACGCAGAAAAAAGCAGAACACAGTGAGCCAGCTGGAGCAAGCTACTATTAGCCGTTACTCTCTCTTATCTTAGAGGAACCTTTAGATGCTTAATGTTCTCCTCGTATTCATGTTTCTGCGACGTCGCTTTAGTGACACCTTTGATGCTTGACACCTGTATTGCGATCCTAGACCAAATGAATTAGATCTAGAATGTTCTTTTTTTTTTTTTTTAACAACGGTCTAGCCTTGTTTGTTCTCATGTTTCTGCGACGTCGCTTTAGTGACAAAGGAATTAATCTCACATTTTATTTTTATACCTTGGGATGCAAGCCAAAGCCTGTATATAAATTAAGATGTCCAACGAAAGAATCGATAGCCATAAACAATCACAAATCAGCTCTCTACCAGATGAAATCCTTCAACATATCCTCTCGTTTGTGTCAACAAAATTCGCCATCAGAACTTCCCTCTTGTGCAGCCGGTGGAGGCATGTATGGTCCAATATGCCTTCTCTTTGCTTCGATAACACTACACTAAAGGCTGCTTCAATCAACAAAACCCTAACTTTCTACACGGCTCTCAAGATGATGGATTTTCATCTCAAAACCAACTCGGCTCTCAATGTTCCCCACATCGACAAGTGGATCGAATTCGCCATGCATTGTCCCGGAACGTGGAGAATATGTTCCTTGATTTCAGTTTTCTTTATAATTATGATATTCCAGAGTTCCTCTACATCGATTCCTCTATCAAGCAACTCGACGTGAAGTTACAATATACTAATATGATTCCAATATGCTCTGTTCTTGGACGTCCCTCAAGAAGTTGTCCTTTCGTTTTTGGAATCTCTCTGATGATACCATGGCTAAGATTCTATCTGTTTGTCCGATTCTCGAGAGCTTAACGTTGTATTTCTGCAATCAACTCAATGTTCTTGATCTCAGCACGTCGCAACATCTGAGAACATTAGAAGTAGTCCGAGACACTTGTTTTCCGGGGCCAATGGAGATAGTGGCACCACCTATCCATTGTCTCAGATTGAGAACCTCTCGGTTACCATGTACTTTAGTTGATGTCTCGTCTTTGACGGAAGCTAAACTGAACATACTTTTTAAGTCGGTTAGAGAAACCTTGCAGGCTGGTTTTCTTCTTCAAGCCAATGTGGTAAATATGCTAGAAAAGTTGATGCATGTAGAGAAGCTTACTATTGGAGGAAACTTTCTTCAGGTATATTTTTGGTCTCTCTCTCTTAAATTACTTTACTCATAAAGAATCAGATAGATTTTCACTAGGCTTTGATTATTAACAAGTTTAAAAACGTTTTGATATGTTTTATGTGCATGGTATATAGCTTTTGATCAACGAATTTTTTCTTGTGATGCTCCTTCTTTATTTCCGAGTTTGATATACAATTACTATCTTTTTAAAACTGAATGTAAAAAATAATTCAAAACCAAAAGTTTGCATCTCCTAAAGTTCCTTACTTGTCGGTAAGTGTAACTAGCTATTTTACTATCTTTCGCTGCTTTCTGTTAGATGTTTCTCTTGCCGAGATTCGTGGCTTCCTTTTCCGATGTTCAATGTCAAAGATTTGACTCTTGAGACATCGATCTCTCAGAATGTTAGTCCTGGTGTAGAAAAGATATTACAAAAATCACCTGATTTGAAGAAGCTAACACTACGTACAGAGACAAAGGCATACATTGCTATACCGGTATGTACTGATTATTAAAAACTCCTTGATTTTCCTTGACCATACTACAAATATCGAGTTTGAAAATAGTTTTTCATTTTCCTTGTTGTACAGAATGATTATTTCTACAAGCACATTGTTTCGCAAGGCTTGAATCCGAATCAATGCTGGAAATCAAAAGATGGGGCGTCTTGGAACACCTCTCATTGGAATTTAAATTCAGAGCATGTGGCTTCATTCGTGGAACTTCTGCTTAAGAACACAAAGTCATTAGAGAAGCTAGGTTTACAGTTGAACGAAGGTTACTGTAGGTTTAAAGAGCTGGTTCCAACATTTTCTCACAACAAAAAATGTATTTATTGCGCTCTTAGCCAAGTCGGTGGTAACATCTGATGATCAGTGGTAAAACATAGGGTCTAGACGTCTAGTCTAGTGTCTTCTTGAACACTTTGACATAATTTTTTCGTCACTTTAACTCAGTTCTTAGTCTACGGTTTGCTGGAAATTAAAAATAGTGAAGATAATAAATTGGCGTCTCCAGTATATGGTAGACCAGGTTTTATTTTTCAAAAGATAGTGGTTTTTCTATCAGTTTTTGTTGCCAAATGTGATTAATTTATTCTTCAAAAAGATTACATAATTCATATGATCTTAGTATTATTTTATATGCACTTCATATCAAATTTGGTTGCTATTAGTAAATATCAGAAAACTATGAAAAATATAAAAAAATGAACTAATGAAGAGAGTTCTAATAGACTTTTCTTAGAAATGACATAGTATCAGGTTTTGTAACCATTTCTTTCTTGAAGTTTATGGAAGATCTCGAACTTACAGTTCTCCGGACTTTGACAAAATAAACATACCTTTTTGTTTTTTTCGTTTTTAGCAAGTTGGTAATCTTATAAGATGATGCTGCATGCAATGAAAATGGTTAAAATTAAAAACTATTAAAGGCACATCACTAAAATGTGATTCGAAATATGTGTGTTACCTTTTAACTAGGAGTTTTGTCTAAGCAGTCGAGAACATTTCTGTTCTACGTAGGTTAATGATCCTATGCCATACGCAGCCCAAATATACGTAATTCGAATCTGTCTTCTTTATATATGAAGGATTTAACTTAACGAAATATTATATAACACATATTAATAGCTGAACATCTACATTCTACGTACAGCTATTTTTTTCAGTGCATGAACTATAGCAAAGACTTCAGGTTCGAAAACTATGTCAAACAACCGAGCTGTATGTAGGCCACTTCTTGTCGCAGGCTTCAGTTCGATTAAATGATCATTTTGGCCATATTCCAAATATTATTAATGAATTCCATCTGAACAATTAACACGTGGATCGTGACAAGTGGCTGCATGGATAATAATACTTATATATGGCAGTGGCATCAATGATCAATCACGGGATAAGATAAGCTAAGGGGGAAAAGACTATTCTAGTTCACGATCCTAAGAAGTCAATACAGAAAGTGAGATATCGATGGAGATGGAGAATAAGCCTGAGGAGGAGGCTTTGACCATCAAAGTTTCATCCCTTACTTGCATTGATCTTGCCAACTCTAACCTTCATCAGTCAGCTGCTTTGCGCAAACAGGTATATCTACATTTGTTTTTCCATAAAGATGAAATTGCTTTTTAATTGACAGTATGTTGTTTTAATTTACAATACGTGTTAGAAACCAATTTAAGTCTACTGACTATTGGCTTGAATTGATCTTTTTTAGGAAGTCTCGTGTTCAAAACTTCAAAATGGTTTCTAACCTTTTTTTGAGGGAATATTTAGATTTTCAAACTCAAAGTTCATGACAAAAAAAATAAAAATTATGACTATCCATCTTAAAATGAGTTGACAACTAAAAATAAAAAAGTGGGCGATTCTGTTTTTCTTAAACTTTATAGCCCTTACATATGTTCATGTGGAACTCTCAAGGGAGAAAGTTTCTCAAATTGCATACTAAGGATGAGCCATTCTGGATGATCAGGAGGGAATTAGTAGATATATTGCGGGAATAATGGCTTTGGCGCTCGACTTGGATGCGGATTACTCTGATACACCGGAGATGCTTGGAAATCCAATTGCAGATATGATCTTACAAATAAAAACCAAAAAAAAAAACATATACTTACAATTTCTTCTAGCATGTTTCCGAAAATTTGCAATATCGTCAACTGAAGTTAAATTAGTCGCTGAAACTGTATTATTCCAAGTAGTTTTGTTGCAAGTTTCAATATGGTAAATACATAAATATAGTTAATTTTTATAATTCAGATTTTTGTTGGAAATTATATAATGTGGAGGAATATGTTACTGTTATGCTATAATTCGTTATATAATATAAATTCGTCAAAATGTGTTCACTAACCATATATATATATATATACAGTATACTGTATATATTGAAATAAACAGTATAAATAAAATATGAATTATTAAAACAATACTTGATTTTTAAAAATATAGCTAATAAGTTTCATAGATATTTTATGTTAGAGATTTGTAATAATGAACATTTATAATATTTGTAACCGATATGATTTCCTACGATTTCAACATCAAAGCCGGTGTAAATTGAGTTCAATTTCTTGCTTTTCTATGTCAGTCTCGCTCTTGTGCTCCCAAGCATTGAACGCTTCCATGAACACAAAACGTATATATACCCGGATGAATCAAACGAGTCTACGCCAGTGAGATGCTAAATCAAGTTATTGGGCCGGAAAATTGTAAGGCAAATTATTTTACAGCTGGCCCTTAGTTTAGCTATTAATTGGGCCGGAAAATGGTTAATGGTGAATAATAATGATGTCTTTTTAATTTCAGGTGTAAACCCACAACAATGGGTTTGTTTAGCAATCAAAGTCAACTACAGGCCTTTATTCAACCCAACGAATTTATTTATTTATTTTATAAATGTAAATATCCATTTCGCTCTGTAAATCCCTAGATTTCGTCGTCGATGGCGGCTTCTGACGATCTTACCGACAAAAATATTGTTTTTAGAAATCTCAAAGCAATATCTGAGAACAAGGTTAATTGATTGGTTTTCATTTTCTGTTATTTGAGAATCGAATCGTCTATTCGATTGTATATGTCCCTCTTGTTAAGTTGTTCGACTTCTCTATCGATTTTCGTCGATTAATTTAATTGATTGGTTTTCATTCTGTGTTAATTGAGAATCGAGTCGTCTATTCGATTGTATATCTCCCTCCTGTTAAGTTGTTGTTCGACTAGATGTTTATGTCGGTTTTCATTTCTGTCTGATTGTTAGGAATGCTTCGATTGTAGTGCGAAGAATCCGACATGGGCATCGGTTACATACGGCATTTTCCTCTGCATGGATTGTGCAGCTACTCATCGGAGCCTCGGTGTTCATATCAGCTTCGTCAGGTATATTGAGGATATCAACTATATCTGTAGCAATTTGTTGATTCTGACTGGGGTTTGAGTTTTCGAGGACATGATAGCTAAATTACTTGGCATTATATTTGGATGATTCAGGTTACCGATTAGACTAGATAATAATTTTTCCTACTGGCTCTTTGTCTTGTTCGATGAATTTAACACTGAAGAAGCTACATTTTTGTTTTTGTCCTGTTTGGTATAAGATCAACGAGTTTAGACTCATGGAACCCTAAGCAGCTGAGGGCGATGATGTTTGGTGGAAACAAGCGCGCTCAGGTGTTTTTCAAGCAACATGGATGGACCGATGGTGGAACAGTGGAGGCTAAGTACACTTCAAGAGCTGCTGATTTGTATCGCCAGATTCTTGCCAAGGAAGCCATTGCACAAGATACTAGTAGTGGTCTACCGGAAGCACCTAATGGGGTCTCTTCTTGTGCTGCCAACGAAACTTCTTCTTCGCCTAAAGCTTCTAATACCCGGTTAAAAACAACGGCGAAGCTGGCTACTAAGGTAGGTTATTTTTTAGCATTAATTAAGATTTCTTTCATGCCGCTTTGAAATAATCAGTTTTTGTTTTTTGTTTTCTTTCTAGGCAAAAGAAAATCATTACGACAAGGAACTGGATGAATCCGTTGCTAGAGAAATTTTAACTTGTAGCAGTGAAATCAAATCGTCAACTGGTTCGTCATATGGCGACTTGCAATGTGGAGGACAAAGCGGTGGTGGAAGCCATGTAGCTCCACCGAAGCCATCATCAAGCTTGAGCCCTTGGACAGTTTATGTACGTAAGACTTGTCTTTAGCATTGATCCAGTTACACATAGAGTCATTTTCTAACTAATCTGATTTTCTAGATTGGAGAATCGGATGTAGCAAGAAGGAAGTTCCCAGACGCAAAGTCCATTTCTTCTGCTCAGTTTTTTGGATATGAGGATATCTCAAAAACTAGCCATGAGGTAAGTAGATTTGTCACTAATATTATTCCCTAGCTAGCTATATCTATAGACTATATCATACGTCTGGTTTGATTTTTGACAGGAGAAGAAAGATATGTGGACGTCAGTGAAGGAGCAGCTCATTAGGACAAATAGGGGTTTTGATGTTCATCGCGTCCGTAGGGAAGTGACAGAGTTAATGCAGAAACTGAATGCCCCAGAAGCTGATGCCATCCCTCTTGCCACCCGTCAGGCATGGGTCAAGAAACTGTATGACGAGGTAAGTTTTACTTTTACCACACTCTCTCGGCTTCTTATTAACCATAATTGTTCTGATAAACTTGCCTGTTTATAACAGGTCAGCCAATATAATAATCCCGGGTCAGGCTTCTTCGGTGGTGGCCCCCAATGCCCCATTCTATATAGTGCCCAATTGGATGCGCTCAACTTATTGCGGCAACTACATGGCTTACCTCACCAACAGAGATAACGACCAGCGATATGAATTAGATATCGTTTTTACTGCTGTCGTGGTTAAAAGAAAATTCACTCATTAACATAATCCGATATCTTAAACAAAACTCCCGTAACAGCTCTAGTAAAAACATTCAAGTGTTGTGATCGTTGTTTGATAGTTTTTTCTCTTCCAACATATGAACATGAGCATAATCATTTACTTTGGTTTTCTTCAGTCTACGCTCTCATTGTTGCAAGTCTTTTTCTCTTACATTATGCAAGTCTTGATTTTCAATTTTAATTTAATTACTCGTCTCTATGACTTTGGCGCCTGTTGGAGCTTTTTAAATGAATCAATAGGATTAGGACGTTCAAGGAAAGCATCATCTCACGATAAACATCTTGCCGTTTTTAAGCTTATCATGTTCATTCACTAAACGCCTCTCCTGCCGTTTTTATATCAACTAATCGCCATGACAATGTGTACACAACAGTTTTAACCACTCCACAATAAACACAGCAAAGCTCATCTCCAATGGCAATAAATCGTTCATTGGCACTAAAAAAAAAAGATTAGAAAACAGAGACAAGAAACTCAAGTTGCATACATTAAAACTCTACAAATATGGAACGTACCCCATCTTACAAAAACTAAATATATAACTTCGTTAAGAATAAGGAAACTTAAAAAAAATGAATTTATTTTAGCAAGTAATATCTATTCAATGTTACGTTGACCATATATAGTACTACATTCAACTTTACCAAAATAAATCTAGTCACCATAGAAAAAATATTTACATCTTGTTAACTTCTATAAATAAAGAAGCAAGGTGAATTGTAATTTTTATCTAGCCACCACTAAATAATTTATAGCCATGGCTTTCTCTAGTAAATGTCATTATATGTTGATGTTAATGATGTCCTGTACTCTTGTTCTTTTCGCACAAGCGTTCGATGTTTCAAGTATTCTATCGGAAGGGCCAACACCGACATCCAGCGACGACGGCTTCTTCCCTTTCTCACCAAAACATGTCATAATCCGCAATATGGTAGCAAACAAACAGACTCTGAATGTACATTGCAAATCGTCCGAGACTGATTGTGGGCTAGTCCATATCCCTTGGGGTCAGAGTTGGGATTTCAAATTTCGTGTTAATTTCACAAGAACTACTAAATTTGTTTGTCATTTCACATGGAGTGGAGGCGGATCACATTATTTTCCTATTTTTAAAGTATCAAGAGATGATGATCCATATGGAGATTATCCAGTATGTGATACATGTATTTGGGAGGTGGGAAGAAAAGGTGAATTACCTATGTGTCGTATGAGAACTGAGGATACTGCTTGGTGTTTCGATTGGGACTAAAATTGTAAATGAAAAATATGATAAAGAAAAGGAAAGAAAATTGTTACTGTAATCTTTTCTCATCTAATAAATTTTAAAATTAATAAAATATTACTATTCATAAAGCTTTTTTTATATTTCCAGATAAGCAAACTAGTTTATTTATGTACATTTGGGAATTTTGATGAGTGTACTGTTCCAATCAGACTAACCCAATTTCAAAGAATTTTATCAATCATCCAATTTAAAAAAAAAAATACAAATTACAAAACGGTAACATGAAACAACCATAATTATTAGTTAAAAACCTATACAAAGTAACATTAGCAACTATTTTGTTCATAATCATTCAACACTATGTGAATAAAGTTTCAACCAAAGAACAAAAATGGAACAATCCTCAGATGGGCTACATCATTTCGGCCCCATTTCGAAGCCCAAATAATCAAAAACGGCACGGCGTTCACCCGCCGACTTGATGAACTGCATGTCGTCTATCAGTAGAGAAAAGAAACTTCGTGAAAGCACATGAGACATCCGGTAAGTAAAAAGAAAAGAAGAGCCACGATTTTTCAAGAAACTCGCAGAACGTTCTCTCACTCTTATCCTGTCCCTCCCATTCTCTCTCCCTATATATACGCGAGTACATCAGGATCTCATATTCAACAACAAAGTAGCAGAAGTGAAAAAACAAAGCAAACCAAAAGACAACAAAAGCGATCAAGAAGAGTGAAACGATGTCTCTAATTCCGAGCTTTCTTGGTGGCCGAAGAACAAACGTGTTCGACCCGTTCTCGCTTGACGTATGGGATCCGTTCGAAGGATTCTTGACACCTTCGGGATTGGCAAACGCGCCAGCTAAAGACGTGGCAGCGTTCACAAACGCGAAAGTGGACTGGAGGGAAACACCCGAGGCGCACGTGTTCAAGGCGGACCTGCCGGGGCTGAAGAAGGAAGAAGTTAAGGTGGAGGTTGAAGATGGCAACATACTTCAGATAAGCGGAGAGAGAAGCAGCGAGAATGAAGAGAAGAGTGACAAGTGGCACCGTGTGGAGAGATCGAGTGGCAAGTTCATGAGGAGGTTTAGGCTCCCGGAGAATGCGAAGATGGAAGAAGTGAAGGCGAGTATGGAGAATGGTGTATTGTCGGTTACGGTGCCCAAGGAGCAGGAGAAGAAGCCTGAGGTTAAGTCTATTGACATCTCTGGTTAAAGGGAATGTTGGAACTTGGAAGGTGGAAAGCTGAAGATGAAAAATGTTATAATGGTGTGAAATAAATGGGTGTGCATGTGTGTGATTTTATTTTCTTTTTATCTTCCATGTAATCATAAATCTCATTGTATCTGTATCAGTACTAAATCTCAATAAAAGAGTGTTTTGAAAGTTTGATACTTAAGATTGAACCATCTCTTCAAGTGAAATTGTAACTAGATTCTGCAAACATGGGTCGATTTCGTCTACTCCTAGTAAGTTTTTAGTGTAGAGATGCCGGTGATTAACATCTGAACATTTGAGGAACTTGTAGATCTGGCTTTGTCTAGATTAGGATTGTTGTGGCTGTGAGTCGCCTAAGACAAGGGTTCTAAGGATTGGCATTTGGCTCTCGAGAAACTCCCGTTTGGTCAGGATTCTGTCTGAAGAGCAGTCATGTTCCTGTACAAGTGAACGTAACATCTCATGATCTCTACGTCGGTTGCATCTTATTGAAATAGGTACCGGCCAGAAGAAAAAGAGAAGAGGGATACGAACCTCGCCGGATGAAGCAGACATAAGAGCAAGAAGTGTAACAGTTGCTGTCTGGTAATCCGTCAGAGTCTTGTATGCAGGTTCATCTAGTTTATCCTACAAGTTTGAAAGAGACGTGTTGGTTACTGAAGAAGAAGAGAACGATAAATAATAAATACCACGAAACCTGACGCTGTGTCTAATGCGTGAAATGTGAAGATATTTAGGAAGATTTCTCTCCAATATTACCTTCAAGTGTGAAATAGCAGCAGCAATAGCTCTACCAGGGGCTTGTAAAGCTTTATTGTGGATCTGTGAACAAGTTTCCAACCAAAAAAGTTTGGAATCTGACTTTTTCAGCAAAAGATTATAGTTACACAAACGTGGGTATATATACATACCTTAATATAAAGGAGAGAGACAACTTTAGCGAGAAGTGCGACAGGGTCTGATTCACTAGAAACTTGAGATATCAAATCCTGCGAGAGCACAAAAACACATTTGTCAGTGAATGGATAAAAAGCAGTGTCAAACAACGATATGCTGTGTGGTTCACACCTTGCGGTATGCATGTAGGAGAGTTCGTTCCAGTTTTTTATCAAGCTTTTTCAGGACCAAGCCACTGCACAAATGAAGTTAAACATTCACTCGAAATTCGATGAAAAGTAAACAGACTTTCTTCAGAGATATCGTGATAAATTTAGAATTATATTACCTTTCCTCTGCCAGGTCTCTGAAGGTGGTCATGAAAGCGTCTACGCGCTGAAACACAAAATTGTCCCATCAAAGAGCTTAGTTTGCATTCGTTGTAAAATCAACGTGAAACCAAAGGCTCTTCACCATGGTGAGTAAACTAGGTGGTGTGAATTACGTGAAGATATTTAATGTAGTGGTCAGGCCTAAGTAACATATTATACTACTCTTTTCTGACCCTACAGCTAATTCATTACATCGCTACGATCACTGACAGAACAGAAACTTTGGCTGTATATTAACATGGTCAGCCCACAGGAGAAGAGGAACTTAGATGGCAGAACACACACAAAATAAACGACTTAAATCACTTAATCAAAATACCAGGCAGTACGTTACCAACTGTAATCAAAAGTCTAATCAATAACAAAGATCTAACCTTTCCTTCTAATGCCTCAACTAAAGCAAGGGCCTTTTTCGAGAATGAACCATTGAGATTTTTTGCCTGCCCCAAGGGAAAGGAAACAAGAGAGAGTAGAAAATCAGCTGGCGTTATTCAAGTGCATTAATAAAGGATTATGTTAGAGTAGTGATCAAATTTGCATACAAGGGCTGTTCTTTCGGAAGAATCGAGCAGAACTGGATCTTGAGTTTTGGAATCTCCAACGTCGGTACCATTCTTCAATTTGTTAAGGATGTCCTGTTTTGAAAATTCGAAGCTGGATCAGTGAAATCAATACGAAGATGACCTTAGAAACTCCATTTTATATCGAGCTTACCAAGTCATGAAGAAGCGTATCAGCAATTGTAGCTGCTGTTGTTCTCAGAAGATGCCTATGGAAAACAACCTATGCGCCAGAAGAAAACATTATTGTCACACTATCTTCTTTAAGTTGGCAAGTGTAGCCAGCAAAATGGACTGAAAGTACTTACTGAGGTCGATTGGTCATCTTCAAATAGCTCAAGCGCTTTCTCGTACAGCTGCATATTTAGGAAAGACTGCCAAAAGGAAAGTTGATAAAAATAGGTCAAAAGATACAATCATGCTGGCTGATAATGGTGAATAACAGTAAGACTCTCAGTTGAAGCAGTTGGATCTAACCTCATCGAGTTTTTTCTGAAGATCATCCATCAAGCGCCTCATTCTGTCTGCATTTTCTGTGAAGATTTTCTTTCTTCTCTCCTTTAGTGAATTAACGAGCATGGGCCTCATATGATCAACTAAATGCTTAAGAACTGAATCTGGGTTCTCCATACCTGCTCGAAACCCCATTGTTTATCTCACATGAACACAAATTCATAGCTACATAATGTTTTATGCACACACAAGATAGAGTTCTAAGGTGTACCGTCATCTTCAAATTCAGGCACAGAGTCGACGATCTTTTTCATCACCCATTCATCTGGTGGAATAACATGATTACCTTCTTGCGCCTTAACTGACTCTTTCTTGCCTCCGCCTTTTGTATCCAACTTCTGGGATGACGATGAATCCCTGCCTTTCTTCTGGTTTCTCTTAGATTTAGGACGGGATTCCTCTTCGTCATCTTGAGTAGTTTCGACGGTTTCTTTCTTCATGCTGACAGACTTGCCTTTTTTCTTCTTTGACCCTTTATCTGTATTAGCAGGTAAGCTTTCTGTCGACTCCGACGCTTTGCTTGAGTGATCTATCACACTTGCAGTAGAAGCTTGGATGCTAAAAGCTTCTGCCTCTTTTTCAATTTGATCATATATGCCCTACATTAGTAGGCCAAACAAAGGCAGAGTTCAAATATAGATGCCAAATGGGAAAATTAACTTTTCACAAGGAAACTACTAATACACTCTTCCATTTCATATGTCTACCTTGATGAACCCACTGCTTAGGAGATAGGATTCGCCCAGGATAAGTACTTTCTCAGCCTGGAAGGAAAAATAGGTCAGCAGCTAATAGCATACATTTCATCTGTTTACCTTGTTGTCAAATTTATCAAAATCCCACCTTAAGAGCTGATTGAACAGAGGGACAAAGAAGCAACATTTTGTTGGCATCCTGTGACGTGAATGATGCAGGCAATACAGAGAGGGAATCGATCCTGAAACCCAGTATTAAGTGTTTAAGCAAATATGCATCTAGTGATGTAGACAGCAATCACAAACACAATCGACAGAGGGGAAAAGACTACAAGCATTTTGCCTCACCAACTGTTTTGTTCGATAGCATCCTCGGTTGAAGCATCCAGCATCTCAATCATCGAGGAATGAATAAATACAGCAGATAAAGGTGTACCATCTGGATATCTAGACTATACATGTCACATAACAAAAAATATCATAAGAAAAATGAAATAGGCAACATAACACTCATTTGAGAAACCATTCCATAACACTAACACTTTCACAAACTACAGAAATTACGCTAAGCTAATATGATAAAATACCTGTAAGAACTGCACGGCTTGAGAAATCCCAAGCTTCTGCATGGTCTCGTATGTGATATAGGAGTTCTGCGGAAACACAGAACATAATAAACCATCAAACAATTTAAATTGAGAAAATTCTGCAGTCTGATGAAGTTTAAATTTTTTTTCATTTTCACAATAAACTGATGAATAAACATACTCATACATAAGGACATTTCAGAGAAATCGATGAACAAACCTGTGAGAAAAAAGAGTCTACGCATTCCTTTTGCGCCAAAGCAAAAACCTGCCACCAAAATGAAACGGCCAAGTTAATCTGATGAACGGTAAGCATGGAAAATGCATTAGATACCAGAAATTTAAAAATAAGTAGAATTCTAAGGACATACACTCGGAGTCCAATGGGTGCCAGCACGTAGCGATCCAAGCATCTCCTCTTCCTTCAACAGTCGGTTAAATATAGACTGGAAAAATGAATTCTCAACAGCGACTCCACTCGCTCCATTCATTTCTTGTACCAACTGTTGCAATGGCGTCCACAATGCCGACAGATTCGAGGGAACAAAGATACCCCTAGAAGCACCACGAACCATAGCAGTAACACGTGCTACATAAGCAGGTGTATATAACTGACCACCTTCTAGCCTTGCTTTCACCTTAAAAGAGATTGAAAGATCAAAAACAAATCCACAAATATGAAAGCTCTCATTCACTTAAACACAATCTGGAGAGCTCAGAGGAGAAGCAAAGGAACAATTACCAAAGTTCCAAGTCGAGGCTCTAAAACGGATTGCACCAACTCAGAGCCAACCTGCAACTGACCAGCAATCTCAGCCACAGAAATTTGGCTGCATTCCTGAAGCCTCTCGTTGATTTCTTCAGCAATCGAATCCCAGTAGTTTTGTGATATTATCTCTCCCTGGGCAAGCATTAGCCCTGGATCACTCGAGACCACATCTTGTGCTTGCTTCTCCACATGATATAAATCAACCCCAATCGTATCCGCAAGATCAATCACGGAGACACGTCCCAATTTATTGATCTCACTAGCAATTTCATTCCTCAATTGCTCCTGTGGAAAAATCAAAAGGTACGATAACATTAAAAATTAACGCATCTGCACAAAAACCTTTACATGAGCTATAATCTCGATCAAACAATTTTCACTTCATTTTTCGATTAAATTCCTCATGCAATCCGTGTTTTACTCCATTTAAACATTACTAAGTGCTTACAAGGAATATCAGTCATCATCATGATTCTTCTGGAAATGTTATTCACAACGGATTTTTCTCAGGAAACGAAGGGAAAATAAAGAGATGACGAGAGGTAGAATCTGGCACCTGAGTGATGTATTCCTTTCCGGTGACGGTATGAAGCAGATCGAAGTCGATGACGCCAAGCTCCTGGAGCTTCTGAACCAATTCGACGACATTTCGATCCGATAATCTGACGCTTGACTTCACCTGCTGAGCGAACTCGAACTGTCGCTGCAATTCCAACAATTCATCATCCATCTCCCTCGAATTATCAACCCCAACACAATTCAGATCAAATCGATATCGTCGACACGGTTGCAGGATTTTTCCGTCAGTTACTTGAGATTTTTCTGGGCAAGATTGATTTTGTGTTCAAACACCGGATTAAGTATCTTTCCCCAGCGCATTTACTGATTAGACCAGTATTTAAAAAAAACCGGACCGGCCGGCTCTCGGTACGACCTAAAACAAATTTAATTGATTTTGAATTGAGAGTTTTGAAACTTAAACCAAGCAAAGCCCTAATTCTTCACTACGTTCTTCTTTCTCTCCTCTGGTTAGTTCGTCGAGCACTGCAAATCGCCGGTTTCTCTCTTTATTTCTTCTTCCAGCTTCGAGTTTCCGTCTAAATTGAGGTGCAAATTATCCAACTTTCACTGTATTTTAGTTTGATAGAATCGTCTCTTCTTCTAGCTTCCTGGAAATTAGTCCTTACTCTAGTTGTGTGTCTGTTTGTAATAGAGTAGAGAGAGCTAGTTTAGAATTGAAAGAAGCGAATTTTTCTCTTTCAATTGAGATAGAGAAGAAGAAAAAAAAACGATTTTTGGTTCTTTGATTCAATGGTGGAATTCAAAAATGCTAAGCTTTAATTTTTCTTCACTATAGGTTAAGAGACGCTCCACTTCCTTGAAACCCTCTTTAGTGTTGGAGCGATGGAAATTGACAGAGAAGATGGCAGAAAGCCGAATCAACTGAGACCACTTGCTTGTTCTCGTAACATCCTTAACCGTCCTCATGGCTCTGCTAGTTGGTCGCAAGGTTTATTTTCTCTTCGTTCGGTCACATATATCTGAGCTTTCTCAAAGTCTCAATCTTTTACAAATGGCTATATGCTTCTGCTTCTTTTTTGTTTCGTTTCAGGGGATACAAAAGTCCTAGCTGCAGTTTATGGACCTAAAGCAGGAATAAAGAAGAACGAAAACCCTGAGAAGGCTTGCTTTGAAGTCATTTGGAAGCCTAAATCCGGACAGATTGGTATCATAATTGCACTTTGTTTGATCATATCTGAATGGTTTTGTCTGCTTGAATCTGTGCTGTAGGTGATTCTAACTAATTTTAACTCTGCGTTATTTTTAGGAAAAGCCGAAAAGGAGTATGAGATGATACTGAAAAGAACAATCCAGAGTATTTGTGTATTGACTGTGAATCCAAATACGACCACGTCAGTGATCATTCAAGTGAGTGACTAACTACTCAGTGATATGTATATCGATTGGTCATCCATCTCAACTTATCAACTTGTGTTGTATCTGATGTTTTTAATTTTCTGCTTGTTTTGCAGGTTGTACATGATGATGGTTCTGTATCCTTTTCTTGATGATTCTCAGAAACAATTTACTGATGTTATCTCTGCCACATTTAGTCCGATGATATTAGCAATAACAGCATCTAGAGATTATGTTACTAGTGAATTAATTGGTGACATTGATTTAAAAAGACACATTTGGTTGTTTGTTCCTTAATTCAGTTTTTGTGTAGCTTCTACCGTGTGCCGTAAACGCAGCATGTGCAGCTCTTGTAGATGCAGGAATTCCTATGAAGCATCTCGCTGGTATATATTTATCTTTTCGCAACTTTTTTGCTCTCATCCATTGATTTTGTATGCTTCTTGTTCTAATTGCCTCATCCTCGTTTTTATTACTTCAGTTGCTATATGTTGTTGCTTGGCTGATAATGGATCTATCGTACTCGATCCAAGCAAGCTTGAAGAAAAGGTAATTTAAAAAAAAAAAAAAACCTTGCTTCCAGTCACTGCTATCTTTTCTTATGGATATTGGTTAAACTTACTTGAACTGCAATGGACAGAAAATGACGGCTTTGGCTTATTTAGTCTTTCCAAATACAACTCTCTCTGTTCTTCCGGAAGGATCATCACTCGTGGAAGGCGAGCCGGTAGAGGATGGTATCATTACATCAGTCACCTATGGAGTAATGTCAGGTAAAGTTAGATAACTTTTCTTTATTTGAACTGAATTCACTAAGCTACATTCTACGTGGTGTGTATTGTGTTCATACATTTCACTTGTTCGAGATGTGGTTTAAGAATTTTTTTTGGTCGTCTTTGTTTTGTTTCAGTGGACGATTATTTCCTATGCGTAGAGAATGGTCGTGCTGCTACGGCGAGTTTATCAGCATTCTTCAGGAAGAACTTCCAACAAAGCCAAAAAGTTTCATTCAAAGCATGAACCCATATTGTTTTGCATCAGATTTTGAGCGGTTTCATATATCCCCTGTTGTAGCTTGTATGGAAAATTTACCGTCAACGTGACTACTAATCACAGAATTAAATGCAATAATCTGTAGTATGGTTAGATATCTGAACATACAAATGGTATCCATGCTCTCAGGGCTATTTATGATAGTTGTCGCTGTTGAATTCACTCATCCACCATACAAATGGTAACTACAACATGTTTCTTAGTTCAAGATCCGTCATCTTAGGTCGAAGTTTAAGGCGAGGCGTTCTTGAGACGTTGAAGCATCAGTTCGTATAGAGCAAAACCACCATGGTGGCAACCTGGCATTCTTGATGTCATTGTCTTCAACTCATCCTGATCGGTTATGAAAAATGAGAAACTACAGTTATATTCGTGATGGGATCGTAGCATTTTGTTTCCTGAATGTATGTTCGTGGATTAGAGAACTAACCATAGAGACAGTGTGGAGCTGTGTTGACTCAAACCCATCTTCAGCATTAGAGTATAACCTTGGAATGTCATCTGAGTGATGACTACACTTGATGAAGAAAAACATAGCTGGTCTCGCATTCAATTCCCTCCGGGATATTCCGATGAAGAGAGGATTGCTCTGTTATTGTTGTATACAAAGATCAATCAAATCATTCCTAAATGTTCCTCAGTAAGACACACAAAAACAAAACCCCTTCTTGCTTACAAGAGATGATGCCGGTATTCCAGTTTCTTCGACAACTTCACAGATAATACTGTCAAACATTTCTTGAGCTGCCTTCTTGTTTAAAACCTCACTGGTGTTAACATCTTTCTCGAGCTGATGAGAATCATCGATACCTACTGACACTGGCTGCAATGTTTAAATTCATCAAACATATGTCCCCACACAAAGTAAGAAAAGATACAATATGGTGCTTTTTGTGTGTATACCTCTGGATGGCCCCCAGGGAACACGTAATGGCCTGGAAACTCCCCTACATTATTGCTCCGGCGTAATACAATAATCTTCTTGTCAGAAGTCTCGATGATTGCACCATTTCCTAATGGACTTGAGGTATGTCTACATCTTACAGAGTCATCTGTGAAAGCATAGCGATAAGAAACCTGATCAAATCACACCTGGAAGCTCTCCAGTTCCTCAACACAAAACTAGAGGACACAAGAATTTCTCGGAGATTGGGGTTTTGTGGATATACCTTGTGATGTAACGAGGAACTTCTCCCACAGAGAGCTCAAATTAGTTCCTACAAAAGTCCTTGGAAACCATGTCCATGATTAGTTACTCTCTCCATGAAACCAGACATGTAATACGAGATAAATTAGAGTGCAAAACATTGAAAAGGAGAGATAGATGAGTAACCTGTAATCTGTCAGGCCAAGACCAAGGCAGACGTGAGGCACTTGACTGGTACCAACATCACCATCTAAAGAATATGATCCATACTGAAAATGTTTTACTAGGAGTAAGCTTATTGAACAAATTTTATTGAATGAAGTAGCTGCTTTGATTAGATTCTAAGAATGAAACAACATCAAAGACAATGCATATTGTGAATCCCAAATCTCCAAACCATTTGCATACCCTGAATTTTTGGCCATTGAACAACGATGAATTTCCCTGTGTTCTCTGCTCCCAAACCTAATTTGCAAATGACACGCACCATTTGTCAATTTCCATCACATGAACAGGGAGATGCAGATTCAATCCAAGGACATGTAAATAACTCTTGGAAACATATGGAAATAGATAGATATCAACAAAGGCAAACATTCAATAAGATTTTTGAGTCCACATAGTGACTAAGAGATGAAAACTTGGCCACTGATTTTAACATTTCGATCAAGCATTATTGAATATACGTTCCAGTATCATAAACCAACACCAAATTTTAGATACTCCTCACCTGCGCAATAGAGTCTTCAAGATCAGGTTCGGGATGTGGGATCCGATCATGCGATTTCGAGAAATCCACCGAGACCTTTAGCATCAAAAATGGAAACTAAAATCACTGTGTGGTGAAAAAAAGAAAAACAAAGGGAGAGAGAGGGATACGAGTTGATGGAAAACCTGAGATAGAGAGAGGCCAGAAGGACATGAGAGTAGAAGCTTGTATCTTGTAGAGTATCCTTCAGGGATCGTTTCGTCTGCTATTTTGGCCATGGAAGAAACCCCTGCGAGCCACTGACACACACACACACACAAAAAGCTATGGAAAAAGAAGAAAGTGGCGTCTCGGAACGCTGTCGGAACCAATGAGTGGGCCGATTAGAAATTATGGTTTACTAATGGGCCGAAGCTTCCGTAATTTACTGTTTGTGTCTGAAACTAGGAGTTTATAGTTCATGTTAATTCTGCATTCGCTTAAACTATAACCAAAATCCGATCAATTTGTCAAATTTTTATTAATAAAAATCAACATGAACTATAAAATGTGTTCTTCCACACAAAAAGTGTTTTCCATCACTTGTTATAAATATTAGGAATGTTTTGAAACAAAATGTAGTTTTGCATGCAGTCATTTTATTTGTGAAAGGTAAAAATAAAATTCACTTCAAATAGTCCACCCAAGTTTAAATCTACATATTGCATGATGGCCAAAAAAATGATTCTACAATATTCTTAGTCCAGTGGTTTATTGAACTACTTTTTAATTAATTTCTCACGACGATTTTCTAATGCGCTGTTTAGTGATTAAGATTTAATGAACAAAATGGGGAAAATGTGTGGCTGGTGGGATGGAACTCAGGTCTACACGAGAACAAAACCAAAAAATCTTAGTCGGTTTATAATTTTTGACATTTTATGATAAAGAATATAAACAATCCTATTACTACTTGTCCATTCCAAGTTTAAAAATAATTAATCTTCAATCAATTTTCATATTGACTCAAAACTCTTTAGTTGTCTTAAGAAGATACCAAAAAAAGATTAAATAGTGATGCCAAAATCTTGAGCCACCACACAATTCATAGTTATTTTTGACATATATATTATGTTTTTTTTTTTGGTTTTAATGTCATATATATATATATATATATATTATGTTGTGGTAAAGGAGTAAGAAACCTTTATTATTTTGGACATACCACGCTGTATTAAACATGATGTTTCCAGATGTTTTCAGAAACGTTTGCGCAATAACCGTGCAAATTCAGATTGCGACAATGGGCTGATGTTTTCACTTTTATCTGTTGTCTTACCTTCTTTTGGTTTTGACGTATGCAATAAATAAGGATTTAATCATTATTTTTGTCATCATGGTTGAAGCTTGCGTTTTCGTTTTGTCCAAGACATACAAAATTTGTATTTACTTATGTTATGACATGTTTTTATTTTATGTTATGTATTTTCTATTCTAATATGTTATATGTATGAGATGACATGTTTTTAATGTAGCGTCACTTTTTCCTTCTAAATTATTTATTAAAAAAAATATATCCCAAAATTAAGTACAATCATTAGCGAGAAAACAAAGTGATAAAGCTAAGCAACTAAATCTCACCAGCCAATTAATTTGAACAATGCGGAAGTTACTGGAAAATATAATTTTTCATTTCCACTCTTACCCATTTAAAATTTTCCATTTTTCCGGAAATGGAAAATTGTATTTTCTGTTTTTGAGCAATTTTTTTATTTAAACGAATAGGGAAAGGATTTGGATCTAATGGTTTAAACAAATTCAAAATATTTATCGTGGGCGGGATGTATCATGTATGTGATACCCAAAATCGAATATTTAAAATTTGGCAGAAAAGCGAATACACTACAGTCCACTTTCTATTATTGGAGAAAGAGTGGTTTCTATTTCTAACCCACAAGTTTGTGATTGGGAATAGCTAGTTCGTGATAGTAGTAACCACCCCACTACAAACTCATGTCAGTAATCAATATTACAGAATGTAAAAACTAAAATAAACGCTGTTAATGTACCAAACGCAAAACAAACTAATATAACAAATAATATCATAAAAATCTCCAAACGGCTACGTCACCCGGTCACCGTTCAACCGCAGACGACGACTCGGACCTGATCCATTTTTACGAAACACGCCCTAAGTCCTTGCTTCCGAAGTAAAGGTCTGAGTGATAATTTCCCAAATCGTCAAGGGTATATTTGATAATAGACTCGTTAGACATCTCTACGTCCCTGACCAATTCAACCCGGTTGTAAAGCTCCGCGTAAACCGGAATTAACTTTTGAGACAACGAGATTTTAATTTTGTCCCTGAGTTTCGCGTCCGGTACGATCCACAAGATTTGTTTCCGGTACGCCAATTCGAACTCAGTATTGAAATTCACAATGTGCTCCCTCGCCTTCTCCGGCGAGCTCTCCGCCGTCGGATCCTCGGAGAGAGACGTCAACATCTTCCCCCACGCGAGCTTCTCGAATTTTGCAATGTACCGATTCACCTTAGCCTCCTGACTCGCCACGCAATCTCCGCCCAGGAGGAGATTCAACTTCGAAGATCGGACCTTATTGACAACGTACTGGAGGTTGTTGGCGAGGAAGAGATAAGACAGAGCCACGTCCTTATACGGCTGAGCCTTGCCGTCGATTTTACAAAGCATCTGGAGAATCACCCATCCTAAGCGTATGGATACCGGAGAGGAGTGTACATCCTCCGGGGAAGCCTCTTCTCCTCCACCGCATGGGAACAAGGTTTTCGGCAAGGGACGTGTCAAGGCAAGCCTCCAATTCTCGAAGATCACTTCAATAGATTCACTGTAATCGGCGAGGAAGGAGAGATAGTTCATGACGTATCGTGTGAGCGGATGGACTCCGCCGCCGGCGACTGGTTTCTTAGAGGATTCCTTCTGAATCGCCGACTCGAAATCATCCATCATCGATCGAACGGCTTCGCTGAGTTTGGAGAGCGAGTTAGTGACCTGTGATTTGACGGCTGCGTTTGAATCAGAGTTAAAGATCGATTCGATCTCCGGAGAGAGAGTAGCGAGAGCTTCGTACATATCCAGCGTGCGGAACATTTTCTCGGGGGTTAATTTCTTCAATTTTCCCACATTTTCTGGGAAAACAAACAACGCTAAAGCTCCATCTCGAGTGATCTCGTTGAAAACGGACTCAGCGATGGATCCTGAGGCGGAGAAAACGTGATCGGCGAGAATCCTTTCACCGAAAAACAGAGACCGGGCGGCCAATTTCACTGCTCGGAGCCAGGATTTGATCTTCGTCTCCAGAATCTCCCAGTCCAATTTCTGTATCTGATGCAGAGTCAATCGCTCCGCTCCCAAACTATGCAGCGTCTCGTCCACAATCGATTTCCGTACGGATTGGTAAACCTTAATACATTCTTTAACATATCCGGTGGAAATCATGCAATCGGCGATCAACTTCAGATCGTCTGGATCGTCAGCGAGGTAACTGGCACCATCATGCTCAATGCTGAATCTGGATGACTTATAAGAACGTATAGTGACGCATTCAGGATCAGGATACTCCATATTCGCCTTCAGCACACGGCGAAACTCTGATTCCAGAAGCTTCATCGCCGCTTGAATCGTGCGCTTCGCTTGGTAAATCTTCTCCGCCTCCGGCGTAACGGAAACCAAACGTTGCATTGAGTGATGCAAATTCTTCACGGCTCGCACGAGCTCCTCCGCCTCCTGGTGGCTAGTCAAAGAGAAGAGAAATTGATCGGATTCCGACGAAGTCCATTTGGTTATTAGGGTGTCGACGTCGTTCTCGCACTCCTCCATGGCTCTCTCGGCTAGCGAGTGGTGAGAAGTATGTTTCGCCGGTGGAGGAGAAGATGATCGGAAGAAATGTTTCCCCATTGTTTCTCCTAATCAGTGAAAGAGACTATCTGTTTATATGAAAGTTAAGCAGAGATCAGAAGAGAAACTAAAATCTGGAGGTTATATAAAGATAGCTTTAGAGGTTGAATTATATAAGTAGAGAAGATAGGTGTTTTTTCATGCTTTCGTATAAAATGGAGCAGCTAAAATCCGAAGCTTCCTTCAGTAGTGGAGCTAGTCTGACAATGTAAGAGCTAGTTTAATTCTTCTTAACGTCAACGAATATCGAATGTTATTAATCAATAATATTTTTAATTAGCACATGTTATTTGCAGCACATATATATGCCATGAATTAAGATAAGTTTATATCATTTTTGTATCTCATCTTTGCGTAGATCTAAATTTTTATTTTCTTCTCTCTTGTAAACAGATTGAGATCTGTATCTTGGGTTTTCTCTTCTTCTTTTTATGCATTCTTTTCAGGTTTCTTTTGGAATTTGTAATTCTTATGCAACTTGTTGTTTGATTTAAAATGTAAAAACGAACAAGTAAAACAGTTGCATGATACATACACGTATTGTAATAACTTTTTTTTTTTTGAAGTTGTGTTACTCTGAAGTTTGAAATAAGTATTTTAAAAATTCCGTCTCATGCACTTCTCTCGACAAATTTGGTGACGAGGACATTGTCAATGTAACTGGTCAAGTGGACATCGTTACCTAATGGAAGGTTAGCGTGGTTACAATTAGATAACGGAACTTGAATCCCCATGACGGCCGTATTTGTCTCAACTCCGACCATGCCTCCACCATAGTCAGTTTCCAATGGCGTGGTGGCAGATGACGGGACAGGGTCGAATTCGTCGAGGAAACGACCGGAAGTAACGAATATAGTTATTAGGAAGAGAAGTGAGAGTAGCTGGATAATCATTCTCAAAGAAGACATGCTATGATTTGAGATTTGAGAGTAATATTAACTATTTTCGTTTTAATGATTAATGTTTTGATGCATGAGTGAGGTATATATATGGGTGTATGGATTAGGAAGGAAGATGTGTTAAACTGTTAATGCGTGTAGATGATGGACATTGGACGATATACATATGTTTGGTTAGGATATATGAAGTTGATGAAATATTGGGCGATGAGGGGGAGTGGGTCAAAGTGTATACAAAGAATTTAAATTTTATAAGAATATACAAAGATCGATATACACTTCATGAACAAAAGGTGGAAAAATGGGATTGTAACTCACGTCCCGACGGCCACAAGCCCACAAAATCAAACCACTTAAATGCTTTATCGTTTTTAACATTTTCTTATGAATCGTATACATAGATGACCTGTCCATTCGAAGCTTAATAGTATAATAGTAAAGCTCATCTCACAATGAATGAAAACTCTCTAATTGTCTTATTATATGAGGCTTTAGGAGGATGTCAAATAACTTAGGGAAGAGTTTCAGCAAGGCCCCGAAAATTCATCTGTATGTGCATGCAACTAGAAAATTCTTTAACATATTAAGTTGTAAGAAAAAAAATTAAGAAACCTTTCTTAACATATAAACAAAAGAGATAAGGTTGGTCTCGCATGGCTTCGGCACAGACTGATAAAACGTCTAAATTTTTTTCAAGAGATCTCCGATTTTAATCTCCCATGCACGAGTGACATTATATTATTGCAAACAAAACAAATTAACAAAAACATATGTAGTACTTGTTTGTCTGGGATCAGGCATCATAAACGCTATTTAGAAGTTATGTTAGAGAGGGCCCTGATCTCGACTTCAACCTGGAGGACATCATCCACAACAAAACCTTTGGTTCCATCTTTAAGATCTGAAAGAGGCATAAAATCTTCGAAACCCCATCCATTTTCTGCTGCATTAGGCCATCCCTCAACTTACCATAAGAGAAAAAAAAAAGAAGCAAAATTAAATAAAAATAACGGCGATCGATTAGTAAAACAAACACAGATTAAGTATCCTAAAATATGTGAGAACTTGAATCTGATTGAGAAAATACAAAACTACTATAGTTGTTGTTCATAAATAATGTATAACAAAATCTGTCGCATATATATTATACATATACTTCTAGTTCTTATCACACTATAATACCAAGAAAGCACACACACACATATATAGTGAACCACTGACCTTGTTTCTCCACATTGTTGGATGGGATTTGATTCAGAACTCGTAGCGTAGCTCGAACGTAATCCTTTTCATTAGTCTCACTCAACAAGTAGAGTGACAAATATTTATCCGTTCCAACACCATATCCATTTGGATACACTTTCAATACCCTAATTAAACCCATCGCATACATATATATTAACACAAATACATATACTAGAGTGTGTGTGTGTAGAGAGAGAGAGAGAGAGTCACCAGTTTCTGCCTCCGGAAGAAAACGGGTCGGATGTGTTAAAGTCGGGGCTAATGAGGGTAGAGAAATCGGAGAGGTTCCAAGTGAAATTGGTGCTAATGTTTTCATCATAGGAGAATGTTTCCCAATTGTTAAAGGGTGGAGCAACAAATACGTCTACTCCAAACTCACATATTCCGCCGTCGAAAATGTATGCAGTTCCTGGCACCTTGAGGAGGTTCGTATCGAGAAAATACGGCACTCCATACTCCCGTTTGACCGAATTAAACATCACCGGTTCAGTTTCTACATATATCAACAAACCCTTTTTCAAAAAAAAAAAAATGAATTACTTTTGTAGTAACCACATTAAGTTTTGTACCTACGTACCTTCGGAGTAATAATACAAGCGATTAACAAAGTGGTAGTAGACGAAGAACTTAATCTCCGCATACACCTCTTGTGGATCGGTGATGACGCTTGAGTTATCGATTCTTACATAAAGCGAAACAAATGGGAACCAGATGTTCTTGATAATCCCCGTTGGGTAGATTAGGAACGTCCTTTTAAAAGGGCATAATAGATAAAAACATATAAGCTACACAAATTAATGTTGTGGTTCATCTTGAACCATGATGAGAATGACTTACCAATTGAGTCCACCGGCGGTGAAAGGAAGAGACTCGTAGTATCCATCCTTGACTAGATCCATCATGGTCTTGCAAGACTCAAACTTGACGCTATAAAATGATGGAGGACGCTCTCGCCATTGACGCATCTCTACTGATGCCTTGAGCTTCTCGTGTTTCTGCGACACTTTAATAAATAGAGGAAACCATAGTCCAATGAATTAATCTCAGGAACTGACATAGAACCAGGTTAAAATCATCTAAAAGTTTTGCATTGAACAGAAATAATCAATGCAAAACTTTTAGATGATTTTGAATTCTCAAGTTATATCACTATTGAGCTTTTCCACATTTCAATACCTCTGAGTTCACCAGATTCCTGTGCCCAAGTGGAAAATCAGAAAGAGAAACAAAAAGAAAAAAGTCAGACACTGATCAAATGAATCAATATATATTCAAAAATAATAAAATGAACAATTCACCATTTTTTTTTGTCAAAGAATAAAATAAAAACTTCACCATTCACTAGTTAATAATCACGTTTTAGATTTAAATCTTTGGCACATTTCAGGAAAACAACTTCATATATAGTTTGTGTTCGTTACAAATTATCAGGATTTCCATACAAATGATCAACGTTTTAATAAAACTATTAACAAATGAAGTTTTCACGATTATTTAACAAACTTTATCCGATTTTAACATAAAACTATACTTCAGACTTCTTGGTTATATTCCCTAATCGATGATTTAGAAAAAAACTCAAGCAAAGTTCAACAAACTAAAGATGCATTTAAGAGTGAACAAGTCAACCCCACGAAAGATAGATGGATCATCGCGTAATTTATCCAAAATTCGAAGCCGAAAGAAGGTAACATAAACCTGACGTGAATAGCTGAAAATTTTGGGACTGTTGAAGAAGATTCCGATCTTGGAGGTCGCAGCGGCTGCCAAGAACACGACAACTAAAGCTGCCAAAGGCCATAGCCATCTATTTGATCTCTTCCCTTTCGTCTTTTCTTCTTGGACTCTTTCCATTATGACTCAAATGGGAAGAAGACAATCCTTCACAAGGTAAATTAAACGCGGTCGTCTGTCTTGAGAAATTTCTCAAAAACCCATTTTTGTGTCTGGTATATATATTGTTCGAGTCTTTTTTTCTAATACATTATGCAAGTCTTGCGGTTAGTTTTAAGTTTTTTAATATGACTTGTTATGAGTCGTCTCCTTGACTTTGGCGCCAGTTGGAGCTTTTTTAAATGAAGCTCATATGACTTGCCGTTTCATTTGGTGTTCTAATGAACATCTTGTCGTTTTAGGCTTTTCATGTTCATTGACTAAAACGCCTCTCTTGTCGTTTCATAATATATCAAATCCTCATTACAACATTTACACAACCATTTTAACTAATCTACAATAAACACAGTAAAGCTCATTATATTTTCCAATCTAGAAATCACAGTAACTACATACTGCATGTTGTGACACAAAAAAATATATACTATTGTTAATTCAATGGTTTATTAAACTACTAAATTTTTTCACAATTGTTTTCTACTGTCATTTTTAGAGATTTGATGAACAAAAGGGGAGAAATGTGTGGCCAGGGATTGGAAATCAGTTACCTTATTACTAATGACATAGATGACTTGTCCATTCCAGGTATAAGAGTAAAGCTCATCTCTAATCAATATTCACACTGACTGAAAACTCTTTAGTTCTGATTATATATGTATTTAGGGGGATGGAAAATAATTTGGGGAAAGACAGTTAAAGAGTCTTCAATAAGGTTATGTTAGTTGTGGGAAAAGAGTAAGACCAGAATTCATGAAACAGTAACTGCCACATGGTCCTTTATTATTTGGACATGTTATGTTAGTTGTGGGAAAAGAGTAAGAAACCTTGAATATGTTTTGCCAATTATTGTATATATAAACAAAAGAGGTAGATTGATCTCGCATGGCTTCTGCACAAGCTGATAAAACGTCTCACATTGTTCCAATCCAGATTAAAGCTTACACGAGTAAACATTATTGTAAGCAAAACAAAACAAAAACACGTAGTTTGTTTGTTTGGGCTCATGCATAGAAAACCCTAACTAGAACTTGTTTTAGAGAGGGCCATGATCTCGACTTCAACCTGGAGCACATCATCCACAACAAAACCTTTGGTTCCATCTTTAAGATCTGAAAGAGGCATAAACTCTTCGAAACCCCATCCGTTTTCTGCTGCATTAGGCCATCCCTCAACTTACCATAAGAAAAAACAAAAATAAAATTAAAAAAGGGTATATTACTAACTAAAATTAACACGAAATAAGAATCCTAAAATATGAGAGTATTTGAATCTGATTCTACTGCATCCAAAATGCCATGCATACTCCGGATATCAGATTATCAGTGTACATTCATAAATTGGTATAAGTAATAACTATAAGGAAGAAACATAACAAGGTTCTAAGAAAAAGTATTAATATTGTCTTTTGAGAAAATACAAAAAAACATATTATAATTGTTTTCATAAATATTAACAAATCTGTCGCACTATATATGATACATATATATACATATGTATATAGATAGAGAGTGAGCCACTGACCTTGTTTCTCAACATTGTTGGATGGGATTTGGTTCAGAACTCGTAAATTAGCTCGAACGTACCCCTTTTCATTAGACTCACTCAACAAGTAGAGTGACAAAGAATTATCCGTTCCAACACCATATCCATTTGGATACACTTTCAATAACCTAATTAAACCCATCGTATACGTATATATTAACACAGAGACATATAACTAGAGTGTGTGTGTGTGTGTGTGTGTAGACAGAGAGAGAGAGAGAGTAACCAGTTTCTGCCTCCGGACGAAAACGGTTCGGATGTGTTAAAGTCGGGACTAATGAGGGTAGAGAAATCGGAGAGGTTCCAAGTGAAATTGGTGCTAATGTTTTCATCATAGGAGATTTTTTCCCAATTGTTAAAAGGTGGAGCAACGAAGACGTTTACTCCAAACTCACATTTTCCGCCGTCGAAAAGGTATGCAGATACCGGCACCGTGAAGAAACTCGTAAGTAGAAAATCCGGCACTCCCCACTCCCGTTTGAACGAATGAAACATCGCCGGTTCAAATTCTATATATATCACCAAACACTTTTTCATTATATAAAAAAAGTTATTTTGTGGGTAAGTGTGAATATTTATTTTCTCTAGTCTAGACCAAGGCATTATGTACTAATATAGCAATCATGACCATTATAGACTAAACATCACTATATTTAAGTTTTCTTTTGTTAACAACATGCAGTAGAGTGAGGCGCACGGACCACAAATATATGTGCATATAATAACGGGATGTAAAGTTTTTTTACCTTCGTAGTAAGAATAAAAGGGACTGTTAAGGTAGTAGTATTTGGAGAAGAACTTAATCTCCGCATACACATCTTGGGGATCGGTAATAACGCTTGAGTTATCGATTCTTACATAGAGTGAAACATATGGGATCAAGATGTTCTTGTTAATCCCCATTGGGTAGATTAGGAACGTCCTTTTAAAAGGTCATAATAAATAAATAAACAAATAAGCTACACAAGTTAATGTTGTGATTGATCTTGATCTTGAACCATGATGAGAATGACTTACCAATTGAGCCCACCGGCTGTGAAAGGACGAGACTCGTAGTATCCATCCTTGACCAGATCCATCATGGTCTTGCAAGACTCGAACTGGACGCTATACGATGATGGAGGACGCTCTCGTGATAGCCGAAGCTGTCCTGGCATCTTGAGCTTCTCATGTTTTTGCGACCCTTTAGTGACAAATGAATTAATCTCAGAATTTGGCATGCAAAGCAGTATAAAAAAAAATTCACATTTTGTTTTTATAAGCTTGGGATGCAAGTGAAGCCTATACCTCTGTGTTTACCAGATTCCTGAGCCCAAATGGAAAATCAGAAAGACAAAAGAAAAAAAAAAATAGTCAAATACTGATCAATATGAGTCCATTGACATAGTACCACACAAAAAGAAAGAAACAAAAATCACTAATAATTAATCACATTTTACATTTAAAGGTTTGGCACATTTCAGAGAAAAAAAAATCTTCATAAGTTGCCTTCAACAATATCATCACAATATATACACTATTATCATTATACCTGAAGAATCCATCGAACATCACAAATAAGATTTCCACAAATGGTCAACGTTTTTTAAAGCAAGTAGCAAATGAATTTTCTACGATTGTGCATCAAACTTCATCCGATTCCAACGAGAAAACAAACTCAAACAAAAAAAAAATCAAGAAACTAATCAGAAAATGCATCCAAGCTGAACAAGTCAACTCTACAAAAAAAAAAGGATCGTCGCAAAATTTATCCCAAAAGAAAAGTCAGAAGAAAGAAAGTAATTAAACCTGTTGTAAATAGCTAAGAGAATGGGGATCTTTGGAGAAGAAACTGATCCTAGATGTCGCAGCGACTGCCAAGAACACAACAACCAAAGCTGCCAAAGGCCATAACCATCTATTTGATCCCTTCCCTTTCGTCTCTTCTTCTTCGATTCTTTCCATTAGAAATCAAATGGGAAAATTAATCATTCACAAAATAAATTTATGTCTTGAGAAATTTCTCAAAAACCCATTTTGTGTCTGATATATATATTGTTGCTAGTCTTTTTCTATTACATTTATGCTAGTCTTGAACATCAGTTTTAGTTTAATACGACTTTTGTTATGAGTCGTCTCTATGACTTTGGCGCCTGTTGGAGCTTTTTAAATGAATCAATAGGATTAGGAGAGCATCGTCTTCCAAGAAAACATCTTGCCGTTTTAAAGCTTCCCATGTTCATTGACTAAGCGCCTCTCTTGCCGTTTTTATATATAATAATATACAGTATCAACCAATCGCCAAAATTACACAACAGTTTTTAAGTTTTAAGTTTTAACCACTCTTACAATAAACACAGTAAAGGTCATCTCCAATGGCAATAAATCGTTCATTGAATCATTGGTACTAAAAAAAATTAGATAAAAGATACAAGGGAATCAAGTGGCATACATTAAAGCTCTACAAATATGGATCGAATCCCACCTATGACTTCTTGACAAGGAAAGAAAAGAAAAGCAATGGATTCGATCTTAACCACCTGAAGCTCACACTGTGGAGTGTGGAGACCCAAACCGCCTAGCTTTGTTAGTAAGATGCCTCAGAGTCACGTAGGGACCGTTAGAGTTGGTAGGTCTTTGTTTAAGCATCAGAGAGAAAACAAAAATTCTCTCTGTGGTTTAAGGGTTTCCTTTAAGAGGCTCAGCCTCTTCGTCCTGTGGAGGTTCTTGAGCTGCTTGCGGCTTTTCTGGTGTTTTCTTCACTAAATTTTTAGCATATAGAGACCCAAAAACAATTACCTGCACGAGTGATAAACGGGATTAAGTTTCACAACAGGGAGAGATCTGGTAAGAGACAGAAGATGAAGTCTTGTGGGAGCTTACTGATCCAATGCACTGCTCCCAGCTAAGTGGGTGTGAGAACCAAATGCAGGAGAGCATGATGCTCAAAAGCTTTTTGTTTTTTCAGACAAGGAAGAAGGATTTAGATAAAACAGATTTTGCTTAGCTTGTAAGGGGAATCAGAGAGTTGAAACCAGAGTAACGTACCTGTCTAGTTGTCATTATGGCAGCAAACGTTAGAGCACCAAATGTCCTAATGGTGTAAGAAATGAAAAATTGGCTGGCTGTTGCTACCTGCAAAACACAGTGTCGTCTCTGATAAGTTCGAATGCTACCTTTTAGTTTCGTAAAATTAAGGCTTTTGTGTTTGAATATCACAAACTCAAATCAAGATTATGGTAATCTAGAGCGGTTGAGACGATTGTTGCAGTGCAAACAGACTCTAATTTAGATAGACTTTTGGAACATGATTGCTGTAATGATTAAGGAAAAGAGTAGAGATGACGTACAGTGGAAAGCAAAGCGATGTCGAACAGACAATCCCTATGCCGAGAAACAAAGTCCACTGCTGGGAGTAAATGCCCTTGCAATACAAGGCCTACATTGAGCACAAGAGTTTTTTGAGGTCTACACATTGATGCTTATGCAAGGCAGGTGAGTTCTAAATCATAATGCGTAAGAGTCTCACAGTCACAAATAAACAAATAAAAGAAAGGTTCCTAATAACAACAGGCCCTAGAGTTACATCCATATGATCTTGAGTTGAACTTAAATCAGAAAGGTTCTATATAACCAAATAACTGAGAGACTGGAAGAATTAGGAGAGTTTTACCGAAGTGATCAATCAGTCATGGAAACTACTCTTACAACAAGGATAAGTGTAAACTGAAGATGCTCACCAGTGAAACTGAGAATAAAGGAACAAAGTGTTGTGTAGAATATCTGGTTATGTATCTCCATATTATAACCTTTAAACAGTTTGTCTTGGAATGTGCTCGTAAAGCCATCAAACCTGTTTACCAGTTGACCAACACCCGATTATTGGTACACGACAATCAAAATTTCACATCTTAAAAGCAGATAACAAAGAATTAAACAGATTTATACCCAAGATAACCAACCATAAGGGAAACACCCCAGACAGTGTTTTCTCTTCTATTGTTGTACGGACTAATATCATCTCCTGCCTACGATTCATACACATAAAAAAAGAACTTCACTCCAGTTGATCTTAGTGGTTCATAGTGATACTAAGCAAGCTATAAAGTAATGGAGAACCCTTTGGGAAGATTGGGCTTTTACCGGAAAGAGGATAAAGACAAAGCATCCGAGTGTCACTAAGAAAGCGACCAAATAGTCAAATCCCCTGTACCTTTTTTGCATGATGATAGTACCCCAAACCTGTAAGAAACACATAAGTTAAGAGAGAATCAGTGACAAACATCACACGTCGCCTACTTTGCAGATAAACAACATTATAAAACTTACCATTACAGGTATCATTTTGGCACATTTTGCCAGAGTTTGAACAGGGAAACTCACATACTTGAGCGCCTAGAGACATCACAGTTTGTCAAGCAAATCGTTATAGGACTAGTATTCGATTGGAGTTGGTGAAAAATTGTCCTACCTCATACTGGCAAGTTGTAGTGAGGATGTTAGTTACTGAAATGAGACAATATTTGTAAACCGGAGCTACAGGATCTAACACTTTCTTGCTCGCCTACCAAACACAGAAGAAAGCAAGGAAAAGTCAAAAATAAGCTTTTTTCTTGTGAATGGATTTAGTCTGAGCAAAAATAGAAACTCAGGCTTGATACTGTTTACCAGTAAAGCACCAGCAGAAACAGCTGATGTAGTGAGCCGATTACAGAAAACGAGAAACAAAGAGTACTTGAAATACTCTTTATTCAACCCATATGGTACTCTCATTATCTTCTCCTACAATTACAAGCATACAAAGACAAAATATCATTTGCTAAGTATAATAACTTCATAGACTGGAAATGAGAAGACATCATAAGTTAAAATTCACACCAGAGAAGCCCCCAAAACTATAGTTTATTTGAATCCTATTGTAATGTTTCACAATTCCTTAAAAAAAAACACTACTTTATGAGCTAAGAAACAAAACCCAGCAAGTTTCTTCTATCAATTTTTTCAACAAGAAAGGCGAATCCAGGGGAAAATCTGAGAAGTGTAACAGAGTGAGAGAGAAACCTGGAGAAGACCGTAGATGACGAGAGTGATCATAATTCCAGAGACAGCGAAAGCAGCTTTCCATAGCTTCTTCTCCTTCGCTTCGTTTACTGAATCAACATCTGCCATTTCTCCATTAACGATCCGCTTCTCTCTCTCTCTCTCCCCCTCGCCAAAAACAACAAAACCTCACAGAATTAACCAAACAATTCACCTTGTACCAATCAGGTCCCGCCAGAACCGAACCGAACCGAAATTAAACCCAATTTATCTTCAAACTATGGGCCTTTGGGCCCAATATGTTCTTTCAGAAGAACATAACGTCTTCTCTTCTCCTTCATCCCAAAGTAGCGTCGAGAATGGCTCCTACAGGTACGAAATTGCTCAGATTCTTCGCGTCTAGATTTCAATTGTATGCTTCGATGGTGAAATTAAGTTTCGGTTGTGCGTTCTAGTGGTCGAATTTTCTTGATTCTCGTTGAAATTATTAGGTCTTGTTGATATATTTCGAGAACTGAGAGAAGCTTTTTTGGTTTGTGATTATGGAATGATCAATTGACGAACTTTTTGCTGCTGTTTCATCTTCGAGTGGATGAAGCTAATAATTTCAACCGTAATGATCCTTTTGCGATATAATGTAGCTTTAAAAATCTGCATTTGTAGCTTTTATGGAGCTCTCAACAGAAAATCTGCATTTGTAGAAACGCTATGCGTTTGATCTCTTAACTTATCCTTAAGAATGCTACTTCTGGAGTGCATTTTCAGTCAGTAAAGCTTGTGATTTGTGTAAATCTCTCTGGCAGTTGAAGTAATCATTCCCTATTCCTTTTCCCCTGAAACTTGTTCAAGATACTATGCTCACTTAGTACTGGTTAGTCATAGTGGTGTATTTTGAGTAACAGTGTCTCTTTTTCTATGTGTAGCTTAAATTATGCATTTGTAGAGAAGGCTATAGCATATTACTCAAAAGAAAGGAATGTTTTTAAGGTTATGATTGGATCTATTTGGCAAGTAGTAAACCACTAGCTTGTGAATCTTTAACATTGTGCTCTTCCTGTTTGAATTTGCTACTTCTGGAGTCATTTGCAGTTGGTGATTTCTTGTGATTTGTGTATGTTCTTTCTTATTCCCCCTGAAACTTGTTTTTGAGATACTAGTACGCTTAGAAGTTGACTATGCAGAGTGTACATTTTGTATATATGCATGATTGTATTCATTCTATTGTTAATCCTGGTCTAAACTGGCTGATGATTTTACAATCACAAACACCTGCAGGCGATGAAGTCTGCAAAAGCAGTGAAGTCTCAGTTACAATCTTAAAGAAGAAAGCTAAGAAGATCATAACCCAAAATACACAGAAACAAGCTTGACACTTTCAAATCCTTAAGTAACCCTCTCACCACTGAGTATGCGATGAACAAGATTCAAAGACTGCAGTACCCTTGTATTCACTGTCGACATCAGAGCCGCAAGAAGAAGATTAAGAATGCAGTTAAGACGATGTACGACAAGAGAGACCCAGTGGCACCAAGAAGGCTTATGTGAGATTGAAGCTGCATTATCCAACGAGCAAGGCACAATCTTTTTGGTTGTATGTTGCAGAAAAGATTGGAATCATCTTAAAAGGTTCATGTTTCCTCCTTTGTCATGTACATTAACTCGCAAGACACAACCTTTTTTGGTTTTAGACTATCCTGTTTCAGCTACTGTAATCATTATACTGATTTTGTATGTAATACAATGAAATTTGCAGTCTCTTGAAGAAAATTATATAAGTACAATTGAGTAATTGACACTGTTAAGAAAAATCAATCAATTCACGGCAACTGTGAAACATTGTTACTTTTACAATAATCGACCTTAATTTTGCAATATCAAACAAATAATAAACACAAAGAGAACGTGTTAAACATTGACATGGACATCTTCTTACATATCTTCATCCGAATCCTCCTCTTTAGGGTACTCTTCATCAATTTCAGTTGCCTGTTCCTGTTCCTCAAATGCACCTCCATACTGTAAATTCGCTAAATATTCTTCTACTTCTGGATCTCCATATTCCAAATATGCTAAATTTGCTGCTTCTTCTGCTGCTTCTGCATCTTCATATTCTTCTTCCTCTTCCTCTTCTTCTTCTTCTTCTTCTTCTTCTTGATGATTTAGATATGGTTCATGTGCTTCTTCTTCATCTGCAACTCCTATTTCTTCTTCTTCTTCTTCTCTTCTTCTTCTTATTCTTCTTCTTCGTTCTTCTTCTTCTTCTACCTCTACTTCTTTAACTTCTTCTTCTACTACATCTTCATATATTCCTTCTTCCTCCTCGTCCCCAGAGATTCCGCTAGTCCAATGAACAAGAAACGGATGCTTGAGCAACTCCTCAACAGTCCACCTTTGGGCAGGATCTCTCACCAAACACTTTGAGAGAAAATCCTTAGCTCCTTGGGACAACGAACCAGGAACGTAAGGAACAGAGCCGCTCTCACTAACAAGACTAATCCAATCTTCCCAATCAATATCATCACCATACTCTCCCCAAACCGGTTCTCCAGTCAACATCTCAAGCACCGTACAGCCAAAAGACCACACATCTGCACCATAGTCCAAAACCATATCCACCACAAGCTCCGGCGACATAAACCTCCTCGTACCTCTCCGATGACCCTATCCGTCACCGTACTCATCCGAATCTTTCTCCATGGCTTTCCCAAAACCAGAGATCTTGGCAGATAACCCATTAGCCCTAACATCATCAGGCACGAGTAAGATGTTCCTCGGCTCAATGTCCCCGTGAATGATCCTCTTCTTATGGATACACTTCAGACCAGACAAGATATCGATCGCGAACCTCTTCGCATCGTATTCTAGTAACCCTCTTCCTCTGTATCTTTCGACGTGTTTCGCAAGGCATCCTCCAGAGCAGTACTCGTAAATCGCGTTGTATAACATCTCTCTGCTCTCCTTGTCCTGTGTGATGATGCTTCCGTAGCAAGAGACGACGTGTTGGTTCTTGAAACGGCTTAAGAAATCTTCCTCTTTCTGGAGCCGTGATGCTTTTGAGACCTCTGTGGTTTTGATCGCCATCTCCTTAGGAATACAGACTTCTAGGTCTCCGTTGGTCGTTGTCGTATTGGCTAAGTAAACAGAGCCGTATGAGCCTTTCCCGAGAAATTTAGTCACGACCCACCAATCGCTTTCTGGAATATTGATTCCTGTGATCGGTTTCTTATCGAAAGGGTTCGTCTTGGTCGACGAAACAGCATAGTGAATTATCCCCGTCGTCTCTGGGATGGTCGGTGAGTATCGCGGCTTCTTGCGAGGACGGTTCGAGTCGTCTTCCCAACGACCTAATCGACTTTGATCAGAAGATGATGATCTCGCCATTTTTTTCTCAATCTGTTTTCACTCTAGATCTTTGTTTCACGCTCTCTCTATCTGAGGCTGTATTTATAGGTCTCAAGTTTCCTTTTTCTAAATTGCCTTTTTTTTATATAGGCGGTGACGTTGTGTTATCTATTTGCCGTTATTGTTTATATAAGTACAATTTCACTGATTTAATTCAAAATGCATAACAATCATGAGTCTTGCACACAAGAAAAACAAAATCACTTGTGAATAAACAAACTTTTTACTTCCCATTTTAGATTATCAAACCCAATCATATATAGTACAAAATAAATGGAAGGTCTAATTCCAGCTTCTGTATCAAACTTAAAGAACTTGACTCAGTCGTAATACCAATTTTTCCCCCATGCTCGACCAATTTATTTAGGTTAAAAAAGCTCTTTTTTTTATCAGGAGGATAACCATTTTTGTTTCTAGTTTAGTTATGACACCATGTGATAAATTAAACCATTCACGTAATAAGATAACATATATCAAAGACATCCTGAGTTTTACAAGGAAGTTGGTTTAAAGTCTTTATCTTGGAGAATTTCTACTTCCACAAACAAAATTTCGAACAATCTCAGTTATGTTATCTTTAATTTCAGTTAAATAAAATAAACTGATCGTGAACGGTGAGAGCGCACGATTATTCATGGCAATGTTATTATGTCATTCCTTTTGAATCAAATCTGGATCCTTTTACAAAAATTAATCAATGACAAACTTCTCTTAACAAGATTATTTCAGTAGTAATCAACGAGGGAACAACCTAACACATTTAATTTGATCATCTTGTAGCTATAGAACATGCCTCCAAGATGTTTGCAATGCTACTTCCGTGAGACCTACGTAAGAGATGGAGAAAAGGCATCAGCTTCTGCACCAAATCCCAAAACAGATCGATCCTATTCGTCTGCGTGACTCTCAGTGCCTTGACCACCACGAAACTCCCAAACTCATTCCTCGCCAGCCTCATCAACCTCTCTCCCTCGCACTCCAAGAGCTCCTCCACCACAACTGCCATCGAACCCTCCGCCTCCAGAAGCTTCTCAACGATGTAGCTCCCATACTTTTTAAACGACAGCTCAAAGCAATGGCCTCGGAGATTAGCTGCAATGTTATGCGTGCAACGCAAGTCATACAGTTTAAGCACGTGTTGGACCACGAAGTTCCCCGAAGCATCGTTGCTTAGGCAGAGAGCGTTGATCGCGACCACGTCTAGCATCTGGTTCCTGTAGAAAGGATCGTCCGCGTCGGTTATGATCTCGTTGAGCGCGATGCAGCCGTGTTGATCACGCGCTATGTCGAGCGCGTGGTGGAGAATGTGCTCGTACATCGCGTATTTCTTCGTCTGGTCGAACACGGCCATGGCTCGTCTCGCCACGTAGGACGCGTACTTGTCGGTCATGACGTGGAGGAAACGGCGCAAGATCGCGGCGTGGAAGAGCGCGTCCACGTCGTCTGATATCCCGAGGAGCTTCTGCACGCGTCTCGACCCGTGCTTGTTCCTGACAACCTCCGTGAAGTAATCGGAGTCTGACGTCAGCAGCGAGGCCATCGTGTGAAGCTGTCTTCGGTCTAGCTTCGAGATCATGTCTTTGAAGAGGGCCACACCTTCGCCGCTAGTCATTAGGTTGAACAGCGGGTTTAAGCGCGTGTCGGAGGCGCGTGGGATGAAGCCAGGAGGAGGAATGGAGGAGCCGGAGATTCCTCTAGAGAAACGGATATGTGGTAAAGCATCGTACATGTTCGACATCGAAAAGGTATTATCGGCGATCGACATTGAATGTGAGAGAAGCTAATAGTGAGATTATTAATTAATCTATGTGGTTTTGGAGAAGTGTGTGAGAATTTTTGCGTGTGATTGTTGGATCTGTGGGGGTCTATTTATACAAGTTTGGATCTTAATTTATTTTCTTGGTTGATCATTTGTTTACTCGGAAAAGGAAATCTATATCGCTCGAGGTTCCTTTTTCCATTTTTTTTTTCTTACTGTTAACGGTGTTAACGGTTTCCTTAATTATTCAGGTTTTGCCTTTAATTAATTCAACAAAGGCGGAATGATTAATTTAGCTGTACATATTTCCATTAATGATATCCCAATCCCACATGGAGTACCTGATTAACATAGGAGAGGGATTGTATTTTGAATTATGTCTTTGTTACCAGATAAGTAACAAAACATTCAAATACATGAAGGAAAAAAAAAAGTTTTGGTTAAAATAACATTTCGTTATACTCATTTCATATACTAACTGAATGGTCTATGGATAAAATTGAGTTCCACACCACTATGGATTTGTCAATGTAATTGAAGGAGGTTTTAGCGTTGCACCCTCTACATTTTGAGAGATTGGGATGCAACTTCGTGTAATTAGAAATTGACTCTATGTTTTGGCATATACATACTTTTAGATAATTTAGTCTTGAAAATACTTTGACATACATACAGTTGAGGTTTCTAAATGTTAGTGCTTATAACCAGAAATGTGTGATCTATGATTCGTTTTGCCTCTTTAATTTTGCTTCATTCAGTATCGTACATAGGAATCTATAATTGGAAAAATGTAAGTAAGTTCTTCAAAACCTCATATTTTTACCAAGCCAGAGTACAAATCCTCTGTTCAAGAGTTGTGATTAACTCTGTTTTGGCATTACACATACTTTCTGATTAAGGTCTGTCACTTAGCTATACGCAAGAATATAGTCTTGTGTTTCTCACAAACAGCGTATGTAATGAATTTAAATACATCTTGATATTCTTAGGGCCTCTTGAATTATTTATTCAAAATCCCATTACCGAAACAGAGACTTGGATCTCTTGTTTTTTACAATTATTTTCTTGGTTGACTCTGCAACTATAAACTAATAATGAAACAGAAATTCAAAGTGATTCATACAGAAATATACTAAAAAAAACTTCTATAATGGGGAAGTACATGAAATCGTTCAAAACAACAGAATTAGAAACAAATATCTATTACTTGAAAAATAACAACATGTTTAGGATCTTCTTCGTCTTCACCACAGAATAGCAAACGGATGCTTGGCAAGTGAATGACTAGACCACCTCTTGTGAGGGTCTCTCTCAAAGCATCTCCTCAAAAAGTCTTTGGCTTCTTCAGACACAAAATCCGGAATCTGAGGAGTTAAACCGCTGTAACCGATGATTTCAACCCAATCATCAGAACCAGAACCAAGATCACCATGCTCTCCCCAAACCATATCTCCGGTTAACATCTCCAACACCGTGCACCCCAAGGCCCAGACGTCTGCTCCAAAGTCCACAATCCCATGGATTATCAGCTCCGGAGCCATATACCTCTTGGTGCCTCTCTTGAGACCGTATCCGTCACCGTACTCGATGGACCCTTTCTGCAGAGCTAAACCGAAATCCCCAATCTTGGTGAAGTACCCGTTAGGTCTAAACCGGCGATCCGCAGGGCAGAGCAGGAGATTCTCCGGTTTGATGTCGCAATGAACAATGTAACAGTCGTGAATGTATTTGAGACCTGACAAGACATCTCTCGCGAACACTTTCACATCGGACTCTAACAACCCTCCTCCGTGATTATCATCGATCAGATCCGCGATCGTTTGGCCGGAGAAATACTCGAGAATCAAGTTGTATTGCATACAGTTCTCCTCACGAACGATCTCGGCGTCGTAGCAACGGACAAGGAAAGGAGAATCTAAACGGATTAAGATCCTTCCTTCGTTCATGAGACTTGAAGCACGTGAAAGCTCTGCTGTTTTGATTGCTCTTACTTCCATGTCGCCATCGTCGTTTTCACGCGTGGCTAGGTAAACCGAAGCGTTAGCCCCTCTTCCAAGTAATTTTCTTTTGACCCACGACGACAAAACGCTTCTTCCTCCGTCATCGTCATCGCCGTGGGCTACTTTAACGGTGGCGTCCGATGATGATCCTCTAGTTATCTCCACGCGCCTACTACTTGTTGTCATCGTCATCTTCTTTCTCAAAGCCGGACTCGTTATCTCTCTTAATCTCTCACTAGTTTGTCTGATATGATACTTCGTAGATGAAACAAATACGAGAGCAAACCAAAGATTATATATATAATGCTTTTGTTGCGTTTCGTTTAGGTTTTGGTGTGTTGTAATATCCCCGCGGTGTTAGATTTTCCATTTCACTTTTTATCCTTTTTTCCGAGTTTCCTTTTTTGTTTTGAAAAAGGTTATCGAGTCATTAGCTGATTATCAGCTTAAACAAATTGCCTTTTTTTGTCATCCAGGGAAAATCTAACGCGTGTTTCCACTTTCCTGATATTTTCATTTTTTTTCTTCTGATTTTCGCTTTTTTGCTATAGGCTTAATTTCTCCTGAATAGGCCAATACACAACAATGACAAGTCAAAATTGTTTCTGTGAAAAAAAATAAACAAAATTACAGCAGATTAAATTACAACAAAATATATCATATTATGACAAAAATAACTTAATATACCATAGTGTTCCGGCAAGTAAAATAAAATTAATAATGAAAAATATAAAAACCTAATTGCGAAGAAGGTGTTCCAAGGACGTGATTGCGCTGCCGGTAAATTTCTGAATCGCTCTCGGTATCTTCTACTTCATAAACCCTAGTTAAGACCTTGGACGCATTAGAATTGAAAAAAAAAATGACCGTTGAGGATAACTTGATTAAAAGATCCAATTTGTTTCTGATGATAAATCTGAGAGTGAAATCCGTTTCTTTGTGGTTTAATCTTAGTTCAATTAGCACCGCCGAGATTTCCACGAGATAATTTTTTGATATCTATCCTGCATTTCTTTGGGTTTAAATTTTAAAAAAATTAGGATTGAATATGATGATGAAATGTCTTTGACTTTTTGTCATGATTAGAAGTTGATCCAAAGCCTTGCAGGATCAGAGTTGTATCCACTGCCTGTGTGCCCTAGGTTTCATGATCGTCAAAGTAAGAACCAATAGTTGAATTAAATGAAACAATCAAGAATCTGTCAGGTTCTGTAGTTATCATCTTGGTATTTGTATTTACTTAATCATGATTTACATGGGATGGAATATTCTACTATACTCATTACACATTTTTTTGCCAATAATCTGATTTGATCTTCTTTTATGTTTTAGGAAGAAGACAGATATTCAAGATAAGATCTTCTGGCAGATATGGTTTCTGAAATGGAATGGTACTGGAGATGGAAGAGGTGATGAAGGAATGAGTCTTGCCGTGTCTTTCAAGAAGAACAAAACCCTTGACCTAGAGCTTGCACATACCAAAGTTACGGAAATTAGAGTTTGCCACGGATAAAGGTGACTTGAAGTAAGTAAGACTGGTGGTTTACTTTAGCTCAAAAGTCCCATATCCATTGATATGCTAAAATGTAAGTAGTAGACATAGCACTCTTGTTCTTTTAGTAGAGACATGTTCAAGATACAATAGTTACATTACCCAAATGATAAACTAGTGAGCATTATTAGTTTAGGTACCCCTCTCGTTCTTGACTATGCCTTTTACATAACCCAGCTTAGGTTTAATCTTATGTAGCAAACACCATAGTCAGAGAAATGTTGGAATATGCTGTGCAAAAGCTATTAGTCAAACATATGGCAGTTTGTTGTAGTTTATTCTTGATACTGATTTATACTCTCTTCTTCTTGCTTCTAATTAACGCTTTATGCCCTTTTCTTGCAAGTTTCCCATCATCGTAGATTACTGTGCTTTTGGATTGGATGTTATGTTCTTCAAGCAATCCAACTTAGTACTTGCTTTTTGTATCTGATCATATTCATACGGTAGGAACCGATTTGCTTCTCATAACATGTCTTGATATGGATACAGAATCTCTCTTCTTCTCCATCTAGATACAAAATTACTCATGGCTTCTGAATCTTTTGGCTTGCACATTTCGATGAAAAGATCTCGGTTTACTTTATCGAGATTATGATCACCACTCATCAAGATTGTTTTAAATGAATCACCGGTGCATTTCTAGCTACAAATATTGGTTTATTGGAGTAGTCATCCTTATCATCTAGACCCTTCTGTAAGCGATTCATATGAGACTCATTTTTTGTTGCATAAAAAGTAGCGTTCACTTTGCTCAATGGTTCACTTTGGATATGTAGTTATGGAATGTTGAGGCATATTTTGCACATGTTTTGTGCTACTTATTTTATGATATTTGTTTGCTCTTTTCGGTTCTAGACTTCACAAATTGTTGAATCTTATTGTAATAAAATCCATTACATTTGGCGTTTCTTTAATAAAGTTATATAGAGAGAGTCTAATAATCATTGATACCAAAGTACAATATACTATTAAAAATAAATTTAAGCTTTATGAATCAAAGTTCATTAAGAACATCAAACAATACATTGATACCGAAACAAACATACATTTTTATTCAATAGCAATTAAAAAGACATAATCAAAATCATAAAAATTAAGAAAGAGACTGGGGATCAGGCTTTTGAGGAGGACTGAGAAAAGGATGGTTCAAGAGGGATACAATCCTCCACCCTAAACCAGACGTCTTATCCAAACACCTTAACAAAAAATCTTGTGCCTCTACAGATAACCAAGTCGGTATCTTTGGAATCAAACCGCTTTCACCAATGAGACTTTCCAAATCTCCCGAACCAAGATTATCACCATGTGCTCTCCAAGCTCTCTGTCCGGTTAACATCTCCAAAACCATACACCCAAAAGCCCAAATGTCAGCACCAAAGTCCACAATCCCTTCCCTCATAAGCTCCGGAGCCATGTACTGGGTCGTGCCTCTCTGATGACCGGATCCATCACCGTACTTGACCGAATCTTTCTCCATCGCTAAACCGAAATCTCCAATCTTGGCCACATAACTGCTAGGCATTAAGCGCTTGCTATCGTGAGCCAGGAAAATATTGTCCGGTTTAAGGTCGCAGTGAACAATGTTTTTCTTATGGACGTTGAAGAGACCTAAGAGGATATCTATAGCGAAACGTCGCACATGAATCTCAGATAATCCTCCTCCTCCGTTGTTTCTCTCCATAAAGTCCCGGAGGCTCCCACCGGAGCAGTACTCCAGGATCAGATTGTAACTCGTTATCTCCCCGCCAAGCTTATTCTTCTCGCGAGCGATTTCGTGGCCGTAGCAACGGACGACCCAAGGAGATGAGATACGGGTTAAGAGTTTTCTCTCGTGGATGAGACTTGAAGCTCGTGAAAGCTCCGCCGCTTTGATCGCCACGATCTGTGTGTCCTCGTCCTCGTTTTTACTTGTGGCGCGGAAAACCGAACCGTATGAGCCTCTTCCAATGAGCTCTGTTTTTTCCCAAGAGGACGTGTCTCTCACTTCCCCCAGGAGGGTTACGTCGACGACGTCGTCCTCCTCCTCCTCGTCCTCCTCTTCGTTGTCTTCGTCTTCGCCGTCTTCCTCGTCCTCGTCGTTGTCTTCATCCTCGTCATTGTCGTCGTCTTCCTTTTCCTCGTACTCGTCATTGTCGTCGGCGTCGTCGTCTGAGAAGATATTTACGTCGAGTGATCGTGTGGGTATCTCCTCGTCACTGCTGCTGCTGCTACTCTTCTTGGGTGAGACATTGACCCTCTGCTTCTTTATGTTTTGAAGAGTCCTATCTGGCTGATCATTTGAAGGTATAGATCTCTTTATCATCTTTCTGGTTGTCATTTTGCTCTTTTGAGTTTCTGATACAGAAGAAGAGAGAAAGGAGCGGAAGCGAGAGAGGGAGAGAGAGGGAGAGGAGTGATTTAGTGTTGAATGGGGGTGTGGCTCAAGTCTTCCTTTTATGCTTGTGTGCAGTTGTGTCCTTTGTTTACTCAGGTAGGTAGGTGCATGTACGAAGTAAAACTTCCGAGATTTACTTCTTCTTTTGTAAACGATTCGCTGGTATATATTACCAGATGTATATAGAGAAACCAGCACCGATAGTGCTTAGCACTAGCCCAAGACCGTAATACCCGAGAAACCCGAAAGAAACAATAAACCCTCTAAGTATGAAGAGAAATATGGAAGAACACAAGAGAATACTTGAAAGACTTTTAAGAAGAACAAGAGAGAACTTAGCTTTAGAACACTCTTTATTAACTTGTTCAATTTCTTGTACATTTACAAATGAGGGGGTGAGGAGGTATTTATAGCCTCCCAAATCTACTTACAAAGTTTCTACACTCTTCTATAACCTCCTTAGGTCCTAGATATTTCTTCTTCTTCTTCTACAACTTTCTACAAATTATCTTACAAGTTTATCCTAATCTCTAGAACTCTCTAACATAATATCTAGATTTCTTGTCTTACAAGAACTAGAAAGTTCTACATAAATATCTAGAGAGTTATCTAGTAGAATTCTCTAGAAAATTTGAGGAAGTGATGACCTCTTATGATGTTTCTAGAGAGTTCTAGAACTTGGGCCTAATTTTGGGTTTAATAATAATTTGTTTATGGACCCAAAATTAAACCTTGATCAAAATCAAGTTTAATTTCAATACTCCCCCTTAAACTTGATTTTATCAACCATCCCGAGTTTCGAGCGAAGTAACTCGAACTGACCTTTTGGTAGTGACTTGGTGAAGATATCTGCAACATTATCCTCACTTCGAACCTCCAAAGCTTCAATTGTTCCATCAAGCACCTTCTCCCGTATGAAGTGATGTTCCAACTCAATATGCTTCGTCCTTGCATGGAACACCGGATTGTTAGCCAGCTTGATAGCACTTTGGTTATCTCCATATATGGCAACCGGCTTGTTGATTGGCTCAAACAAATCTTCAAGAAGCCTTCGAAGCCAAATACACTCTTGGGCTGCGAGCGTCGAAGCTTTATACTCCGCTTCAGTGGTAGACAGCGACACCGTTGCTTGTTTCTTGCTGCACCATGAAACGCTTGTGTCTCCACACAAGAACACAAAGCCCGAAGTTGATTTTCGACCATCTAGATCTCCACCAAAGTCAGCATCCGTGAAGCCATAGAGAGAGACCTTGGCATTGTACTTGTACATTAGACCCATGCCAAGAGTTGTCTTCACATACTTCAAGATCTTCTTTGCCGCTTCTAGATGTGGCTTCCTTGGTGACTGCATAAACCGACTTACAAGACCAACCGCGAAGGAAATGTCAGGTCTTGTAATGGTTAAGTATAGAAGACTTCCCACAAGAGAACGATAAGGCCGAGGATCGGGTAGCAAGGATCCTTCATCGCGCTTCAGCTTGATGTTCGCATCCATCGGAGTAGTACGTGTCTTTCCTTCGTGTACCCCGAACTTCTCTACAATCCTTCTTGCGTAGCTATGTTGGCCGATGAATATTCCATCCTTCATCCTTTCAACCTCCAAACCAAGAAAGTTGTTCAGCTCACCCAACATCTTCATCTCAAACCTTATCGACATATCCTCTTGCAGACGAGCAATTTCCGCTTCATCATTCCCGGTAATTATCAAGTCATCCACATAAAGAAGGACTACCACGTGGACTCCTCCATTCTTCTTGAAGAACAGACTCGGATCAGAGTTCGACGGAGAGTAACCGCAAAACTGAAGAAACTGAGCAAGCTTTCCATACCAGGCCCTTGGAGCTTGTTTTAACCCATACAAAGCCTTCTTTAGCTTGCAAACATAATCGGGATGCTCTTGTGATATGTAACCAAGTGGTTGCTCCATATAGATTTCTTTATCAAGTTCTCCGTATAGAAAAGCGTTCTTCACATCTAACTGCCATAACTTCCAGCCAAAGCTTGCAGCTAAAGATAAGAGTGTACGTACCGTAGTCATCTTCGCCACTGGACTGAAAGTCTCATCATAGTCTTCTCCATACTTCTGAGAAAATCCCCGAGCAACCAATCTTGCTTTGTGTCTATCAATGTTTCCATCCCTCTTACGCTTGATCCGGTACACCCATTTGCATGAGACGGGTTGGACATCCTTGGGTTTTGGAACCAAATCCCAAGTTTCATTTTTCTTTAGAGCATCCATCTCCTCCTTCATTGCGGTCTCCCACTCTTTAACTCCTTTTGCTTCATCATAAGATGATGGTTCTTCTTCATCAAAAGGAGATGCAAAGTAGCATGAGTAAGTAGTAACAAACCTTTCATCTCTGTACCGAGCAGGTTTAACGATGTCCCGTTTTGGTCGTTGATTAGCCAAGGAACCATGATCTTCCTCCTCCTCTTCCTCTTGGTTAGTGCTCCCCCTTTCACCTTGCATCTCTGGTTCAGAAATTCCACCATCACTTGGTATCTGAGCAGCTGGTTCATCGTCTTTAAGTGAGCCCGCACCATCTTGCTCAACCAAGACTTGAGGAGATCCGTAATATGAAGACACTTCATCAAAGACAACATCACGAGATACAGTGTATCTGTGTGTCTCTGGATCCATACACCTCCACCCCTTCCTTTGTTCATCATAGCCGACAAAGATGCACTTTTTCGCCTTTGCCTCCAGCTTGGTTCTTTGAGAGTCGAACACATGGACATAGCAGATAGATCCAAATATCCTGAGATGTTTCACTGTTGGCTTCTTCCCATGAACCATCTCATAAGGAGACTTCATATTATTTGGACTAAGCGGCATCCGATTGATGACATAGGCTGCACATCTCATCCCTTCTGCCCATAGAGCCTTAGGCAAATTCTTCGCATGTAGCCAGCTTCTACACGTCTCACTTAGATGCCTTATCTTCCTTTCTGCTACTCCATTTTGTTGAGGTGTGTATGGACATGAAAATTCTCTCTTGATACCATGCTTTCGGCAGAAAGAGAGAAACTCGTTTGACATAAACTCCCCTCCATTATCCGTCCTTAAGGTCTTGATTTTCCGACCCAACTCTCCTTCCACGGTAACCTTGAATTCTTGAAACTTGGAGAATACTTCTGACTTTTCCTTCACAAAGTATACCCAGGTGTACCGTGAGTAATCATCAACGAACAACAGCATGTAGCGGAACCCGGAATAGGAGGATGTTCTCGTCGGACCCATCAAATCACTATGGATCCTCTCCAACGGAGCATTGCATCGTGAAGTAGAATTGTCAAATGGAAGTCTATGTGATTTTCCATATTGACAACCTTCACAAAGCTTTCCTTCATCTTGAATCTTCAACTTTGGGAGCCCATTAACCAGATCTTTATTCACCATAGCCTTCAGCTTAGTCATATTTATATGGCCAAGCCTAGCATGCCAAATAAAAGCATTATCATTCGTACTCATCTTCTCAATGTACGAATTTGAGGCCGATAAGACATAAAGATCTTTAACCCGTGCTCCGGTGTGAACTACGTCCGCCTTTAACTCTTGAATATTCTTCAAGAATTTAACGTCTTTTGGTCCAAATAAAACGTAGTTACCTGAGTCCACCGCATTCACCACGGAAAGAAGATTCTTCTTAACTCCAGGGACATGGTATACGTTCTTGAGAGTGATTGGGCCTCCTTCTTCTCCTTCAATAACAATAGTCCCTTCCTTCTCAACCCGGTGGATTGAATTATCCGCAGTGATAATAGCTTCTTTCCCGTCATGACGTTGAAGACTAGAAAATAACTTCTCGTTTCCGGTAATATGATGGCTACAACCCGAATCCACAATCCAATCATTTCCAAGATTTTTAGTTGTGGATGTACCTGAAGATGCAGCCTCCACCGTGAAACATTTCCCCCAATCTTCGTCTTCAGTATGACTTTTTGATTCCGCCATATTGGTTTCCTTCAGCTTGACCCGACAGTCCTTTTTGAAATGCCCAAGCTTTCCACACCGGTAACACTTGAACTGCTTCTTGTCTCCCGTAGAAGATCTTTCCCGTCCATCATTATTCTTTACACCATCATTCTTGGTTTTTCCTTTGTAGCTCTGTTGCCTCCGAGCTACAAAAGCGCTCCCCGAGTCATCATGGATTTTGACTCCCGCCATTTGCGTGGCTAAGGATTCTTGCGAAGCTAGCAGATTTTCAAACTCCTCCAAGGAAGGTTGTGTAGCCCATCCTTGAACGGAAGTCACAAACGGTGTATATTCGGGTCGTAAACCACGAATAATAGACCGCTTTAACCGAGCTTCCGAAATAGACTCCTCCGGATTAAGAGTGTTAATCTCAGAGCAAAGGTTCTTTACCTTGATGAAGAACTCTGAGATTGAAGACTCCCCCTGCTTCGCATTCGCCAACTCGTTCTCTAACAGTTGTAGACGAGCCTCATTCTTCTTGTTGAACAGTTGGTCCAACGCTTGCCAAATGGAACTAGCGGATGTGCACCTTGAGACATGCTCAAATACTCCCGAGGATATTGACCTCTTCAATGCAAACTCCGCCTTGGCATTCTTCCGTGTCCATTCCTTTGTCGCTTCCGCTGTCGCAGCAGCTCCCATTGGTGGTGTGGTGCTACTGCCGCCGACGACATCCCATAAGTCCTCACTCACCAAGTATGACTCCATACATGACTTCCATAACCGGTAGTTAGATTGGTTTAAGATCTCCATTCCCAATCCAACAACACGACCCATTGATTCCATACTTAGAGTAAACCCGAGTTCTCCTAAGTCCCGATCTTGATGAGCACAAGATTAGAATGGCTCTGATACCATGTAGAGAAACCAGCACCGATAGTGCTTAGCACTAGCCCAAGACCGTAATACCCGAGAAACCCGAAAGAAACAATAAACCCTCTAAGTATGAAGAGAAATATGGAAGAACACAAGAGAATACTTGAAAGACTTTTAAGAAGAACAAGAGAGAACTTAGCTTTAGAACACTCTTTATTAACTTGTTCAATTTCTTGTGCATTTACAAATGAGGGGGTGAGGAGGTATTTATAGCCTCCCAAATCTACTTACAAAGTTTCTACACTCTTCTATAACCTCCTTAGGTCCTAGATATTTCTTCTTCTTCTTCTACAACTTTCTACAAATTATCTTACAAGTTTATCCTAATCTCTAGAACTCTCTAACATAATATCTAGATTTCTTGTCTTACAAGAACTAGAAAGTTCTACATAAATATCTAGAGAGTTATCTAGTAGAATTCTCTAGAAAATTTGAGGAAGTGATGACCTCTTATGATGTTTCTAGAGAGTTCTAGAACTTGGGCCTAATTTTGGGTTTAATAATAATTTGTTTATGGACCCAAAATTAAACCTTGATCAAAATCAAGTTTAATTTCAATAATGTATTGTTGAATTTTTATAGTAATTTAATTACAGCTCATATATAGTAAGAAGAAAATAATCTTTGTTGGTAAGAAAACAAAATTATCTTAAAGAATAAGATATGTTTTAACAAAATAAGATATCTTAAAGAATTGTTTGACTGACAAGGATAAGGATGTGATTAACTTCTGAAAATTTAATACATTACTATTGAATTTTACAGTCTTTGACTTGACTTGAAAATTTAAAACATTACTTTATTTTACACATTCAAAAAAAAAAAATGGGGATCACAAGACTAATATTCTCATTAGGCTGGTTTTATTACATACTTAAGATGTTTTTGTGTCCACCAAACAAAATTATTACAGTCATTAGATTTTTTTTATTCTCTAGTTAAATTTTATCTAACTATATAACATATATAAACATATTATTTTTTATGAATGAATCGAATCCTAACCTAACCTGACGACCAAGGAGATCTACTGTGTTGGAAACAGAAAGGAAACTGATCAATGTCAAAGGAAGACATCTTACTTTTATCTGCATCCATGTTCCATACAGAGTCCAATGAGCTTTCCCATGATGGAGAAGCAAGATTTGGGTAACTTAAGCAATAGCTTTGCTCTGTGTAGATGTCTTTAACAGGCTTAACTATGTTTACTTCAGAGTGATCAATCTCTCTCCATATGTCATCCATGGAGTATCCATCTTCTTCGGTTTCTTGATTCATCTCCTCTTCAGTGCATCCTCCGGTGTCGTAAAAGCTCACTTTCTTGGAAGATTTCCTCGAATGAAACGATACGTCTTGAGTACTGGTAGTGGTCATAGACGAAGAGCAGCAGTTAGAAAATGAGGAACTTGGTGACCTAGGACGCTTCTTTTCTTGAGCCTTCTTCCTCATATGTGTCCTCCAGTAATTCTTGATCTCGTTATCTGTTCGTCCAGGTAATTTCCGAGCTATTTTTGACCACCTGCACATATATATTGATATTACAAAGATGTGAGAATGTTGTTGTAAGTTGTAACCATCTTTTTCTTCGTTTCTTAGATGGATCAGACCTGTTTCCCCATTTTGCGTGGAGCTCAAGGACGAGACGCTCTTCTTGTGGAGTCATCTTGCCATGTTTGAGACCAGGATGAAGGTAATTAACCCATCTTAGTCTGCAACTCTTTCCTGTTCTGTTCAAACCTACAACCAAAACTAGCTCATTAATGAAGACGATCCTTACCTATTCTTATCTTTCTCCCTCCACCTTCAAACCTGATACTTTTGCTATAAAATCCCATCTTCGATCTCCAAATAAGTGAACAAAATTTACCAGAAGTATGTCTTCTTGTTCTGTCCATGGACCCTTTCTGTTTTCTTCATGCATCATTTTTCTTATCTCTTATCTTCTTTCTCTCGATCTCTCTTTTTCTCTCTTATCTTTTCTCTCTTTAGTTACTAAAAAAGTTCTTTCTCAGCTTGGTTCACCATGACATCCTCTGGTCACTATATATATAAGCTAAATTTTGAGCACTGTGTGTGGTGTCTACGCGATATCACACTCATAATATTTAAAAAATCGTAAATGATTTTTTCCCTCTTTTCTTTTCTAAACTGTACTGTCCATGTATATGTTTGTGGGATTATCCTATTGATAATGTAGGGTCTCTTTCTTGTGATGTCACAAGGCCATTATATAAAAAAAAATGATCGTTAAGAAGGGTACGGTTTGGTATTACTGATGTAACACTCCCATTAAGTCTGCATTTTTTAATCTTTTGTGCCGTGAGTGTGTGTGTGATAATAAGAACTCTTTCTTATATTTTTTGGGCACTATCTCGAGTGTGGATATCAACAGCATCATAAATTAAAGTCCAAAATAAAAGAAGCTATGTTCATCTATAGTTTCTTTCTTATATTTTTTGTCAGGCACTATCTCGAATCGAATGTGGATATCAACAACAACATAAATTAAAGCCCAAAAATAAAAGTAGGCATCTATAGTTTCTTGTTACCTAGACCAGAAAAAAACTCTTAATATAAATTTGTTACAAAATTTGAAAAAAAAAAATTGGAGAGACCCTAGATCTTTCTTTGCCTTTTCGTGGGGATATGAGTATTGTGTCTCTTGGCTTTATTAAGGGTTATATTGTAGAAACTGTTTAAGCTTGTAAAAGGGAAAAGAGAGAAGAAGAAACAGCCAAAAACTTGAAAACCCTTTGAAATATAAACTAGGGTTTGACCCGCGCCCTGCACGGGGTGATGGTTTCTGAATTTATATTTTAATTAAAAGATGTTTTTTTTGGTAATTTATTAAAAGATGTCTATTTAAATATCCCAAAATTTTATGTGACGGGTTTTTAATCTTTGTTAGATTATTGCCCTCGTTTATTCGTTTATAATATGAAAATTAAGCATTTTAAACTATTTTTTAAAAAGGTAAATATATTAAAGTCTTGAACGTAGCCATATATTAAATATGATAGATTTAAGCAAGATACATGAAATTCAAATGACTGCAGTATAATAAGTTAGTTTAAAGAACAAAAAAGTGAAAATAAAACATTATTCTTTACAAAAATGTATACTATATTTCATAAGATAAGAAGTCTTAGCTGTGTGCACACAGATTATAATTATTATTATTTTCTTTCTTTTAAAACTAAAACACGGATTAAAATCAATTTTTTTTTCTTTTTTTCAAAACTAAAACATGGATTAGAACTATTTTTTTTTCTTTCAAAACTAAAACATGCTTTATTATAATTTCAAAACAAATCAACCAATAAGAAGACAATCTGCATGATCTAAATTGTTAAAATAACAAAAATATAATTAACTTTATATTGAAAGTTGAAATAGATGGAATAATTGTTACACTAAATGAGGTTATATACTAAACAATTTACATTATTTTGTTTTAAAAAATTCAAATCATAGCATATACAGAAAAAAAATTAGATTTTCTTTATTAGTTTTTTTATATTGTGATTCATATTATTTCATAAAATAAAGTTGAACAAAGATGATAGGGGATATATAATGATTTTTAAAAAAATATTATGATAGAATTCAATTGAATTTCATAACTTCCTTATTTACTTATTTTCGTAATTGTCAATTAAGGAAATAAAATAATAATAAATGGATGGTAAGCATAATATGCAATGGCACAATTTGTAATTTCTCTAGTAAAGCTTGTCTTAATTAGAAATTAGGTGAGAGTGAACCTGGTGATGACACATCAGCAATGGCACTCTTGTTAATAACACAATGGACAAATGTTATTTAGTTAGTGTTTTCTCTTTTAATATATTAGGGATAGTTGAATTGTTATGGTAGTCTGATAAGTGAGTTTTTTGTATCTAGTAGCAGCACCTGATGATATTAGATACTAGATATTATTCGACTAAGATCTTGAGCTTGTGGCTTGTGGTTTTTCCAAACACACAGCCACAGAGGCAAACATGGCTTTTAATTACATGACATAATAAGTTAATAAATTTGTTCCTTCATTTTCTATGTTCTTTTTTATATTTAGGGCCTTTGGTTCATACATGGGTAAACAAAACATGTATAAGAGGTGACTGATGTACCGACGTAACATACCCATTCGTTTTGTCTTTGTTTTTTGGTGGGTGTGTGTGGTAATAAGAACTCTTTCTTATATGCAAGTGCACTATCTCGTATGTCAATGTCAATAGTTCAATCCAAAAACAAAACAAAACAAAACAAAAGTATGTTTTACTATATACATTCCCTGTTTATTAAGCTAGAGAAAAGAGTACAGTTAGAAAGGAATCTAGTGAGGCCCTTGATTGTGAGATATGAGAGCAGTGTCTCCTTTGACTTATTCAAGTTGATTTCAAATCTAACATAAATTTATTTTTTAGATTTCTACTGTTGAAGCTTATACCAGAGAAAAATATAAGGAAAATAAATTCTGACCAGCCTGTTTCTGTTATTAAACAAAGAAATTGAATTGCTATGGGAGCACAAACAAAGTACATTTTCTAAATAAAATTGATTCATCTTACTGATATGCAGCAGAGCACAAACAAATATATTTATTTTATGAACTAAAGATGAATCAGTTTTATTTAGAAAATGTACTTTGCACTGTAGGTTTTTAATTGGCAATTCGTTCTTTCATTTTCTTTTCCTTGGCTATGTTTTTTTTTTTTTGATAACTTTTTTCTTGGCTATGTTACTTAGAAAATTTCAATAATATTCTACACAACCTCTGCATGCGTTTGTAGGGGTACTCATATACTATTTTCTTTATTGCAAATGGAATAACGTTTACAGTTAGCAAATGCCCAAATGCTTGATGTTATATACTGATCTAAACTACTAGTACGGGTACTCATATAATATACATAAATATAACCGTAAACTCAATTGACACTTCAGTATCAACTTTTCATATGTATTTTCCATAATGGATCATGTGGTTCTGCTTTTTAAATGGTAGATTAGATTCGGGTCTAGTAGTTTATAATTTTGCGTGTTCCTTTGGGATTCCTAAATCGTCTTTTGTCCAATAGTTCTTACACACGAAAGAAATTATGCTACACAACACCACACTATGAAACCTATTTGAGGTGAGACATGCTTATTAGTTGGATTTGACCACTTAATGAAGTGGTAAACAGAGGCAATCACACCAATACATTTGGAAGAATATGATTAGCACATGATTAAGAAAGGAATATTTCTAATAATTATTCTCTTTTGTTAGTTGGGTTTGGTCATCTTGTCTAACTATTTCTCCTATGTTTTAGAAGCATAATGAGGATCTACTTATGTAAATGCGCAGGATTTTATACTTAAAAGGAGCAAGAGAAAAACAAAACTAGCGGAGAGGATTCAAAATTGATCACATAATGGAGCCTAATATACAAATAAAAATGTGAGATTGAGGGACGTGGACGTCACGAACACACTTCTCTATGGCCCACCCCCACTCATCCTCCTCCTTGGCTCGTGATTCACACACGCAACGCTATTTAAATGATAGGTCTTCTGGTTCCACTTCTCTTCTTCGATTATAGTTTTTGTTCTAGTTGCTAAATCTTCTTTTTTGGTTAATGAGATTGTTATAGTTGCTAATATAACTGAAGGTAACGCAAAATATGTGAAATGGGTCCCAAAAAAAGTTTCAGTCGACGTTGAAAAAAATTGTGTCATTTAGATAGACTTTTTCATTTTACATATCTAATGTGAAATGATTTTTGTTTTGATTTCAAATGGGTTATGAAATAACCCTCGTTTCTAAGAATACATGCGAGTAGTACGTGTCCCTTGACTTTAATCCAACTTCTTTAATTTCTATTGCTGCAATCATTTTCTTGTGATCTAATTCTAATATGGCTTAAGAGTATTTCTTAAAGCTGTCCGTACATACGCACGTATAGATACATGCTTTGGTTGCATATACTTGCCGACTTGCGTTTTTATTCACTCTTCAATCTTCATGTCACATGATATATTAGTAAATATTCTATACATGATGTGTGTGTGTGTGTGTGTGTGTGTGTGTGTGAGATATGTTAAGCTAATATATACTTCATCATTTCTTTTTTTACAAAGTTTGAGTAAATGTAAAAGAATAAGGCGTAGTTGTCAAAGAGGAAGAGGATCGATGGTATGGATATTCTTATGAACATGAGCACGCCCTAAAGGTATAAAGCCCACATCCACATCAAATATTACGTATGCAATGATATGTGATCCCCCCCCCCCTAGCCAGATGGAATATTAATCTACTATTAATCAGATTACATTATATAAAGTCATATTAATATTGCAGAAAGCAAAAAATTACTTAATAATATCCGTCGACTATTTAGGTTAGATAAGCGATGATATTATTTATTCTTTTTTTGTTAAAGTTATTATGTATTCTTAACCGAATTCCCTTTGTCTAACTTTTTATAGAATCTGCAAGCGAATTTGTATGAATTGAGGATTTTATTTTATGTCAATTCGTACTGATCGAGCCATCGAGGTAGTGGTAGCTGCCAAAACAAAACAAAGAAACAAAGCATTAGATCCATAGACCATATTCTATGGAAAATGGAATCGGTGCCTTTAGAATTCCTAAATTCATACTTCGTGCAAAAGAGTTAACTCTTGTCTTAAGCAAGAGAAAATTCTTGCATCTTTGTGCCTTTGACATTTGGATTATTCTTCTCTTGCGAATTTAGACAAATTGCTACAATCGTCACTTTTCCTTATTGTGGAACAAGTTCGTATGGACAAACTCTATCTTACACTAATAATTATTCCATTAAGAAGCAAATAAAAAAGTGTTGTCCAATTAAGCAATCACTAGCTTTTTGTCATCGGGTGGAGATAAGGATTTCATCAGCCAAAATGTACAGCCGTATACATAAAAGAAAACATTTCAATTTACGACAAGTCTTTTTCTTAATTACTTTTAATATCGATTCGAACAAGTATGCAACTTTTGCTATTTAATTACTTCAGATATGCAACTTTATATACATGGGTAACGTTTCATACGATATGTATTAATCAATTCATGTTTTTAGTCATTTTTGTAACCATATCCTAGGCATATTCTGATTGATGACGGTGTGAGTTCACTAAGGGCTTGAATTAGTTGCTTAAAGAATGTTTATATCAAATCAACCTCTGCTATGATTGTTTCTAGCTATTTTTTTGTTCTTTCTTATACAAATGTTTCTTGCAACAAGAGCCTACTGAAATTGTATAAAACCAGATATTGTATAATATTTTAAGATAATGTTACAAATTAAATATGGCCCAATGATTTCTATGTTACTTTATAAGACACTCATTAGCGAATGGGCTAATACGGCCCAACAACCCACTTAACATCCTAAACCCTTCTTAGGAACGATTTTTTGTTTCAAGGAAAAAATAAAACTAAAAGAATGTCAAATTTATATTTTTATAAGTGGTCTCTCAATCTTTATATGCAGTAATAATCTCACATCATTATTTATCACAACCTTGCTGATGGATTCTCCTCTACCAATTTGAATTAGGTCTACATATCCTCTTTATTTGAAGTTGGGTACTTGGGTATACTGTAATAAGACACTTACGATTCCTAAATATTATCTTGAAGTTTTACAATCTTTAATAGAACCAGTCATTCATATGATCGTCATTCGTCAAACTATATATAGACCAATCATTCAAATGATGTTTTCTCTATAATATTGTTTACATGATTATCTAGTGGGAGATGAAGATGAGAGATAAAAATGTTGTGGATCAAAAGTTCTGAAGAGATATGCGAGTGTGTGTGCTAAGAAGGAACCGCGTGAAATTGTATAAAAATTCAAAAATGTCACTCTCTTCTTTTCTCTTATTTTCTTCTGTTTTGCATCCAATTGTTTCTCTCTAGTTTCCGTACAAACCACCATTTTCACATTTCAGAATTATTCCCAAGAACGCTTCTCGGTGGCGCGTGCGAGCTACACACCTCTTCTAATCGCTATTAGTTAGTCTATATAATCGATCATGTCTCACGCACGTAGAGATTCATTTATTATGAATATTATAATTAAGGTGCATGTTAGTCGAAGATATGCTCGCGACTAGAAAGATGATGGATATATTGTATGAAGTTTACATGTCGAAGAAAAAAGGGGTACGAAGTTTAAAACAACCAAACAACTTAGGATTATGGTATCCAGACAAATCTTGAAGATAAATATGGATTATATGTAGCTAGTGATTGATATTATTATTTTTTGGTACTAAAGTGATTGATATTTACTAGTAATTCATGTAATTTTGTACTAATCAGGTATGAACTTTCGATGTAAATAACAAATGAATAAAAGAGGAGTATGTGAGTAGTTAGTTATAAAGATAAAAAAAAAAAAAAAAAATTGAATATCCACCAACCAAGAAAGTTGATGTATGTAGACTGGTTATGGATAAGTTACCAAGTAGATGTTAACCAAAAATTTAATAGGAAATCTAGAAGGCGGCTTATGAGTTATATGAATGCACGAACCAGAGAAGAGCGCGTGGCCTGATTTCATATAATTAATTAAAATATTATTTTCTTATATTCAGAAATTGTATTTTGGAAAAAGAAATCACCAAGAATATTCCTCTTTTCTTAGCTTTAACTAACGACTGATTTCCTTTTTTTCCGAGTCTCCTTACGCGTCACCGTGATTTCCTTTTTCTTTCCTCCTCATATTCATCACTTAATTACAAGAAGGCCACTTTCACTTGCTTACGCAGCAAGCCACCGTGGGTATTTTCGTAATTTCATACGTACTTACTCACTCACAACCTCCTCCGAGTTATCCTTATAACTACTAACCTAAATTCCTCACAATTCACAAACAGGAACAAGAATTCACAACTCTCCGACTGTAGAGAAAACAAGAAACACTAAAACCCTAGAAGTTTTAGACACTCGAGAATACTCACCAACCATGGTTGCGAAAAGCAAGAATCTTGATCAGACGTCGGTGGTGGACGATACGGCGGCGAATTGTCTAATGCTGTTATCGAGAGTTGGGCTAGGAGGCGGCGGTGGAGAAGGAGGAGAGAGTCACGAGAGCCGAGTTTACAGATGCAAGACTTGTATGAAAGAGTTCTCGTCGTTCCAAGCTTTAGGAGGCCATCGTGCGAGTCACACGAAACCTAGTAACAACAACAGCAGCGGCGACGATAAGTCGTCGTCGTCGTCGATTTCTTCGTCGGGGTCCGTTACTAAGAAGGCGAAAACGCCGACGCCTCATCTTTGTCCGATATGTGGTTTGGATTTTCCGATAGGACAGGCTCTTGGTGGCCACATGAGGAAGCACAGGAACGAGAAAGTCTCAGGCGAGTTGGTTACACGCTCTTTGTTTCCGGTGGAGACGACCACGACGATGGTGTCGACCTTGAAGAAATCGAGTAGCGGGAAGAGAGTGGCGTGTTTGGATCCTGTGTTAGATTCTAAGGAGACTCTGAATCTGAACTTGGAGCTTGGGATGTCGATTTGCTGATTTTCTTCTTCTTCATGTCTTCTTGAAAAATACTGTTCCTATCCGTTGGGAAAGTTTAGGGTTATAGATTTAGTACCTTGCATAAAGCTCCATATCATGTCATAGTTTTTGTCGATCGATTCATCTTTAAGCGATCGATGTGGATATATTTTGATATAGTATTCGAGATTTCTTTTGTCATCATCTACTCAGAATTTTCGATTTTTCCATAAAGATTTGAATGTTAAGCTATGAATGGTTTAACTGATGTTGAAACCAAGTTATAAGTGTGGTTACTGTTGTGCAAACTCAAATATGATCATGATCATTGGACCGAAGAAGCTAACACAAATTTCATCTTCAATTTATCACTAAATCAAATCATTATCATATTTCTGTATTCTTGCTAAATCAAAGAATCTTCAGCTTTAAATAACGATTATTTTCATGTCTGTGTTTATAAGTAAAAAACTCTTAAGAGTTATAACTTGCAAGTAATATAAAAGACTAAAAAACGAAAGATCAAGTAAGAGAAACAGAAGAATAGAGGATATATGACCAACATAACAATTCAGTCACCATTAAAGAAAAAATCAGCAACAGAGAAAAGAAAGAAAGAAAAAAAAATACAAAGTTTCGATTAAACCTTCGTACAAATAGAAAAGGCAATTTAGAACGAATCAGAGAAAAAGTTGGAATATAACAAAAAAATTACAGAAGCACGTCACGACATCTTAGTTTTTTTTTTTTTGTTCACTTCACTTCCAAACATTTCTTTTGACTTAAAACTTTGCTTTGTTTTTAACTTCCACAGCATGCAGACTTCTGTGTGGCCTGCCCGGCACCAGCTGCCTGGTCCGTTTGGCTTATCTTGATCGTCGCAGGCTGCAATTTTGATAACAACACACGAATTAAACAAGGCAGAGATGTCAAAAAGAGAGGATATAGAGGAAGATGCAACGCAACGAACCTCTGCCCTCGAGTCAGTATCGGAAAGCCTCTGCTTAATGTCCCTACCGATTGAGAAGAAAACCTCTTCAACGTTTAGGTTGGTCTTAGCACTCTGCAGCAAGACACATATAGATATATAGCTACGTAAGCAATGCGTAACACGACCCATCTAAGTTTATGTGTTCTCTTGAAATTGAAAGATTGAGAGAATTGTCAGACTTACTGTTTCGAAGAACTTAATTCCGTACTCATCAGCAAGAGCCTGACCCTTTGCTGTAGGCACTGCCTGGAAATTGTAACATGAACAAGAAACTATTATTATTTGGATCAAGGATCAGTCACGAATCACGAAATGGGATGAAGTCGGTGTGATTCATACCCTCTTGCTCTCGTCCATGTCAGCCTTGTTCCCTACCAAGATCTTGTTAACATTATCCGAAGCATGCTGTTCGATGTTACGAATCCAGTTCCTAATGTCTGCAATAACGTCAAGAATCTTGTGTTTGAGAGAAATGATCATTTGGGTTACAGAAACCCGAAAGTGAAAGGCTTACTGTTGAAGGACGACTCGTCTGTGACATCATACACCAGCAAAATGCCCATTGCTCCACGATAATAAGCTGTCAAAATGCACAGAAAACAGTGGAGGTGAGCAGAAAATCTTCAAACGGGTGTTGAAACAAAGGAAGAGATCAAATATAAAAGTGCCAACATAGCTTTAACAACATCAACCATACAAGACTTCACAAACAAAGCAACTCAGAGTCAAGTGGCATTGCAAAAGTGCATTCCCTTTACCAGAGATCATAGCACCTATAAAGACTTGTTATAGGTGTTTATCAACAGTCTCCACGAGAATCTATATCTATTGTGATCTGTACTCTGATGGTAAAAGCAGCATCTACTCTTAAGTACTGATCCATCAAGCAAATTTATAAGAAAAGATGAACTCACCAGTGGTGATTGTTCGAAACCGTTCTTGACCAGCAGTGTCCCAAATCTGGAGCTTGATACGTTTGCCATCAAGCTCAATCGTTCTTATCTTAAAGTCAATACTACATCAAGGAAATAAAAGAGAACAAGAGTCTATGAGACTTCTAGGGGAAAAATCAAACATACATCACTACTGGGATTTCAATTTCAGCAACACAAACCCAATGGTGGTGATGAAGCTAGTGGTGAAGGATCCATCAGAGAAACGTAGAAGGAGACAACTTTTACCGACACCTGCAAAAAATTAAGAATCGTAAAATTTCAGAGATCTCTAAACACAATCAGGAGCGATCACGGATAATAAGAAATCTGTATTGCTAGGTCCACACACAGCGATCTCAAGCAACATCACAGTGAATAGATCGATTCAATAGAAAACGAATTGATTCAGCACATTCAAAGGATCCATAGAAATTTTATAAATCTAGAGAAAATCGAGCATCGAGGAGGTTTACAGATCACATACCGCTATCTCCAATGAGAAGAAGCTTTATGAGATAATCGTAATCGGCTCTGGCCCTAGCAGGTGGAGCAGCCATCGAATCTAAAAGGAGAAAAAGCTCAGAGATCAAACCATATATCTTTGTTTCATCGAAAAATCTAACAGATCAAAAAACGAAATCGGTCGAGAAGATGACGAAAAAAACATGTACCGGATGAAAGGAAACAGCAGAGAAGGAGCCGATGTAATCGGAGAGGAGCGAGACGACCGAAGGATATGGCGGACGGCTAAAATGCGCCAGTCCCGATTTAGCTTCCTCTCCTTGTGATTTTCCCCGCTTCTTCTTATTCACTTTTCTCTTCTATGCTCTGCTTCGCGTGCACGATAGGATTCACCGCGCACGATAGCACTAGTAGTAGAACCGATGAGGAAGGAAGAAGTGCACAGGAAGAGAGAGAAGGATTCTTCTTCTTTTGGAAGGCCTAAAATGCACGAAGCCTTATGGGCCTTTTTTAATTACTTCAAAATTAAAATCCAAAATAGCTGGCTACACCAACTTGGTTTGGTTCATCTCAATGCATGATGCCATCCCTGAGATGCCACGGTGTCATTCTATCTGTGGATAGCCATTTAGGGTGATGAGCTGGCATCCCAGTATCATCTCTCAATTGTGTGAACTTGGATTGGAAAGTTGTTAAAATACTAGTGGCTAAAACCGTCATAATTATATAACGAAAATGGAGATAGAGACAAAAGGAAAATCTGTCAAAAGTCGATCTAAATGAACGTTTACACGAGTTATACGTTGTAAATTTCATAATTCATATACCCCGTTAGAATCTTAAAGCAGTGTGTGTAATGTTATCATTGACAATTTTTTGTCGCGACTTTGAAGTTTCCGAAGAATAGTCAATTTTCATAAGCTGTTTACTTCAGGAGTCCCATAGCAAACGTAGCAAATAAAAACGTAGAAATCTCTTGATTCTAGATCCTAAAGGAAATGTCGACAACCTATTCTGAATGGTAACGACCAAAAGTCGCAAAAGATTGTCATTAGATGAGAACTTCACAAGTAATAAACTTCAAAATATATATTGATTGACGAGAGACGATTCAAACAAAGAAGAAGTGCACGACTCAAAATCAGAATGACACATCAATAGATAAAGCTAAAAGATAGATTTGCATCATGACTCGCGCAAAAGTTTAACAAGCTCAAAAAAAACTGAAATAAATGTCTAGTCGAGTCTTTTAAGCAGATGAGTAACCACATAAAGAACAACTGACGAGTCAAAAAAGAAAGAAGAAAAAAGAGCTACTACTTTAAAAGTGAGGTAAATCGAATTTCTCACTGCCTCTACATAAACAGAATCGAGATACAGCCCGATAAGACGAATCTCGTCAATCTTCATCAGTAAAAGAAGCCAAGAACCTTGCCTCCGACATTCTTTCTTCTGGCTTCTTCGTGATCCATGATTCCCGCAGAAGTTGTCAGAACAATGTAACCAAACTGCACCAAGAGATATGTGTTTAATGAACTTGTAACATTGCAAGATAAAGGAAGACTATGTTAATCAAAGAGTAATGACACTTAACATTCGATCAAACACTAACAGGAACAGCAAAATGAGCCATCAAATCCAATAAAGTACACATTCTATTGGCTAAATAAAAGGGTTTTAATTTTACTCAATGTGAGATCTTTTCATCCACTCTGAAGAAACAAAGAATACTTGCAAGATTAAGCAGAGAAATGATAATTGGGTTTTGATATCTGCCTGCAACGGAACAAGAACAGCATTGATCTTGCTGCTCTGATCTCTCAAAGGCATTTTGATACAAGTATATATTTGTAGTAGTTTTTGGTCGACTCTTATGATCTAAGAAAATGTATGATGAGTATATCAGATTAAGATTGACCACAAAAGAATAGAGAGTCAAGGCAAAGATTTAGTCTTAAACGAACCTGTCTGGAAGGAAGTAGACGAGCGGTCCAACTCTCAATCTCCTTAACACCAACATCGAAACGAGGACTGATGACACCACACTTGTTAAGCCTTCCGTTTAGCTCAACAACGATCTTGCCAGACCTGTGGTCATCAACGTACTCAAACTCGCCAATGTAACCTAAAAATCAATGACATACAAGAGTGGAGCAATCGTCATTACAATTGAAGTTACACAGGAAACAAAAAGAAGTAAGGAAATAGAGTCAAGCTATCACTGCAAATCAAACCATACCGTGCTTTTGCATGACGATCAGGAACTTGATGATGACTTTCGAGGAAGGCCTAATCATAACCTGCCTCTTTCCCCTCTTCTCTGCATTGTACATGCTCTTAAGAGCGTCATTGAGGACACTGATTCTCACCATTCTTCAAAATTTCAAATCTGCAAACCAACAAACAACAAAATCTGAGCTTCCTTGAATCTTAGGTAGTATAATGATATAAACACCAGTAGCATCAAAATACACATACGAAGATGACCTAAAATGCAACATAATTGAACCCAAACAACATCGAAACAAGCCATTAACAAAAGAATCCAAAACAACATCTAACAGCTCAAGTCGCATTTTGATTACAGAGCAATACTAAATCAAATCCCAGAATGAAAATAAGCTAGGCGCTAAAGCTTGGACGTAGATTCTCCCGTAGAATCATCAAATCAGGAAAATGAACTCCGCATAACGATACCAAATTCTAACAAGCGATAAAGCCAGATCATAGAAATCGAGTTTCGGAATTCCGGAGATTTTCTGACCTGAAAATGAAGTAGCAGCCGCTGTGACCTCACTCTCTCGATTGCCCTGAAGCACAGATAAACACAAGAGCTTGAAGGCGGAGCTCAATTAGGGTTTTTGCTTTTATCGCTTCACTTGCCCAAAAACTATTACTATTACTTAGATGGGTTTAATTGAATCAGGCCCATACTACATATATTATTTGGCCCATTTAGCGCCCGTTATAGATAAGCCTTGTTTAGTGCAATCTAACCGTCCCGATTAAAAAGTAAACTCTTTTGAAGAGAATCTTTGCCGTTCACTGGATCGAGGATTTAGTATAATCTAACGGTGGGTAAAGCTTTCCACGTCATCAATCCTCGTAAAGCAAGAACTGGCCAATAGATATCTATCTCCTCGTCATATATATATATTTCAGTTCCAGAATACGAAGAAGCACGCACATCTTACGTTTACCAAATTCACTTGTTCCCCACGATTTGATTTCTCTGAAAATTTCTCGATTCCGTTTTTTACTTTGTGAGAATGGCACCCAAGGGAGAGAAGAAGCCGGCTGAGAAGAAACCGGTGGAGGAAAAGAAGGCCGAGAAAGCTCCGGCGGAGAAGAAACCAAAGGCCGGGAAGAAGTTGCCGAAGGAAGCCGGTGCAGGCGTCGAGAAGAAGAAGAAGATGAAGAAGAAGAGCACTGAGACGTACAAGATCTACATCTTCAAGGTGCTTAAGCAGGTTCATCCCGATATCGGAATCTCCGGGAAAGCCATGGGAATCATGAACAGCTTCATCAACGATATCTTCGAGAAACTCGCTACGGAATCGTCGAAACTCGCTAGGTACAATAAGAAGCCCACGATCACTTCCCGGGAGATTCAGACTGCCGTCAGACTCGTTCTTCCCGGAGAGCTCGCGAAACACGCCGTCTCCGAAGGTACCAAGGCCGTCACGAAGTTCACCAGTGCGTGAATTGCTTTCTCGTTGAGTCGATAATTGGGGAAAGGTGATACAAAATTAGGGTTTTAGATTTGATGGGCTATTATGATTAGAGTTGCTGGAATTCGATTTCTGTTTCCTTCTTTTTTCGTTTTTTTTTTCGTTATTGCGATGTAATCTATCAGAAACAATATCTCTATGAAATCAATGAAAGACAAATCTTCGTTTTGCTGATCTATCGACTCAATCAAATCTCTTCTCTTTCACACTTCCTGCAAAAGGTCACCCCGATTATCCAATTTAGTTTCTCGCTTTTGTAAACGCCGTCGTTTAACTAGACATCGCTTTTTTCTCAAACACGTTGTCGTTTTTGCTCGGCGGTTTAAAACCTACAAAACTTTCGCATTTGTTTCTTCAGCCTTTTTTGTTCCTGAATCAAAATGGCTAAGAGATTCGCAACTCAACTCTTCGTAAGCCGTAAGATAATCATATCTCATGATCTCTGATTAATTAGATTCGTTCTCCGTTTATCGGTTCCGTTTCTCAGATTATTCTTGTGCAGGGTTATCTGCGTACACCACAGATCGATCACTGAGGCAGCTTTTCTCTCCTTTTGGTCAAATTAAAGATGGTACTGACACGAAATCGAATGTGGTCGAGTTTTCTATTATTTTTTTCTTGTTCCTGATCTAATTTGTGTTGTGGGTTAATTAGCTCGGCTTATTAGAGATCCAGAAACGCAGAGACCCAAAGGATTCGGCTTCGTCACTTACGAGTCTGAAGATGATGCCCGAAAGGCAATCAAAAGCCTTGATGGGAAGGTGAGAAAATCCAGCTCAATATCTCCATTAACATTTGTCATTTCTTCATATGTTGATATTAACTTTGCTTTTGTACTTATCAATTGCTTAATGCCTTCTTCTGTAGTCCAATGGATATAGAGTCTTTTGTGACAAGTTTTGTAGGGCTCTATATCCATTGTACTACAATTCACTGTAAAATTCCCGATTAGGATATGAAGATATATCGATTTTGTATCTTTCTGTGTGCTTAGTATAACGTGATTGATTTTCTTCAGGAATGTGCCGACTTTTTGTCTTTGGTTCTGTTTCTAATTTGGTTTCAGATTGTAGATGGTAGACTAATATTTGTTGAAGTTGCCAAGAACGTAGAGGACGAGACAACGAATATGAACACTGAGAAAGCTCAAAATCACGAGTAATGTTAGTCATGTAGACTTCTTTACAGGTTGTATGTAAAGATCATCACTTCTTTTATGACATTGTTGTAGAAGAACCTTTGATCCTTCATACCAAAAAAAAAAAACCTTTGATCCTTCAAACCAGGCGATCTTCTTTAACCGTTATGGGCCTAATATGTTCAATATGAATATTGGGCCTGGTAGAGGTAAAGGGTTTCAACTTTAAGTTGGGCGAGGCTAGTGTCACATGCTGGTAGGAAACCTGTCGCACAAAGCGAAGTCAGCGTCCAAGTATTAAATTGCCTAAAGCTCCACGTGGCTACGATTAATTGGAAGTAACCAGCTCGTCACCGCTGGTTCCCATCACCGCTATAATGAAAGTTGAGCGGCAAGTGGAGCCGCCAACCGAGAGAGAGGTGCCGAAAGAGCCATATAAGTCGTGATGGACCTTTCATTTGAAATCCGAATTATTATTTTTCTTTTTCAAAAGACGCAAGATATTCGATGCCAAGAAAATGTACAAGTCTTTACCTCTAAAATCTATCTGGGACCAGTGTTTTTCTGAATATGAAATCTTTGAAATATATAAGAACTTTTGTAGATCTATCACCAAGAAAGCAACCGAGTAAAGAAATAATTTTGAACGATACATGTTGTAGGAAGTTAGTTTGACATTCATCTATTATAAAATTGGAAAAACAACCTTGTTAGACTGGTAGATTCATGTTCCAAAATTATAAAGAATGTCCATGTTCTTCAAATAATTTAAGACAACCACCACTTTAGTAAACTCCATCCATACTCATGGCCAAACGATTTTATAATCGATCACAAGTACTGTTGACAAAAAAGAAAGGATCACATGTATACCAAATGTATAACTAACTGTATAGATTTTAAAAGTCTAAAGCTATTATCTTTTTACAACTCAAGGAATAGTGATGTTTTCTTTGCAAGAAATTGTATGTTCCCGAGTGAATTTATGTTTCAACTAAGCATACATTCGAACATTTTTATAACCAATCGTTTATTTTTCCTTTGAAAATGTGTACATCTCCTTATTTTATTCATGGAAAGTATAAGAAATTATCGGAATATTTATTTAGATATTTAGCTTACGAAAATAAATATTTGAACACCTACAGAAAATAAATAAATACTTAAACAAAATAGACAGACCTACAGAGAAAATGACTGACTTAAAAAAAAAAAAAAATCTTATATAATATGGTAAGCTATGTATTGTATGGACTTCCGAATAAAACTGGAGAAAGGGAAAATAAATTGAGAAGAACAGAAAAGAAAAAAGAGTGACCGTATTCTCCGTCGATTGTAGCCGCCCGAAGAATCTAATTCTTCTCTCCTTTCGTTGAAGCACGAATTTGCTCTGATATCAGTCTTCTCGCAGCAATGGTGAGCTCAATTTTCCACTTAATTTTACCTTTAACTCCTTGATCTCGAGTTCGCCTCCGGATTTGGTTTGCAACGCGTTTCGTTTCGTCTCGGATTTCCGATTACGTTTTTCGCTCTTTGTGCTTTCGTTAGATCTGTAGATGGACTTATTATTTGATTCAGATCTCTGTGATTTGGTGTCTGTGTGATCGCTGTGTAACTGATCTAGAATCAAAGCGGCGCGAGAATTTCTCTGTTAAGGTTTGCTGCGTTTTTTTTTTCGATTGCGAATTTGCGATAGCTCAAATTGCAATCGGAAGAAATTTAGGCGCTTCTTCTTGTTGAACATTTTTCATATCTATCAATTTCAGTGATATTCGTTTGTTCGTATCCATCTATTTCTCGTGTGTTGAACTCGCCATTTCTCAGTTTCCCTGATCACTCTCGCTCAAATGATTTAATCGATCGTTTGTTTGTCATGCATTTTCATGTTGCTCTGCAATTATTTGTCAGTTTCATGCAATTGATAACCACAAAATCTCTTAGGTTAATGCACAGTCTAATCATAGTTTATAACAGAGGTTTGAGAATAATAATGCCATTTCCGAGAAATGAATGATATATAGACTTTTTGGATTGTTCTTTTGGTAAGAAATCATCCTCATCCTCATGATCTTTGGTGTAACAGGCAAACGCGGCATCAGGAATGGCTGTGCATGATGACTGCAAGCTAAGGTTTCTGGAACTGAAGGCGAAGAGGACTCACCGTTTCATCGTTTACAAGATCGAGGAGAAGCAAAAGCAAGTGGTCGTAGAGAAAGTCGGCGAGCCTGTCCAGACCTATGAGGAGTTTGCAGCGAGCCTTCCAGCTGATGAGTGCCGTTACGCCATTTACGATTTCGACTTCGTCACTGCTGAGAACTGCCAGAAGAGCAAGATCTTTTTCATCGCCTGGTAGATAGATATAATCACATAAAGCTTGTATAAACTCTGATTCTTTGTCATATTTACGTGATGCGAATTCTGTTGTTTTGTTCGAAGGTGCCCTGACATAGCTAAGGTGAGAAGCAAGATAATCTACGCGAGCTCCAAGGACAGGTTCAAGAGGGAGCTAGACGGGATTCAAGTAGAGCTTCAAGCAACCGATCCAACGGAGATGGATCTCGATGTTTTCAGAAGCCGAACCAACTGAGAGTAAACACCAAAGTTTCTCTCCCCCTTGAATGATTCTATTCTCTTCTTATATGAAAATCTGGTATTTTGGAGTGATGATACTTTTTTTTTATGGTTTACATTATGCTGTGAAGGGTTTTATGAACCTAACAACTTCATTTTATGGGTGTTATCTTTTGTTCTTAAAATAGTGTTCCATCTTCATGTAGCTTTTTCACTATTTTGGGTTTCTGAGTGTTAAAAGAAACCAAATCTTCTATTGAAGATGAACCCTTTTGGTATCATTTTAGTGTTTCTTTCGCAAATGTATGAAACAGCTCTAGTCTGTACTCTGTAGTGTGCTCGTGATGTTATCACATATATCCCATCAATACCTCAAATTAATCACAAGCGTTTAGAGTTGTGATAACATCACGAGCACAAGCGTTTAGAGTTTAGAGTTGTTATGGTGTGTCAAACCAGCTCGATCCTGCCCGTTTTGAGTCCTGATTTCACATTAATTTGAGGTATTGGGTTCGAATCTATATATACGAAGAAGAAACAGCCTGCTGTGAGCTGAGGTTTGACCTTTTGGTAAAAAAAATTAACTTGTGGACCAATCCCGTCCAGGGTCATGTGTATTACAGAATTTTAATCGACCACAATATCCTTTTAGGATTGTGGTTGGATATTGTCGTTTTGACGATTGGTTGGATATTGTCGTTTTGACGATTGGTTGTGTTGACCACATTTGTATAACTGCCGAATGTAATTACCTCACCATCCGAAAAAGCTTGGTAATATAACAACACATCTTCAAATTTTTTAACTTGTAATTTAATTTATGAACTTATCTACGGATTTATCACCTAATCGATGACATTTTCAATGATGGTGGAATTGATGTATATAATATCATCAGTGGAAAAACATTTGAACTGATTAAAAACATAATTTATTGTGTTGAGATATTCAATTTAATTATATTTAAAAATAATCAGTTGTATTATTTTTCTTATCCATAGCAAGAAAATGTAAGGAAACACATATGCAAATGAAATACGTTTCTATATTAAATTTTTATATTCGGATAGCTTACAAATAACGCTGAGAAAAAGGAAGAGAGAAGAAACAGTGAAGAAAGAAAAAAAAAAAGTCATTCATATTCTCCAATAGATTTTTGCCGACCGGAGAAAATATCTTCTTCCGCTTCTTCAGTTCAACCAGAAATCGTCTTTGAAATCGGTTTGATTCAGCCATGGTGAGCTCAAATTTCTCGCCTCTCTGTTTTAAGTTCTTCGATTTGAAGCTTACTTCTCGATTTGCTTACTCTTCGATCCGAGCTCAAACCCGTTTGGTTTCATTTCTGATAGTATCTATTTTCATAACGCTTCTCGCTCGCTAGATCTGGAAATGAATTTTATGTATCCGATCTTTGATCGTGTGATCGGAAATCTGACGAAGAACCTCGTAACTCTGTTTTGCTTCTTCGCTAGTGTGAATCTGAAATCAAGAGGAATCTAGTTGTTTTTCACTTGAAGTTCATATGAGTTGATGCTTAGTTCTATGAATTTTTGAACATTTTCACAAATGATAGTCGATCGTTGGATCTATATGCTGCGTCTTGTCTTCTGAAGTTACACAGCTCTCAAATCTCTTGATGAGTCTCAGTAGAAATCTAAAATCGTTCTCTGTTTATGCTTTTTACTCTGGACGGATCTCTCTAAAAATTGAGTTATCTCTTAAAAATCGGTGATCGTTTGGTGTATTTTTGAACGAGATTTGCATCTTCTTATTGATTTGTTTTTCTCTGTATTGATATATACAATAACAGGCTAACGCGGCGTCTGGAATGGCTGTGCATGATGATTGCAAGCTGAAGTTCATGGAACTGAAGGCGAAACGAACATTCCGCACCATAGTCTACAAGATTCATGACAAGCAAGTGGTTGTCGAGAAGCTCGGCGAGCCTGAACAATCGTACGACGACTTCGCAGCGAGTCTTCCGGACAACGAATGCCGATACGCCATTTACGATTTCGACTTCGTCACTGAGGAGAACTGCCAGAAGAGCAAGATCTTCTTCATCGCATGGTAAGCTAAAGAACTTGTATGTCAATGTCCTCGATTTGGTTACACGATTGATTCATGTGTGTTTGTTGTTGTTGGTTTGTGGCAAAGGTCTCCGGACACGGCGAAAGTGAGAGACAAGATGATTTACGCGAGCTCTAAGGATAGGTTCAAGAGAGAGCTAGATGGGATTCAGGTGGAGCTTCAAGCAACCGATCCAACTGAGATGGGTCTTGATGTTTTCAAGAGCCGCACCACCTAAGCAGCAACCAAAAAGAAAACCTTTTTTAAAGGGTTTTGATGAATAAGTTTGTGTTCTGGAGTGGATTTTATGTTTTGTGTTAACAGTTTCCTCTGACGGTTTATGAAACTTTTAACAACTCTCAACCTTCATTCAGTTTGGTATTATCTGTCGTCTTTGATTGTCTTGATGTGTTTCATCTATCTACTACTATGGGGGATTGTGGCTTTGTGTCAGTTATCATTTATATGTACAATACTTGAAATGCGATTGGAGTATATGTTATGGTTTCAAGCCTCGTCTCTATACGGCTAAGTCCATGATTTTTTTTTATAATATTTTACTAACAATCTCTCCTCCGATTGGGTTAATTTAGCAGAAAAGAAACAAGTTTTTATTTGATCAGGTCAATGTGATTCCTGCATGTGTAGTTTCCCTAGGCTGTAAAGTTTCTCTATTATCGATGCAGTTGGAAATAAATACGCACAAAACTCACCTCATTAGATCTGGGTCTCTCCTCTTCACTTATCACTTTGAAGTGTTATCTTTTGCCACTTTGAAGGTTAAAAATGCAATTTTCCCTTCACTTATCTCCACTTTCTTCAAGTTAATCTTCTTTTATTCAAGAAATTTGCGGCGACGTATCATATTCTCCTGCATGCAACTTTGTTTTTTCTGCTGGTGATACTATTCCGAGGGGGAAGACCTGAGCTAATCGATCTGGCTAGCTTTGAGATATTCAAAGTAAGTTTCACTTCGATGATGGGGCTCTTGTCTGCCATGATGGCATCTGCTCATCTCATGTGCCGCAATCTATCTGCTTATTATGGTGCCGCTGATTTACTAGTAACCGCAAGGACTTACGAAGAGGAGGCTATGTTGTTTGGGTTCTTAACATTATTCTTTTTTCTCATGAACCTGTTCGGATTCTGGGGAGGAATAATATGTCTACCAATCTCTCCTCCGGTTGTTCTTTTTGGTCTGCATGTTGCAAATCGCCCTTGATTCAGAAATGTTAAAAGCATCTCTGGATTGTATGCATGGAAACGGAGTAGAATCGAGGAGGATCTGGTGGGCGTTTAGGGATTTATAATAGAATCGTTTGTTGGTTGTGTGTCTATCGATCTAGTGATCTTCGTTTTTTGCACAATGTTTTTATCTGTCAGATTGGTTTTGTTGTTTGTTCCTCAGATTCTTGGATTGGACTGGTACTTTTGCAAAATCTTGATAATTGTTTAATTACTAATCAGCCTACAAAATTACAAATTATACGTTTCAAATTCAAATCTTAGGAGATTTGTTCGACATGTATGTTTTATTATGAGAATCAAACAATTTGAACGGGAAATAATGTGAAAGGAAAAAAAGAAAAACAAGTACAACATAAAACAATTTGAAAGAAATGGCTTCGCCCGGGTTCAAACCGGAGACCTTCAGTGTGTTAGACTGACTTGATAACCAACTACACAACGAAACCGTTTTGTTAGCTGTGACTGTGAGTAATAAAAAACAAAAAGAAAATCACTTGCTAGTTTGGTACGTTAGACCATCTCCATCCCTAAAACCAAAATTTTGGTTCTAACACATTTTTTATTAATAATTTTCACACAATCCTATGTTACAACTTTTGTGTGGGTTGTTAATCTTTTCTTCCTTCATCGGTAGAACCTTTTATTTGGTTCTAAACTTACAAACTTTTTTTTCTTCCAAAATTGTATTGACAATGTCATATTGTACTTGTAGCACTTTGATCCTCGATGAATGACAACAAGCAAACTCACAACTAACAAGTGGCATTAGATTTACAAGAAACAAGTCCCTCAAAGAGATCTCTAAATCAAAAGCAATCAGTGAAATGAGCTTACATTTTCCTTTTGACATCTTGCTTCTCCTTCTCGTACTCTTGTCTTATCTTCTTCTCTGCTTCAACGAGCTGCAACTTCTCAATGTTGAATTCATGTGACATCAAAAGACCATATAGTTAATTACACGATTTAGATAAAAACTAAAACAATCTGAAACCTTTAGATCATAAATAAGAACACAGAGCCTATGATCAAACATGAATCATAAGATCCGAAGGTCAAAGACAATTAGTCCACACAACAGTCAAAAATCATGAGCTAACATTTTCCTTTTGACATCGACTTGCTTCTCTTTCTTATCATAATCATGAGCCTATATCTCCTTTCTAGATTTCAATCACAAAACAAGAGTTCACCAAACCAACGTAGTTGACATACAATCAACTTCCTGAAAGGATTTACAGAGAAGTCAAGTGAGTACCTGCAATCATGGCGTAGACACCTACTCCCATAACCCCTTGGTGGTGACGGAGTGTAGCTCCTTCCCCTCATTGTGTCAAGCTTCAACCTTTATCAGACAATCAACACAAACAAGGTTAGGAAATAAACAACATATGTTACAATTGAAAACTAAACAAGACATATAAAGAGACCAAATACTAAGTGAGATTGCAAAAAGTTCAAATAAAGATAGAATCAACTCATGTTTTCAAGTTTAATTTCGATTTGGAGCAAAGAAACGTTATATATGCATAGCCACAAAAGAATACAACATAATCAATTGCATAGATGTTCAAAGGAAAGTCTCAAGAGACAAAATCATATACCGCTCTAAACGAGATCATAAACATGCAAATTGCAAAACGAAATCTAAGTAAGAGATGAGAGAAGAGGGATACTTAGCTTATCCTCAACCGTAGAAGAACCGAACGCCCAGGAGATCCTCAACCTTACCTCGCCGGCGAACAATCAGAAAACGCCCAAATCGTTGATTCCGGCAAAAGAGAAAGAGAAAGATAGAGAACGAGAGACAGAGAAATAGTGATGGAGATAGGAAGATAGGCAAAGTGAGCGACAGAGAGAACGATCAGAGGTCGGCCTGAAACGATCGCCGGAGTTGATTCACGAAGAGGCGACGCTTCGTTTCCATCGGCGGAGAGAAATCGAGACAGAGAGAGAGAGGAAGTTGAAATGTCGATTTTTTAATTTTCTCTTTTCTTTTTGGGTGAAAAAACGTGTGCTCTACACGTGGCAGGTTATAAACCCTGTCGAAAAGTTTCACGTAAGAGTTTGGTTCCACAATTTTCTTTTCTTTCTTCTTTTTTTAATTCCGTTTTTTTCCTTAAAACCCTCTTAAAAACCGATGGAGATGCTCTTAGAAGCTACATGGACTCAACTTAAAGGAAATGGGCCTACTAAAAGCCCATTCAGAATATAGTGAGGCGGGAACGGAGATTGTCACGCCGCGCTTAAAACAGGCGAAAAAATTAACACGTCAGCAATTCCCGTAGAGATATGTTATTGTTAACGATGATTAATATATACCGTTGATTAATAATACAATCAACGGGTAAGATCTTCCTTCTTCTCGATCCTCGTCGATGTCTAACAACCAATCACATCGATTATTCGATCTACTATAAAACCAAAACTCGCCTTCACCGATCTAAATATCAAAACACTCACATTTGTGCTTCTTCTTCACCTTCACCCAAAACCACACAAAAAAAAAGTCAAAAGAGATTCTCATCAATGGCGCCGAGAGCAGAGAAGAAGCCAGCGGAGAAGAAACCAGCCTCCGAGAAACCGGTAGAGGAGAAATCAAAGGCCGAGAAGGCTCCGGCGGAGAAGAAACCCAAGGCCGGGAAAAAACTGCCCAAGGAAGCCGGTGCCGGCGTCGAGAAGAAGAAGAAGAAATCGAAGAAGAGCGTCGAGACTTACAAGATCTACATCTTCAAGGTTCTGAAGCAGGTTCACCCAGATATCGGTATCTCCAGCAAAGCCATGGGAATCATGAACAGCTTCATCAACGATATCTTCGAGAAACTAGCCCAGGAATCGTCGAAGCTCGCTAGGTACAATAAGAAGCCTACCATCACTTCCCGGGAGATTCAGACTGCCGTCAGGCTCGTTCTTCCCGGAGAGCTCGCGAAACACGCCGTCTCCGAAGGTACCAAGGCCGTCACGAAATTCACCAGCTCTTGAATTTGGATCTGGATTAGGGGTTTACTCCAATTCGAAAGGTGTCTGAGGATGGTGAGAGCTTTAGATCTTGTTTAGGGTTTCTGTTCGTTTTTTTCAGTTTTCAATTTGCTTTCTCAGTTGTAATTGGTGTTATGAATTATAATTTGCGTCTTGGCACAATGTTTCAGAGTCAATTTTACCTTCAGTGTTATTGATCGAATTAATTTCAGAGTCAATTTTACCAGAATTGACAAATTGATGCTGTTGGTTCTTCAGATTCTTTGAATTAATTGATTTTTCCAGAAATCTTGACGCAATAGAGTTTCCTTGTATTCATCATCTTCCTCACAATAAGTTGAATTCATTGTACCAAAAAATCATAAGTGAGTTCTTGGCTGCAAATGGTATTGTTACTGATTGTGTGTTTTAGTGGCCATAGAAGGTTGTACAACACCAAGTCGATTTTAGTTCCTCTGTGTTGAAGTTGTTTCCTTCTCCGATTCTGTTTGACTCATATTGTCTATTGGACTCGATAAATTAGTGATTAAACATTTTAGTGGGCTCTTATTTCGTTACTGATGTGTGTTTATTGTGTGTTAACATTCGTATTATCTCAGTCACAGTTTTTTTTGACATTCACAGTCACATTTTAAAGATGTTATCATGATTAACAATACGTAATAAAAAATTCAAGATAGCAACTAGGTTTGTTCTAATATGGATTCACAGTCAAATTGGCCTAAATCTTACGAGGTTTGTTCAAAGCTTATATATTCAAAGTTGGTGGAAATACATGTTTTTTAAAAAAGGCCAGAACTAATTCTGAAGAAACAAATGGCTTCGCCCGGGTTCGAACCGGAGACCTTCAGTGTGTTAGACTGACGTGATAACCAACTACACCACGAAACCATTTTATTAAAAGAAACGTCTCATTATAGTGTTTTCTTCTAAAAGTCCATATTTGTTTCCATATTGCATCCAAGAAACCCTAATTCTATTCAGACTTGCACTTCTTTTTTTTTGTTAATATTTTGTTACAAAGGTTACATAAACAGAAACGTCTCATCATTTATAGTGTTTTTTTCCAAAACTCCATATTTGTTTCCATATTGCTTTCAAGAAACCCTAATTCTTATTTCTATTCAGACTAATTGCACTTCTTCATAACCAGCGATTTCTACTGTAGTTTGATTCTTACTTGTGAGCAAAATAAGATGGAAAGAGGGAAAACCTTAGATAGCATCCCTATTGATCTCATCCTCGAGATTCTCTTCAGAGCGTCGACTAAGTCAGTCGCTAGGTTTGGTCTCGCTTCCAAGTTCTGCGCGTCCATAGTTAGACGTCCAGATTTCACCGAGTTGTTTCTGACAAGATCTTCGGCTCGGCCGCGTCTCTTGTTCGCTATCCGACAAGGCAGTAAATGGAGCTTCTACTCATCGCCTCAGCTTGCTCCCGGTGAGTGCCGCTCCAACTCGTCGTCGTCTCTTGTAGCAGCCGCCGATCATCAGGTGGAGTTAGATGGATACACGCACCCAGTAATTTGTGAGCCTGTCTCTGGTTTAATCTATTTCCATAACGTGCATATCGAAAAGATGAATGTGATCACAGTGCCGGTGGTATATAACCCTAGCACGGGACAGTACACGAGCTTCCCCAAACGGACAAGGACGACCAAGTTTGCCTTGAGAAGCCTTTTAGGGTATGACCCTGTGGACAAACAATTCAAGGTACTGTCATATGATAGTGGTGAAAGGGAGTATCATATTCTGACACTTGGAACCGGGAAAGAGTACTCGTGGAGGAAGATCGAGTTTCCAGCCCGTCATAGTCCTTTTTCTGAAGAGATATGCATTGATGGGGTTTTGTATTACTTAGCTGATGTTGTATATCGTTACTCGCCTGAGCCTTCTGTGAGTCGTGTGAGTATAGCTTGCTTTGATGTTAGGTCCGAAAAGATTCGCTTTTTGGACGCATCCATGTTCTTGAAACCATCGCGTCGGCCTTATACACTGATAAATTACAAGGGTGAATTAGGGGTAATTGGTTCGACTTGGCATGGTTTTGATCGTGATGGGAACCATACCATTGAGTTTAAATTGTGGGTTCTAAAGGATGTCCAGAAGAATTCTTGGTCAAAAAGTGTTTTCTCTGCGAGACCAGAGGAGGTGAGTTTTCCATGTGCCTTGCTCTCGCTGGAGCGACTGCGACAGGTGAAATTTTTTTTTCGATGGACAGTACAACCACACCCTTCTATGTTTTCTACTTCAGTCCGGAGAGAAACACTACCGAGAGAGTTGAAATCCGAGGTTTTGAAGCGTTTGAGAATCCTTGCAAAGTTCACACGTTTGTAGACCATGTCGAGGATCTCAATTTTATTACATGAAAGAGTCTATCTAGTTTGGCTAGTAAGCGTGACTACGTCATCATTCACCTTTTTTTTTCGCTTAAAATTAAGATTAGGGACTTAGTAATCATGATCTTCAAGTTTCGTGGTGTTGGTTGATTATCATTCTATTTCTTTCTTCTAGTTATGTCATCTGCATGCCTCAGTTGCGCTACAAGATATTTGAGAGAGAAGAAAACAATGTTTTGATCGGCTACATATTTTCACATTGAATATGAAAATTTGTATTTATGTTTCAGATTTTCACAAACATATCTTGGAAATTGGCAAGTATTTGGCATGTGAGACCTGGTCACGAGCTTTCTTGTTGAACAGGCTATCAAAGCCCAACAGTAACACACTCGTACGTGTCTTTTGGTGAGCGGAAGGTAGTGTTGTTTGCGTCTTGGCACAATGTTTCAGAATAGAATTTATATACGTCAAAATTATGTTGCTGGTTCTTCAGACTCTTTGAATGAATTGGATTCTCCCAGAAATCTTGATGAAATAGTTTCTTGTATTCATTATCTTCCTCACAAATAACTTTAACTATTGGCTGCAAATTAATGGTACTGTTGCTGAAAGCTATGCGTATTAGTGGCGATAGAACATTGTACAACTTCAGAGTTCATTGTTGTTCTCTCTGTCGAAGTTGTTTCCTTGTCGGATTTTATCATGTTCTTCAGTTCTTTAGTCTTAGTCTTATTGCCATCTCTCCAGTAATCGTGTATTATCTTGGATGATTTCCGTTCGGTTATAATTTTTTTTGTAAGATCATCTTCTTACGAAGATGTAATTCAATCACATGTATAGATACTATTATGAAGATGAACATACATGTAAAGAAAAAAAAAACTGAGTTGATTGATTTTAAAAGTACAACAAAAAAACTAAAAACCCTAAATAATACAAATGGCTTCGCCCGGGTTCGAACCGGAGACCTTCAGTGTGTTAGACTGACGTGATAACCAACTACACCACGAAACCATATTTGCTATAATGTTGTTCTGTTACAAAGATTCCTTTAAACAACTTGAACTTATATATTTTTAGTTTAGGTCAAACAACTTGGAGTTTCTATATAACAAAGGTTTCTTCTTTGATTCGTACCTCTGAGACCAAACAAGATGGAAAAAGGAAAAACCTTAGAACACATGCCTATCGATCTCATCCTCGAGATTCTCTCCAGAGCAACGGCTAAGTCAGTCGCTAGGTTTCGTCTCGCCTCCAAGTTCTGTGCGTCCATAGTTAGACGTCCAGATTTCACCGAGCTGTTCCTGACCAGATCTTCGGCCCGGCCGCGTCTCCTGTTCGCTATCAAAGGAGACCGTAAGTGGAGCTTCTACTCATCGCCTCAGCTTGCTCGCGTTGAGTTACGCTCCAACTCGTCGTCTCTTGTAGTAGCCGCCGATTATCAGGTGAAGTTACCTGGATACACGCACTCAGAAATTTGTGATCCTGTCTCTGGTCTGATATATTTACCTGACGTGCATATGGAAAATAAGAATGTGATCACAGTGCCGGTGGCGTATAACCCTAGCACGGGACAGTACGGGAGCTGCCCCCAACGGAGAATTATGACGAGGAATTATTATTATTTCAGAGACCTTTTAGGTTATGACCCTGTTGACAAAAACTTCAAGGTACTGTCATATGATAATGGTAAAAAGGAGTATCATATCCTGACACTTGGAGCTCGGAAAGAGTCGTGGAGGAAGATCGAGTTTCCAGACCATCATGGTCATTTATCTGAAGGGATATGCATTAATGGGGTTTTGTATTACTTAGCTGAGGTATATGGTTACTCGCCTGTGCCTTCTGTCAGTCGTGTGAGTATAGCTTGCTTTGATGTTAGGTCCGAAAAGATTCGCTTTCTTGACGCATCTATGTTCAAAACATCATCGTGTATTTGGCCTTATAAACTGATAAATTACAAGGGTGAATTAGGGGTGAGTGGTTTGGGTTGGCATTGTTTAAACCCTGATGGAAAGCATACCATTGAGTTTAAATTGTGGGTTCTAAAGGATGTCAAGAAAATTTCTTGGTCAAAAAGTGTTTTCTTGGCGAGACCAGAGGGTGAGTTTTCCAATTGCCTTGCGGTCGTTGGAGCGACTGCGACAGGTGAAATTGTTTTTTCGATGAGCTATGTATCTAAACCGTTTTATGTTTTCTACTTCAGTCCGGAGAGAAACACTACCGAGAGAGTTGAAATCCGAGGTTTTGAAGCTTTTGAGAATCCTTGTAAAGTTCACACCTTTGTAGACCATGTCGAGGATTTCAAGTTTATTACATGAAAGAGTCTATCTAGTTTGGCTAGTAAGCGTGACTACGTCATCATTCACCTACATTTTGGTTTTTGTTTTGTTTTTTTTTGCTTAAAAATTTGATTAGGGACTTAGTAATCATGATCTACAAGTTTCGTGGTGTTGTTTGTTTATCATTCTATTTCTTTCTTCTAGTTATGTCATCCGCATGCCTCAATTGTATTACAAGATATTTGAGAGAGAAAAAACAATGTTTTTGATCGACTACAATTTTCCACATTGAATATGAAAATTTGTATTTATGTTTCAGATTTTCACAAATACATCATGTGTATCAGAAAACCATTTACACTACAGGTATATGTTATCACAAGATCTTTTAGTGCTCTTGTGAAACAGTCAACAACTCAATGCAATGCATGCATGATGCATGTCTCTTGCTCGAATTGAAGAATGCCTTGTATTTCTGTACGATGATTATTAAACTTTTAGGCAAGCACGTTTGCGATGATAATTATTTCTTTCTCTACGTTTTGGAAGTTGGATTTGATAAGTTGATTATTCAAAATAACATTTATATGTTGTATTGGCACTAGAAGCAATACGACATATTAAGACTCCACATCCAAGTTTGGTCTCGGTTTTAGGTTATTTGAATAGCTAAAAAATCAAATTATAAGCCTACTCGATTGAGGTATGCATGATCTAATTAATCAGCTGGGAGTCTGAGACGGATTTCTCCATCATTGCTTGGTTACAGATTATAGTGTTAAGTATTAATAGAGTATCCAAACTGAACAGTAAGTAGTTAAATTTATCTATTTCGCACCATACAGTTCTCATTAATATCTGAGAGTTGGGTTTTGCAAAACGTAAGTTGACTTATTCGAGTCTGTTTAGTTTGCAACGCGTGAATGAGAAAGCGATTGTTTTGGGATTTAACTTTTTAGATACATCTCACTGGAAACTCACTCTCAAACGAGACCAAGGTTGAGTCAAGCTCCAAGGAACAGAGGTAACGTCCGTATGTGTGTGGGGGAGAAGAAGATGTAGGAGAGAATAAATAAATAAAATTATTTTTATTGCCCTCTTTTTTTATATATATATATATATTTTTTTTTTGATAGGGGAGAAGAAGATGTAGAAAAAAACATTCTCATTCAATTCTTGTTTCTTTGTTATTTCTAAAGAAAACTACTAGATGATTTTCAACATATCTTGGAAATTGGCAAGTATCAATGGCATGCGAAACTTGGTCACGAGCTCTCTTGTTGGACAAGTTATCAAAGCCCAGCACACTCGTACATGTCTTTTGGTGAGCGAAAGGTAGTATTGTTTGCGTTTTGGCACAATGTTTCAGTCGAATTTACTTTCAGAGATATTGACGATTTTCGAAGTTTATTCATATAAAGTCAAAATTACGTTGTTGGTTCTTCAGATTCTTTGAATGAATTGGATTCTCTCAGAAACCTTGATGAAATAGTTTCTTGTATACACTATCTTCCTCACAATAACTTTACGAGATTCTTTAAAAAATACCCTATTTATGTTTAAAATTTTGAAAAATACCCTAATTTATTTCTGTTTGAAAAATACACTTTTTGAATGTAAAAAGACTGTTTTGACCTAATTTAAACAAAACATTAAAAAATCATTACAGCTAAAAATTAAAAACGAAATTCAAAAATAATAGAATCAATAAGATTTTTTTCAGATAAATATAAATTTTAAAAATTAAAAAGTGGATAAATCTATATTCCATTTTTAATGTTTTCTGTAAACAAATTTTAATTTTTTATAACTTTATATAAACAACTTTAATCTCATCCCCATTCCAACCAAATGAAAATTTATAAATTTAAACTTTATAAACTAATTGAAATTTTAATAGTGGATATATTATCTTCCATTTTTAATGTTTACCTTTATACATATTTAAATATTTTTGAAACATTATATAAACAATTTTAATCTCACCCTCATTTAAACTTTATATAAACAAACTTATACTCTTAATAAAATCTAAACAGATAATTAGTATTGTTTAGTATTTTAAAATGAATAAAATCATAATCAAATCTTAATATTTTAGATTTTTTATTTGAATTTCGTTTTTATTAAATTAGTTGAAAACTTTTAGGATAATTAAGTCATTTCATATATTAAAAAGTGTATTTTTCAAAACTAAAAAAAACAAGGGTAGTTTTCAAATTAAAAACTCATCAAAGAGTATATTTCCAAAATTTCTCATAACTTTAATTATTGGCTGCAAAATAACGGTACTGTTGCTGAAAGCTCATTGTGTATTAGTGGCGATAGATCCATTGTACAACTTCAGATCGAGTTCATTTGTTGTTCTATCTGTTGAAGTTGTTTCCTTGTCGGATTTTATCATGTTCTTCAGGTCTTGAGTCTTAGTCTTATTGCCATCTCTCCAGTATTCGTACTATCTTGATTGATTTCCGTTCAGTTAGAAAAATAAACTGAGTTGATTGATTTTAAAAGTACAAAAAAATAACTAAAAATCATAAAAAAAATACGAACCGGAGACCTTCAGTGTGTTAGACTAACGTGATAACCAACTACACCACGAAACCAAATTTGCTAATTTTCCATTATAATTATTCCTATAAACAACTTAAACTTATATATTTTTTGTTTAGGTCAAACAACTTGAGTTTCTATATAACAAAGGTTTTCTTCTTTGATCCTTATCTCTGGAACCAAACAAGATGGAAAGAGGAAAAACCTTAGAACACATGCCTATTGATCTCATCCTCGAGATTCTCTCCAGAGCAACGGCTAAGTCAGTCGCTAGGTTTCGTCTCGCCTCCAAGTTCTGTGCGTCCATAGTCAGACGTCCAGATTTCACCGAGCTGTTTCTGACCAGATCTTCTGCTCGGCCGCGTCTCTTGTTTTTTATCGAACGACCCAGTGAGTGGAGCTTCTACTCATCGCCTCAGCCTGCTCTCGAACGACCCGGTAATGAGTGGCGCTTCAACTCGTCCTCGCTTGTAGTAACCGCCGATTCTCAAATAAAGTCGCCTGGAGACATGGACTCAGAATGTTGTCGCCCTGTCTCTGGTTTCATCTATTTCCCTAACGTGCATACCAAAAAGAGGGGTAAGATCACAGTGCCGGTGGTATATAACCCTAGCACGGGACAGTACACGAGCTTACCCCAACGAACGATGAGGACGACGTTTCGTTTTATACAAAGCTTGTTAGGGTATGATCCTATTGACAAACAATTCAAGGTACTATTGTATAATTATGATAAATGCGTGTATCATATTCTGACGTTTGGAGCTGGGAAAATCTCGTGGAGAAAGATGGATTATGAGCCAACCCATGAACCTTTATATCAAGGGATATGCATCAATGGGATTTTGTATTGCTTAGCTCGTGCCTACGGCATGGATCCGCTGCGTGTAGCTTGCTTTGATGTTAGGTCAGAAAAACATTGGTTTCTTGATACACAATCTATGAGTGAATCATTGAGAAGCCCTTATAGACTGATAGATTATATGGGTAAATTAGGTGTGACTTATTGGAATTGGCAGACTTCCCAGCCCGATGGAATGCGTATCATTCGGTTGAATCTTTGGGTTCTAAAGGATGTCGAAAAACAAGAATGGTCTGAACGTGTTTTCTTGGTGAGACCAGTCGTTGAGTGTGAGCTTTTCGATGACCTTTCTGTCGTTGGAGCGACAGCTACAGGTGAAATTGTTTTCTCGATGAACAGTACTACTACACCGTTTTATGTTTTCTACTTCAGTCCGGAGAGAGACACTACCGAAAGAGTTGAAATCCAAGGTTTTGAAGCGTTTGAGAATCCTTGTAACGTCTTCACCTTTGTAGACCATGTAGAGAATCAAAAATTTATAACATAAGAGTCTACCTAGTTTGGCTACCAAGTTTGGCTAACGTCGTTCACTACAATTTTCTTTTTATTATCAAGGACTAATCTAAAAGTTTCGTTACTTTGTTGGCTATATCAATTTTCTGTTCTTTCTAGTTATATCATCTACATGACTTAATTGTGTTACACGACTCAACTGAGAGAGAGAGAGAGAAAGAAAAAGAACAATGCATTGATCGACTATAATTTTTCACATTGAATATGAAAAATTATATTTATGTTTTAAATTTTCACTAATAAGTAATAACATCACGTTTATAAAATAAAATAACATTTACACTATACAGATGTAGGGTTACTACAAGATCTTTTTGTGCGTCGCTTGTGAAACACTCAACACTGATTTCTAGGTTGGCTTCTGGAAACATTATAATCTTCCACCGCAATGTTCAGGACCCTGACCATCATATCCATGCGGTACTAGAACTACTAGCCCGGTTTGACGGAGCCATTTCGCTTCCCCACTGCTAATGGACTGATCAACCATCACTGAGCTTCCCATATTACCAGAGAATTAGGGTTTTCCATCTCGGAGACGTCGGTAGTGTTGTTGATTGTGTAGTTCTCTGTGTTGTGTTGTGTTGTTACCTTATCGGATATCTGCTTGCAATGATAAGTAACATGGACATGGATGGGCTTGGAGTTTTTAGCTTTGTTCTTCAGTTCTTGAGTATTCACTCTTATAGTTACTGTTCAAGGCCGTGAGAGAGAATAAGAGCTTCATGGTTGAGGTTAAACCGTTAAAGGGCTAAGTGTAACAAGTCTCAGTTTCAGTGTACATTTACGAAATAAATTAAAATTTACTACTGTTAAAAGTAATTACATCCGCTGTAGCACACCGGTTAATTTCAGAAATCTCTTTGAGCTTCGAAATCCGGGTTCAACTCCCGGCAGCGGAACACTTTTTAAGTAATGGTTTTTTACTTTACGTATTTGGAATAAATCTTTTCGCATATTTACTTTCCTATTTATTTTCATATATAAATCTTTTTCTAACTTAAACTTCTATTTTTATTTCTTCCATGTTCAAGTGAATAGAGAGAGATTCCCTTATTAAAACCCTAAACGCAATGGAACCAATTTCCAAGTCCAGAACCACACAATACGAGAAGATGATGCATGGAGGAGAAAACTCAGTAACCCTCCCGATTGACATCATCCTCGAGATTCTCTCGAGATCGTCTGCTAAGTCAATCGCTAGGTTTCGTCTGTCATCAAAGTTCTCCGAGTCCCTATTCAGCCGTCCAGATTTCACCGAGTTACTCCTTACCAAGTCTTCCGCTCGGCCACGTCTCTTATTCGCCGTCAAAGGAGCCACTGGTGAAGGCTGCTTCTACTCGTCGCCTCAGCTTCACAGTTCAGATGAAAGGTCTTCTTCTTCTCTCGTACTAGCCGCCGACTTTTATATGGACTCCCCTGTAGACATGTCATCGGAGATTTCTGGCCCTGTCTCCGGTTTGATCTACATCTCAAAGCGGAATATGATCACAGCGCCCGTGATATATAACCTTAGCACTGGACAGTACACGAGCTTACCCGAACCGAGGAGGGATTCAAAACGCTATCTAGGGTTTGATCCTGTTGAAAAACAATTCAAGGTATTGTCCATCAGCCTTCCACTAGAAAAGTCGAATCAAGTTCTGACATTAAGAGCTGGGAGAGTCATGTCGTGGAGGAAGATCAACATTTCATACCATGAGCCTTTGTCGGAAGGGATATGCATTAATGGGGTTGTGTATTACTTAGCTCGTGGAATGGGTTACCCTGGTGTGATTATAGCTTTGTTTGATGTTAGGTCAGAAACACTTAGGTTTCTTCACAGACATGGGGTCGACCGATTAGATATTTTTTCTTCTATTAGAGTAATAAATTATAAGGGTAAGTTCGGTCTGATTGGTTTGCAACAGTACACTGGAAGGCATGAAACTGAATTGCGTTTGTTTGTTCTAGAAGATCTTGTTGAGAAACAAGAACGGTGGTCGAGGGATATCTTCAGAGTGAAATCAGTCAAAGAGGTTGATGTTCCCGTCGTTGTCGCTGGAGTAACTGCTACAGGTGAAACTGTTTTGTCCATGGACTCTGTATCTAAACCCTTCTATGTTTACTACTTCAATCCCGAAAGTGAAACTACCGAAAGAGTTGAAATCCGAGGTTTTGAAGCTTGTGAGTATCGTAGACGAGTTCACATATTTATAGACCATGTCGAGGATCTCAAGTTTATAACATAAGAGTCCAACAAAATTAGACTTCTCTCATCTCCAATTCCTTTCTTGTGTTACACGTTACTTGAGACAATAAAATCATGTTTTGACTTCACATTTGCGTTTCTATAAAAAAATCTTTTGATTTCAATAAATTTGATCCTACTTGTTGGAACTGAAACTAAAGCAATATCACATAACCAAAGGCACACAGCAGCACAACACTTTTTTTTACCTATCTGTACATGTGTCTTAATATTCACCAACCCATCAATGTTCTTCTCACTTTATTAGCAATCTCATTCCTAGCAGAAGCGTCACCGAGCTGGAATAAACACTTCTCATCCAGAAGAAACCTGTACACTTCCCATTCCCGGTCACTAGCCTTGTATCTTCTTATTTCAGCCTGAGATAGAAGAAATCAAAAGACAACTCAGTTCACAGTCAGAGTACTCTGACTAGTCTTGTTTCTTACCGAGAATATGCAGATTCCAAGCACTTTTAGTGAAAGGGTGACATCAAAGAACACTCTTGGCCTGCTTTCCCCAGATAGCTCAACTGGATTAGCCACCAAAAGTTCAGTGTCTGGCCCTCGGTTTGTTATTACGACGCGTAAAGGATGAAGCATTTCAGCTTTCAGACGTGAACATAACGAATCTTGCTGATCAAGATCCACAATCTTGTTCCCATCTTTCAGCTGAACAAACAGGTCTAAGTCCCGATGACCTTTGGTTTGAGGCGAGAACCTGCCATAAGATATCTGCACATACAGTATCACAAAACTGAGATATCTAAAAGAAAGACAGTGAACTGATAATATGAAAGTTGGTTATGCTATTACCTTAATGTCAGAGTCTTTCAAGGTTCTTAATACATCATAGAGAAGGCCTCTGTGATCAACGCAGCGTATTTGGAGTAACGTGTGAGCAGGGCTTAAGGAGTTATCAACTGTGACAGTGGAATCCTTCAGCTTTATCACATCATCACTAAGAACCTGTGCGCGATTGTCTTCATCGGTGAGCTGCTCAGACGAAAACAGTTCCTCAGCCACTGCTGGAGAAAGAGATGGAATATTATTCTGATGACATTCATACTCAGGACCAGCCAATTGGAGTTCACAGCTTATACATGATTCTCCTAAGACTGAACGAAACTGCTCTAGTGCCTCGTCTTGTCGCTCTTTTGTGTGTAAAAGATCCCTTGCAGAAAATGGTGATACAATACTACTAATTAATCACTACTGATGCTAAATTCAAAGAGTTTAGAGAGAAGATTGTATAAGTCACTCACATTTTATCTGTTATGAAGAAAAGGTCAAGAACTCTCCCATCTGGTGTCGTAGTGACCTTCACGGTTTGGATTGAGAGCTCGAGCTCGAGCTCAGTTAGTATTTGAGTAACATCTGCAAAAGAGAATTCTCATTTCTCATACATTCAAGATGACATAAAAAAAAAAAAAAAAGCAAATCCTTGAGACTATGCGACAAAGTACCGTGTAAGAGTCCTCTCCGGTCTAGGCAGAAGAACTTGAGCAAGTAAACAGGTGTTGATGCTGGACAAGGAGACGTCATATTGAGAAGGAAGTAGGTGGAGCAAGAAGGGCATACAGATACAAGTTGGTTCTTCAAATGTGACCATCTCAATATGAGAGAATCATAATGTGGCACCACCCACAACACTATGTAGCACCATACTCCATCGGTTGTAACATCTATCACATTAGTCAAGAATCAACAATCAGATTGACCTCTCGACCAAAATCTAGGCGATTCACGACTAGCGAATCATTTCGGAGCTATGGTCTACGGCTAAAGCCATTGGTGGAAGAAGATTACCTCCTTTTGTGATAGAAAGCCCGAAATCGAGGATAATTCTGCATATATCGCACCCTAAACCGGTCCTATCAGGACAATTCACTGTGATAATACGCGCTTCTCCGGCCTTTTTTTCTATCACGACGACGTCTTCGCTTCCCGGAGCTCTCATCCCTCGGTAATCAGGAAGTCTCCGATCAAATTCACGGCGAGAGCTCACTGAAAAGCTAGCTCCGAGCTTCTTCTGTTTCTCTCTAGAACATGGGAGTTAATTCTATTACAGTGTTCTTCTGACTTCTGACTGATTTGATTTATGTTCGGTTCATATGAATTGAAAAACAACAGCCAGATTTTGAACAGTGTTTTCAACTAAACCGATCCGGTTAAAATCTCTCAACCAAGTTAATCTGTCAGATATTTAAAAATGTCTTGGTTAAGAGATATCAAAAATGTGAAATTCTCATTTTTTTTATCGTATTCAAAGATTACGAACACAGTTAATCTGTAATTACTGTATCTTTTAATAGTTTCCTCTTAATTTTGTTTTGGTTCAAAAGTTTCCTCTCAAGGTGTTTCTTGACCAAAAAGAAACCTTTCCCAAATATGAAAAAGGATAATTACCTGAAATAAATTTTACGAAATAGGTTTATTGTTGGACAAGTCAGAAAAAGTACTTATAAATAAATCGTTTTTGCTAATCTTCTTATCTCTCTAATCCTCGGTGATACTTGAAAGATCTCTCTTCTAGATAATTTGGCGAAGCACTGTTAAAAATGGCAGCCGTGGGAGAGATTGCGATGGAAGTAAACTGCAACGGTAAGGGACAAGGAGTTGAGCAGTACTATCTCCAACACACCCGTGAGCTTGAGCGACAGCTTCTTCAGAAGACTAACGATCTCAATCGCCCTGCAGCTCAGAGGAACGAACTCAATTCTAAAGGTCTCCTTTAACCCTAATATTCATCAGATTCTCTGTCTTCTTGTTAATTTCTTTAGCAAAGTCTTTAATAACTGTGCTGACGATGAGAGACATAACTGATGAGATTTATGTCCTCTTGTCTGAAACATGTTTAGAGTATGCATCATATAATTTTTCTCTCTTATTATTCTTTGACATAAAAATTTCTTTATGAAATAAACAGTACGAATGTCAAGAGAAGAGCTGGAGATGCTTCAGGAACCTGGGTCCTATGTGGGAGAAGTGGTCAAAGTGATGGGGAAAAACAAGGTCTTGGTTAAGGTATGAATCTTGATATCGTATTCGAGTAGGATTTTAACTTTGGTTTTTTGTATTGTTTATGAACATACATAGCTTAAAACTCTTGTTTATTAGGTTCATCCAGAAGGGAAGTATCTTGTTGATGTTGACAAAAGTGTCAACATAACGAAGCTCACTCCATCAACAAGAGTAGCCCTCCGTAGTGACAGCTACGTTCTCCACCTGATCCTGCCAAGTAAAGTGGATCCGCTGGTTAACCTAATGAAAGTTGACAAGGTTCCAGACTCCACTTATGACATGATCGGTGGTCTTGATCAGCAGATTAAGGAAATAAAAGAGGTCATTGAGCTGCCAATCAAGCATCCTGAGTTGTTTGAGTCTCTTGGAATCGCGCAGCCAAAGGTACACAATGCATAAATATTCCAAAGCTTCCTTCTTTTGTATTGTAATGGGATTATAAATGATTTTGTATCCCTCTCTTTCTAGGGTGTGTTGTTATATGGTCCACCTGGAACCGGGAAGACACTTTTGGCTCGTGCTGTTGCGCATCACACCGACTCTACTTTCATCAGAGTGTCTGGTTCCGAGCTGGTCCAGAAGTACATTGGAGAAGGCTCTAGAATGGTCAGAGAACTTTTTGTCATGGCAAGGTTTGACATACTCTCACTTATACTATACATTTACAATTTCAAGCCTTATAAATGAGGATAGTGTTGTTTAAAATGCTTTTAATGGTGTATGGTTTTTCAGGCAGCATGCACCATCGATTATCTTCATGGACGAAATCGATAGTATTGGGTCTGCTCGTGTGGAAAACGGTGACAGTGAGGTGCAACGGACTATGCTTGAGCTTCTAAACCAACTTGACGGATTCGAAGCGTCTAACAAAATCAAGGTAACGTGTTTAAGGATCAGAATCATGAGAGTATGTGTGGAAATACTCATTTATTCACTTAATTAAATGCTGTTTATAGGTTTTGATGGCGACGAACCGTATTGATATTCTGGATGAAGCTCTTCTCAGGCCTGGAAGGATTGATAGGAAGATCGAATTCCCTAATCCTAATGAAGATGTAATGTTTGTGCTTCTTAGAACATTATGTTACAAGTAACTTGAACTTTGGAGAAAGTAACTTGGCTAATGTATTTTTTGTCTCTAAAATGTGTGTTGCAGTCACGTTTTGATATCTTGAAGATACACTCGAGGAAAATGAATCTGATGCGTGGAGTTGATCTGAAAAAGATTGCAGAGAAGATGAATGGTGCTTCGGGTGCTGAGCTCAAGGTAAAGTGTTTTCTTTAATTTCCCCTTTTTGTTCATCTAATTCTCGCTCTCTCTCTCTCTTAGGCTTATGTTCATGGTTATGACTGGAACAGGGTGTGTGCACTGAGGCGGGCATGTTCGCACTGCGTGAGAGGAGAGTACATGCGACACAGGAAGACTTTGAGCTGGCGGTGGCCAAGGTTATGAAGAAAGACTCAGAGAAGAACATGTCTTTGCGGAAGCTCTGGAAGTAGAAAAAAAAAGCTCTCTTTAACGATTCATTTCACGACATGACTTAGACACTATTATGTTCTCAGCATGATAATACTCAGCTTTGAATATTTGATATTTACGAAGAAAATAGTGTCTATGCTTATGCTCTCTGTTTCTCAATTTGATATTTTAAGCGTTTGAAAACAAAGCTTTTACTACCTAGACACTATTATGTTCTCAGCATGATAATATTCAATTTTAAAGAAACGATCTAAGCAAAATTCTAAGCGATTCTCACGATTAGCGAATCATTTAGTGGCGATGGTGTACAGCTAAAGCCATTGCTGGAATAAGCTTACCTTCTTTTGTGATATAAATCACTGTGATAATATGCGCCTCTCTCGCCTTCTTTTCGCTTCCCGGAGCTCTAATCGCTCGATAATCAGGAAGTCTCCGGTCAAATTCACGGCGAGATCTCAGTGAAGCACTAGCTCCGAGCTTCTCTTTGGATAAATCGAGTACAGTGTTCTGTGACTTTTGACTGAATTGCTAATTTGACTTGCGTTCGGTTCACAAGAACTGAAACAACTTGTATTGGTTAAGAGATTTTTAACCGGATCGTCGTCAAGTAATGATTTTTATTTTGGTTATCTGATTTGTTCAAGTTTGAATGAAATTCACATTTTGATAAACTGCGTCGTGTTCAAAGGAATTAACGAACATAGTGAAATCTCATTGATTGGTAATTAGTAATTACTGAAATTTGAGACTACATTAACGAAATTGCAACGAAATCGCGATTTGGTGATAAACTTCAAATTCTGAAATAGTAGAAATACTGAAATCAATTTTAAAACCCTAGCCGCCGAATCCATAGAGAGTCCTTCCTTGTCTCTTGAGAGCATAAACCACATCCATGGCAGTCACCGTCTTCCTCCTTGCGTGCTCGGTGTAAGTGACGGCGTCACGGATGACGTTCTCCAAAAAGATCTTGAGAACTCCACGCGTCTCCTCGTAGATCAGGCCGCTGATACGCTTCACGCCACCTCTACGAGCCAAACGCCGAATCGCCGGCTTGGTGATTCCTTGGATGTTGTCTCTCAGAACCTTCCTGTGACGCTTGGCTCCTCCTTTGCCCAATCCCTTTCCTCCCTTTCCACGACCAGACATTTTACAGAAATTGAAATTCTCAGAAACTTCTCGAGAAAATTTGGATTGATTGCTCTCAGAAAGAATGATAATTATTGAGAATTGAGAATTGAGATGTGAAACTGATAAAGAGAGCAGTGCATTATATAGCATGTATGAAGATCTCAATCCTCGTCAATATTAAGGATTGTGTATTGGCCGTTGATGAAGAGATAATCAACGGTTCTTAGAGTCGATCCGCGTGATAGACAATTGCCTCCAAACCCAAATTTGTTTTGCCATATTAAAAGCGGGAGGATTTTCGCGGTTCTGTTTTCGCTTTGGTAGCACGACGCCGTGTCATGCAAATGAAAACGCCGCCGTTTCCAGGAGTCAACTTCCCGTATGAGCATTCGGTACATGTATCAGTCCGTGGGAAGAGTGAAAGGGTCACAATTGCTTAAACGCCCAAAATGCTAAAACCTTCCCGTTTGCATCTCCCTTGCACTACACTTTTGGGCCTTTTGGCCATATAAAAACTTAAAGTAGTGCTTGAAGCACATATCAAAATGGTTTCATTAGCCTCTGAAAATTTATCTTCATATAAACTTTCGAAGCGATTCAATACTAAATTGGTCGATGAAGGAGGCCAGTTGTTAAATTGAACCGAGTGTTGTAGACTTTTAGACTTTTTTGTTTTGATAGAAAATTATAGGAAGAAACCAACATGATAAAAAAAGTCTTTAAGAGTGAGAATGCAAATGAGAGACAATTGTTTATGAACATGATGAGTGATGACATAGCATGTGCTTGGGGAGGTGGGGACTGGTCGGGTCCGTGATATGATTGTTGATCTTCTTGTGGCATTGAAGACATTAAGTCTCTCTTTATCTACATGGTCCTGCCTCATTCAAGTCAGACAACAGACTACTCATAGTGCATATAATAATAATATACATCAACTATCCATTATCTTTGGAAAAAAGAAAGTTACAAATTTCTAAACCCAGTGTTTGCTTTGATTTATGAAATTAACTTAACACAAAACTCCAGCTGCATGTATTTTTCTATTAGTAATTAGGTCTTTATCATCAAAAAGTCAGATTAATATTTTATTTTCTAGCAGCATGTGCTAATCAAAGTTACAATATACATTAATCAACTAACCATTGTACTGGGATATTTTGTCTCCTCTAATCCATGTCAAGATCAGATTTAAACTTCTTCGTTGATGTAAATGTGATTTATATCTTCTTAATCCAAAATATTGTTTTATGTAAATTTTATATTCGTCAAATCTGAATACATCAAAACAAGCCTTTCCTTTCTGCTCTACCAAAAGTAAAAATAAAATAAAAAGTTTGTCTTTTCTCCTTTCTCTGTATCCTTTTCTCCGATTACCGAGTAGCTCAGAAAAAATGGCGACTGTTCCAGAAGCTGAAGAATTGGGATTAACAACGAGAACCGTCGTCGAGGGAGACGAAGAAGACGAGCAGGATGTAAACAGGCTAGCGAAATCATTTATAGGTTTGAGCTTCTCGGTGATGCTAGCTCATCTCCCGAGCGACGCGATATCTCTTATTCCGCGACTGACGTCGGAGGTCAAGGAGCTGAAACGACGGCTCGCGGCGGCGGAGGAGCAAGTCCGTCAGATGAAATCCCGGCGCGTGGAGGACTCGAAGGCGAACGCGCGCGTCGTGGACATCTTCGCCAGCCACAGGAACGCCTGGCAGGAAGAGGAGAAGCGGCTGCAGAATCGAATTCACGAAATGGAGGAAGAGAGGGAAGATTTCATGAACAGGATTAACGAATTGGAGAGGGAAGTGAGCGAGAGGGATGAGATGATTGGGTTTATGTCGAGAAGAGGGATTGAAGATGGAGAAGAAGAAGAAGAAGGAGATTTTGATCCTAATTCCAATGAGCGTTACGGTGTTGATCACCTCGCTGTATCTTCTTCCCCTACAGCTTATGAGCTTGCTCCAAGCTCTCAATTCTGGGCAGAGCCGCATAATACTAACCCTTTCCAGGTTTCGAATTTTGTTTCTAATTGTATATAACGATTCGGAGAGAGAAATGGGGTTTTGATTTAGGGTTTTTTGCAGGATGTACAGTACGAATCTCTGGAATCTGTGTACCGTATGAAGCAATTTGTGCCAAGGTAAGGTTTTTTTGTGGAAACTTTCAGATTTTGAAATTGGATTGAGATTTTGAAATGATAAGTTAACGTAACCATTCCATCCACAGAAGTGAATCACCATGGAAGATAGATAGTGAAGCAACAGGTGTTTCTGCGAAATTGAGGTTACTAGAAGAGGAATTAGTAAATCTTGAGAAAGTTTGTCGTAATGACATTTCAAAGGTTCCATCTTTGTTAAGAAAACAAGCGAAGAGGTATCAAGCTCTTGCAGGGAAGATCGATGAACTATGCAGAAGAATGGTTGGTTACTCCCTAAACACACTATAATCTAATTGCTTTGTAAACACATTCTTGAGGCTTAACCTTTTTTCTGCTTTTATGTTTCTTTTTTTCCAGCAGAGTAGTGATCCTTGCGATGGGACGCTTGGACCCGAGTTCAGGACACAGAGACAAACCGAGTTTCTGCTCGAGTGTTTCCGACTTCAGCAGCGAGCATCAGAGACAGGGCAGAAGCTGGTTGCGTTGCAGACGGAGATCACAAGAAGCAGTCAAGGAGATCAACTAAACCAAGCCAAGATGAAAACAAGCAGGTCACTGGATTTGATCAAGAACAACTTGAAAGAAGTACAGAGAAACCTAGAGATTTGGCTTGCTAGGATCATTGGAGATCTCGAAGGCATACTTGCTTCACGTGTAAGAGAATTCTACGTTGCTCGATACCCTTTTGTTCAGTAGATTCAGAAACATGTTTTGTAACTGTGGTTAACCTGCTAAAAGATCACTGTAGAAGTCTGATGAATGAAACCAATTCTGTAAAAAAAACTTGTTCTTTCGTACAGTCCCTGTTTCGTGTGGTCACATGTGAAGAAAAGTCTGGCATGTGAGGTCGCAATGAATTTAATAAGAAAAAACTCGGATCTCATATGTCGCAACGAAATAATGTTGATATATTCACACACATGACATGCAAGAAAGTGGAATCCGAATATAATATACATAGATATATAATCTTTAAGATCTGAACTAAAAAATCTTCTGACTTGAGACATGTTAATCTCTAAAAAAACTTAAAGCATTTCAATGGCATAGGCACATGAACAGAGAGTTGGTATAAATTAAATCTAATAGATCATCCAATGTTCCATGTTTTTGCTCTGAGTTTTATGAGCTAGAAGGAGAAGACGAGGTTTCACTATCATCACCTAAACGGATTCGGTTCGGTAGAGGTCGAGCTATCAGTCCTTCAGTGACCCAACCTACCGATTCACTATCTTCTTTAGCGACTTCAAACTCTCTCCGCACGTAATCTAAAGAAAAGTGAAGCCGACCGCCCGGTTTGCAGTCTGAGTAAGTGTTTGTAGCTTCGATCCCAGCGTTCTTCTCTAGCCAGTAGAGATAGTTCACTTGAAACAAAGACCTGAGCATGTCTTGTGGCGACGCGCTTTCCTTGAGCATCACCTGTAAAATATTCACGAGGAGATCAAAAAATGGTGAGAGATGATTCCACACGGATATTAGAATGATGGAATAGGTTTTTATTGCTTACGCAAAATCTGCCTCTGTGTTCTGCAAGGATGTAGCCTTCATTGCGATAGAGATCAAACAGTGCTATTGCTTCTTCCTTGTTGTGGATTACATCGCTCAGCTTTGACCCTAGCTGAAGCCGTTCTTCTATCTCTGACGCTGCTGCTTTTGCTTCCGATGATAAGACAAAATCTTGCCGCTGAATAGAGCAGAAGATAAGAATCATCAGGCTATTGAGCATTGTTTTCTTCATCCGAGAAAGTTGAATGAGAAGAATGTAATGCTCACCTTTCCTGGAGATTTTATGTTTAAACTTTGAAAAGTTGGGAAGAGCGGTTCTTCATCATTGACCTCCTTGATCGGAGGAGCTTGGCCGCTAATGAGATACTCGCTAAAAACCAAACCTGTATAGTAAGTAAACAGAGAGATGTTATTCATGTTTTCTCAGAAGAAGTTGGGTTGGCTGCAGGAGAGGGATTTTTACTTGCACGATATGGGTTTAGAGTCCGAAGTTGGATGCATTGGTAAGACTTGAGATTGGTATACATATGGATCGATGTCACAACTCCAAACGAAGCAAGGGCAAGACTTGTAGAGGTTCCTATGAAATTAGCAACCACAATCCCTAGCAAGATACCCATTGACTTGCTCACCATTCCTTGAGCTTCTCCCTTTGCAATTACCTACAAAACAAGCTCTTCATGCATTCACTAAAATGTTGTAGATACTAAAGAATCAAAGATCGAAAAGGCCATATAAGTAGACCTCAGCAAAGTTCCTTTGAGAAGCAAAGCCAGCATTGAAGCAACTTTTAGTAGCAGCCTGCATACAATGCAAGTAAATGATAAGTTGCTTTGAGTCATTGGCATTAACCATTACACAAAGCGGCTGCATTTGAGCTATGCAAGAAGACGAGATGTGAAACCTGGATCAATGCAGCAGCAGATCGGCCAGCACCAGCAGCAGCACCGATGACAACGAAGAACTGAGGGAAGAGCGGTGTGAGCATCTCCAAACCAAAAGCAGAGTTTTCAAGGAGATCAGCAAAAAGCCTCCATCCTTTGGGATGAACATCGAAATGGCGTCCGTATTTCGACAGCATGATCTTGCTGAGATACCCAATTCCATCTTTAAGCACCCAATTAATGGCTGCAGCTGTAGGAATCGCTCCTTTCCCCAACCCAACTGCATAAAGCAAAGACTACCAAAAAAAAAACCCACAAGAAAAAAATGAACAAGAGGTGCTCGTGAAAATGCCTAAGAGAGATGATGAAGCTGTGAAACACCTACCTGAGTGGCGAGAACGCCGCTGATTTGGCTGGCGATTCCTTGAACGCCTCTCCAGAGAGAGTAGTCGAGGTAATCGGAGGTGACGCTGTTGGGGTAACCTTCGGGAAGGAGGAATTGAGTGAGAAGGTTTCTGCATTGGGCCAGGAGATTCTCAGGAGTCAATGAAGATGATAATTCGAATCCAGATTCTTCAGAGACGAACTCATCTCTGACGAAATCGGGGACTAGTCGCTTCCTTTTGCTTCCTCTCACTTCCCAAACCGTATCTTTCTCGGCGTCTCCGCTACTATCCGACTCCGGAGGTTTAGCTATGGCGAAGGCGGCTGATAATTGTAAATGGAAGAAGCTGGACAAGACCAATACCAGAAAGCAGAAGAATCTGAGAGGGTGAGATGAGTCATCAGCGTTATCGTCGCCGCCGGAGCCGCCGTTGAACCACCAACCGCCGTCTCCGCCGCCGCCATTTCCATTATCATTGCTGCTGCCGTTACATCCGCCGATGTCTCCAGCGAACAGTGACGGAAAGCAGTTTCTCGTCCCGAGAGATTGTTTGCCGAAGCTATCATTTGCAGCGGTAACTAATCGTGGGCATCGGGAAAGCGACGGAAGCGGTGGCCGGAGAAATTGCCGTGGGAGTAATACACGCTGCCGGAGAGAAACATCACTCCACCGCTGTGAGACGACGGAGGCGTCGCCAGAAAATAGATAAGAGCAACTCATCTTCTTCTTCTCCAAGACTTCGCATAAATTTCAAAATCCCATTTTATAACACAGTTTTTGCCTTCTTTAAATTTATTTTTTTTGGAACTTTTTTTTCTTTTTGTTGTACCGCATAAATTAGGGCTCTTGGTTATATCTCAAAACCCCCAAATTTGTCCCGCCATTTTTGCGAGAAATTTGGGGTTTCAAAGATCGTCCATGTCGAAGGAGATTCAGAATTTGTGGAGAGAAGTGAGGGAATTGAGCTTGGGAACTGAAATCGATCGCCTTGATTCTCCGCCGTCTCCGGTACAGTTTCTCCGAGACTACGTCTCCCAGAGCAAGCCTTGCGTAATCTCCAACGCAATCGCTCATTGGCCGGCTCTGAAGCTCTGGTCGGATCCGGCGTACCTCGCCGGAGCTCTGTCAAATGACCTTGTCTCACTACATCTCACCCCTAACGGCTGCGCCGACGCCGTCACTCCGATCAATGAGAAAGAGAGCACCGGAGATCTCTGTTTCGCTTCATCGCACGTGGAGAAAGTTCCGTTCCCGGAGGCTCTTGAGGCAGTTCGATCGTCGACAAAGGGGAAAAGTGTCGCGTATTTGCAACAGCAAAACGATTGCTTCAGAACGGAGTATTCAACGGTTGCTTCAGACTGCGACGGCGATATCGCTTGGGCTACGGAGGCGCTTGGTTGTTCGCCGGAAGCTGTGAATCTTTGGATAGGTACTGATCTCTCCGTGACCTCTTTCCACAAAGACCACTACGAGAACCTATACGCCGTCGTTTCAGGGGAGAAACATTTCCTTCTCCTCCCTCCGACCGATGTACACCGCCTCTATGTCCAACGATACCCAGCAGCCAATTACTCTTACGACAGAGTCTGTGAGATTCTCCGATTATATTTGATTTTCATTGAGAGCTGTTAAATAAGCTGTAGAACAATAAAGTTTGAATCTTTGTAGGATACTGAAGCGTTCAAGCTTGAGATTGAGCAATCATTGAGGCATGTGCCATGGTGCAGTGTTGATCCATACCCTTCACCAGAGAAGGAAGCAAGTGAGAGATTGAAATATCCATTGTTCTTTAATGGCCCAAAGCCGTTTCATTGTACTGTCAAGGCTGGGGAGATTCTTTACCTGTAAGAACTTCAATCTCTTGTTCATTACCATGTTCCACTGATAGAAATCACTATTGTATAAGCTTCAGTCTTACTTTCGCTTCTTATCGTATATGGATATTGCAGGCCAAGCATGTGGTTTCACCATGTTAGTCAAACCCCAGGAGATGGTGGCTATACCATTGCGGTGAACTATTGTAAGAGTTTTAGTTTTGCTGCCATCCTCTGTTTGTATTTTTTTGGGTCTCTTGCCTCTAATAAGCTACATATGCGTGATGCATCTAATTTGCAGGGTATGACATGCAGTTCGACGTTAAGTATGCGTATTTCAACTTCTTGCAATCATTATCGTACGAGTCATCCTCACTCAGTCCAATTCTGTCTTGGAGAGAAGATGAAGATTCAGAATCCGGTGATGCAGAGGTATGAAGAGTTTGGAAACATTTTTTTGCTTGCTGAGTTCAAGTTCACGGAGAAGAACTTCACATTTGGTAAATCTTAGGACAAAGGAGAATTGTCTGTATGTTGTTTATTTAATCACTTGTCATGTCCATTGGTATTCTCCACTATTCTTTGAGTTTTGTCCTTAAGAATGAAATCATTCAAAAACTCTTAAATATTTTGAAGTGTCTCTCTTTTGTCGATGAATGCAAGTACAAAAGTGATTAGTGATTTCTTGTGTCTTAAAAAGGGCTTGCGCTTGGGTCGTTGTTGATGCTTGATTTGGGAAGTGAGTGCTTGGAAATGCCATAGAGCTCGGATTTGAATAAAATGGATTGATTGAAATGTACGGAAGTATGGGTTGGTGAAATATGCAGAAAGGGTGTTCAGAGCTATTATGGAGAGTAAGATTTGTTTTAGCTGCTGGAACGCTGTGGCTGTGGCATCGAAGTATATGATACGGCTCTTGAAAAAGATCAAGCGCACTAGCTGTTCTAGCAGTAGATGATAAACCTGATAGTCAGACTCTGGTGTAACAAGACATGCAAATAATGGTGTGTTCATATGTATACTCATATTTGTACTGTTCGAAAAGTCAAGATAGTCACTCATGTCAGCAAAAGGAGATGAAGATTAACATCGCAGCACACTCGAGTTATTTCAAGAAGCCAGAATGATATGGTTCAATCAGTGGATTTGGGTGAAGAGATGGGAATGTTTGTGAATATATGTCCCATTGGTTTGTTTTTATGGTCTCTGTAGATCAAGGGCTCGTCTTCCTTTGAGGTGATTGGGATGATACCTGTTGCTGCTGCTGCTTTCTTTTCTTTGTAAGACGCCCATGTGACACTGTAAAGACCTGCGATGATTGCACATCCGCCTAAAATGCTAAGAGAGAGAGAAGAAGCAGAAGAAACCGAGTCAGTTTTGGAGAAAAGGCAACTTCACACAGATCCTATTAGCAAAGAGAAAAGGAGAGAGAGAGAGTTTTGAACCTCCCCAAGTAGATAGGGCTTCCAAGGAAGATTCTGGACAAGAAGGCTGAGGCTGCAGGTTGAAGAGGATTATAAAGAGCAACCAAAGAAGGACCCAATATCTTATTGGACCACGTCAAGAGACCATAGTTGAGAGCAGACGCGATAACTCCCTACAAGGAGGAAGCAGCAGAGATACTACTCATTTGGTGAAACCTTATATGGCTCAAAGTCTATACAGCAAACAATTAGTGTGAGGGAACTTACTGCGTAGACAACAGCAAAGAACTCGGATCTCGTGAGGCTCCAATTCGTGGACTCATTGGTCATGAAAAAAGCAGATGTCACCATAAACATGGTCCCAAAGAAGTAAGAGTATGCTGTGACTGAAAGATTAGCTGGATACTTCTTTAACACCGGAGCCTGATCATATGTTTAAAACTTGGGATCAGTGTAAAGACAGACAAGAAGATTATCTGAAAACTGAAGTGTTTTGTTTGGATCATCTTGAAGCAAGAATGATACATGCCTGAATAGCAAGAAAAGCAGCCATGCAAGTGCAGTTCCCAATCAAACACAAAACTCCCAAATTCCATCTCCCAAGTCCATTGAGAAAGCTAGACATGAAGTGTCCAGATTCTTCAGGGTGTCTTATATCACCATGACCCAAGACCTCAGCCTCTGTTTCTCCAAACAAAGCCGGTCCACGAAACAAAACCATCAACACCGCACCAGCCACACAAACCAGCGTACCTACTACTTTAGCTTGACCTTCTAGTTTGAATAAATTCAATCTCTCTGTTCTGCATCAACACACACAAATGGAAAGAGAATGCATGATTGATTCTCTAATCTTGCAAGAGTCAGTGAAGTAAGAGAGAGTTGAATCTTTACCCCATGATGAGAGCCAAGATGAAAGTAAAAACCGGAATAGAAGGTTGAATCGCTGCAGCATAAGTGGGATTGGTGTAACTTAGACCAATGAGGAACAAAAGCTGGTTGCCAAATATCCTAATCATACACAGGTTTTGGATCATTACACAGTCATGGAGATGGCAGAAAAGGGAAGAAGGAAGAAAACTGTAGTTACATACCCAGTTAAGCCGAGGAAGAAGAAAGCTAAGAGTAAGCGTCGATTCAAAGGAGGTCTTGTTCGTTTGTCACGGAGATAAGCAAGAGGAGCAAGAATAGAGAGAGCGATGAGATCACGGAAAACGCAGAAGACGAGTTGGTTCACACCGACGTTGAGAGCCACTTTGGTGATCACGTGGTACCCTCCGTTGAACAATTGCACGCCGACCATCGCCACGTGTGCCTTCCACGCTTCTCTCTCCACCGCACTCTCCATCGGCCGGATTCTTCTTTTCCGACGATTCCTGTTCCCGAAGAAAGATATGGTAGCCAGGTTGAATATGTGTAAAGATCTACTCTTTCTTTTGTTGAAATTGATTGCTTAATGATCACACTTGGAATCTCTTTCTGTTAGAATGTAGTTTTTTTCGATCGAAAGAGACAGAGGAACAAGAACTGATGACATCATGCTTCGGACACAAGCATGCAATGTGATTGATCCTATTTACCCGCCATTTCAGGATCACTAGACTTTTACATTCATTGTGATTGATCCTATTTACCTTAATTAAGAATTATAAAATCTAAAGATAAATTCGAGGAAAGAATTATATATTGGTTTGTTATGTCACAAAATTAAATGCTTTTGTTGGTGATCAGAGGATAGGATCATTAAGGAATTTGACTTATTTGGTTATGGTTTGGACTTTGGACCATTCTACCATTTGTTTGTGCTAGCATATCTGATGGATCTTTTTATAGGCTTTGCCCTATGCTACTTGATTAATTATTTGATATTGATGATGTAAGATCATTCAATTAGACTGTTAGATTGAAAGATACTGGTTTCAGATGATTGAGAACGACCCATTTGACTTGTGATGTGACATTTTTAATCTAAACGTTTGATTGTATCCACAAAATGACAAAAATCTGAAAAATATTCTGATTCTAGGAGGATTCCACTGGGATTGGTTTTTGAGATGAAGACAAACTTTTCATTTTTTTTTTTGACAAAATCAATTAAATTCCTACAGATGCCATTATATATTACAAATTTAATTAGTAAGGATATCTGTGGTACAACAAGGTGCAGCCGAAAAATATGGTCGTAAATCTGTAAAGTTGCTTTAATCAGTCATTTGCGATGAACACATAAAATACAATTTGAATTATTTTTATTTTTTGTTCAAACAGATACAATATAATTAACATTGTTAATCTGTTGTAAATTAAATTGCTATTTTTGTTGTTGTTGTCTACAGCTATAAGATACCATTTGGTTTTGTAGAACTTTGTATTTCAACTAGAATTAGCTTAAAACTTTTTTTAATTTAAACTATATAGGCTCATTCTTTTTTTTTGGGTGCAAATAGGCTCATTCTTAATCTTACGAGTAGTCTTTTTACGATCAAAGTAAGGAAATAAAACGTGTAATTGGTAATGTGAAAGAAATCGTGTAATGGTGAATGTGAGGGGGAAAGGAATCAAAACCTCTAAACCAATGCATGTGAAAACTTTCCTTTTTCTGTTGTTTTGTTGAATAACCAGTATATTTTGAAAAGCAAAAACAGTTGAAGTAAGACACAAGCAGCTGCAGTTACTTTTGGTAGAGTGTCTTGCAAGCAAAATGTATCATATATAATAGTTAAAATACATACATGTGATGTATCCGTACGCAGACACATGTAGAGTCTACATCCTACGCCACATAAATAACTCTCTAAAGCATTTTATACATGAAAATATACTTTCATATACAGTTTTATATTTTTGTTTTTTCATGCACCGAGCTCGAAAGAAGGAATGGATCATCGGCGTATCAGCAGATTTAGAAACATTTTAGTGAAGATAAGAAACGATAAGAAATGAGCTGGTTTTCTATAAATTCGTTTAAGAAAATATATTCGTATAAATCCAAACTGATAATATGAGTTTATAGAAGTTTAGTTGGTAACTTCTGTATATGCTGCGATTATTTGTAACTATAGTTTAATTCCTCTAAAAATTTCATACATCACATTTTCCAACAAAATATGAAATATCGATACCATAAAAGTACTAACCCCACATGTGTTTTTGGTACCAAAAGATGCTGCGTAGATATGAGTGAGAGTCTGAGTTTGACACACAACAAAAAATTATGAAAACAAACACACTCAAAATATAAGATATACATGCCAATTGTCATATGTGTTTATGTGTGTGTTGATAATGAGAGAGGAGAAAGAAAGCAAAAGGGGTTGAAAAAGAAAACCACATGTTGAGGGATCATATCACATGCTCCTTAACCCCACTTTTCTTCTCCTTTTTCCTCAAGCTTCTTTGTTTCTTCTTTATTCACTCCTAAATATACACATAGCTTCATCATATAGAATCACGTATTGCCATACACACACACTGTCACACACACAATGGTTAGTGGGCTAATAACATATGGTTTTATAATACTAAATCCAAGGGCATTAATTGTGGTCTAACATTGACAATTGATTTTGATTAATTAATCTTACAAAACAAGACTTGAATTTAATGTTTTAAAGATATGTAAGAATACTAATTTGTTTGTTGAACGATAGGGGTGGACAAAATATATAGGATCCAAGATCTAATTCGTTTCGATAAAAACATTAGGAAATATTTTGATTGTAAAAAAGAGCCCGTTACTCGCTAACTAATACTCATAATCCAAAGTCACTATCTCAAATTCAAATTTAAAATTTAAATTTAAGTTAATGGGAATGAGCTATTTGAAATCTGAGTAGGAAATATAATAATCTGAAAAGGCTCCAACTTTCCCCTTCAAAACGGAAGACACAATTGTCTCCTAAATCTGACGTTTTGAAAAGAACGAAGAAAATTTGTCTTCTAATGTAAAAGATAATTTAGCGAAAGGAAAAACAGAAGTTATAAACTAATTAAATAATAAACAAAAATGGAACCAGTGGTTAGTGAATAGTGATATTGATTTATGCGTAATTCACTAAACGATTTATCTGACGCCGTTAACAACTAAAACCAAAAAGTTATAGTCAGAAGAACCCAAACTTGACTGATAAACCAGACCAAACCAAAATCCAAAATCCACAATTCTTTTTTATAAATACACTTATAAAATGATGAATCAACTTATTCAATTTGTAAAACAAAAAAAAAAACGAAAAAAACTTATTCAATTTATCTGAATATATCTTTAAAATGTGTCACTTTGGAGAATTGTCTATTTTTTCTCAGCTGGAATTTATATATCAAAAATATATTCATCAAACCAGCACCGAAATCGAAATCTCGGTCTGGTCCGGTCTTTCTGAAACTGTTTCATTGACGTCGTTAACAACTTAACTTGGAAACGATCGATCACTTTTTACTAAAAATGTTTTTGTTTTGTGCCTTTTACTTCATCTCTCATCTCTGCTTTGAGAAGAAGGAACAATAAATGCACTTGAACACTCTCTCTCTCTCTCTCTCTCTCTCTCTCTCTCCAAGTCTTCTCCAGTCTCTCTCTCTTTCGAATCCGCCATTGCTGAACCTTTTACTTCTCTGTAAATCTTCTAATCTCACTGCCCATTTCTCCAGAGTGCGTTTTGCTTCCCGGAAAAGTACTACTTTTATTCCAAGCTTCTTCTTTCTGTTCCTCGATCGTTTGATCCGATTTCGTATCACCTCTCTTAAAAAGATCTAAACATAGCTTTGGTATTAGACTAACCATATACTAAACTAGATTCAGTAATGTATTTACATTTATTCAGTGATTTTGTTCTTGTTTGCTGATTTCATGAACTGGAAATGGAGTTGGATTGAGTCAGAAAGTTGCTAACTTTGGGTCCAACCGCGAAAACAACTTTGGAATTTGATTGAAAAATCGTAGCTTTAGTTTCTGGGCATCTCGCAAATGTCATTACTGGTTTGAGAATCCATACTCAAATGTGATCGATTTGGTTTGTGCAGAGAGAGAAGCTGAATGGTAGACAATATTAGCAGAATGGATTCGATTCAGCAGAGAAGAGGTGGTATTGTATCTCTCTCTCCAGCGCAGACACCACGATCAAGTGATAAATCAGCCAGAGAATCAAGATCTTCCGAGTCGAATTCAACCAATAGAAATGATAAAGAAAAAGGTGTGAATGTGCAGGTCATATTGCGTTGCAGGTGAGACTTTTAGCTACTCTTGAGTCTGTTTGTGTTTTTGGCCCCAAAAATTTGATCTTTCTCACTTGTTTCTTTGGTTCTTTATACAGGCCATTGAGTGAGGACGAGGCTAGAATACATACACCGGTGGTGATTTCTTGCAATGAGCAACGTAGAGAAGTTGCTGCTACTCAGAGTATTGCTGGAAAGCACATTGATAGACACTTTGCCTTTGACAAGGTTAATAGAGTTTTAACAAAATCTTGCCTCTAAAGCCTGTTTCTTGATTGTGTTTGTCTCTCAATTGTCTCATCTTGAATATCTCAGGTCTTTGGTCCAGCGTCTCAGCAGAAGGACTTATATGACCAAGCCATTTGTCCAATTGTGTTTGAAGTTCTTGAGGGTTACAACTGTACCATCTTTGCTTATGGTCAAACCGGAACTGGAAAGACGTACACAATGGAAGGAGGTGCAAGGAAAAAGGTCAGTCCTTTGAGAACGAACTTTGTATGCTTCTCTATGATTCACTGTACTTTTGATAAATAGTTATGGATGCTTTGCTATGTTTGTAGAACGGTGAGTTTCCGAGTGACGCGGGTGTGATTCCAAGAGCTGTGAAGCAAATCTTCGACATATTAGAAGCGCAGGGCGCTGAGTATAGCATGAAGGTCACCTTCCTAGAACTATATAACGAGGAAATCTCGGATCTTTTAGCACCTGAGGAGGCTACAAAGTTTGTTGATGAGAAGTCTAAAAAATCGATTGCTCTCATGGAAGATGGTAAAGGGAGTGTCTTTGTCCGGGGTTTAGAAGAAGAGATAGTGAGTACAGCGAACGAAATATACAAGATCTTGGAGAAAGGTTCGGCGAAGAGGCGTACAGCTGAAACTCTTTTGAACAAGCAGAGTAGTCGATCTCATTCGATATTTTCTATCACCATTCACATCAAGGAAAATACTCCGGAGGGAGAAGAGATGATCAAATGTGGGAAACTAAATCTTGTTGACCTTGCTGGTTCTGAGAATATCTCACGGTCTGGTGCACGAGAGGTAGGCTTATGACTGATTTTAGTGTCTTCTAGGCAGTCATGGAAGCTAGTGCTAAGTAGTTTGACAATGGTTGTTGCAGGGACGAGCCAGGGAAGCGGGA